TTGCAACATGCCTGAATGTGCAAAGAGCCTGACCTGAGTAGCATTTGTGCAAACTACATCCACATCATCCCTGACTGACACAGGAATGCTCAGTGGCTCACCTCTCATCCCCCAAGGACACCTCTGATGATACAACAAATCAATATACTTTCCTAAAGCCTCCTTTTTCTTATGAAAACTAAATGTGCCATTGTTTTATTCAGACCTCACTGTGGTTAAATCAACTTGCTACATCTCAGGTCTTCATATAGATTTTACTGAACCAAGCAGTTTTGATCAGTTCATTTTTTTTAATATGTTAAGCAGTGCCAAACAATAGAAGTCACAGCTTTCAGTTCCTGCCTGCTTTTAGAGCAATCATTTCATATAACTCAGATTTCTATCATAGTCTATGACAAGTCTTTAGTGCTCAAGCTTGCAGTTATTTCCTCTTATCTTGTTTTCATAGATTTTTATCTACTGCTTATTGGGAAGACGAATTAATCATTGAATCATTCCTAGTTATTTCTTTATTGTGGAATATTATTAGAATTTTCCAATGTTCTTAAGATTACTAAATCAAGCATAAATTCTTCCAATATAGATTTCACACCTATGTCCCTCTAGATCTAATTACCCCAAATAGCACAACAAACAATAGAATTCAGCTGGCTGTAGTGCATTTCACAGCATTGCTGCCAAGGTTAAAACCAGCCAGCTAGTACCTAGACTTGTGTAGGGAACATTGTGAATATCAGACATACATATTTCCCTCAAAGACAAAAGACAAATGACCCCCTCTCTCCCCCACCCCAACTTAGGTTTAGATGAATTCTGAAATTGACTGCTGTAACAGTTGAACAATTTTAAAGCCAGACCACCCAGCTTAAACCTCAGTATGGCATTTCCTGCTTTTCCTTTCCCCGATCCATTGCTTTAAACACCAAATAAAACATGGGAGTGCAACTGAGAAAATAAATGCCCTCTTCTCTTGCTTAAAAAACATGCATTTCTTCTCCTTGATTCTGTTTTTACTTCCCAGAATCCTCCCACATTTGTTAAATCCTGATAGCATCTGTAGTTTGAAGACTGTGAGCAACCAGTTTCTGTTATGCCTTTGAACATGCACACAGATGCACTCAGATGCACATGATGATGAGCATGTTGAGTGATGCTATCAGTTGTGAACAAATTTCTTAACCACAAATAGCAAAAGACTCTGAGGGCTAGGGATGACTGTTCATAAGACTATTTCAGCAGCTCTGTCCATTCAATAACCAGCAGTAGGAGAAAGTTCTACAGAAGGAGAAAGCAAGACTGCAGTTCACAGCATTTGCAGGGGAGCTGGAAGGGTGGCAAGAAACTATTGATCTTCAGAATTAAGCTGTTATCGCTGCTGGAACAGTGTGAAGGATAGGCAATGAGTATCATCATGCTCATAGCTGTGAGAAATAAGGGCACACTATTTCTGTCAACTTCAGATCATTTGTACTCCTAACACTGTCAGACATCTCTAAATATTTCTTTTCAGTCTGCCTTCAGATTTTGTAAAGCACAGTCCACAAAAAAACCCTCCATAAACAGAAGCAGTAAGTTCAGGGCAAATGATGCTCATTATCTTGCACTATTATCATTATAAGCATAAATTACTGCACGGTCTGGAGTTGCTGAGCAACCACTTTCCATTATGCTTTTAAACACCCAATAGTTAAGAAGAGACTACAGGCCTCTAAGCAGGTTCAGTGTTGCAAGATGCATCAAGCTGCAGGGATGATTACACCTCTATAGAAGCTACTGCATTTATCTATGGTAGAAAATGAGGAAGAACATAATGCGGTAATGACTGGAGTTCCCCAAGATGGAAAGTCTCCTGTCTCTATGCTTGAACATGTGCCTTCAACACAGACCCAAAGTTCTGCAGCTCCCATACTGCCTTTCCTTAAGCTTTGCAGCCAAGAATTAAGTCCCTCATATTTGCAGAGCCCAAGTGAGGCACTTCTGGAAGAAGTCAGATGACAGGTTGCAGGCAGAGCACAGAGACAGGGCATCTCAGACTGTAATACATGCATTTCTTAAAAAGTTTGTCCTCACCCAAGTTGTTTGTGACAGCACCCCAACAACACAGAGATAGGCAGAGAGAGCAGCTTCACAGGATCAGGATGAGAAAGATGCCCAGGCTGCAAAGCTGGCTAGTGCCTCTGGCTGCAGTACATGACAGCTTTCAGAGTGTGATTCCCACTCCCCCATACAGTTGGCCCATTTAACCTGGTTGACGCTGTAGAGATCAAGGCATATGTTGGTATCATTCTGGGGTTTGCAGCTCAAGTCATTGCTGCTCTTGGGATTGAGCTTGCTTTAACAGGATCTTGATCGTGGCCATTTTTTTCCATTTTGATATCTTTGTGCTGGTTTTTAGAATCAAGATCCAGTTCTGTAAAATCACATTTGAAGTCATAATGGAATTGGTTCAGAACCAGGAAATTGCTTTTGGAGGGGCTATTGCTCAAAGCACTTTTATCTGGTCAGATGTTGATTTTGTCCACAGTTGCAGTTAAGACTGAGAGTCCCAAAAGTAAGAAATCCAAAGTGGCAATCAGGAGCCTCTAACTTGCTAGCAGAAACCACCTGCTATTCCCTTGAGACATCAGGTTTCAGACTGACATTCCCATATCCTTGAAACTATGAGGGTTTCAAGATTAACAAACACACATTTTTCCTGTCTATGACATTTTCTTTATGTGTGTCTATCACTGCCTGTGACTGCCTTATTTGCTGTTATTGTAGAGAGCTTGGTCTTCACTGGGACGATTGCTCTGTGTGAGCAAATCACTCGGGGTCAAAAGACAGTTCTCTGTATCTAACGTCTCTTTCAAATAAATAGGCAATATGCTGAAACTATAGTTTGCTCTACAGCTAAAGCTCAGAGCTTGAGGCGATGAACAGAAGCAGCTTTGCTCTGAAACACCTGGAAGGAAGCAAGGCATAGCAGGCACACTCCACCCTCTGGTTCATCAGCAAGGCATATATGCCCTTGCAGGTAATCACCAGCCAAAAATGCCCTCAATTCAAAAGGAACATTAACAATTGATAATGTGACCTTCCAAATTGTTTACTTCTTTTTAATTATCATCTTTTCCACCTTAGCCTTAACTTTAAGGAATTAAGTATGAAAAGTTCCTATGATTTCACATCAATTTTCCACTGCCTATTTAAACATCGTAATTTCCATTCCTCTGTCAGTTCATCACTTCTTGTATTCCCAAGACTGAATATTTCAACAGGTGAGAGAAAATAAAACGGCATGACCATCATGATCAGTACGAAACCATTCCCCCACCACTTCATTTTAGTGACTGCTCCACAAAACTCCCCTGGAGCTTGAGTGAGGTGCACAAATTCTGCTTTTCTTCAGCAGAGGACAGGTCATTCTTCCTCAGGAGTCAGAGAAGCGGGGAGTTGGAAAAGTGGGGAAGACATTCCAACAGCCAAGGGAAGTAGAAGCTAAAGAGTGGCAAAATAGCTGGCAAATACAAATGTCAGGCTGCAATTCAAAGCATGCCAAGTGCTACCCTGTATACGTTTGATAAAGCACCTTATTAATTGCATCTGACATAATTCAAACTGAATTTTTTTCTTTGTACTCCCCTCTCCCTCCTAACACCTTTCAATCCTCCCTGCCTTATTCTCAGGTTTTAAGTATTATAAAGACATGAACACAGGTCTCATCTGTGACTTTTTGCCTGGTTCCTCCAACACACTGCTTTTCCATAGGCTGATACTCACAGGCTATCTACTACCCTTTAGATAACACCTACTTCCATAAGATCACCAATAATTAGCTGGAAAATAGGAGACAAAGTCAGGCCCAGGTCTTTATTTCTCAGTAAATTAGACTTACTCTTTACAATGTTTTCTCTTAAAAGAAAACAAAAGTATCTTTTAAAAAAAAATTAACCACCAAAATGAGGCTGATGGAAGGATTTCTAAAGCATACAGAGATCTGGGCTAACAGGTCCGAGAAACTACCAAATTATTCACATAGGTGCTCAAATTAGCAATGACTAAATTATGTCACCAAAGACAATGGTAACAGAGGAGAGAGGAGGGATCAATTTTATGGAATCTGTCAGGTCTGTTGCAACTAACAGCTCATCCTTGTACCCCAAAAGTGTATTCCTTATCTTTGTCTACTCAGAATCTGTGGTTATGGATACTAACCTAGCCAGCATGATTTCTGATTAGCAATTTAAAAAAACATAAAGCATTGAAAAGAATACACACTTGTGTCAGCCCAAGTCTTTTTTCAGGTATTTAAGATACTTTGTTGACAAAATATTCATTCAGGATACAAAGGAAGAGGATACAAAATCCTTTTCAGGAAAACATTAATGCTACACTTACCTGAAAAGGAACCTTTATTTTGTCTTCTCCAAATGCCTGAGCTCGCTTGTGGTACTCTAACCACCCTCCCTCAAACCAGCTACAGTGATCACATTCCAGGAATGTAATTCTATGTAACAGCAATAATGCGTTTGTAATATATTTTAAGTAAAAACATTTAAATCACAAGAAAAATTCACATTGTGTGTCATGGATTTACAAGCCCCAAACCATTAAAGAGCAGTAACATGGAGCCATGCTCTGTTATTTTTTCCAAAATGAAAAAGAATCCTCTTTCGGTTGAGTTCTGACTGATAAGCTGGGCAAAGTGTTTGTCACTTCTCAGACTGCAGGGTTTCTGCAGCATTTCTGGAAAACTTACGAGTTCCCAATTTGTTCCTTTTTTTTTCTTTTCTTTTCTTTTTTTCTCTGCTATTTATGCTTCTGCTTTGGGCACATTCCACTAAACCAACTATTGGGAAAGCATAGATCTTGGTACTAAACTGCTACAGAGTTTACTTTAGTGGGGACTGGGTAACCTCAATTGCCAAAGGCTGCAGAAGTGCATACATAAACACACACACACACAGAGCACATGGGTGAGAACGAACTTCAAGAAGAAACAACCCTGAAATGACCAATCAATTCAAAATATGAACAGCTTTCAATATTAGCACAGCTTCTAACATGATACTTTCCTATGTACTTCACATTTGTCAAGTTCCCCAGATCTCATTCAAACATATACCTAATACCATTAATTTGTTACAGCATTTTTTAATCCATTTTAGAAGTGCAGCGTATGTACGTCTTCTAATTTTTATACCATACATATCTCATTCTGAACTTAGAGGTTTCCATACTTGTCATTAAAAAGCACGTAGACAAAATATTTTATGGTATCTATAATAAATGCAAATAAATCAATACAAACAAAACTTGGCTTAGCAAACTGTACATATATATGTTCTCTGTTTTTCAACTTGACATTCAAATTTTTTCCTCATAAAATCTTTTACGATCTTATTTATTACATCCATTTTTTTAAACCTTAAAAAAGTGCTTCTCAGATTTACACCTTGTGCATCCAAAGCAAAAGTTAGAACACCATGCCCGAAACAGAAACCACAGGGAATAATACATTGCCATACAAGATCCTTTAAAATTGTATGTTACAAATGCTCTAAAATTTCTTTAGCATTGGTTATTTTGTATACTGTAGATATCAAGAGGGTATTTAACAGAGACTGGCTAATGGCTCATTTAGAGCAGCACACAGGAAAGGATCTACAGTACCAAGTCCTTAGCTATGCATAGTACAGGGCAATGACCCAGATATAAAGTGGCTGAAGATCCAGAAAGCTGGACAGGACATTTCCCTCACACACGTCACATCCTCCTCAGTACCCAGGATGTGAGTATTTGAACAATGCTATACAGGTAATACACTGTGAAGTCTGATACTGATATACTGATGCGTTACTAGCTGAGTGCCAGCAAAGAATGATATGAGCACAGCAGCAGCTACAGCAAGTAGGTAAAGCTGCCACACTGAAACCTGCCACCCTTTAAAACCATCCTGCCTCCCGGCTAGCACTCCTGCATGGTCACCTGCTGTCTCACAGGTCTCCTTCATAATGGAGGTGGACCATTCATGTATTTTAGCATGGGGTGAAAAGAGCGGGCAAAGTTGTTGGCCATAGTACAGCTGTAGTCCTCCTCGGTCATTGGCACCAGGCAAGCCAGCCCAATCAGGAGCAGCAAGAGGAGCTGAAGTGGCAGAGCAGCTCTGAGGACTCTGAGGAAGAAGGATGGGTGCCGCCATGCTGGCCCAGCCTCAGAAGGGGAGGAACCTGAGCCACCTCTTGTGGACCTGAGAAAAAGATGATGGACAGGTGAATACAGTAAAACATCACGGCAGCAGAGATTGCCTTTAGGCACTCGTCTTCCCTTAAAGCTGGCTTAAAATTTGTACAGGCATTGACTGACAACTGCAGAGGTATTTTTCTCTGAACGTGCTATTTCCCTAACATTCTTAAAAGGCTGTATTTCTAGATTGGGTAGGAAAATGCCAAATGATCACAACAGAAAGGGCTTTGTGACTCCATAGCCCTTTTGTCAATTATAGGGAAGACTCTCCCTTCAAAGTACTGTGCTATAGAGAAGGTGAAAATAAAAGGTGGGCTGTACCTGTCATATGTTCAACGCATGCTGTCCAAATTGGAAGCCTCCTTATTTTAAATAGCAGTTGCATTTGGTTTGCAGAAGTTTCTACATTCGTTTCTGTATATAGTATCCGCAAGGGTGTAATGCATTAAGATTCAGTTACATCAAGCTTCAATTAATTAATATACCAATATGGATGCAATGGGAACTCATTTTCTATAAAGTACATTGAATTTTGAATCTTGCACTGAATCAGCAGTTAAAACCTGTTTGCTCAGCTGAGAGTTGACAACATCCAAGTGATTTTGTCTTGTGTCTATGGATCTGACGTGAAATGTCATGTCTATGAGAGAGGCCAGACCTAGCACAAATATTTCCAAATATTTGCCTGCAAATTAAGCCTCCAAATCTAATCTATTTTTTAATGAGGGATAAAGACATAGATTTCACATTTTCCTTTTTGGCTGAAATTGTCAGAGCTCTAATATATGGATGACAGGTTTTGAGATCAGTGACTGACTGGAAAGAGTGACTACACAAATTAAAATCTGATGGTCTCGGTGTGTTAATTAAATGGCATTAACTGTATTTTAGCACTAGCCAAAACCAGAAGAACTTAGAGCCTTCAAATAATTTGCTTCAAGAGTCTTTCATTAAGACATCATGTCATTAATTTTGTCTTAGACATGCTGCTATAAGACATCCGTGTGGCTATTATAACTATGAAGCCCGAAAAAATCTATGGTTTGCAAAGGCTTAAGAGAGAAGAATGCTCATAAGGATGATTTAATCTCAACTTGAAGGCCTGGAACATCAGGCTTGTTGACTAAGGTCAAATGTTCCCCTGTAAAGCAAGGCAGGGGTGATAGTTCCTTCAAGAAAGCCAGAAAGATTTTGTAAAGTCCAGATGACCAACAGATACATAAACACTCAGATATGCTAAATGATCAACTTGACCTATCCCAGGAAGAAGCGATAATCAAAACATCAGATTGCATGTTGTTTGAATCCATGCTATTGTAGCTTGGATGGAAAGCTGCCTATCACATAATGTAAGACCATGTTACTATAAAGAACATACTGAAAGGATACGGCACATTTAACAGCATCAGAGTATTCCATATTAAAGTTCAATTAAATCAGGACTTCTGCCGTCCAAGAATTCCAAGACAGAAAGTTAATGGACTGAGGTGGAAACAAAGGGAACAAGGAGTGCTTAATTACCTTCTAAGCATTTGATTGCACAATTTACCTATTTACAAGGTTCTCATTGTACAAATGTTACTAATCCCAATCAAAAAAGGCCACATTTCTGCAGCTGAAAACTGCTACTTGATAATAAGTGAAATCCCAGTTTTCTTCACTGCCCCAGTTACGCTGGGGCAACACTGGTTGTCAAAAGTGAGCAGGCAAAATTAACATCTAATTTTCATTTTGTGTATGGATTTAGTAGCACAATCCAGAACTCTTTGCTTTGTGTTTTGACCAAAAAAAAAAAAACACCAAAAAAAAAGAAAAAAAAAAAAGAAAAAGAGGAAAAAGAGCGGTATGTGTAAGCTGCATGGCTGATCTCCATAAGGAACATAAACTTTGTTTCCAAAATAACAGTTTATGGCAAAGTTTTTCAGAATATGTTTTCTACAGTGAGGTAGGGTATTGAAGAAGAGTTTCTAATACTGCATAGAAACAAACAAGCAAATAATGAAACAATATGAAAACATCTTCAGAAGGAGGAGTTCTAAGAAGCTTGAGCACTGTACTGCCCGTGTTTATTACATGTATGCCTCTGTAATCTACATAATTGACTGAAAAATGGAATGGGTCATCTTAGAGCATTTAATGGATTTGGTAAAGAGTGATGGTTAAAAATAAACATTGCTAATAAAAAGGGGTCACTATTCGTAAGGGCCAGAACTCCTGTTTACTCCAGCAGGAGAAGGGGAAGCTGCACTGTATGCTACTTCGGAGAAAATGCAATTTCTTTTTCTTGAGCTTGCATCTTTAGCTGTCTTTCTTCTGACTGTTGCACGATTTGTCACACTGGCCCCTATCTGAGGTGGGAAGGAAGGCCATCTGCTACTTGCTGCATACACAATTCCTACTAACTAGATAAAAGGGGGAGGCACAGCTGCAGACCTGGCCAACAGTAAGCTTCTTTATGTCAAGAATTCTCATAAATTAAGAACTGCAAGCAACAGTAACCCTTACTTTGGGAGTTTGTAATGTCAGTGAAATTGGAACTCTTTCCTAAGCATTTCAAGAGAGAAGCTAATTTACCAGGCTATAGATCAGATGGCCAAAGCGAACCAGCTCAGATGAGTACCTTATTTTAAAGATGATTGATTTTTATTTTTTTCCCCAAGGAAAATATGGTTGAATTAATTTATCTGTACTGCAGTAAACATCTGAAAGTTTATAACAGAAGAATTTATCATTCAAGAGAAGCCAGTATGAAAAAATAAAGTGAGTTTACTGGAGAAGTGACTAATAGAATGCAGACAACAGGCTTACACTGAAAGAGGCACTGCTGGGCTAGTAGGATGTTATTACTTGAGTTAATCGAGGATGAGTCTTGGTTTAATATCTTTATGAAAAGACTATGGCACACAATATAAGAGGAGAAGATTTCATCTGTATGAGAACAGAAGTTGGAAGCCTCCGCAAATACAAAATAGGATTGGCTTGCACAGAAAATAGAGGGTGAATCCAGTAAGTTTAAGAACTAGTTCAAGGAGTTTAAGATTACAGTGTTTAAGACAGCAATAAAAACTTCTGCTGCAAATATGGAAGTTCACATTCTGAAGATAATGAGGAGAATCTATAGCTTTTTGACACAGGATGGCCACAAACCAATAATGTGGCTTGTGAAGAGCTGTGAAAAGGGACAAAAGAAACTTAACAATATATTTCAGTTCAAGATTTCCAGAAGACAGAAAGGGTAATTTGAATGATGCTTTATAAGGCACTAGCAAGATCTCACCTGGAACAGTTTGTGTCATTTTGCTTAACATGCTTCTGGAAGAAGAATTCAAACTTAAACAATCTTCAAGTAGTCAAGAAAGTATGAGTATTTCTGCTACGAAAGAAACAAAGAGCTGAGTTTATCAATATAAGACCTGAGAGATACTAAAACTACCATTCATAAAATAGTGCAGAACAGAGAGAAAGAAAGGTGAACAGTTGTTGAAGGGATATTGTTGGCACAAAATCAAATTACTGCATCTTACCATGGATATATCAAAGGTGGAAATTATTGCAATTCCAGATAATCAGAGAAATTAAAGTTGATAACGACCTTCTAACAGACTTTTTATTCCACTGATTTTCATTTTTTTAAGATGGACATTGCTACAGTTATTAAAGAAAAGGTATAATACTGTGCCTACAAGAGCAGGCAACAACTCTTGGTGGCCTAACTGACTCTCTAGGAATGACCTTGTTTGGCTGAGTTCTCACTCTGCTTCTCTCCCTAGCTGTCAGCACCACATCACCCCAGCCGCAGATCTGGCTTTCCCTGTAAAGAAGATTAATATGTCCATTTCAAAGGCAATCAAATAGGAAGTTTAAGTAACAAGCTCTGACAGTGTGGGATATAACTGGGAAAAGAAACACAGCAAGCCAAGCCCAGGCTTTGGATTTAAGCTGAGTGGCAAAGACTGACATTTCGTGGCCAAAGGCATTGAGAATGCTGTGGCCTGGTCTGTTCCAGGAACAGCAAGTGACCTTCAGAGATCCGCTAGTCATTTGGGGAGGCCTGGGGAGAGCAGGAAATGGAGGCTAGCACTGTGGCACCAAGAATTGAACAGAGCTGCTCAAGAGAGACATTGTAAACACCCTGAGCAAATTGAACCACTACTTTAATCTTTTTAATATTTTAATCACTTCAAAAAACTCCACAGGCACAGGTGTGCATTTATGACAGATGCATTAAACTGATGAAGAAAGACTATTTGCTTCTTGGATCTGCTTTTCCCACTTAGCACATGATTACTAATACCACTTGAGCTTTTAGTTAAATCCACCATGTAACATCTAGTTTAAGCTTCTACCTTGCTTAGAACTACAATATGTGTGCTTGTTTTTATGCCCTGATAATGGGAAAGGCAAAATGACATCACACATGTTATACACAAAACATGGCCCCTCTAATTTTTAAACGAACTTCCACAAACTGCTAGTCCATAAACTTTTTAAAATTGACTTTAGCTCTCCTGTGTTTTAAACTCTAACAGGGTTTGCTGATCCAGTGCAAGATCAAATACAAAGTACTCTGATCAGAGGCATGTCAAAATATTAAAGAACACGGTGACAGCTTGTACTGCTTTATCAGTTAAAACCACATTACACATCAACCACAACCTGTCTGGCTTGCGCATTTGATTAAGTTTCCTATTCAGCGGTGACTCATTCGTATTCCATGCTTGTCTGAATGACAAATTGAACATTGTGTTGGACTGCTACAAGATGTGTTAATAAACAGTGCTGGAAAGACTTGATCTGAAAGGTGCCGCGCCAAAGCCACTGCTAGAATAGAGGTTGTTCTTAAAGCTGCAAAGCATTGCTAGATGCTCTTTGATTCAGTGGCTCACAACCATAAACCTTCTCAAAAGATTGGCATAAGTGGTCTGACTAAACAGGAGAGTGGAAGAGCGCATACATTTCTTCAGTACAACATTGCTAGTGCAAGCATGCTGACCTGCTGAAGACATCCTCCATTCCTCCTAGCTGTTAATGGCTGCAGAGTAAAGCCCCACTCCTCCCTTTCCCCACTCTAAGAAACACAATGCCAAGCTTCGTAGCAGACTGGCGTTGGAAAAATTCTCTTTCCCCATTAGACAGAAAGATGGAGTGTGCATATGTCACCTTTTTTTTTTTTTTTTTGCATGCTTTCCTTGTGTTTCAAAGAAGAAAAAAAGCCCCTAAAAATACGGCAGATTCTTAGGGCCAGTGGAAGCAGTGAAAGATGACTTTACCTGTTCTATCTGCTATGCTACGTGGTTTTGCAACTATGTCATTTTGCTGACAGTCACTATGTATATGTATACATACTATGTATTGGATATTCATATACAGTATTTATATGAATACACATGTAAAGCAAACTTTTTATAAAAAAATGTTTATGCAAATCTCTACATCACAAGTAGCTTTATTATTTATTTCACTTATATCTGAGAATAACCTTTCTGAATATAGCCTTGATTTTGCAAATAAAAAAACTATTCAAGGTATATTTATCTGCTTGGTTATTGCCCAATCACTGTATTAAATTTAGTGTTGCCTTTTTTCCAACATCAAATCTTTCACTTTAACAGGAGTTATTTTTAAAGTTTAGTTAATTTTTGATACACATAGAATAGATGAGGTTTAGGATTTAACTATTAGAACAAATACATACTTTATTTACACTTTCTTATCATTTTAGGTATTGAAAAACTGTTGAAATAGCAGAATACACCTATACATATTGGCCTGTTCATTTATTTTTTTTTTCTTTTTTTAACTTCATAACTCTAGAAGCTGAATTGTGACTGATCAGTGAAAAAGTGAAGGTACACACATCACACTGACAACAACAAAGAATGCAGAAGCACTGTTAGCTGCAGAGGTGACAGGTTCCTGAGGACAAGATGGAAAGCAAAAAGCTGTAGCTGCAAGCCTGCTCTCTACTGGTCAGAGAGAGATGGGGCAGTGCTGCTCCCAGAGCAATACACGGATGCAAGCACCTGGCAAGAGTCATGGCAATGTTAGCATGTTATATTGCAGTCGTTTTAGGCGGGGAAAGTGACCCCAGGTCTCAAAAACCTCAAATTATGACTTTTAGTTTTGATTCTTAAGTACTGAAAACCCACAAACTGAACAAAACATTTCAGGAAAAAAAAAAGAAGAAAAAAAAGTAAAAGAAAGAAAGAATTAAAAAAAAAATAATAATAAAAAGGATGTTAGTGTGTCTCATCCAGATCTGTGGGTTTTGTGAATTCCAGAATATGATATTTGTCTATTACCTGCCTTAATTTAATATCTAGAGGTAAAGAGGATGATAAAAAGTGTTTGCCATGAACCTACTGGCATTTCTGTTAGATCATGCCAAAATAAATTATTCATTAATTATTATGAGTGTAAACATGCACTCATCCTGATCAGTCATATGAAAAACAAATGTTGACTATATGGCATTCCTGGAAAGCAAAAGCTGTAGATGTCCAAGGATTAGCCAGTATTTCTATTTAGGAAAGAATTTGAAGTAATTGAGAGCCCCTGTTGCCAAATTGTTAACAAAAGTGAAGTTTTCACTTGTTTAAGTCCTGGCCACCTGACAGAGTCGGTGCAGATGCAGAGGAATCACAGCCAATTTCCATCATCCTCTTGGGGTTCTAGGACAGAGTGCGGAAACCAGGAGAATAAGGTACCTGCTATGTGGACTGCTGACAGAGGGTCCAGGCTGTGAGAGACTACATTTGCCCCGTGGCTGTTTGCAATGAACAGGGGGTAAAGAAAGAAGAATGTTCAGTCCAGGCAAATAAAGACAAGCTACTGATGAAACTAAATTAAAAGTGCAGCAAAGGAAACATAAAAAAAAAAACAAAAAACCAAAAACAACCAAACAAAGCAAAATCAAGTGAAGAGACCAATACCCATGAACCAAGGAAACTGGCTTTTCTTTGTGCCTAGCAGCGTATGGAAATGATTGGAACATACACAGGGAGCTCAAAAATAAGTTTAGTCATTACATTTATAAACAGCTCTGGATTAAAGAAAAACCAACAAATAACAAAATCCCCACTAGTAATTTAGCTCAAATGATTTTTAATATAAAATAGAAAACATATTGAGTATGCGCAAATATATATATATATTTCAAAATGCAAATGCAGCAAATATAATACTCTCAAGGAAAAAAGTCCAAGGGCCTCCTTTGATGAGTGTGACCTCTTCTCCACCCTCGTTCTCCACCACAATTTTGAAGGCCAAATAACTGTAGGTGCATTCCTGCACTCACAACTATTTGCTGGATATTTAATGCAGTCAGATTATTATAATTCTGATTGCATTTTTGTATTAGTATTTATTTATTTAGCATTGGTATATTTGGCACGGAAATTCTAAACAATTTCACTTCAGTCTCCAAAATTGCAGGTGCAAAAACTGGAAGTTTGAAAACCAGACCCAAAGGAATCATACAACTCAGCTATACGTTATGGACAAAAATGAAAAAAAGTAGTCACATACATAAACACTAACAAATTAGAGATAGACAAATGCTCATTAAAATGTTAAGATGAAACATATTATAATTCTACATACTCTTTAGACAAAATTTTATGGTAAAATACTTCTCCATTTCCTGCAACAGTCAGGCATCATCCAGTTACAACTGTGATATCAGAGCTTTTATCAGTTAAGTTTAAATTTGAAGATAAACATATTGATTTCATAAATAAAATGTTAAGGTTTATATTCCTTCTCCTTTTGAAAAGCCAGTTTTCCTTTACATTCTCATACTAGCATCTAAAAGGAAACTAGTGAATGTAAAAAAAAAACCAACAAAAAAATCAATTTTAAAAGCCATAAAATTTATCAAGACAGAACTCAGAGGCTGTAGAAAAAGTGCAAATGGAATAAAAACCAAACAAAACCAACCAACAGACCCAACCTGATTGTTTTAAGAACTAAAGAATAAAAGCAAAGCAATCAACCAATAGAATTGCAGAAAAAGATAAAATAATTGCAGTTCCATTCTAGGCTCGGAGTATGGAAGTGTTAAGTAAGAGGCATGTGTAGCTATATTTCTTGAATTTTGTGCCAGCGATGCAAATAGACAACTCCAGAGTTGCCATCACAGCCACTGATTAGGCCCTGTGCAACTAGTTTTGTGTAATGTTTTAAGCCCTTCAGCTCTACTTAGCCATTCATCCAAAGTCTCAATAAGACCATTTGTAACCTTCACCAGAAGTGACCAAAAGCCCCTTATTGAGATTCTCAATGAAACAGCTCTGAACAGAAGCCCAAACGGAAATGGAGTGCTGTTTATATCAGACAAGACCAGACTTTCGGGTGCTGCCATCACTAGAGCAAAATACAAGACACATGACATGCCATACTATGGTAAACCAACCACACTGACAGCCCTGGTTTTAGATTGTATTTACCACTTATTTCATGCAGGATGGGATATGCAGCAGGACTGGGGCTAGCAGCTGTGTTTTGTTCTTGATTTATGCCATTTCCTTTCCTACCAAGTGAGAAGAGGGGCCTTCCAGCTGGCTAGAGCTACTGTAGACATCTAGAGCTCCCATCCATGAGGTGGCAGAAAATACATAAAATGGAATTACCGTTCTCTGTCTGCTTGGAGTGCTTCTTCCAGATACAGGACTTACTGAGCCTGATGTGTCCAATTCATCAGCAGAGGACCATGAGGACAATTCCTAAAGTTCAGAAGGAACAGAGCTCAGAAATACAGCAACTAGCAGTTCAGGTAAGCAAACAAACAAAAAAAAGCAACAACCCTCAGTGAAATCCCAGCAGAGTTATTTCCAAGCAAATAAAATGAAGCAGTTAAATTTTGTTACCAAATTTTATAAGACTAAGGCATTACATGTTTTCTCTGTTAACCCTGAGGAAAAAGAAAAGCAAACAGGTAGTTAAACTTAATTGCTTTAAGTGACACATTTTTCACCAAAGTCAATAGAGAGGAAAAAACAGTTGCTCTTTATTGGCCTTTAATTACGAGAAGAGGCTGGTACCACCAAGATTTTACTTAAACAGGCAGAAATTCACTAGCAAGAGGGAAGAACTGAGTTCTTATGCCTTAGTAACCTAATCTTAGGCTAATAACCCTAACCATTCTATGATTGGACGTACTTTGCTAATCCAAGACTTTTAAAGCAGGTAAATAAAGAACCATTTTGAAATCTTTACTTTATACCTGCCACTGTTGGCAAACATATACACATAACTCCCTCTCAAATACCCTGAGACACATGATAACTTGAAGAGATTTGGAGTATAGCTCAAAGCTCAGAAGGCTCTATGAGATTCATTGGCCTATTACATTATTTATTTTATGCCCTTTTTTTGTTGTTGTTGTTTTTTTGTTACAGAGTGAGCATTATCTTCCTCACCAGTGACAACTGACACACTATAATTTTCAGTACTGCAAGTAGAATAATTATTTCATATACTTCATCAGTTGACTGAATCAGTAATGGCAGGGTAAGCAAACCAAGATGTTCAACACTTATTGCTACAGCAAAGAGAAAAAAATTGCTGGATTAAGAAAACTATTACAAATGATATGTTTACATTATATAGTGTAAGATTACTTTATGATATTCAAGATTACATTTGTCCATCTTGATAAGTATTGCAAACAGCAGAAAGAGTGCAGCCAACAGCACTGACCAGAGAAAGACAGTCAAAACAGCAGGAAACGTGTGTCCAGCATACAGCAAGGAATAAAAAGTTGTGACCTACCAGCTGACTACTTGAAATGTCTAGGATTTTCTCTAGGTCTTTAATATGACGTGTGACATCCTTCAAGAGGAGCTTCAGTCTGTTTCCAATGACATGCACCTTTTCTTTGGCTTCAAGACAGTCTTCACCTTCAGCATTGACTAGCAATTGGCAGGACATATCTTGCAATGATGCCACCTTCAGCTGAGACTCCAGCAGTTCACGTCTGATTTGCTGTTACCAAGGCAAGTACCAGGTATTTTTAATTAAAGGTTTCTTTCTGTTTGTTTGCTTTTAAAAAAGGGAAATGAAAAATGTTCTAATCTGCAGGGAGATAGACAGGTGGACAACAGCCTTGTTCTTGCTTGAGATTTTATATCGCACGTTATGCTATTAATGGAAGTGAGCAATGTCCCCTACTAAAGTAGTTACTGACATTGATCCCACAGCTGTGTGTTAACATGCAATGTACAATGCTAACCCTCAAATGAAAGGTAAATCTGATTAGGTGTTTTTCTGATGATGCATTCTGGGAGAAAAAGGGGTGATCATATCCCTACCAGTAGAAGTCTGTGATGATCCTGCAGCGTATCTGAGTCCAGGTTTGTATCGATGGGCACAATCTCATTTTTTCTTCTGTCAATATTCTCTAACCAAAGCAGCAAACCATGGCTCATTTCATGGAAATCCTGCAAGTGATGAGTGATGATTTTAACAGTGTAGTAGAAAATTCCAGTCAAATTCCGTTTTTTAATTCATCCTACTGTAGGTCCTCCTGGCTAAATAAGATCACTTACGAGGAATAGATTAGAATACTATTCCAGAGATGCAGAATTTAGTAAATCTTGTTCTAGAAATACATGCTTCAGATAGTGCAGGTGTACCTTTCAGACAATACATGCTGAAGCTGTATTTTGGCCTGCATGGCCATCTAGTTTCAGACTAGATAATGAGCACACCAGGAAACAATATGGTTTAAATTTTTGATATGCAGGATGCTGGCAATTTAAAATGAGTGCCTGGCACTTAATACAGACCTGGCACTGCATTAATGCATCCTGTAATGAGCAGCGCCACTCTTCGATCATACTGCATACGTGGTCCCAGCGCACATTCATCTGAGACAGGCGTTGTTGAAGCTTCTTGCTCTCTTCACTGTCAGACTGAGTGAACTCTGAGCTACACAGATTGATGGATAAGATGATTGCTTTGCGGTTATCGATTGCTTTTTGCAGCTCCTTGATGGTAAGACAAAATGGGACAGGGGAAGAAAGGATGGAAATCAGTAAAATGTGACTTTCAGAAAAGCCAGGCAGAGAAGGCACCCCAAGGATGCACTGATTTACCATCAACAACTGCAGAATAGTACCTTACTGTAACAGTCTCTTTACTCTGGATATGAGATTCCTGTGCTCACTCTGTGACTTTGCAAATGTTCACTCTTTAACATCTACTAAAATTTTACTGTGAGCATAAACTGGAACAAGCCAATTAAACTTGTAAATTCTTAAAAGCCTGAAGTCATAGTTCAGTTTTAAAGATGTGGCTCATGTTTCAGATATTCTAAAGACAGAGTAGGCACAACAAAATTTACAGAGATGCAGGACAACTGTACTTCAGCTCACAGTAAAACTTTTGCCCTCACTTCTCAGTTTTGCTGATAAACATAAAATCCAACATGTTTTCAAGGGGAAACTGCTATCAACAGTATTTTAAAATAAAGGATTTACTGAGGGAAAAGAAAACATACAAAGAGTATAAACAACTTAGTCCAATTTATAGAAGTAGGACATGTATAAAAACTCTGATTTGTTTATACTGGAAGCCACAAAAGAAACCCCCCCTCTTTTGGTTTGGAGGGCACTAATAGGCTTCCCCAAAGTGGGTGTGATAAGAACAGGATTCTTATGAAATGCCCCCCTTTTCACCTATTTTACAGCATTTACTTAAAAGCTTCATGTCACAATGACCTTTGTAGTACTTATGGCAGCTAAATTTGGATTACAGTGAAGATCAGCATTAATATGCTTTTGATGGATTGCTGTTGGAAACAGTCTTTACTAGCTGTCCACCCCATTCCTAACATGGATCACAGTGTGTTTTGACAAAGGCTCCCACATTTTTCTGCCCAAGCTTGTAAGATGATAGCAACTGAATGTGCAGTTGTGGGCCACCACATCTGCAGATCTTTATAGCTATAAAATATACAGGAGAGATCACAATGGCAGCATTCGGATCCTGATGCTTCTGAGATAACAGAAGAAGAATCAGGAATGTTGAAAAGTGACACCATTTTTTTTCCTCTGTTATACTGGTGACACCAGTTTGCAGGCTACAATTCCTTTGGGCACCCTCTCTTTCCTTCACACAAAGTAGTTTGTCCCAGTGAGGTGTTTCTTTTAAAGTAGCTATTTTGTTACCAGTTTGACTAGAAGAGATTTGATTTAACTCCAAAAAGTGATGCATACAATCACTTTAGCAGTTACTTCAGTTATCAGCAGTAGCCCACTATGTGCAGAATAGAACACGCCAGCTGCAACTACTGGCAACCTCTTCAACATACCTGTTGCACTCAGATCTGTCTACAAGATAACTCATGGAAGAGAGAAATAAAACTCACTTTCAGTTTTTTAATTCTGAGCTCAATAGTTCGTATGTCAGTGCTGAGATCAAGGTGGCGGAGCTTCTCCAGTTCCTCTTCAGTTTCTCCCAACCAAGCCCAAATGCTATTAAGGTCAGAGTTAAACTGCTGCCACTGCTGAAGATTCTGCTTCATTCTCAGCTCCTTGCTTAAAGCTTGAGCCTGGATTAATTCCCATCGTTCAATTACACCTGGAATGATAAACACCAAATTCAACAAAAGTAAAAGAAAACCTCTAGCCACATACACAATTGCATCAGTTGAATCCCGTGCGGGACAAAAAAATGTTCCATAAACCCCTGGAAACCCTAACCTATGACACACCACACTGAAAACTAAGATTGAAGAACATGATGTTGGAGAGAAAAAACAGAGAATCGGGAGGATTCCAGAAAGCAGACAATTTTGCCACTTTCTAATGTCACACTTCTATGAACTGAATTAAGTTGACACATGCAGGTCTCTAAAACAGATTATGCTCATACAAAGACATCATAAATTAGCACAAAATCAAACCAGACACGGAATCTGAATATGTCTAGCTAGCCATGTATTTATTATTATTTTCATTGGTATTTGTACTTGTCACAGGTTAATGCTCATACCTCACTATATTTGCCTAAGCTACTGTCAATGCATTGAATACATACCTGTGCTATAAAGAAATAAATTAAGAAATAGATTTCTTCTTGTTAGTTATCTTGAAATGCTATGGCAGAAGGACAAGTTGTGTCATTCCATCAACTTAAAGTTAAATAAACCCCACAAATAAACATCAAGCTAAGAACAGAGACATTGCCTTTTAGAGTCTCTGGAACACATTCACGTTTTTACAATGCGATACCTCCTGTTCTACAGCGACGCTTAAAATTAGGCAGATGAATACTTCTACCAGATGAATATAGATTTCTGTACTGTAGGCAGAAAATATTAGAAATGAAAGCTAGTATTAGAAGAAATGAACACTTATGTGTTTTGTATAGCAATATAAGCAAACTTATTTCATCAGAAAACATTCAACAAAAGCATGTTACATCCACAGAGATTCTCCAGAAGGCTTAGGGTTATGTCTTGTGATATGAAGGGGTTCTTAAAAGGCACTTATATGCCTAATCTTTTTATAGAATGTATACAAGGAATACTTACTATTCCTATTGAGACATGTAAAACAGAACATTGTAACAGTCATGTAAATATACCTATATATACATATAAATAATATGTCAGTAAGTAATATCAAGTGTTTATTCAGAAAAACTTTGCTTGTTTGCTACTTTTTGTAACTGCTTTGCATCAAAGAACTAAATATTACTTACCAGCCGTTTGTGTTTCAGTACTGTTCAGGTTAATAAGTCCAGAAAATTTTTCTTCTTCTTCCTTCAGTTTATATCCAAGCCTTTTTACTGAGTCTATGCTTCCACTGCACTCACCTAGTAGCTTCATCTGTGTTAACAAACAAAAATCCCAGTTCAATATACAGGACTATCTGCACGGAAAATTCAAATTACAGTTCAACTTCCAAATTTTCCAAAAGTTGGCCTAAATGTGAAGATCTATTACTCTAAAAATCTGTCCTGATACTATCAAAGAAATGCATATGAAGGCAGCAAAGACTTAAAGCGTAAGTTCAGACTAAAGAGAAATAACCCACTGCCACTGTGTGAAATTGTGCTGGATGACTTTAGGAGTCATCTGTTCTAAATGTTAAGACACTATGGCAAAGATGCCAGAAGATACGACAAAGAAAATAAACATATGTGTGGAAATACTATTTATTCAAGCAGCTAATCTTTCAGTTCTGCCAGTAATAAAATTGGAACTATTTAGAGAGATTCTTCTTCCAGAAAAACCTCCCTGAGAAAGCTTTTTAATCATAGATTCCATATATGCAATCTTACTTACATGATGCGTGTTTACAATTCAGCAAGATGAATACCCTGCATGAAGCTATAAAACCTGCTTTTAAAAGCAGAGGAATTTTAAATGAGGATATCATCATTAGATGGGTAAAAACATACGTGAGAAAGTACTTTTGGACATCTGCAAAAATGCAATAGGAATACAAATTCCTGAGAGTCATGTTCCTGTAATTTTACGCTATTATAAACACACTAACACAAACAACAATAGCATGTGGTTAAGGGTGGCAGCCCTATGAGTAAGTTTGAGAAGCAGTAATGTCCAATTGCTTTGTTGTAACAGCTATATCTTTCAATAGCAAATCTAAGCCTGCAGTGCTTATTCAACTTGTGCTCTAAAATACACGCACATATCCTTTGTAACTGGAATCCAGCTCTGGTCCTGTAGGTGTTTTGCTGCGGATGATATTTTCTGTTTGCTGTATTTGGAAACGACTGGTGTCTAAGGCCTTGTCCAGCTGTCGGATATGTGCTTCCAAGGCACCAGGTTCTCCTGTACCAAAAAAAAAAAAGAAAGTGACTGTCACCTAAGTTTTCCCAAAGATTTTACCATCTTTTGTCAGGAATATCAGGAATACTATCTATGTTAGGAAAGAAGAAATGTGATTACAGCATTATGAGTGGCAAAATGTCAAAGCAAACTGATTACATGAGAGGGAGTTAGCGACCTTCAGAGGACAGATGACTATACCAATGAACACAATTGCCATAAGCATACTGTCAAGGAGTTCACAGTTTAAAGCATGCTTGCAAACTATTCTGAAGTGCCCTTTTCCCTCAGAGAATTCCTCACCTTTCTGAAGGAGAAAGTTTGTGGCAAAGTGTGAGAAGCAACCACATTAAGCAGCAGAATTTATAGTATTTTTCCAATTAGGTGTTTGACAAAATTATGCTTAACGTATCTGCGAGATGGTATTATTCATCCAAGCCATTTGGAATTCACACCAATGTTTTTGAAGCAGGACTAGCTTGTATTTTCCTTACAGAGGTCAATTGAATTCTGTGATGTAAATTAGCTATAGCCAATTCTAATCTGAAGCAGACTGCAGCCTAGAGGACCACATGAGGTCCCTCTTATTCATATTCACTGTGCCTGATTTCCATCTGTTTACAAAGAGGGTTTGATTTTATTCATAAAGCCACAATTAAAAACATGCATAAAGAAGAAGAGCCTTCTGTCCACCAAATTACAGAAAAATGAAGTCTCTGGAATAGTTGGTATTTCTTCATACAAGAACACTGCCTTTTCCCAAATGGACAGAACAAAGTGCTCAATATTGCTTTTCCCTCACTACTTTCAAAATCTATTGGTCGGAAAACTACACACATTTTCCTGTATGTACTGCTATGACTTATACTCTTAACCAAGCAATATTATTTCACTAATTTGGGAAAAAAGAAAAAGGACAATGAACCTTAGGTGTGTGCTACAGGTGCTGAGAAGTTAAATATTTGCTGTTTCAAATTTGCAATGAAATAATTATTTCAAAACATTAAAACTAAAAGCATGAGAGAAGGTACTTATAATTGCATCTAGTCCCTCTGAGAGTCATCTAACATGAAACAGTAGGTTTAGTGATGTGTAAAAATGCAACGTGAGGAAAACATTCATCTTCCAATGTAAAAGACTAAGATAGAGATATTTGACTACAGTACTTCACCTTGGTATTTTTATATATGGAGCATCCTAAAAGTTTATATCTAAGTAATAATTCAAGTTGTGGCTGTGTTAACAAGTTAAGTGCAAAATCAATTAGGTTTTACTCTACCTCTTTTCCTTCTGCCTTACTTTTTGTGGAAACCAGAGTAACCTACTGATCAGTTTAGTCTAGTTAGCCAAGGTGGCAGAGCCAACACTTCAAGCATCATTGTTTCATCCATGCACCTAGCAATATCTGTAAGCACAGTAGTAAAGCAGGGTACTTCTATGTTAACATGTCAGTGCTGCCATGTAAGAAATATTTATCTTGTAAGTTGTGAAAAGTATAGCAGATGCTAAGAGAAGAGAAAGAAGCTATGCTTGTGCACTGTGGTATTCGCATCTGGCTATGCTTAGTCTTTTTTGATGCCTACCAGAGATATTTTTGAGTGCGTTTTCTGTGAGTTTTACATAGGCCTCAAGAGTTTCAGGTATCTCTACATCTGAAAAAATAAAAGCACAGTCTAAATCGACAGCTCAGAAACAGCTGTCTCCTTACAGCAGGATTCCTTTTCATGGGATGGAATATAAAAACATTTCCAATAGCAAACATCCTTTTTAGAGAAGGAAAAAAAAAAATATGTAAAACTGAAACACAGGGAGCTGCTACAAAGTCTCTTAATATCCAGGCAAGCCCGACTCTTTCCAGAGCAATGACCTGGAAAGCAAAAGGCAGCCACAAGAATAAAGTATAATATAACAGTATGTCTTCCCAAACATCCAACTGGGTGTATTTGGGCATTTTCACTTGTTCAGATTTATTACACAAACCACACACACTTAGAAAGGATTTCTAACTTCACTGGAAAGCAAGACCCAAGATCCCACCTCAGGCTAAACAGTTGCTAGATTCTTTCCTGGCTAAGGACTGAGTCAAGATTTACTTAAGCACTTGATGGTTTTGTCTGCAGATCTCTCCCACAGCGTTTTTTCATCAGTCTGTTCTGCACTTCTTGCCATACCCAGTATAGTTTCTTCCAGTCAGAATAACTTATGACGCACTGCTGTTACAGATGACATATCCCATCTGGCAGTCCACAAGCACAGAGACATGGCCAATTACCTGTCATATCTTAAGTGCCTTTGCGATTTTCTGAGGCTGTAATCATCCAGAAATCTCCACTGCTGTGTCTAAGGCCAGAAGGCCATTGGGATCACTTAGGGAAAGCTATTTAAAATCTTCAGGGGCAATTTAAGATACTTTTCTATGAGCATCTTGGCCAAGCAACCACATACGTAACATTTGCTAATGACTGGGCTTGATGATCTTAAAGGTGTTTTCCAAACTAAATGATTCTATGATTTGCTTCTTTTTACTAGGAGAGAAGAGGACACACAGTTTGCCACCAATACCTGCTATACCAGCTGCTCCTCTCAGGTAGAAGTCCTTCTCTTGCCCACCATCTTCTTCGTCAGAGTGTAGTGTCTGTGAAATGGCTGTCTCCAGGTCTCTGCTAAGGTCATAGTCATGGTCCCATTCCAAGGGAATAGAGTCCACGCTTGCAGGTGTATCTCGCCCTGATCTCTCACTTCTCACTGGCTGGGAAAGAGGCAGTGAAAGGTTGGAAGAAGGATGCGGGGAGAGAACGCTGTCTGCAGATTTGTCATGCCAGTGTATGTCAGAGAGATCTGCTGATTCATCCAGATCCACTTCTCTGTCAGAGATGTCATGCTCATCATCTGTCAGCTAGAAGCACAACGCAAATAGAACTAATCAATGAAATGGGCAGAGGCACTGCGTGGTCAGCCTGGGTCAGTGAAATAAAGTAGCATTAGGGAAAAGTCACACCGATGGGGTTTCCATTTTGCATTCTTTTGCGCTTACCCTTCATTATTTTAGCATGCACTAAAAAAGCAACAAAATGTTCATAATGCCACCTCATTTTAAGTACTTAAGGCACCACAAAGTCTCACATTAAGTAGATGTCTCCAGACTTCTTACTGATGCCACTGTGATGTAGACATCAAGTTAAAGAAAACTCTGGAATCAAGTCATAGGAAGCATAAGTGAACTTCACTGTGACCACTGCTCTGGTTATGTTCTTTCATATTTTGAAAACCCTGGGTTTTGTTCCTTTCCTTCAGAAAGACTAGAGCTACCAAAAATCATCTTGCTCTTACTTATTCAGCTGTACGTTCAGTTCTAGAGAAAAATGTCTGTCTCTCCTGGTGGGTAGAATCATTTTATCACTGCTTTTTAAACAAAACAGAACTCAGTAAACTGCCAGTGAAACTATCTGACAGAGCAGGGAGTATTCTTATTATCTGCACCACACTACTATCCCCATTAATAAAGTCTTATAAATCTCTCATTTACACGGATTTTCATGACGATTCACAAAAAATCCAGATCTGGGTGAGTTTGCTCTCTGAACAGGACACAAGCATGTAATGAAAGGAGGCAGATGGTCAGGGTTAAACCACAGGATTTTTGGAAAGTTACAGAAGTTTCATGTTAGTTCCTTTCAACATCTCTTTCCTCATTCTCACACTTGTAAAATGACAAAAAAACAAAGAAATACATATGTATGTAAGTATACACACAGGAAGACGGATAAGTTTCTTGTGATAGCGTTCCACACGCCCAAAGACCTCTTGACAGTAACGGCGCAGTTCATCCAGTTCTTCTTCAATGACAGCTGCATCCATGGGCTCAGTTTTCTCAATGAGTTGCTCACCCTGCACAATTATCTGCTCAATTTTGTTGTTGTTCAGTGAAATTTCTTGCTGGAAAGCCTGCATAAAAGAAAAGCTTGTGCTTTATCAATGAAATCAACATTACAACAACCTAAGTTATTAAGGATGCAAGTCTTTGAGCTTTTCCAGCAAGAATGGTGTGGGCAAAAACCAGGGATTGTTCCAAATATTCTGGCATGAGCAACAATAAGCAATTAAATTTGGAATTCCACAATCTTTCTAGCCAAAAACAGTGATACTTCATGGTTTACCATCTCATTCCTCACTTGTTGTGTTTGGAAAGAAACTTCTCTAAACAAGCCATGCCATGACAAATGTCTCGAATGAACACAGATGCTAAAGGCAACACACTGAAATCGTGGATACCATGACATTTAATATTTTTCTCTCTAGATAATGACTTTTTAATGCAGAAATAGCTGAAGAATGTAGTAATTCTTAGGTGTCAGCAATAATGAAGACTTGACATTAATAATTTTTATTGACACTTCCGCTCATTATGAGGGAATGGAGACTATCACCCTTTGAAAATTTTCACAGCACAGAGAGCTTCCATTTTGGCAGAAAAGTATGTACTGAAGCCTGACATAGCACGTAACTTCTGAGGCTGAAGTAGCAGCCTGCAGCTAAGGACTGTATCAAGCTGCATTTTTGCATTGTGTTTCTAAAATTATTTTCCCACCAGGAATGTTTCTAGCCATTCTCTCATCCCTCCTCCTGTTACCACTCAATCATTCTTTACCTTAAGTTGCTTTATCTTTGCTTGGACATCACACTCTGAGAAATGCTCGATGTTGGTCAGCTGCAGGTCCATCTCTGTTAGCCATACCAGGATGCTATCACGTGCTGTCTCAAACTCCTCACGCTGGCCAATAAAATGCTGGGGAGTGGAAAATGGAGTGGCATGAAATGACCAAACAACCCCCAAAAAAAACAAGCAGTACTGATTCTCCAAAGAAACAGATTTCATACAGCTTTCATATCCTTCAAACCTAACCTCAAGTTGGTACACCTTCTTTCATTTCCTATATGATTTTGAGGTTCCCTTTTCAGTAATACCATCTACAGTTCACTTGTGAAAGTTGCTATCTATGAAGGAGGTGGTGTTTGAGGTCAGCAAGCGGTTTCCCTACAGACATGCTTTGGTTATCTCAAAGTGAACTCATAAACTCTGTTCCTCATCCAAAGAAATCCCCTTGAAAGCAAATGCATTAAACTTCTGGAAGCTTCTGGAGTACCCTTCACTCATAAGTGTAATAGTGAAACTGAAGGGCTTAAAAATGGAAAAATACTTTTAGCCTGCGAAGGATGGAGGTAACTCGCTTTTGTAAGTTGTCCCATCTCTGGTTCCCTTCATGAACCATTTGCTTGAGGCTGCAGTCAGAATCAGTGCGGTTCTCTCGGGCCAGGCGGCGATACTGTTTATTGATCAGTTCCAGCTGAGTCAGACTTTCATGCACTTGTCTCTGGAAAGCCTAAAGCAACACACACACACAAAAGAAAAAAAAAAAAAGACACCATCAGATTTTTAATTATTGAAATCAGGACATACATACATAAGCCCCTTTATTTTGATCCTACTTCTACACTCTGACCTGTGTTATCCAACAGATTTTGCTATGAATACTGATATTCCTGATGGCTATCCTACTGAGAGTCTTCCTTCTAATTAAAATGGGGGGAGGAGAAAAAAGTTTAAAAATCATTCACTGAATGAGAAATTGAAACATGAATACCCACTACAACAGCAAAATCAACACAAACCCCCTTCCTAGGCTCTCCTTTCTACTCAATCATACGTCTTTGCATTTGAGAACAGAAACACAAACAATGAATATGAAACATAAAAAAAAAAAAAAAAGATCCAAGATTCCTGTGGCTTCACTGGATTGCTAAAGTGCAAATGTTGAAGAGATTGAAGCAATTGTTTATTCCAACTTAAAAAAAAAAAAAAACAGCAAAAAAATGGTACTGAAGATTTAAATTATCTCTATCTTCAGTATACTGGTATACAAGTAAGTTTTGTCTTTAAATTTTCACGATAAGAAAATTTCATGAACATCCATACCAACTTATGCCTAGGCAAACGTCTACACCATTACGTTCAGGGCTTCCTCTATTGTGTCAAAAGCCTCAGTCACCCAGCTGGGGACCAGAAACAGTAGGTGATAGCCTGTGAGTTTCATGTTGTGACTAGCAATCACAGAGCAAGTTGGAGAAAACACCTTGTAAGAAGATGACTGAATTAATCCCTTCAAAAATAATAGTAAGATGAATAATTTCCAAAAAACTTACTAATTTTCATGTTGTCACAGAAATAAAAAAGCAATAAATCCAATTAAGACTTAAAAACATAGACTACTTTTCTGAACGCAAGTAGGTTTTGTCTCCCATTACAGTTCTACAAACTTGCTCTCTGGTATTCCTCACAGTGCAAATAAAAGCAATCTCTCCCAAAACTAGATGCCAGCCTTACTAAGAACTGGACAAATGGAATAGGTAATATATTTCTGTACAGAAATTTTAATTCAAATCAGCCAATACAGAGATTTTTGCATAAACAATATATATTCTTCATGTTGTACCAGTCAAAGCTAAAAATGAAATAAGCACATTTCTGCTCTACTACCAGAGACAATAAAGAAGCTGGTCTGAAAAAGATTTTAAACATCTAACTGTAGAATGCTCTCAATATAACTATTCCCTTCATTAAATGGCCATCAAATTGAGTAGGGGACAACCAACAAGGAGAAAATGGACATGCAACTGGAGTGAAATGCTCAACAGAAAGGAGTTCATTTAAAATTGCACGAGGAGGCAATTCTCATACCAGAGGCACAGATAAGACTGTATTTACCAGGATCATGAAATCTTAAAGTGTGCAGTTGTTGTTTCACCTGTTACGAAGCCTCATCCAGTAAAAGAACAGCTGTGTATTTTTCTTCCAGTTCTTCAGCTCAGCTACGTAAGAATTCATGTTGTGTTCCTTCCTGTAACCTGTTTTCATTTCTTCATAAACTACCAGAAAGAGTCTGATTTTGTACAGTGAAGCCAGTGAGAGCCATCTCTGACCAATGTGGTCAGAAACCGAAATGCTCTTACACGTAGGGGAAAATAAAATTAGAGAAAAATGTCTAGATGAAGCAGAAATCTGCTTCAGTTATGTATATGTGGCTAACTTTATACTAACTTCACAGTGAAGTTGCTTAATTGCACTGAATTTGAACACCGCAACTTTTGCTGCTGGTATTCCTGCTTTTTGGTAGGTGTAGAAACTAGGTACTCAGATTAAAAAGAAAATAAAAAATTAAAAAGAGAAGGAACCAAACTTAATGGAAAGCAGGCTTCTGGAGAGGCTGCTAAACTGTTCTCTTACAGCTAGCTCCTGCTGACACTCTGTAGACAGTAAAAATTCCACAGATCTGTAGGAGAGGGAATATCACCATAAAAGATGAAGTTCAATGAAACAGACTTGGGGCAAAGTCGCATTAGTAAACAATCAGACAGCAAAGACATTTTTGGTACTGTTTCTCATACAGAGATTCACTAAACAGGCTTAGATCCTGAATAAAGGGACAATGAGAAGGAGGTCTGAAGCAGAGTACTTGTGTCCAGGAAGCAAACATTTTTATACTATGATGACCTACCTCACCATAATGAAGTCTGGCAGTGTTTAACAACAAAACCTGGCCAGTACATTCAGAAATGTGAGTGTCAAACACCTGAATCAGTGCTTCACAGTTTATGGCTTTGAACTAATTATTAATCTTAGATATTGTTTAAAATTTGCATTTCTTCTTCACAGCAAATACTTCACAGCACTTTTTTACAGAACTGCCTGAACAATTAAAAACATTTTCCTCTCTCATCTTGATGTATTCCTTGTAAATATGAAACTGAGCAAATTATTTTTACCTGTGACTAGCCATATGTCATATGTGTCTGCTTTACACACAGATATACACTGTTACTACACATTGTAATTATGAGACAAGCCATCACATTGCAGCAGACACAATGAAGTTATGTAACAAACTCTTGAGCATTGACTGAAGTGACAGCTTGTCAGTGTTGAAGAATGCACTTAACTTTTAAGTCATGGGGGACACTATGTGGACATACAACAGTACTTGCATGAACATGAATTTTGGGAATAAAGATCTAAAATTGGGATATTGTACATTGCACAAAAAGAGTTCTGAGGGTTGGTTTCAGAGAATTGCAGAAAGGAGTTTTAAAATCAAAGCAAAAGCTAAAACATGCAGCATGCATTTGAAGAGGTACTCGGTGAAGGGAGATTTATGAAGGTTCTGAAGCACCTTCCGGATGGACATATTTAGAAGTTGCAGAAATAAAAAAGGTGAGAAAACTAACTTTGGTGAACAAACAGCGAGAGTGGATTATCAGCATTTTCAGTTGCCACTTTCCACTCTTTTTTCATTGTAGAAACCTGACACTGAAGGCAGCTACAAAATCATCAACTGCACTATATTAATACAGCATCTCTGCTGAGTGACTTGTGCACGGGAAGGAAGAACACCAGCTGGTTACTGCAATGTGATCAGTAGATATTAAATTTCAACTTCTATAAATCACCTCAAATTTCTTGAGTTCTTCCTTAGCAACCGTGTAAACCACACCAGAGGAGCTTGGGAAAGCAGCTGTCAACTCAGAGGCTTTTAGCCAGGCTTCAAATCTAGAGTAGTCGTCCAAAAACTTTTGCCATAGCCGCCACGTCTCTTCAATTCTGCAATAGATAATGGAAAATTAGGGAATGCTCGGACTGAAGGGCAGATGACCTACAAAACTTTAACATCTACAACAGCAAACTGGCACTGTAACAGACAATAGCTGGCTCTTAATCTAACTCAGACAGCCAGGCTGGTAAACAGACCACACGGAAAGCTGGCTCATTCCAGACCAAGCTAGATTAAGATGATGGTGCTTTTTTAAAATGCATCTAATTTTGGAATCAGTATAAAAAGAAAGTTATAAGTATGTAATAGGAGCTCTAAAAATCTCAGCACATGCTAAATAAGTTCTGAAACACAGTCGCAGTGTAGGTACCTAAACTGGTATTTTAGAGATTAGAAATTCTGCACTACTTTCAACTGTAGAACTTTTTCTTACAGAGTGCTAAAGATGTTGCAGCATATAAAGTTCTCAGTCATTCTGCATTGCAAAGAGACACAAATATTTTTTTTCTGCATTTGCCAACAACTGGTAAAAAGTTCTCTCTCATTTACAATGTAAACATATTTTTAGTAAAAAATAGTACATTAAAAGTTATTCCAACTTTTTAAAAGCCCAATTTTACTTTCATTGAATATGTAAAAATAGTGGCTGACTCTTGATTCTGAAATCAGATTAGCTTAATACTGAGACTGTAAAATCCTCAGAACTTCAACACCAATTCATTCTTTTTCAGAACAGGTTGTGTTACAGCAGAACTTTATCTCTCCTGACATACAGAATTCATATTTTACAAACGCCCCTTTCTCCATCCCTGGCAATGTTCAAGGCCAGGTTTGGTGGAGTCTTGGGCGACATGGTTTAGTGTGTGGTATCCCTGCCCACGGCACGGAGGGTTGGAACGGTATGATCTTAAGGTCCTTTTCAACCCTAACTATTCTATTATTCTATGAAATCATAGATATGCAGGTCTGAAAAGGACCCAATGCATGCAAAATTTATGCTTTGTTGATAATAGGTTGTCTAACCTGAAGTTTCACATAAAGATCCTAAATACTGATAGCTCATTAACTTACTGGTAAAAATCAATAGCTTAAACATGTACATTGCAAAAAAGTAAAATAGAGTTCAATGTAAAGTTCCACGTTAACTTAAAATAGTTCTGAATTAATTTGCTAGACACAAAAGTATGAAGAGCCTGTACATCTTCAAGACAGACTGTCAAAACGTATAATCTGAATTTTTATATATATATATATATATATATACACTGTACAAGAATTACCATGGCAATAGTATAAAAATACTTAAAGATCACAATCTGTGGATATAGAGTGGCACAACTTGACTTTTTTTTTTTTTTAATAAGAAAGATTTTACTATATATGTTAAGAATATCCCACAAGACCAAATATCATACAAAGTTCAATTCAGCATTTTGAAAAATCGTAAACTTTACCTAGAGCTCTTGATATGACTGTGTAAACACTACAGAAACCAGACTTGTGACTTAAAAAGATACAGGAAGGATCTTTGTAAGTACAGTTCAAACAGTTATATGTATTATTACTGGACAGCTGAGAGTAGAAAGCATTGGCCAATTTTATGATGCCCTATGCTCTTTTATTCCATACTGCAACCCTGTAACATACATTTCATCCTGTATTTGTGTCAGTGGAAGGAAATCTTAATTTGTATTAATTTTAGACTTACTTAAGTCGTCTTTCCATTGACATTGCACAAATGTTCCTCCACCTTCTGTCCAGGTTGCGTGTAGCCTGCTGGATAGAGTCACACTCTGCTTCTGTGGCGCAAGCATCACAGTCATGAAGGAGCACTTCACTTAGATTGAGAACAGATGCCACTCCAGTGCTGTGTTTCTCTATGTCCTTTTGAAGTTCCTGCAGGTGAAGAATTAATTCTTAAAAGAAATTGCAAACCATGAAAACATACAAATGCATTTCTCTTCTACTTATTAAAAAATATTAATAAGCTTGCAAACAGGAGAAAAACATCCAGTGAATACCTATTAAGACACTGCACCTATGCAAGTGGTGTTGCAATGTTATCAATGAGGCCAGGAGAACCTGTCAGCATGCACAGCTCTCCCAGCTACTATGAACACCAAACCATTACATGGGACAAACAGCCAGAGCTCTGCATGCTCAGCTGAGCGTCTTTCACACACATTTAATCAACATCACCAATAAATGGTGGAATTATTCCCAGCCCTTTCCCATTATCTCAGAGAATGTAAAGCAGAAGTTAGTAAGAGAAGTGTGACAAGTAAATATATTCTTATCTATTGCAAGGGTTTAGTGGAGGTACCCTTTGTGAACTAGCCACAAAAAGACATGTTTGACATGTAGACTGACAGCAGCAGATGTTGAACAGTGCATCTCTAGTAGGAGATATTTCTCCCTTAAACATTCCAATTCTATGACATTTTCATTGGAAATGAAAAATCCAGGACAGCTTCAGAAAATGCATTTACACTGTCCTAGCACTCATATGTGATCAGTATTAGTCTTTCTGTCAGTTTCCTGGTTTCAATTGCTTGTTCTACACTGATGATAATGTTTCCTCTTGAAGCAGTGTTTCAGCTTCAGTTTTGAACCTACAGTTCAAGTTAAGCCACAGAAATAATCAGCTTTGCTGTCGGTTGAGTGCAAGGAAAAGAAACCCTGCTTGACTTCTGCCTACATTTGCAATGAATCATCAGAATATTAGAAAAATAAGGATGAACAATAACAAAGCCATGACAACATAAGTCCAATAGTAACAAAGAAGCACTAATGTGACTACACCAGAAAGTGATATATTGCATCTGGAACACTATGTTCACTTCAGATTCAGGTGAAGAAAAGAACTATTAGGGCAATTAGAGATGTGGAAGTTTATTTTGGAGAATGAGAACTTGGCAGCTTGAGGATGAATAAATTGTTTTTTATAGTTTTGCTAGTGAAGTCAACTATAACATGCAAAGGGGAAAATAGTCTCAACATACTGTGTCTACATACATTTAAAGTCTAACTAGAGAACTTTTCTTACAATTAATATGATGTTCTGACAATATCTTCCAGCAGGAAATGGTATATAAACATAGAATCTAAAAACCTTCACAAGTCTGAAGTCGAGCAAGGTCAACTTGTATCAACCATCTGATTTGGTTGTTTGTAATAACTGAGGTCACACTCAGTGAAGTAATTTATTTCCCCCTTCTTATCCATGAAACAGAAGGCATGAGACCATCAAGTGGAAAATCACAGTGTTTTCTTCCTTAGAGCTGGCCCTTTCACTTTCACTTGCCTTGAAAAATATTCCTTCATCATGATGTCCAAGTGCTTATTCTTCTTTCAACCCATCCTGAAATGTTATATAAGGGTATACACTATAAACAGATGCAATACTCTGTGAAACATATACTCCAGACAGCTATGAGACTTGAGGTTAAGCAAGTTCAGGTAACATAATCTCCTCTCTGCTGTTTTGGAGTAGAGCAGTAGTCAGAACTGCTGGTTGGTGATCCTGAGGATTCCTAAAGATTAAACTTCTTTATTCACCTACAGAACATTTCTACAGGCAATATCTACAGGTTTGTTTTTTTTTTTTCATCATAGCCTTTTATTTCTTTCCCAGATTTTTAAATTTTCTTTGTTAGAGAACATTTAGCCTTCAGGTTAGTGCACAAAGGAACATCGCTTTTATGCACTGCTGTCACTCACATAGAGATTTTTTTTTCCTTTATCAACCCAAAAGGTAACACCCTTTTCTCTATATTTCAAGGGATAACAGACTGAGAAGTAAACCAACAAGTAAACCTTGAAATGCAGTTTGTGACCCTAGGGAAATACTGCAGTGAAGTTACCCTACTTTCCCCAGGATAGCCAGCTTTAACTGTATCTTTCATTTCACTACAGAGACCAGCAATCTGCAAAGCTGATTCTTGGTTAAAGTAGATGCTGAGAAGTAGGTAATGGAGATACAGAATGGAACTCGGCCTTCCTCTTTCACAGCATAATGTTTTAATGTAATCTTGTATAGGAACAACTGGTAGCAGTACTGAGCAGGACATCAATGGAAGATCAAACATGGAAGAAAACGTAAGATCACTAAAGCAAGACAAAAGAGGGATGAAACAATTGATAAGGCAGTCAATGTACTGGCCTTCTGACATGTGGTGGATAGTGACAGAGCTTCCAACTTATACAAACCATTGGTTGCCATCTATTGGAGGTGGATGGAGTTTCTTAATTATTATGATAATCATGGCTTGCAGTGTTACCAAATCAAATTATCATCAAGTTTCCAAACATGGAATCCTTGCAGGGTAAGATTCACCTCTATTTCTCCTCTTTGGAGTTCAAATTAAACCACTCCCACTTCTACAGAATATTACTGCACACTGTCACTGTGTGTGAATCACCAAAGGGCAACAGCAGAAGGCAGAGATATACCAATCTCTGTGCCCAGAATAAGTCCCAAAAGAAGTAGGTTTAAAAAGTTGTGGGATGCTGGCATAGGGATGCTACTAAAAAAATCTCAAGTATATATCTACCTTGTTGACAGTAATGTTTAGCCCTGCCCAGCACTTTACTGTCTCAAAACTACCACAATTAGTGAGGCTTTTGTGTCATAAATTATTATCCCCATGTAATTTACACATATAATATTAACAAGCAATTCTACACAGCCAAGTACAAAATCAGTTTGGGTGCTGGCAAGAACTCTGAGAGGGTTCTTGGGTTTCAGTCTCACACTTAGCTTAAAAAGAGCTAAACAATGTGCACACTTCATAAATAAATTATCCCCACAGTATTCTGGCACTCCTCTTCCCACACATTTTCTTTCTCCTTTGCAGAAAGAGCTCAGGAGAGCATCTAACTGATCTGCACTGATGCACCAGGATGGTATCTTTGCCAATAGCCAACAGGAACACAATAGAACAACAGTCCTCCCCAGCAATGTGCTTCTAGGTAAAACTGCACTGTGGAGAGAAGTGGAACAGGAAAGAGAAAGTACAGTAAACCTTCTTAGGAGTAACACAGTTTTAATGTCAAATCCTGGCTGCTCTAACATCTTCTGCCCAGAGTTGACTATTTTGTTCTAGCATTGCATAAAGGCTTTTGTGTGCTCTAAACCAACCAATTTTAACTTCACATGTATAGCTCATGCATCTTTGCGTGCAAAGTGATTCTCAAACAAGCTGCAAAATAAAACTGAGTTAGAAAGGTTGCTACAAAATAGTCATTTTCAAGCATGTGCAAAATTTGCAAGGCCTAATAGGTGTCAGTTGCCTCTGGGAACAGACAATTCAAAACAAACAGAAACGGCAAACCCCAAAGGAAGAAAAATTGCAATAAACCGTTCAGGTTGTATCTCTGGGTGCCTTACCTTTCTCAGAAAGGTCAATCAGCTCCCGGTGGATTCGATGTCAAAGCCAGCAGAAGGCTGTATAAGTGACACAGTAAGTACCACTTGCCTTGATATTTAAATACTTCTTTGCCTCATGCCCTATCGGCATTGAGCTGGGTACGGGCAGCCCAAGGACTCTCTACTTTGGTTCTCCCTATGTCATCGTGCACCTGATAAGTGTGTTGTATTTTACCTGCTGTTCATTTAGCTTCCTTTGTATCTCCTCAGAGTCACAAGTTTCATAGACGATAGGTTTAGATAGCTCTGATTCAATGTGGCCAAGCCATGACCTCAGGCTATTCATATTTTTATCCAGCTGCTGTACTGCAATCAGGGTCTCCTTCAACTTCTTTATCCTGAAAAGTAAAAGAAACTGCAGCTTAAGTACACCCTGAAGGAGAAATCCCAGATCATGTGTTTCAAGAAGTTTTCAGAGAAACCTAGCTTAGATAGGAAGTTCTGTTCTAAAGTCTTCCTTTAATACGTAACAGAAGTACATTATGTGTACAAATAGTCCTGCATGCATAGGTTCTGGTTAAATAAAATTAAGAGCTTACGAATACCAGAAAATATTTTCAAAGCTTCTGTACCTTCATCAGTTGAGTTAAATGTTTGTTAAGAAAGGAAAACTTTTTAATTTTAATTTTAAAGTTGTTTATTTAACCGACAGATGACAAAAGTTCATCTTAGACTACAAATAACTTATCCATTTAACCAGTACAGATGGTAGAGTGCACTGAGTGAAAAGGCCTTTTTCACCCCAGCGATTTCTAAGCATTGTACTATGTATCATAGAATACTTCGGGTTGGAAGGGACCTTTGAAGGTCATCTAGTCAAACTGTGCAGTGAGCAGGGACATCTTCAATTAGATCAGGTTGCTCGGAGCCCTGTGCAACCTGACCTTGAATGGGGCATCTACCACATCTGAGGACAACCTGTTCAAGTGATAAGGCTCGGTCTTTGACTAAATAAGTTTTAGAGAGAGAAATCCAGCTGAGAACTTCGTGAGAAATCTGGAATCAAGGGCTGCTTTAAGTTGTTCTTGGTCTTAACGGACTTCTTCAGATTTAAACAGATGAAATTGGAATGTAATTGCATAGTGACTTCCAAGTAGTGTTTTTCTTGAGAACCTGACCCTGCAACAGGAATGGCCAGGAAAAATTAAATAGTGGGTTTTTTCTATTCAAGTGAACATTAAGCTTACAGAGTAAGGAAAAACTGACTAGACCTTCATACTATCTCAACATTTTTTTCCTTCGGCCTGTTTCAGCTGCAAAAACATCTGTCAGTAATTCCTTCCTTCCCATCTCCACATTATATAATATACATTAGTGGAATCTTATATTACTTCCAAGCATTTTTCTTTTCTAATTCTGTAGTATCACAAACAATTTTGAGTAAGATTCCGTTTTACGCTTCTACTGCTCTTCCACGTGTTTCAACAGATTGACTAAATCAGGTTGAAAAAATACAAGACTGCTAGATTCGTCAAACAAACAAAATGCCATTTAACTATCCTGTAATTCAAACAGAGCAATTCATGTATTTTCTGTAATAATAACCAGCAAAATTATCAAGTGTTTCCATACTTATATCCATAGTTGCAGTTGACCATTAAGAGTCTAACAAGGGTATCATTTTCTGACCTAGGAGAAATGCAGAGATCTTAGCATCAACTTAAAAAACTTAAAAGGTTGTTTGTTTTTTCTCAAAGTCCCTTTCTAGCCCTCTCTTTAGATCACAGATGGTAAAATCAAACATGCTTAAGAACAGTTCCAATGCATCTTCCTTGCCAGAGTCTCATGACCAACAGCTGAATGGCTGTGATCTGAAAAAAAAATCTTTGTAATTGTTAAAAATCTGGGCAATCTGAAAATCTCTCTATGAAGGGACTGAAGAAAACACAGTGCTGAAAGACTATCCCAGTCCCCATCAACAGGTTATCACAAAACATAGCTATGTGTTTAGCCTTGGAGAGATACTAGGAGAACAACAGATGTCTGGAGACACCACCTCCTCATCAGCTGTGGTTGTGTATACAATGCTTTGTTGGTTTGGACCAATCAAAACTTGTGCATTGGGGGAGCAAGAACATTGGTTATCACTCTTCTTGAACGCACATATAACTTTTCAGTCTCTGATGTTAATTAAAAGGAGTGAAATCCTGTTAATTTTCTGCTTCAATTTTCAAAGCTGGATGCTGCTGATCCTTTGCAGGCATACTAGGGTGGAAAAGGGAACAATGAATCACCTTAACCCTGTGCAGAAACAGTGTCAGTCTATCATCTGCAAGGCCAAGCTATGGATCAGGTTTTTCTTGTTTGCAGTTGCATTGTACACTAACCCCTGTGTCGGATTTTATGATGCATTTTGCCTGAAACACCTGATAAAGGCCTGGTCATTTACAAAGTGCCCTCTTTGCCTCAGGAAGACTGCACAGGAATACAACCCTGCCAGAGCGAAAAAACCAAAAGCAACCCCAGCCCACACAGAAATATTTTCAGTCACATGACCTAAGCTACTCAAGAGAGAAAACAGACAAAACCCATGACATACTAAAAGAACATTACAATGAAACCCAAAACCTACTGATAAGCCTGCCCTCCTGCCAAACTGCCACAATTCTCTGCACCTGAATTCCAAAAGGTTTTTTAAAGAAGAAAAAAATCCCACAAAAAAGAAACAAAAAAGCTCACAAAAAAGAAACAAAAAAACACACCAAAAAAAAAAAAAAAAAGATGACTCCCTTCCTGCCCCCTGCTACATTTACTGTTAATACTGTTCTTTTTTTGTATTGAGTCTAACATAACAGATTCCTTGCCCATGGTACAAATAGAAGCAAATAAACAAGTGCTTTTTGGAGCATGCTGGGCTGGGTTTTGCCTGAAATGCAATACAGCATTGTGCCTCTAGCTGCTCTGAAAATGTATCTGTGAACAAGTCCCTTGGATTTTCCTTCTCAATTTTAGCTGTCAGATGCCTATGCTCTTCATCTCACTGATTATCTTGTCTGAGTAAAATAATCACATAATTTGTTTGCAACAAATGTAAGTCTTTCAAAAATATAACAGCTCAAAATCCTGTATTACCATACAATGGCAGGGCCTGAAAGCTAATGAAACTAAAATCTCTGCTTTGGGACTTGAATGGTTTATAATTTGGCCCATTCAAATACATGGTATCACTAGCCAACTGTACTTTTGACCTTTTGATATTTTAGTTACAAGATTATGTTTAAATGCCTAATTAATCCAATAATTATAATAATTCAATAGTCACACTTCTGTTGCAATACTACACATGTTGCTGCAAAATAAAGATTCTGCACTGAAATAAAAGGGAAGCCATGACATGTTATTTAAAAAGTTGTTTTTTATGTTAACACACACACAGTCTTGCCACATTTTGCTAATACTTAAGACTCTCAGAAGAAAATACTGCATTGTTTGGCTTTATGGTTAACTGACAAAAACTCATCTGAAAATCTGAATGAACTTATGATGCTTATGTTTCTGTGTTCCAATTACTGTACTTTTGTTTCCCCAAGCAAGTAATAACTTTAATATCTATTTTACAATTAGAAAAGGCAGTGGGAGAACAACTTCAAGCTGAAATTAAGCACAAATAGCTTAAATCAACTAGCTCTAAATTAGACAGCCTTAGATTCCACTTAACCTAAACAGGAGCAATCCTGTAAATACATAACAATGCATCATATAGAACTCATAGCTACTGCATTAGTCATTTAGACAGCTGGTTACTAATATTAAACTTTAAAAGCAACATGAAAAAAGCCAGTAAGAGCATGTTAGCTAAGTCTGCACAAAGCCAGGAGAAAGCAGATTTTTTTATTTATTTATTTTTTAAATATCTACTTGGAACTGGAAACAAAGTTTCCAGAAACACTCTATGAAACAGTGAAAAAATATTACACTACTAAAAGAAGTTGGGTTTTTTTAAATCAGTTTAAAAATATTTTTATGACAAAAAAAATTTATTGTCCAAAGTACAGTAGTACTATGTAGCAGGCCACTAGTAATACCAGCTGTATTTGCTCTGCAGATCAGAGTTTCCCTTTCAAAGAGCAAATTGCTAGAACTCTGAAAAACAACAGCAAAACTTCTAGAAAAGATAGCGTGAAGAGGGAGAAAAAGAAGCTCAATCCAAAACACAAGAGATGCAGACCGAGTTCAAGTATTACGTGCAGTTACAAAACAATAATTAATGTTTAAAGGAGAGACCAGCTTTGATAAGTCTGAAATACTTTCTTTACACCTCCTATCCCTCTCTGCTTTTTGTTGTAGCTATGCCCCTTTGACAATAGAAACAGTGAGCAAATACAAAATCTGCTTTCTCTTGTGTGTACATGCTCTTGTATTTAAAAACAGCAGTAAAACCACTCTAACAGTTTCTTTCAGACAGCTAAGAGATTTTACTAGTTCTAAGTCTGCATCAGTAACAAAGAATTATTCTGGGATCCAAAAGCTGCAAAACAAAGTATGCTGTTATCCCTGTCACCTGTTTTTAAACTGAGCAGAAACCAGGAATTTCTAGCTAAGGCAGTGATTTCTACATATCAATATTCCAATTAGTTTCCCAGCAAAACAAGATTTCAAGAAAGAACCGTATCAATCAAAAGCAAACAAAAATAGCTGCCTGCCTTGTAATATCACAATTACAGTCTGGGAGATCTGAATCCACGCTGTTGTCCTCTGCCATCTTCACAGCATGCAAGTCCTCTGCCACCACCATGAAATTTTCCAGCATTAAAAAGAAGAACTTCCACTCCAAAAGCCTGTAAACACTCTACTTTAGGTGGGGGGAAGGAAGGGGCCACACTTCTCTTTGCTGGTGTGTACTGTACAGAAAATTTTGCACGCCAAACAAATGCTAGCAGCCGTTGCTTGATAACATGAGACTGAACGGTGACAAGTGGTCATGTTTCTAAATAAAACTTGCATTCACCAACATGTGCCAGAACTGATTCTCAGGAATGTGGATTGTAAGTGCTAGGGGAAGGGATGAAAACACATATAATAAAGCCTTCTTTGCAAAGCCTGAGCAGTTGTAACAGTAGCACTGCTTCCTGGCTGTAAACATCTGCAGCATTTTTTGCACTGGAGTGACATATCAGAAAAATTCATCTGAAAGGATGAAAATGTTCCAGAAGGTCGGAAACAGAAGTCTCTGATGCAGCTACCTCTCTCTGTCTGCCTCTTCTGCAGTTACAGATCTTAGAACAGAGAGGCAATTTAAAAATGTGGTTAAGGAAACAGAATGTGAGAAAAAAAATGAGAGAAGCTTAATACAAATGAATGAAGAAGTTTCACTCCAGAGCACAAAATCAACAGGTAAATATTCAGACTGGATGAATATTTACCATACTATATTACCAAAGCATTTCAATAGAGAACTTCCTATTCATTCACAGCTGTAGGAAACAAACTGCTAAGAAAAATGTTCTCAGCAAGGAATGACTGCAGCTTCGCAGAAAAGCACATGGACTCTAATAATTTATTAATGCTTTCAGGGATCCAGAATATGAAAAGATGTATTTTATTCCCACACCAGAACAATTAAACTGCATTTACTGCAGACTTTACTGCTAAGTGCAGCCAAAATCATGTTATATGATACACAATATTTTAACAGGAACATGTATATAACAATATATCATAAAGAGTCTCCGGAGCCTTCTAAAAATTGTCTTGGGGGATGCAAACCATTTTGTCCAGTGGGAATTAGACATCATATCTGTACTTTGTACATATATTAATCAAAAACTTGGACTTTCAGCCTAAGCTACAGCTGAACTAGTAAAATTTCCATAACTTAGCATAAAACCTCTCCACCATTTACTTTGCGACTTCAGCAGTGCAATGTTCAAACTTTGCAGGTTTGGGGTGTTTTTTTTTCACTTCAGTAAGCACTGGAATGGAAAGGGTTATATATTTAACCATATACAATAGTGCTGCACATACTAGTTGAGAAAGCTAAATTGAAATAATCTGAAAGTAAAAGTAAATAAATATTTTGCGTAAACTAGTTTCGAACTAGGACTTGACATCTTGCTTCATGATAACAGAAGAGAGAAAATTTAGGTGTCTAATATTGCAGTTTATATCTCTCAACCTCAAGAATTATACAAAATCCATAATCCTTACCTGTCCTTAGACAGAACACTAACCTGTAATGCTGAATAAACAATACAGATCTTTTAAAGATGTGTTTTGCAGTTTCTGAATGCAATCATTTTTTACTGGAAACTTCCTGAACCTATTATTTGAAAATTTGCCCAACTAGGTGTTTTAAAAGACAAACACAAAAATATGGCAAATATACTTTATGTTCAACAACTGGTGATGTATCACATCCTCTGAAACCAGCAGGCTCCTTGACTGTAATGCACCACTTCCTGACTTAATTATTCTGTTAAGAAACATACAGTGTTCATTACTTTAAAATGAACCACTATAACAGGAGGTGGAGCCACCAGGATGCTTCTGCTTACATGAAATTTACTTGCTCCCATACTTACAGATTTCAGAGCACGAGTGCAATAAAACCATATGGAAAAAAAAGAATGGATGAAAATAGATGACAAAACTAAACAAACCCTTTTGCTGCTAACAGGACTAAATTACTACTAATTTATATGTCTTTATATCACAGAAATATAACATATTTGTACATTTTATGAAGTGCAAAATTGTGACAAAATTATTGGGAGAGAGGCTGTAGCACAGCTCATTGGAAAGTACTGAAACAAATAAAGCAATTTTTTCACATATCAAACAACAATCATATATTTCTTCAAGTTATGAAAACTGCTGTTGTATTTTTGACCTTCAGTAAAAAGAAGCTAACCCCAATGTGCATGCATCTACCTGATGTTACTCTTCTCCATCAGTGAAAAAGTAATCAGGCAGAAAACCTAAGGTTTAGTTTAGGAACTGCTTTTCTCCAAATCCAAAACTACAAGTAAACTGTTTTGATTCCTCCACCAATAATTTTTTAGAAAAGCTACATTTACAACCAGTTTTAAGCACTAATCCGAAGTAAGATGTCACTGGAGCAAGGCTAACTAACTCTGACTGCAATTGACCCTGTCATTTCTGCAGACAGTGTTTTGAAATTGACTGTTCTTGAAGAAATTATGTCATGTACAGTACAGTAAAACAGGAATGTGAATTTCACAGAAATGCTTTGATTGTTAAGAATAAACTAATTTCACAGTTAATGATGAAAAGGCAGACAATAAAAAGATTCTAGAATCGTGATGTCTAGCATATTAATCTGTCCCATATAGTACTTAGAAACAAAGTTTACCTGGCTGCAATAAGATCTAGCAGATGTTGCCACCTGTCATTGATCTTGCTAAGTTTGTACTCAATCTCTGATGCCTTACTCTCATGGCTGGCTTTAGCAAGCCGCTCTCCCATTTCCTGGAGCTGGATTTTGCTCTTCTGCGTTACAGCAATTTCCTCTTGATAATCCTGAACAATAAAGAGAAATCAGAAATGGGGTATTTATTCTGAATACACTCTGCTCTACACTACTAAAAGAACCATACACACCAATGTTGCTTTTATGGTGACTAATACAGTAGAGAGACAACCTCTTCAATATTAGATGTGTAACTGTGAACATCTTTATCACGTTACTGACACATTACGGTTTTGACAAGTAGTCTGTGCAGTGGGTGGGGAAATGGCTGACGGGCTGTACCCAGAGGGTGGTGGTGAATAGTTCCTGTTCCAGCTGGCAACCTGCCACTAGTGGAGTCCCCCAGGGATCAATATTAGGCGATGTGAAGAAAGGCTGAGAGAATTTGGTTTGTTGAATTTAGAGAAAAGAAGGCTCAGGGGAATCTTGTCACCATGTTCAGGTATTCAAAGGGTGGCTACAAAGAAGATGGAGACTCCCTTTTTACAAGGAGTCACACGGGAAAGACAAGGGGTAATGAGCATAAGTTACTCCTGGGGCCATTCCAATGGGACACAAGAGGAAGATTTTTCACAATAAGAAAAATCAGCCATTGGCATAATCTCCCCAAGAAAGCAGTGGATTCCCCAACAGTGGAAAATTTTAAGATTTGGCTGGACAGGGTGCTGGGACATGTACTTTATGTCATGCTTTGCTTAGAAAGGTTTGATCCTTGAGGTCCCTTCCAACTTGGTATTCTACAATTCTATGACTGATCAGAAAAACGAAAAAAACAAACCAACCCAAACCAAAAACCAACCCAAACCAAAACATACATATATCTGCTATAGTTCAACTCATTGCAGGCAATTCTGATCTGACATTCAGTAAACCATTTTGATGCCTCTGACTTCGCATTCACTTAATTTTCTGTCTCCTGGCAGGTCCTACCTCAAGAAAGATAGGAAAGGCTGCAGAGCAAGACAACACACACACACACACAGTCTTACTAGAACTTATAAACAGCACAAAGCAAAATATCCATTTCCGCTAATTCAGTATCCTATTTTCAACACAAACCAAGTAAGCAGTTAAATAACAGCATGTAAGTGTATATGCACTGCACTATACCTTTTTAAGTTTCTCAATCATTTCTTCTATGAGGATGTCACTATTTTGAGAAACCTTGCTTTCCATTTGTGTCAGCCATTCACAGAGTTCCTTGTTCTTCTCACTGAAGACAGCCCACTCATTCAGCCTCTCAGTAACTTGTTGTCGACGTAAGGATACCTTAAGACATTTGCAGAGAGTAAATAGAAACAAAATAGTAAATGCATTTAAGAGATGCTTGAAACACTTTGTGCCTCAATGTGAACTCCTCTGGCCCTGCAAAAGTGTTCCAGGCACATACTTGCCATTAAAGCAAACTGGAGATGATCTTAAGATCCTTTCCAACCTTAGCCATTCTATGATTCTCTGAAATTGCTATAGCAATGGTACCATGTCAGACTGTGAATAGTAACAAAGATGGACACTGAAATTAAAATAGTACCAGTGTGAGCAACAAAGCAATCTCTCCAGTTTCAGGCACTTGTAAAATTACTTACTTCCTCCCTACTGTAATCCGCATCATTTCTGACCTTATATCAGCATTTCAGCTAAGATGAAGTCTGCATCCGCCCTTTCATCAACAAAAGCGATGTGCTCTTTAACTCCCATGTTAGGTTTAACAGGGCATACATGCCATCTCACATTTCACTTTTGCGGTTCTAAACTTCCTGGCAGCTTTCCGGATATGAGCAATGGTTGAACGAAGTATTGCACTAGGTTAAATCCTGAAACAGTATGCACAAAACTAAGACAAAACCTTTTTACTTGCCTCCCTCCTTTACCATAAACATACATGCAGTGACTGCACCATAGTTTTAGATGTATCTACACTGGCTCATTCAAATGCAACTCCCTCGTAATGAGTTCTGTGCTGTTAATTGTGAAGCATTTTTCCTGCTTTAGGAGTGGTTTTGAAGCTTTCACAGGTACCTTACATGAGATAACTATTTCAAAGTTAGCCCTGGTACATCTGGACTGTAATCTCTATTTAACCACAGAAATAACATGAGGATAATCTGAAAAGCTGTGTGAGAGAGACTCCACTACCTGGATTTCTAAGTGCAAAATGGAGGAAAGAAGCACACTAATAGCATGTTTCACCTGAAAATTCAAACAATACTCTTCATTTTGCAGACAAGTCGCCCTCAGACTAACAGAAATGCAGACAACAACATCTAAAGAAGCAGAAGCTACCAGCAGAACTGAAGGTACAACAGAGCTGGGAGGGGACATCCTTTTCGACCACAGCTCCTCCACCAAAACACATTAAACGGTATTACTTCTGTTTCCCCCAGCCAAGCCATGTCACAGTGTAACAACACACAGTATCGCTTTGATGTTTTTTGAAAGCTGCATAAATATGACCTCAGGGCCATGACAAAGTTCAGGAGATCTAGAAATGCTAGCAATAACTGAAGGAAGATTTTCAGCGCTTGTGTTCCCTGATTCAGCACAAGTTGTTTTGAATCTACATGTGCTTTCATGCGTCTTATTTTAGAAGCTGTCACTTGCATTCAGTTTTTCTCCCAACACCTTTGTAGCGTGCATACTCATATCAATATTCAGTAATAGTACTTGCCTGGTGGCACAGCTCCTCCCACTGTCTGTGCAGAAGCTCTATGCGCTCACTGAGGACTGAAACATCATCTGCACTGATATATACAGACAGGGACTCCTTCAGCAAAGAGAGGTGTGCAAGGTCATCTGTCCATCCTTCAACAGCATTCTCCAGCTCCTTAAAAGAAGTTCAGAAGGAAAAAGGACCATTTGCTAACAAATAAAAATCTGAATGTAGAGAAGCACAAAGACAAGCGTTGCTATGCCGCTGAATTAAAGCTCAGAAGCAGACCCACAATTTCAAGCAGACTGTTTCAGCCCCATTTAAACCACCAACCCCACGCATAACAAAATTTTCATTTATTAGAGAAGTAAATCCCCAATAGGTAATATGTCAGTCTTGTAACAAGTCGTCACAAACTAATATACTACTCAAATCTCTAAAGTTCAAAGGTATTTGAGAATTCCAAGTACTGGCTTGGACTTCTCTGTATTGAAAATATTTTCAAGTTGTAATTCATTTCTAAACTGAAAAGAATATAGGATAGAAGTAGTATCTAAGACCTCCCCAGTAATCGCCCCTCAAATAAAAAGCAATAAACCACCAGTTTAGATACCACGAGTTTATATTTTTTGTTAGAATTTCTGTAATGAAAACACATCAGTATTTAGTGCTTCTACACTACTTTTCAGATTCTGTTCTGATTTCACTTTGAGCAGATCTATACTTAACCTGAGGGATTCACATTATAGTGAGATCACTCAGGTATTATGATGACCAAATATTACAGTGATAGTTTCTGTTACAGGGATAGCTGACTGATTTGCACATCGCTAATGTGAAGCCTATAAACAATAGAAGAGGTTACTGCATGAAGGCAGGCAAAGATAAGACAACTGTCAACAGAGAACAAGCGCTTTACCTTGCAACGAATCTGCTCTGCATGCAACTCATCATGGTGTTCTGGTAAAGGCCAAGAAAGCTTTTTTTTGAATGATCTTAGCTTCTCCAGGGAGTCTGCTATTCCCTTTTCAGATTTTTCCCAGTCCTGCAGGCAGAAGGTTTATTAGATTTCCATTCAGATCTGGATTACACTTGTATCAGTTGATTTGCCTAACTAACCACTCAGTGGTGAAAACTTTTTCATAACAACAACATGCCCTGAAATCCCCCTCTAAATAATACTCATAGTCTCAGAGCTTGAGTCATGTGTACAACCATCAATTTCTTTTGTGTGTAGGTTTCTGTTAGAAGAAACGCACAAGCCAATACCTCTTGTTATTACAATGTTGTCTAGATCCAACTCCATTCTTTCAGAAAAAACATCTCCCTGCCAAAACTATTTTCCACTTCCTTTCTTGCATGCCTGTATTAAACATGCCACTGTTATTTGACAAAAGCTCCATTCAGGTGCATTCAGAAAAGAAAAATGGCTTGGAATACTGCAAATTCAGGTCAGACTGAAGTACCTGCAGTATCTCCTCAAAATAATGATTTCAGCAGCTGTACCCAGCTTTAGTGTTTGTATACTTTCCAAAATTTTTAATGTGTCCAATGCAATCAAACCATATCAATCATTTGCCAAGTTTTATATGCCTCACCTAGATGTTAAAACCTAGTAAAAAGGTACTCACAGACAGAAAGGTCTCTCAAAAAACCCATCAGCCCAAAAAGAATGCCAGCTGAGTGATAACCAGAAAATATGGAACTTGTTTCTCTTAGTCTTCTGTTTCAAGATATTCTCCTTCTACCACTGCCTTTCTATTTCTCTCCTCCCCTCCTTTCCATATCTATGCCAGTATTTCATGATCATCTTCAGGATAGAGAATTACAAATCACAGGTCTTGCAAAAAAACTCTTTTTAGTGTCTTCTTTCTTCTCTCCTTAATAAGTATTATGACCTTAGGTGACAATAGTCTGTGATTTTCTTACTGCAACACATACCCTTCTAGAATATACACGTGTTTACAACCAAGGCAGCATAATGTAATGAAGACTTGCTATCTGTGAGATGATTTATGCAATTTGTGTGTTAATTTACCTACTTTATCATCTTCAATCATTAAGTTTCATATTTTCATTTAGACATAACACTACAGAAACTTCAGTCTCTCTAAAACATCCTGACATAATTCCGCCATTAGAAGCCATGGTATGATGAACAAAGCTTGAAAAAGGAAGAAAAGTTTACTTATCTGAACTTTTCCAAAATAACATTTTATTTTCTTGCACTGCTTGATTCTTGCTATTTACGAACAAACCTAAAATGTCTGTAATTCTGTAATTCTATCAGACCATTGAAACTACTCTAAAAGGACTTGTCTTATTCTATTAACACATGCAAGCCCAATTTTCATTATCCTCTCTAGAATGAGTAACAGGGAAAACCAAACAGACCAAATTTAAATTCCAGCCTATCATCCTTAGTACTTAAAGTGAAGATAGCACACATTCTGGACATTGCTTACATCAAAACAAAGTTCAGGTCTCCCTTCTCCAAGATTCCAGGATTTTGTCTAAACCAGTAAATACTCAAGCCACTGGAAGGAAACACAGACTACTACATTGCTAGATAGATCTTAACACTGACATGTAGAAGGAATAAGGCAGGTCTAATTTTCAACACAGTATTGTGGTGGGTTGACCCCGGCTGGATGCCAGGTGCCTACCAAAGCCACTCTATCACCTCAAACTCCCCCCACCTCCCCAGCTAAAGAGGCAAGAGAAAATATCACAGAAGTCTCATGGGTCAAGATAAGGGAAAGATCACTGACCAATTATTGTAATGGACAAAACGGACTTAACTTGGGGAAATTAGTTTAATTTATTACCAATCAAATCAGAGTAGGATAATGAGAAATAAAACCAAATCTTAAAATACTTTCCCCCTGTCCCTCTCTTCTTCCTGGGCTTAACTCTACTGATTTTTTCTATCTCCTCTGCCCACAGTGGCACAGGGTGTCAGGGAATGTGGGTTCTGGTCAGCTCATCACATGCTGTTTCTGATGATCCTTCCTGCTCAGGAGGACTTCTCATACTCTTCCCTTGCTCCAGCATGGGGTCCCTCTCAGGAGACAGTCCCCCACCAGTCTCTCCAATGTGAGTCCTTCCCACAGGCTGCAGTTCTATATGAACTCTTCCCCTGTGAGTCCCTTCCAATAGTGCAGCCCTTCAGCCACAGACTCCAGTGTGAGTCCCTTCCATGCGTGCATCCTTCAGGCACAGAGTGCTCCAGTGTCACTCCCCCACAGGGTCACAGGTCCTGCCAGAAGCCTACTCCAGTGTGAGCTTCCCATGGGGTCATAGCTTCCTTTGGGCTCTTGCTATCACATATTCTCATTTCTTTCTCTAGCTGCAGTTGATGTAGCACAGATTTCTCCCCTTACCTCTTCTAAAAAAAAAAAAACTATTATCTCAGAGGTGTTACCACCATTGCTGATGGGCTCAGCCTTGGTCTGTAGTAGTTCCATCTTGGAACTGTCTGGCACTGGCTCTATTGGACATGGGGAAGCTTCTGGAAGCTTCTCAAAGAAGACACCCCTGTAGACTGCCACCACCAAAACCTGGCCATGCAAATCCAATTTCAAGTATGTATAAAAATTAATCATCACTGTGCAAAATAAAACACATCTTTGCTCTGTGTTGAAAATAGAACTGGTAGAATTATCCATTATTGGTGGAGTTCTGGAAATATTAATTTAAAAGATAACAACCAATATACAAGCCTGCTATGAAGTACTACCACTCCTAGTTTCAGAGGTGGTGAAAAGAAATTGTGAATTTGTGTAGTGTATGTGCAATTCCTGGATGTGTGCTTATCCCTTGAGAATGCTTTTCTTCATCAGGACTTACAGTGAGGAAACACGAACTTGCTGAAGTACAGAAGAAATTACACACTTACTTTCAGTAGTAAGGCAAGCTGTTTCTTTTGTTGCTCCAGCTGGGTGCTAGCTATCTTCCAGCGCTCCTGAATTTCAGTAAGCTCTGTCTGCAGGGCTGCCTCAGCTTCACTGTCAGCAGAGAGCAGCAGTTGCTTCCCAGCTTCCACAGTGAGGATGTAACTCCCTTGCTGCCTTAGGAGAACTTTCTCTTTAAGCTGAAAATATTAACAGTTTTCTGTCACTTTAATTATTTTAAAATTAAAATTTTTAAAGAAATTATTTTTATTTCATTTTAATTATAATTAGGAATTCAGTATAATTCCTTCTCAAGCCAATACTTTAAAAGATTGCAAACCTTGGCTTAAGCAGGAGCTACTGCCCAAACTCTTTATCCTAACCTGCAGCAGACCTTTAGAAAATGTCTCGAAAGATAAAGACATGAAAGACTTCTTTCTGCCCCGCAATATCAGTATCTCAACTGCTCTTAAAGAGAAATAGTTCCTCTAGAGACTATTACTCTTATAAGCATTATTATCATATGTACCATCCAGCCAAAAAGCTTGAAGACACCAAGCTACTAAACAGATATTGTTAATCTGTTCACATGTACGTATGACATTCAAGGTATCCTTTTTAATTAGGTAGAATACATTCCTCAAACAGGACATCACTTTTTTTTGTTTTTTTTTCAAGACAGTTTCAGTGTGATATTAGCTACAAAGCAAAATCAGAACAAATAAGCCTCAAGCGAGAGGGTCCAGTAAGGTCTTCATGTTCTTTGTGAACTCCAACTTCCAGTTCCAAAGAAGAACTAACATCCAACATTACTTTCTGCAAAGCAGACAGTTTTAATCAAATACACTTAAAAGAATTTTTTAAATTATGAAGTCTGTAAAGAAGGTGGGGATTTTTTTTTCCTCTTTCTTCAAACATACAGGACATACCTGAACTTCATCCAGTAGTGCTCTGGCTTGCTGCAATGGGATAGGAACATTGCGTAGCCCACTCACAGGCTGACAGGATATTTCCACCAGCCACTTGCGCAGCTTCTCTGCCATCTCCCTATAACGTTGCCACTGGTGAATCTGGCTGTCAATGATCCCCCTCCTCTGCTGTACCCGGCGAATTACTCCTTGCCATTGATTACTTAAAAGAGTCAGCTTCAGATTAAATTCATCCCTAATATAAACAGATAAAGATACATAGTAATCTTCATACTTTGGTCTATTTTTTAATAAAATAAACTGAAGGGAAAGGGAAGATGTTTTCTGGCTGTCAGTCTCACTAGGAGAAAAGCACTGAAGTCTCATGAGATCTGACTGAGGATGAGAACTTCACACTGCATGTACTGGGAGAACTAAAAGGTTCCTATTATTGAGACATTAAAAAAAATAATCAAACCTTTAATATCCAAAACTCTTCCACCTTCTCCCCAGAAATATACAAAGAAAACACACAGATTTTGTCTGTTTGGATTAGTCAAATTCATAGTAAATAATGGAGATTGCACAATTCACCCCCAGATTTACTACTCAGTTCAAAGCAGGCATAAGATACACACAGCAATAACAAAATTCTCACATATCAATGAACAGCTCATCTTATATTAGGACCATGATACCCTTAGCAAATTCAGTGCATATGCACAAGCGTGAAGCCACTGGTGTTTCACTGAGCTTCATCCATTTCATCATAAGTGTCTAAAATAAAATCTCAGCGATGCATTCCTATTCCATCACATTTAGGCTGTAGGTCTTCTGAAATGGCAGTAGGTAATCCTCTTGATAGAGGGAAATCCCCAGCTAGATACATCATGTGTAACTCACTACATCTGTTACTGCAGGCTCCTTTGCTGAAAGTAACATTTTTAAAGTACATCAAAATAGACATATGTGTAATGTGCTTGATAATCCAAGCCAAATCTTTGTCAGAGAAGCAGCCTCAAAGCTGTTGTATTCCCAAATGCCACATTCACATAACCCATCACATCCTACAGAACACTGTCTTATTTAAGAACTCGCTAATTAATAGCTTAACCACAGCTATAGTAAATTCTATTTGAGTAGAGCATGATCTGAACACTGACATCTGCTACCTTCTGTTTGGAGGTCTCCCACTAGTCTAAGTATTACTTCACATAACCAGTGAAAGTAACAGAACAGGAATGTTTACCTGTCATCCACCTGTCCTTGTTCTAAAAGGTGCTGGCCATCAGAGATAATTGAATGCAAAATCTGCTGGCGGCTGAACATCTCTGCCTGGAATAGCTGTCATGCAGGAGACAAGGATGTTAAAACAAGATTTTATATTGTAATTCAAAACCAAGATTTTATTATTTAGTTTAAACAAACAACACACTGGTAAAAAAAACAGAAAACAAAACCCAGGTATTTACTCTTATTTCAAATTAGTTCAATGGGAGTTTTGTCACAAACTTCAATAGAAACTTTTAAAAATATAACTTGTGGAGTTACTTGGCAGTTCTAATAATCATTAGTAGTTCCTTGAGATTTAAATTAAAACTATTAAAAAGCTAAATGATATCAATAGAAGGTATGTTTTATTCTCTAAATAAAATTGTGTGATTTGCACTACAATTTACAACAAAATTCAGATAGGGTATTAACTCCATGGACAGAAAGGGCACTTCTTATTTTCTGACATGTTTAAGAACATTACAGTCATTTGCCTTGTTAAATTGAATTTATGCACATATTTTGTGTGATAGTGTTACACAAACTTTGAATACAATTTTACACTGCCAAAAGAACTTGAAATGACATAGAAATGGTCAGCCATGTGTAGAAGCTAAAAATCACTTTTCTGCTTCTTCCAATTTTTCCAATTTGTTTTCCAATTTTCCCCATCAGTCACAATAAATTTTCACAATTTTTGTAAAACTCCCTTACTTTTTTGTAAAACTCCTTATTACTTAAGATAAAAAAATACCTAAGTGCTACTTAGACAAGTATGATTTAAATACTGCTTAAATTTACTTTTAAAAACATATTTTCTTTTAGTAATGGACCATGTCTCTAGATAAGGTTGTTCAGGAACCTTAGGTAGATGAATGTACAACCAGGCATCCGCTCAGGAGTAGATCGCCTCCGTGTTCAAAAGGTTTTCAGAGAGATTAAACAAGAAAGAATACTGGTATGAAGCTTGGGATTTTTTCTTTTTTTTTCTTTTGTAAGGGATGGTGTTAGCAGTTGACAGAAGTTTACCCTTGCCTGAACTGAGAGCCACTATTGTCCAAATTGAGATTACACTCTACTTATTTGTCTTTCCACCAGTTTCTGATGTACCTATCCCTGCATCTGCAACTGCCAGCAAAATAATACCCATTGCCACCTGCCCAATTAATTCTTCAAGCACACTGTATATAGTTAAGGACTTCTAGATGACAGACTAATTTTTCAAATGGAATTTTGCCTCTCTGAATCACTGAGTTAATTTTGAAAATGTTGCCCAGGTCATAAATTCTCCACTAGAAAGAAATAATGTTGTCTAATTTCCTTGCAAAAATACTTGATAGTATTCTTTGAATACCTTGGCTTTTATGAATGACTGAGCCTGAATTAGAGGGAAACTAATTGCTCTATTATCTCATGAACAAAACCACAATACTGTGGGGCTGAGAATTTCAGAAAGCTGAGCAAGAAGAAAGAAATTGTACTTCCTGACATATCTACTTCTGTCAAGTTAGAGAGCATGGATGAAGACCAGAAGACAACAACATCCACCAACTCTGTCGACAGATTGAGACTGAACAGAACACAACTGGCAAAATATAAAAAGCCAAAGCAAAACAAAATCAACCCCCAAAACCCAAGCAAAAGCAAAAACAAACAAAAAACCCCACCAAATCCTCAAAAGCGACAATTTTAGTATTTCTTGAATAGAATGGGTGAAAATAAGATTGTCAAGGATAAGGAACTCTGCTTAGAGTGGAGGTATTCAAGCCCTACCCAAAAGCAGAGATTTCTGTCAACATCCACTTGGTCTCTGCATGTACACTGTACTTAAGAGGCATACCCCATTATGTAGGACCACTTGCCACCCCTATTTATTCTTATATGTAGATCAGTATGAAACACAGAAATGGAAATTCAAAGAAGAAAAGTTGGGCAGGTGCTGGAACACATGATGTTGGCTTGCAAAAATCTGGAGAACTGCACTAGAAAGACTGTGAGATCATCTTGAGAGACTTACCTGATGCAGATGCCAGTGTTACTGTATGATATTTGAAAAAGGCACCACCCCCATATTGCTGGTTTGTGAATTTCAGTGGCAAGTTATTTCTACCTAAGGCCACTGAGGTAGCTGGGTTTCTTTTTGTATAAACATCAGCAAAATTATGAGTCAGCAGTGGAAAGGTGGTTAACAGAGCTGGAGGCAATGTCAATATCAATTCCAGTAGCACATGTGGAAAAAGAGTTATTATCTCATTATCTTGAAAAATACAACACAAAAGAATCTGGAAATTAATCTCCAGAAGTTTAGATTTGGCTCTTTCAGTTGTGAGGAGTGGGAAGAAAATTCTTCGTGACTATTAGGAGGCATTGCAAAGAACACTGAGTACTGAAGATATTTAGATTACATAAAATGCAAAAAAGCTTTATTTAAAAAAAATGTGCCTCAGTAACACTCATCTGAGCTATGTGCTGAGATCAAGGTTTCAAGAGAGAACTAAGCTGAGATCTCACGACAATTAAATGCTGAATGATTGCCACTAACCCCTTTAAAAAATTATAGACATGACCGAATGCAACAATAGTAGGAAATTATCCACTTAGTAATTATTTCTGGACATTCAAATCTCAAACACATGGCATGTCTCAACTTGCAGAAACTGTCCAGTTAATGCTAGCAGCACTGAGAGGAAATAAAATTTAGAACATTTGTGAAAGCAAAGACGGTTAAATGCTAAAGTTAATGTATACTAAAGCAACCAAAAATGGTTGTGAATTACTTTCGGTGTCAGACATTAATTCAAAGAGTATGCTGTGAAATGTAAGGGAAGGAGGGGGAAGGACATGGCTCTCCCTATGGCCTGGCCTGAGTTTATCTGTAGGTCAACTGAAAAAGTTGTGGGAACTGAAACTCCTGTGGCCACATGGGAGCTTTGGTATGAAAATTGACTTGTCTTACTTGATCTTTACCAGAATTCTTGGCAGCAGCAATATGGGTGGAGAAAAAATGTGCATCACTTGACTTCGCAGAAGAATCATAAAGGAATCCTCTAGTAAAAACTCTGAATCAGTTTTTCCTTGCAGCAAAAGCTGTGCTAGTTCATTTGTTAAAAAGAAACAAATAACTCTAGAACACAGTGAGGACTGAATCAATTTTCTCTCCAAGGAAATGTTACCAAATGGAGGCCCCATGATGAGTTATATAACTCAGTATTTGACAGAAAAGTCTTCCTCAAAAGTGCACTTCAGATGCTGTATGCGCTGGCATTTTAATAACAAATTAAATTAGAATAAAATGAAAGAAGACAGATTTTTATCCAGTTAGGACTGAAGACAAAGGGCCAAAGTGTATGAGAATAAACTAACAGCTTTATGAGAAGACCAATAAAAACTTTCATTTCCTTGGTACAAAGCAATGTGAAGCAGGCTAAATTTAAGGGGAAAGCACTCATAGGCATACTTATACATTATACACAAATGCAGACACGTACTCAAGTCCTCCCCCAAACCGGATATTATTGACATATTTGCATGCTTCTGTTTTTAAGTTAAGATATCCTCAGATGGTGCAGACAAATGTAATTCAATTCAAGGTGTACTATTATATTACTCCACAGAGGAATGTGCATTCCATTTAGGTATAAATAGTATGTGTTGTAGTTACTTATAAATACACTTGATCACTTGCCTCATGTGCCCTCTGTTGCTCTAAAAGGCTCTGGTAGTTTCCCGAAATCTCTGCTGCCAGCTTTTGCTCAGTCTGAACTAATAAATCCATCCAAGTCTCACATTTCTCCAGGAAGGTCTGCTGCCGCAGCAAGAAAGACTGCAGCTTACTGAAAGAAAGACAGATTCATGTAAAGTCCCCTCCTATCACACACTATGTTGTCTTGCAATAACTTTTCCAGCATTCAGATGGTAACACTTTTCCTACTCAGCCATCTCATTAAATTTATTTAATCAAACCTTTGAAAAGCAGCCGTCTGCCTTATTTCAAATTCTGTTAATTTATGGCAAAATCAACATCTCAGCTCAATGGTTTCACTCTTCACTTGCAAGTACACCCCAGAAACAGAACTTTGGTTAATGAAATATCTGAAACATTTCATATAATCTGCAAAAGGTGTACTTTCTAGCTGTTGTAATCTAAGAAAACTATACAATAACCTTTAACTGTTCCAACCTGAATCTTTCCGTAGTCTGAGAGGAGATCTGAGACCAATGTCTGTTCAGATTCTGCATTCTTTTGATTTCTTTATCATTCAGAGGAAGCCTGTAACCCAGCTCATTAAGACGGTCCAAATCTGGGGCCATGCTGCTGAATTTCAACATCTGACTCTGTAAGAGACACAAAAAGTGATAACCAGCATGTTCACAGATTGCGAAATTACGAAGAAGCACTGTTAAATTTGGAATGGCCTTGGCTGCCACCAAGTGGCAAGCAATCCCTATGCCAGAGAAACGCATTTCCAGTTTTCAGCCTCTGATCCCAGACCAGAAGACTCACGTTCATAAACACACACAGAGAAATAAACTGAAGTTGCACTGGAGTGTTTTGCTAAATTGGGGATTTTCCCCTCAGAGCTGCAAACATAGGCTAGTTTTGTTGCAGTTTGAAGCCATATGTTTATGTCAAAAAAAGCAAGCCTTTTTTTCTTGTTTCTTAGCCTGAATGTTAGGCTGGCAAATTCCAATTGAACTTACTCAACTCTTTATTTTTTGGTTTTTGTTCTGTAGTACAGAAATATTCAACTCACTACATTAGGAAAATGTCCTGGGTTTTAGCATGCCCAAAGTGAAATTATATGCATACTTAATCCTGATAGAAAAATAATGGAGATTAAAGTGACAAAACTAGCCTAGATGGCAATGTTAATCAACTTCCTGTCAGAGCCTCTGAAAGAAGAGGAGGTGAAGAAGCCCCACAAAATACAGAGTGGAAGAGTGCAAATGGAGATTACATGGTACACAGTACAAAAGTTTCTCCAGTTTATCAAGATACCAAAAAATGGACAACTTAATCCCTAAACTAAATACCAGGGAGACAGAAAAAAAGAAGACAAAGGAAATCTCAAAAACCTGCTAAAATAGCCATTCCCATTTTGAGTTTATATTCATTTTATTCCGAACAGTTTTCTTCCCCTTTTCTTCTTTACTCAGGGGTAAAGTAACATTGACAACCATTCTTTGGTTGCCACCAAACTTCTAAGTTCTCAGTCTTAACACTTTGCATGAGCAACAGTCCTTTAATATATATAAAATGTATGTATGATACTTGCACATACCCTGTACTAAAAATAGCCAGGCTAACAGAATTAAAAAAAAAAAAAAGAAAATCAAATCAATATTCTGCATCTATTGGTCACCTTGAGTTCCTCCATTCTCCTCTGTATTGCTGAGAGATCAGATGAGTGACTAGGATCTTGCTCTTTTAATATTTCCTCTGCTTCTGTTATCCAGGCCTCAAGGACTTGCAGGTTCTTGGCAAAGGTTTGATAGTCCAGCACTCCAGCCTTGAATAGAAAAGGACCCACAGTTTAAGAACTTTGGCCACATAGCATCCATATTGATACTACACTCCAGTTATTCTCACTATAGATTTGCAAAGAGCTGTATAGGCTAGAAGCAATTGTGACTGCAGCTTTGCTCACAGACCATGAAATTATTGTTTGTTTTACTTTTAACTTAGAACAGAGGACCTTTGATCACTGCAAAACTACAAAACACTTTAACAAACTGCATAAGTATCTCCTTGCCTTGAAATAGATAACCCCTTTAACTTCCTTTTATGAAACTCACTCCTGCTTAATTTATTGTCAGCAGAGAGAACCACTAGCTGCTATTATTGCAATTTGAAATTAAAATCTTCTCTTACACTTTTTCTCCTCACAATACACGTGATGCTATAAGCACATTCTACACAATCCGGAATTTCTTGGATAAATCCTCTTTGTCACCCAAAGAGAAGCCACTACCTTTGTTGCCTTCTCACCCATATACCTTCCTATGGAACACATTCGGACAGTTCATTTTTTGCCTTTTTTTTTTTGCTCTAGTCACTCGTGACACAAGCAATTAGCAACATCTACTCATCAGGTTTTGACACAAATGGTAGATGTCACTCCAGGCACTGACATTAATAGGAACTGTAAAAATAAATTCTACACCAGAATTATTCAAATCTCTCATTTGTTTTACTGCTAAAGAACTAGCTGGAAAGAGAGCTTGTCTTTAGGGGAGCATTAGCTGTGGATCCAGATGTTAGCACCACTGCTGCACACTGAAAGCATGGTGCTCTTGGCATTCAAGACAGACGCTTTGCTCCATGAGTGCTATTATCTTCCAAGAGTCTGGACATTCTTATAAGGTTTCTGTAGTGGACTTGAGCATATTTTATACTCTCAGCATATTTTTGAGTGTATTTTCTACTTTTTGACTTCCAGGGAAGTCTAGGAAATGCTGGTGAACAGGTAACAACACTGTCTTTCCCAACCAGTTTTAGCTAATTTATGTGTTTTCAGGTACCACAGGATGATCAGATTCGAGGACTGAAAACACTCTCTGCATACCTGAAGTACAGCCTGTTGTTTGCGGAGAGCTTGTTCTAGAGTTGACAGATTCTGGTTCAGAGAAAGATGATCAGACTGTATAGCTGCTGCTGCTGAAGCTTCCACCTGGCTTTTTAGCTCCTCTCCCAGTTCTTGAAGAACAACCAGTGACTCCTGTGCTGTCTTCAAATCTGTAAGCAAATCCTGAGGCAGCACATTGAATAAAGATACAAATAGTTAACCTGACATTCTGCAAATGTCATCCTCCCTCTGATTTAAAGGAGCAATTAAATGGCCAAACTCCACCACTATATGAAAAACTTGTATTTACTACTGTATTTCAGTACCAGTGTCCACTCACATTCTGTATCAAAGGGAAATATGCAGAATAAAAAAATATGTCAAAGTACCTGTGCACAGAGGAACAGAAAGAAGTGACTGCTTACCTGTGTCTGAGAAAGCCTGAGTTACTGATGAGCCAATACTTGTTGAAACAAACCTTTTGAATCCACCGACATGCTGGTCCTAACCAGTGGCAGCCTTCGTGGGCTGATTCATTTCTGACTAGACTTCCTGTTTTTTTCAGCTATGAATTACCAAGAGAAATGAAAAAATAACTTTTGTAAATGGCCTAACATAACTGCTAAATAATGGGCCATCAGGAAATCGAGAAATTATTTCGTTAAAAAATAAACAATTTGAATAGCCAGTCTAGATGACTATGGCAGCAAATGCTTGAAACACTTATTAATGTGTTAATTTTTCTCCTTGCAATTGTTTTGCTTACAGTGAGACAACTGACACTTCAATGCTTTTGTTGCTGACACTGAATAGTAACTTGAAATCAAAAGAACCAAAATGAAATCATAGATAGGAGGTAAACTATCCTGCTGTCTTGAGATACAGTCTTGAAAAAGAAAGAATCTCAAGGTTTCAGAGTGAATAGGGTCTTTCCATAAGGAAGGATAAAGGCATCCCTAGAACATACTTTTCATTCAGAAAAAATGAACAGCCTTGTCTGGTGGGACTACAGTCAAAGTATCTTGTGTTTCTATTACAAGGAACTCAATAGATTTAGTAGAAATATTTTCCCAAGCAAGAATTCCTTTGACAGGTAGAGACTTAAGACTGAACCAAATTATATCATTTATCCACCTTCTTCAGAGATATGACTTCAAATACAAGCTTCTGAAACAACACCACAACAAGTATGGAGGGATCACATGGAAAGTGTGAGAAACTAGTGATATTTGGGTAACAGATGTAAAGCTCCTGCGCCTGAGACGCATCAGGAAAAATAAATGTGTTTATATGCAAGTTTCCAATACACTAACTTTAGTAATGGAGAGCCTCTGGTATTTTTAGCCCACAGAACTGTGAAAAACTGCAAAGCTCAACTGAACATACATTGCAGTCCTGAATCCACGCAGTAACCTCATCATCAGCAATGTCTTTGCTGGTGGCAGTCTTCAAGAGTTCATTGGTCTGGTCTTCCCGCTGACAGACTGTGGAGGAGCACTGCTGGTAACAGTCCTTGTACCTCTGCCATAGCTGAAGGAGTCCCTTACTGGCACGCAGCCGCTCTGCAATCTCTTGCAGAAGGTTGTTCCACCTGGTGAAGACATTGGATGAATGATTGAAGCCTAAGAGTCCTAAGAGTTATCGCTGTCCCTCTTCCTCTCTATTGTTCACTATGGTCTTTTGGCTTTTAAGAAATCTGGTAATAATCAAGATCCAGCCATTTGGGGGTGGGGGGAAGGAATCCCAGAAATACGTTGACAGGCTTTTCTGACCTGTCAGATTAGGTCTGATCTGTGCAACATCTTGGATGCTGTATATCGATGACTGAGGTCAGACAGAGCTGGAATGCACTTTTTGAAGTGAACATCCAGTTATTTCTACTTAGCATACTTTGGTTCACTGCACAGAGCATCCATGACTGGCCATGAATGGGAAGTACCAGATTCCTGCAAGGGCCCAACAAGCCCAGGACAGGTATAAACAAGAAACCATTTATTCTGCTACAATTCCCTCCCAAGCCCTGACAAAAGTATTTAAAGTCATAAAGCTCTGTGTAACTCCTTTTTAAAATACTCCCAGGTTTATTAAAACTTTCTGTATTTTTTTAATGCAATTAAATATCTAAACCGCTCTTGAATTCTTGGCTCTAATGGCAACCAGAAACATGTACTTTCTCAAATATGCTGTGCAATTTCCTTACTAAAGGAAATCACATTATTTTTCAATTATTATTATATGATAAAAATGGTGAAGTGAAAATTCCATCAGTTACCTTTGAAACTGTTAAATCCCATAGTATATTTTTTAAATGGGGTGAATAATCCCTCCTTCCACTTCCAGATTCTAGTTCAGGATGAACCACAAATTAAAAAATTCTACCATAATTATGTTAAAAAAAAAAATTAAAAAAAATCATTTTCCACCAAAGCAGTTTTTGGTTTTGGATTCTTTCTTTCCATAGATCCTCTGACTAAACCCTTACAGTGGTTCTGGCATGAATTCAAAGCTGAAGAAGCTGTTTGCCAAACTACTGGTGAAGGCTTAGACCTTCTTGACTACCAGGCTCTTCCTACAACTAGAAATAGCAACCCAAAAACTGAGGAACCTGAAGCATGCAGGGCAAATGAAATTTTCAGACAGGATTCTTGAATTTTAAGTGCAGCGTTATTTCCCGGCACAGTATTTATGCATCTTAGTTGGCAGCCATTCATGGAGCAAAACTACTGATAGTGCTATCCAAATGCTTTGCTGAAGAAAATACTGTTTCATTTATTATCTGTAGTAAACGAGATGGTTCTGCTTCAGCCCTTGGGAAAAGGAATAACCCCAGCTGTCCCCACAAGCTCCCAAACAGAAAAACAAATGAACAAAAAAAAAAACAAAATAGAAATTATATAAAAATGGGTCAATGGATAAATGCCAATTTACCATGAAAAGTAAAGTTCAACAAACAGACATTTTCTACCTCATATTCACTTCTTTCAAAGTGTTGGTAAGTGTTTCAGTCACTGGTGATTGACAGTCTTTCAACAATTGGTTGGTAACAGAACCAAATTTTTGTAAGCTACTTTCTTGCTTTTCCAATTCATCTTGTAGGCTCTAAAACAGACAAAATAGTGAAAAAAAAACCACCACCAAACCACAAAAAACCCACCATAAAATATGAGGTATTATAATTGTATGATGTAGAAATATTTCAAAATAGTATGTATCAATTGTATCATATAGATTATGAATGCAAAACTTGATTTTATGAGTGCTTCTTCTAAATAGAAGGTTGTTTAAATACAATTGCTAGATTCATTTGATTCAGTATCAAGATAGAGTGGCAAAGAGTAAATTTTAATCTAATATTTTCACAGGAGAAAAAACTGTAAAAGAAATTATCTAAACAAGTACTCTTCACTAAATCATAGAATGGTTTGGGTTGGAGGGGACCATAAAGATAATCTAGTTCAAACCCCCTGCCGTGGGCAGGGACACCTCCCACTAGACCAGGTTGCTGAGAGCCCCAGCCAAGCTGGTCTTGAACACTTCCAGAGATGGGGCATCTTGCACAGGAGTAAGTGCATTGAACTGATTCAGAAACAAAAACTTAACTGGTGGAAGAAAATAAATTAAATAAAATTATCCTTTTTAGAACAAGATAAAAAAGTAGCAGCATAAAAAAACTTTATTCTTTAAATAAGGGTTTTTAACCTTAAGTATTTTTGTGGATATGATTACAGTTTGAACAGCCTAGCAAATCTCAACCCAACTAAGCAGTTTAGTTAAAATCTTAATAAGCAAAAAAAGTCATTTTCTGTACCTATTTTTTTACTGACTCCTCTTCTGATGCATAAAAACTGGCAACCTAGAAGAGTGGCTGTAAAGGGCATTAACGGATATTCTTTAAATCTGGGTTTGAAAAGTGCCTCTCATAATTAGGGAATTTGAGCTTTATATATGTCTGGATTTCAAGTCACACAAAATATGTGAATGATGATGTAAACTTATATTTGCCAGCAAATACTAACAAAACAACTTGATGTTACTGTCAGCATGTGGAAATGTTTGAAAAAATATTTTTTTTTCCAAAGACAAAAACTTTATTTGAAATAAAAAGCTATCGTGTCTAATAGAACAGTACTTTTTATATTTTTAATAGTTTATTTTCTGACAGTGGAAAATCACTGAACTTCTGAGTATCTCAGCTTTTAGAAAATTATTTTCTTTGATCTTCAATCTACTGTTATCACATGGGTGCAGGGTGTCATAATGTGATCTCAATATGCACCCATAGCTCAGAAGCCTGATGAAGCAGAGTGAGAAACTTTTAATGGTGATTAGAAAGAAAACCACCACCACCATTTCATTTTTTTGCAAAATGAAAAATGCAGAAAATGACTATTTGATAATTTGATAATATTGACTATTTGATAATGTGTTTTCTTAATGTCACATGATTTTAATGTGCCAGTATGTCTGTACATACTGGTACATTTTGTTTGGTTAACTTCTTAGGAACCAAAATGTATAGTTCTCTGCATCTATGCAATAAAGACAAAATTAATCCCTGAATCCATCCTTAGTATTTTGAGAGCCATGGTATTCTTCTTACCTGAAGGTTACCAACTTGGACTTTCACAGCTTCCAAAGAACCAGTAAGAAGATAAAAACGGGACAAAGAATATCTGGCTTCTGTCAAGTAACTATTCAGTTCTTCATAAACCACTTTGTAAATGCTCCACTGATCAAGAACAGACTGCAACAATATCTTCAGTTGGCTAACCTAGGAGGAGGGAGGAAAAAAAAAAAAAAGTAAATTAAAATCTCTCAAGATATTTGGGGTTTGTTTAAATTTATTTCCTTCCTTTTGATCTCAGAGGCTACTTGATCTACATGCCCAATCTTAGACCTGTTGCAGAATGAAGCTTTTGCACAACCATCAGCTCAGTTTATGCTAGGTACAGCATAAAGTTCTGCTTGATTTTATGAAGTTAGGATAGCAGGGAATAAAGTTCATTCTACTTCAGTCCAAAGCAGGATCAAGAAAGCATCTGTGTGCTGGAAAGGACAGATCTTTACAAATTATTTGGTACCTTTCCACTAAATGTCAGGAATCATCTAAAAAGCTTTAATTACTAGAATTAAAAGCATCCTTGGAATAGGAAACATTATACCCATCTTATGTGAAGTGCGCACAAAATTTTAGGGATGGATGCAAATAGGGATGGATGCAAACAGGGATACAATTCAAATCTCTTCACCTATAATACAGAAGCAGGCTACTATCTGCAAACTGCTATTTCTCCCTCTCCTCCACACCCTGTTCTTGGCATTGTAATCTGCCCCTTGATGATTCTTTTACCATGTGCTCCAAATTGGCCCAGGAATGGTTAATTTCTTGCAGCGTTTTCATAACAGCAGAAGAGACTTCTTCCCTCTTGTTCTGTATCAAAGAAAGACCACTCTGTTCTACACTTTCAACTTCTTTTTCTTTTGTTCTTATTGATTCTTCTAATTCCTAAAAAGAAAAAGAAGATACCTGAAAAATTTTGTTTGTTTAGTTGGCTAGATAATGCCTTGAGATAGAACAGATGCTCATAAGCTCCTTATCTTTAAAAAATAGGAAAGTTATGCTTGCATACTTTGGCTTTTTATTCTCAAGAGAATCATAACTCATCAGCAATTTTAGTTTTTTTATGTTCTCTTTAAAGTATAGTTGTTTGCCTTTAATTTAAATAGAAAGATGACCTCTATATTAAACTTGTGTGTAATTGTCTGCTCTCATGTAAGAGTCGATAACTCATCAAAAATAGGACAGCAGTTTTGAATACATGGGAAAATTGTTGTGTGTCTTTGTTTGCCCTAGAACACTGAAGGAGCTTTTTAATTGGTCCAAAGCTGGCTGAAGCCATGGAAAAAAAATAATTTTGCCACCCAAGGAAAAAGACAAAATGACTTCCTAGGGAGAGATGTCCATTTGCCATGCCTCTCCACAAGAAGTTGAGTGTTTATTCCTTTGCCAGGTCCCACCAAACCCCTTTCCCTGATGACAGCAAGTCTTCCCCTTTTCTGAACGTTCATTGGAGTCCAGCCAATGACAACAAACAATAGACTGCAGGAATTTTTCCTATTGCCTCCTCAAGGTTGCATGCTTTTGGGAGGCATCAATGAGCTCAATAGCATTTTACTCTGTTCCATGTTCCCACACACTACCTGAAGAAAATGGGAAGAAAATGAATGATTGGTGTGAAAACAAGTGAAGAAAACAAGGCTGAGTACCTAAGCACTGAGGCCACAACAACTTGTTAGTGGCTTGTTTTGCTGCTTCAGGCAAGTGCTGACTGTGTAGTTGACTTAAGATGACCCTAGACTGGTCTTGGAAAGGCTGATTAAGAGTTTGCCAGTTTTATCATATTTTATCAACAAGTAAACTGCAGAAGCTCTGCATAGCTTCAAGTAACATACTTCAAATGTAACATTTGCTAATCACAAAGCCTGTGTGATCTTCCTCACACCTCAACAGCATGAGAACGAAGTTACAAAATTAAGGAGAGAGGACAAGATGACTCAGTGATCAACTGAGTTATATAGCCCATATCATGATCGCATAACCTTATTCCTACCCAGGAAACTACTTATATAAATCCAAGCAAGTTCTCCTATGCCCTGACTAATGTCGGGGGGGAGGGGGGGGCAGGGAGGGAAGTACTGCTTCTACATTAATTAGTGTACTTTTTAATCTCAGTTAAATTTTAATTTCCTGTAAGCTTTCCTTACTAGGAGAGATGGATCATTAAGGAAAGAAAATAACAGAACAAAACTGGGCAAACTGAAAACCCATGGCTTTCCAAAAATTACTCTCCCTATGAATCCAAAATCTACAAGTGAACTGTTGCCATAACAGACTTTACATTTTAGAAAGTGGTGGGAGTATTTGGAACAGAATTCTGCTTAGTCTTGTGAACACTTGCTATTGACAGAACTTACCCCTGCACAGATACAACACACCTTTTTCTATACACATATAAGTGAGAGAATTTTTGCTGTACTGCTTGTTATTTGCATTTTTTTTCCTGTATTATTTCACATTTCTTCAAATCATGGCCTTGTTCCAGACTACAGACTTGGAGTAACACATCTTTTGTTTATCAGATGGCAAAAAAAACAAACCTTTAAGTCATACACAGTAAATTTGCTTTTTCCAAAAAGGTATTCGTGTTTGTACAAGGTTGCTCCAAAATCCAGAATACAAAGCAGACAAAAGTTTCCATCACCAAGAATAGCAAATATTTCTAGTTCTCTGTGAAAAGGGGTTTCTTATTCATCATCTGAATTAAAGACACGTTGCTGTTTCTGATATGTGGTGGGAAAAAATGGTTGTTTTCACCTATTAATATGACACTAAGCAGCAACTAACGTTGGCTAATAAATAAACTGCAGCTTCTGTAGTAGTTGAACCAGATACTGGGAGTGTCTGGTACAATGATTTCTTAGACAATTTGTTTCTCTGCTGATCAAAGTCTTGCCAAGTGTATTTGCTCGCTTCCCTGACCAAAGGAATTGTAAAGGTGATAAATCAGATTCAGCTTTGAACTCCAGCCAAGCTCAGGCTGCCCATTACGTCAAGCTATGCTAAATTACCCATCCTGCAGTTGTATGGGTTTATTGTGCTGAAACCTTATTTGAAACTAAGCGCTGCAACCAGTTTGAGAACTTAAGCCAAAGTACTTGTAACAACTCTGGCCTAACCAAGTGTTTGCCTTTATAGAAAGAAAGATGGGTTTAATACACTGGTGAATATAGATGAAATTCTCTTTTGCATTTCATTTGAATAGATTTACAGCTGTTCTGTCTGTGAAAACTTAAAGCTAGATCATATTTGTTCCATTCATTAAATGATGCAGGAAACGCATCCACACCAAGATAAACACAGTTCCTTACTCCATTTCAAGGGTATGAGAACACCAAGATTTTGGGCATCCAGCTGTCCTCACAGCAGTATTTCCTTCTCTGAATAGCTGAATATTCAAAAACAACAAAAAAAAATCCTAACATATATTAATAAAAGCATAACACCTCTTTGCATTCTAGTATTTGTCTTTGAATAGTCAAGATGGAACATATGAGGTGGAATAAGAACAGGAAAAACGGTAGAGCAGAATAATAAGGTAGAAAAACCCCAACTTTCTGCATAGTCAAGAATACTGTTCATGACATCCAATTCCATCAGACTGGCTAAAAAGGAATGGGAACATATTCACCTGATGCTCTTCTAGTTCAGTACATCTGGCATGCTTGGAAATGGTCATATGTCAATACATAGTACAAAAAGAATACCTTTGGTTGCTTTTAAACATCTCTGGGATATTATTGTTCCTTCCTCCTTTCTTATTGCTTGCACTTTAGGAATGAAATCTCTCCCTCACAGAAGTAAATAGGAATTCTGTCACTGACTTCACTAATATGAAGATTTCACATGGCTTTATCAAGTGTTGTTTCTAACTGCTGGAAATTTAGTTATAAGGGGACTATACCTGACAGTCTTTCAAAGCATTCTGTACTGAAGCCTGGTCTCCAATTTTCTGTTGCTCTTTCAGCTTCTGCTCTTGGATTTCAAACCAAGTTTTTAGGCACTGCACATTATTTTCATATTCTGTCCAGGACTCCTGCAGACTTTCCAACAGCTGGATCTGCAAAGAAATATGAGTATGTATAGTTCCTCATACACTTACCTTTATTTTGGGGTCAATTAAACAAAACAGTGAAGAACAATGCTAACTACTGCCTTCCCAAATTCAGTGCTTTCAGAACTTGAGAACACTATATGTATTCAAATTTAAATGTAAATATATCTGCTATCTGTAAAAGAGTTTATAATAAAAAGCCTACTTTTAAAAATAATTATGTAGAGATAACAAAATATTATGACAACTAAAAGATGCTAACAACTTAGCTGAACTTTTTTATGAAGTAGAATTCTTCTCAGAGATCAAGGACATCAGGATTTTCCAAATAAAACTAAGCATGCAAACATACAGTTTATATTCCTTGCTTATAACTATGGTGAAGCAGACGAAGATTTATATTGCCTCCTTTGTCAACTGGTTAAAATTTATTAAGCTTTTTATGACTATCCTAGGTGTTACTCAGCAGCAAATGAAATAGCACTTCAATTCTCAAAAGAGCCCCAAATGAACCAAAAAGCTAACGAATCAAAACAAAAAGGAAAAATAAAAAAAGGGGCGGGGGGGACGGGGGACGGGACAGATGACAGACCCTCCATAAAACCCCACAAAACAAAGAAAGAAATAACAAAGCAGAATTTGAAAGTGGCAGCACTGTCATAAAAGCATTCACATCACTCTAGGGAATGAACCATCTTAATTAGCTGTAATCTGAATTAGAAATGGTTGAGGATGTAATGGTCAACAGCCTTGGCCACACTGATGATGAGATAGCTGGGATTGAAGTAAGGAAAACAAGCAGCAGACTAGAGATCCTTAGAATAACATACTTTGGTTTTTTTCAGGTAACAATGATCCCATGGGAAGCTGTACTGAAGAACAAAAGAGTCCAGAAAGCTGGTTGATCTTCAAGGACAACTTCCTCAAGTCACAAAAATGACAAATGCAGAGAAAGTAGATTACAAAGAACTAGCCTGAAAGCATGTCCTGGCTATGCAGGACTGATGTTATGAAAGCAGTCTTGGCTGGAACTAACTAGCTCTTCTTGTTACTCTTCACAAGTACATCAGCAACTAATTGAAACCACAGATGATGCACATGGTGCCTTTACTGCTCTCACGTTACTGACCTATTGCCTCCCAGGTCTTCATATCAACAAATTTTGGCACACAGAGGTTCTAGTCATGATAGAAGAGTTAGAATTAGGAGCTACTTAAGTAAGCTGGACATATAAAAATCCACAGAACCAGACAGGATGTATCTGAGGATGTCAACGTCATTTCAAGGCTGCTGTCTATCAAGTTTAAAAGGTCATGATGGTTGGAAAAAGTCACTGGTGACTGGAAAAAGGCGATACCCCAAATCCTGCCAGGAGCTATTTCCACATGCATAAAGAACAAGGATGAGGAAAAGCATGGTCTCACTAGGGGCAAATTGTGCCTGACCTAACTGATTGCCTCTGCTGTGATGATATGACTGACTGCATGTACAAGTGAAGAATTGTAGATGCTGTTCACCTTGGCTTTTGCAAGATTTCTTAAACGGTATCCCACGGAGCAGCTAGTTTGTTTGATTTGGGGGTTTTTTCCTTTACCTTTTCTGTTATCAGGCCTTGTAGAATCTGCCAACGTCTGTTCATTGCTCCAAGCTGTTCTGCAAAATCAGTTTTGTCGCTCCGTTTACTTTCAACATCCTGGCTGCTAATCTGTAGCACCGACTGGTTCACAAAGTCTACTGTCAATTGTTTGCAATTTAAATCTATCTTGAAACCCTATCAGGAAAAAAGGGAATAAAAAAAAACCAAAACATAAGTACTATAATTTCTCACCTTCCTGCAAAACGGAGGAAAAACGTTCACAAATGAAAACTTCACCATAATTTAGCTAGAAGTTGCTTTAGCAATTGACCAGCAATTAAAAACATTGTCACTTTCCCCTAAATGTTAAGAAATAAAGCAGCAACACCCTGCCTTTGGAATAATGAATCTGCCTCACCCAAATAATTAAAAAAATAATCTGCAAACATGTTGACATTGGTCTCATGGATCAGATTTTAAAAAACCCAACAAAACCAACTTGGTTTTGGTTTTCTTGTTTGTTTTTTTTTACCCTGTTTAATCTCAAAAATTTTAATACAAAACCAGCTAAGATGAAAAATGTTCTTACATACAAAGAAGAATAGCCAAAAAGTAATTTTTCAGAAGACTCATGAAAAATATGACATTGAAAAGAAAGTCACTGTATGCACATCCATTACAAGAGTGCTACTGATGTAGTTAAAGAAGTGAAATCGTGTTACAACTTTATTCCTCAATAGTTAAGATATAGCATCATTCATTTTTGCTTCAGATACTGATCAAAATTATCTTGATGTGTAAACTACTGGACACATTCCATTCAAGAATAGGCTAAATTCAAGAATGGGCTGCACTTTGAGGAGAAGGTAATATTATGCAGAGAATTCGTAAAACAGTTTACACAGTTTGCAAAGTGCTTTGTGGGTCTGGGCGAAAGACACTAATAAGGTTAAATCACATGCCTATTACCTTGGACTTACCTGGAAATTTAGTAAGCATACTAAAAATTATATTCCTCCCTAACTATTCCTCCCTGCTTTCTTTTCCACAGTATCAAATATCAACCAATTCTAACTTCTATATGCTTCTAATCACTCCACTATATAAGGGTTTGGTTTTTGCTTTCTTTTTTTACTTAAGTCACTTATACTTTAAATATATATATAGGTATACTTAATGGGAAAAAAAACTGAAAGGTGAATATGTAACATTTCCACTCACTACCTTATACTTCTTGACATAATCCTGAATATGTTTCTGTCCTACTAAATTTTTTATATTCTCTTCATCCTGCTGAATGATGTTTTCCATCAGGGAAATCCAGCTCATAACTTCAGTGATAGCATGACGAGAAGGAATTTTGTCCATCTGGAGCTGTAGAGATAACAGACTTAAAATATGTGTTGTGAATAAAATGGATAAGAATCCCTTACTTTGCATTACCATAGCACATTTCCTTTACCTGCTGTAATTTTATATTATTCTACATCCCTAAGATACCACTGACGTTTATAAAAAGAAAAAGAAGTGAGGAAAAAAAAAAAAAAGGTTTAATAGGGGATATATTGTATAGCTGCATGCATCTTCATAAGAAATGTTTATATTAAAGGCTTTTTATTTCTATTTTTCATTGTACAAAGAAACTGGAAAAGCTGAAAAGATTCTATTTCTGAATTTCTAAAGTTCTGCATTCTTATTACATAATTTTGTATTGGGCTTATGTAAAAGATAAAGTTTAAGCTACACTCTTCCAGTCTTTGTAAATAGCTAATGAATAGGTCCATGGAAAGTAATTTTATACTACTATTCTTTTGTGGTGATTTCCAAATAGGGTAATATTAAATAGCACCTGTTTTTTTTCTTAAAAATTCACTTTCAGCATTTGATACAGTAGTGCTTGCTAACAGTTACTCAGAAATGACATTTTTTGGTAGACATACACATTCTGCATTACAAGATAGTTCAGAGAACTACCGAATGACATTTTCTTTTATATAATAGACTCAGTTAACATTTGTTATCCTTTCTCTCTCCTCCTAAATCACAATTATATTACTAACTCTGAGAACATTCCAAAGTATAAACTGAAGGAATGGCTTACACCAATATCCTCCTAGCAACTAAACACTAAACCAACTTTCTAGACCAGTATAATTCACTATTATAGCATTAAAAAAACCCCAAAACTACACATCCAAAAACCTCCTGTTCCTACATACACTGACAGAAACCTTACACAACGTCTTGTCTTGCACCAACTTGAACAGGTTTAAATAAAGCTACTGTCCAAACCTGACAGGGCACAGGGATGACCTTTTTCCAAAAAACATACCAACATGTAACTGTGAAAGTCTGAAATTAACACCAATGTGTTAGACAGTATGGGTAGGCAGGATTAATATATGAGTGTAAGCTTTTCCACATTAAAACAGAAATAACATTCCTATCTTGCCTCACATGGATAAACTACGGAAGGGAGCAACTATCTCTCAAAGGCAGTTCCAACTGTATAGTCTGAATTTTCTGGAATATCAAAGGCCATCGTGGGCCTTCCTTACCTGGTGCAATTTTTCTTGTACGGCTGGGATCTGTGCGAGCAGCTCTGTCCACTGACTGTCAATGTAGGACAAACTCGCACGCAAGGCTGCTGTATCCACCTTCTTCAGCCTGAGGAGCTGGTTTCCGGTACTCAGGACAGAAGATTTCTGTGATGATTTAGCCTCCACTTCTTTTGAAAACTCCTATAAGCGGGATAATTTTTGTGGAAATACTCAACTTCTTGTTGTACTTAAAGCTCTACCTCAGAAAGCTAAGAATATCCTCCCTTCCCTTTAAAAAAAAATATACTTTCTATTAGTTTTTACCAGCTATATTTCAGACCAAGTGAGGAAAAAAATTGCCTTTAACCATAAAACTATTTTCTATTTTCAGAATCACCAAGCTTTAAATGATTGCAAATGGCAAAGAAGTACTCAATGTGCATACACACCAGGTTTTTGAAGGACAGCTCATCTATAGAAGCAGATTGGGACTTTTTTTGCATACTCAATACTTAAATGATGAGAAGCATAAATGTCTGTAACTGGAGAAAAAAAAAGTGTCGTACGTCCATGAATGACTTACCAAAAACGAATTCAGGTGATCTCGGACTGTTTCCAGTTCCTGAGGAACTGTCAAAGACTGCTGGCTCCAAAACTCAAGTCGGTCTTTTGCAGATTGTAACCAACGTGTCAATTCATTTGATTCACTCTGATACCTGTAAAGACGTTTAAAGAAAACGGTAACAGTCAACACCTGTTTTGCCTCCAACTAAGCAGTCTCTCCTCCACATGTTAGAAGAAGATACAATATGCCAGAATTGAAGGACTAGTAACTAGGTTACAAATCTGTCTGGGCAAACTGTAACAGCACCCTACATACATAAACAGTTTGCTTTCCAGTGGTAATGCCCCTACCAGAACATTCTGAGGCTACTCATGCCACCTAGGTAAGCACACACCCTTTCTCATCAACTTGTATGCATGTGGGACTTCTAAATTAGTCATCTAAATAAGATATCTTCTGACTTCCTCCCACCAGCTGTTATATCAGACATGTTGTATAGCAAATGAAAGAGCATGATCGCAATTCTATAGAACAAAAGTAGGCTATTGTAGAGAAGTCAAACTGTCACATACATCTCAAAGTATTTTAAGTGCTGAATCTAATAGTTCTGGGTTCAAGATCACTTTGACCTGAACAGCAAAGGTGGAGAAGTTTATACTGTCCATTATATCAGCATTACCTTGTCCAGTGCTTCAATATTGTCTCCAGCCTCTGAAGCTCCTTGCTAACCTTACTGGTGTTACTTAACCAGCGTTCTCCTAGTTGGTTCAGTTGGCTTTCAAGATCTGAGCAGCTAACAGAAAAAAGGAGCCTTTTTCCATCATCTAGCACTTGGTATAACTTAGGTTGGTATTCAGTCAGGTTAGATCTCAGATGCTGTAATAACAGAGGAGATGGTTAGATAGCTTTGCAGGTCTCTGTTACCACACTTTCTCAACATTTAGTTATCTTTCACTGCTTTTTGTAGCACATCCAATGTCACCATGGCACATCACATTTTTTTCAATCTACTCCAGTTCTAGAACACCCTGAGAACCATCAGGCATGTAACCCGCTCAAAATCTGAATGTGCTGCCACAACAGCTCCCCCACTTCAAGATGTCTAGCGATACCTTCTTATGATGAACTCCTCCTTGGTGTAGATAATTTACACTTGAAAATAACAATGTCAAAAGAACCTTTGTGGGGCAATACCATTTCTGAGAGAAATTGATTACAGTGTCAGAACTTAGTCTACCATCTGTTGAAAACTACTACAATGAAAGCTAAAGGTGTTCAGTATCAAGTTATAGACAGTGACTATTCTTCAGCCCTTCCAATGCCTATATTCAGCTCTCTGGTCATCCAACTCTTCTTTCACTGATCTACTATCCTGCTACTCGTGGCTACAAAAGAGATGGCCCTATCTTTCTAAATCACTGAACACAGAAGCCAGTTGTTATGGCACAAGAAAGCAAACAAGGTACTGAAAAAGAAAGGCTGTTAGTAGTCTTAGCCTGAATTGAACCTGGAGCAGAGACAGATCTCATTTAAATGGTGATTTGTAGGTGGGCAAATATATACCTGCCAAATTCCACTATCACTACACAAATAGTATGGATTTTAAAAACATCTGTATATTTCACTAAGCTTGAGCACGAAATGTACACGCATTCCCATTTTTAAGTTCTGATGGAAATAATCTGAAGTATACAAAACTAGTGGTTTCATGGTGAAGTCATAACCTATCACTCTTCTTATTTTGACTTTGATGTAAACAGAGCTCTAATAACTGAACAGAATGTTATATATGTGTCCGTGTGTGTACTTCCATATAACCATATATACACACAAATAAATGTACAACTCCTAGAGAGTAGCATAAAAAATTAAAAGATAGTAATAAACTACTTGGGATGGATTTTCAACCTAAATGTGGCCATAGCAGAGTCCAAGCATCTGGATTTGAATAACCTAATTTATGTTACTGGCAAGAGAAGCAGAGGAAAACTAATTTAGGGTCAGGTCACAAAAAATGCTTAGCATGAAAGAAAACCAAAATAAGACCCCCACACAATAGATTTCTTAAGTTTTCCTCGTAGCATTGCAAAAGCAGAAAGCCATCTGGTAAAAGAACAATAGACATAAATTCAGAGTAGACAAGAAGGCAATTTGCAAGAAAAACTGGCATTTTTCTGTAAAACAAAACAAGAAAAAAAACCAAACAACCCAACAACCAAAGTGTGTAGTTCAGAACAAGACAAAGACAAAACACTAGACCAAAATTCTAATTTTGACAACAGACCAAACAAACAGGATGCGGTAGAAAGCCTGTATTTAAATTACTGTTTTGTTCCATTTGAGGAGGAAGGCAACTTAGGGAACCGCACATTATTCAGCCTCCCCTGGCTCTCTGGAAATATCATGGAGCAGATGCTCTTGCAATCCATTTTCAAGGACAAAAAGGACCAAAAGGCAATCAGGAATATTCAACTTGGATTCACTAACTTGACAGCATTTATGACAAAATTACTGTCTTTGTGGATGAGACTGACTTCACTATGGCCTTTGACACTGTCTCCCACACGATCCTCCTCTAGAAATGGAGAGGATGTGGCCTGGATAAATGTACTGTTACATGGTTTGAAAATTAGCTGTGTTACTAGTCTCAAACACTAGAGATCCAAGGCTTAATATCTGGCTGCCAGACATCAGCTACCAGTAGCTGGCAGACATTACTACCAGTAACATGTAGAGTACTCCAGAGATTATTGATATTTGAGCTCAAGAATCTTCAAAACCTCCATTAATGGCACGGATGATGACAGAGTGGTCCCTTAGTAAATTTGTTGGGGACAGTAATGTGGGGAGAGTGGTTGAGACAAAAAATGGCAGACATTAGGTCACAGACACTTTGATAAATCTGAGGCTGGGGGCAGCAAAAACCTTAGGAGGCTCAAAACGAAATACAAATTCTGTGCCTTGGGCAGGCTAACCCTGTTTCCCACTACAGGTTAGGAAGGGAATGGCTAGTATATTTAACCTGGCATCTTCCATTACCAAGACATTAAGAATAAGGCAAGCCACAGCACTGGCCTACATCAGGACTACAACCACCTATATAAGTTATTTTATTTTATGCATGGTGCTGATGAGGCCACATCTAGTGCATCTGATTCTGCTCTGCTCCCACCTCCCAACAGTTCAAGAATAAGGAAGTAGTCAGGGTCGTGTAGAGCTATTAAGATGTTTACAGACCTAGAGCATATGTCCTTTAAAAAGAGGCTAAGGGAGGTGTGCTTATTTTAGACTGACAAAAAGGAGCTAAGGGCCAGTCTAGCAAAGGCCTACAACTATTTGGAATACAATTAAAAAGATGATAGAGATAAATAGTCCTCCAAAGTGCCACACAATATAAAAAGGACAATGATGACAAGCTAAAAGTTGAAGGTTTACACTGGGCATTAAAGAAAACCTTTTCAGTATAAGTGGTGCAGCAATGCAGTTGGTCCCAAGCTCAGCTCTGGCATCTCCGCATTTTGAGGTTTCCAAAACCATTGCTGACCCAGGCCATGGCAACTGTCCTTCAATTTTGAGGCTTGACTAGATGACCTTCAAAGGTTCCTTTCAGCAATTTTTTCCACACAGAATGTCTAAAATGCACCAACCTGAAAAAGCGTAATCCGCTCTGTAAGCCTGTCTTCCGTCTCTTCCACCAAACCAACAGTGGGGATGCTATCTTCCACAGATTCCAGCTGCCTAGTAAGTTCCTGGTAATCTTCATCCAGATGCACCCAGGTCTGCAAGCACAAATTACCCATGTATATGGTGAATATTGAATCTGGGTATCTAGAATTTTTCTTACCTGATTTCTCAATCTGAAATCCTATAGCTGCATGGTTATGAATGTACAGAAATAACAGCTAAAGCTAACCAGCTGTTTTAAATGTCAAGGAACATAACTTGTTTCACCTGAACATCACAGCAGTTAAATAGCAAATATTACATGTAGCCTATCAGTGACCTGTGTGTATGACAAAAAGGACTAATGCCCATCAATTCTGTCCAAGCACAGGAAATCAATACTATAGATTATATCCTGATGGTTGATCATAATGGCGGTACAGAAAAGACCGCAGAAATTCTCACCTCTAGAATGTATTCCAGCTCCACACCTCGTTTATGAGCCATCTTTAATACAGCTGAAGCTTGTGTCATTAGCTCTGAATGTGACTGAGTTTCCTTCAAGAAGGCGAAGCTACACATCTTTCTAAAGAGTGTTTCCGTCAGGATCATGTGAGATTCCAACCCCTGAAAATATTCCTGAGAAATTTGGGTGGGAGGGAGTGGGTAAAGGGAAAAAAGAGAAAGTGCAATTATTATTCAATTCATTATTAGTAACCCAGTATTATAAGACAACAGTTGTACAATCAAGATCAACTTATCATTCCACCACCATCTCACAAAATCCAACATGCAATTTACAAAGGACAGTGGCCTTTTTAAAGAAGGAAACAGGTCAGTCATCCTTTCCATGCAAATGCCATCCTAACTCTCATTCCCTAGACAGAAATAGCTCAAATAAGATACGCAGCATCAAAAAATTCTGCCTAATAAAAAGAATGTGGAAAAGTGTTGTTATATTTTGGTGGTGCTATTAGAAAATGCGTATTTTTGTTGGAAAAATTTGAGTGGTGGATGAAACAGCTGTGTAGCATGACAGGACAAGAATAGAAACTTGTTATCAGAATAAGGAAGAATATGAAATCCACCCGGGTTTACTCTGAACCGAGCATTTGAAAGTCAGAACAATTCATTGATTGCAATTTCAAATACAGAAAGTTTTAATATATTCTGATTTAATACTGGCTCACCATTCTGAAAAGCTCCTGAACCTTTAGGAACAAAAGGCTAGCAGTTTGCTTTGTACAAGCTTACTGTCATGATTAATCTTGAAATATGTCACAGTGTCTAACCTTATGTTTGTCAAGTAGCGATCGAACCTCTTCCTTAGAAGCAACAATCATTTTCTGGTCACCAGCCATCTTTTCTTGGCCTGTTTCTACCAGGTCAGCCAGGTCCTGCAAAGCCCGTTCATACTGCCTCTTAAGAGCCAGATTCTGGTTCAGGTCACTCCGTCTGGATCCAATGATCATCATCAGCTCATCATACTTATCCTTGGGGGGTAAAAAGTAACAGTGATGATTCTTATTTCACACCTTACACGTCTTCCTACTACTTAAGTGTACTCAAAACTGAGTCTAACTGAAAGTATGCAAGAACTTAGGTTCTAGTAAAAGCAGAACATTTCCAGTTTCAGGTCATACTTAGCTATCTATCCCCTTTCATCCCCCCTCTTTTTTTTTTTTTTCAGTGACAGATCTGAGAGAGAATTAAAACCCACATCATGAGACACTGTTGAGAACAGCAGTCAACCTTCTGCAGACATTTGTGTTAACATGTGAATCTTTATCTGTTTGAACACAGTCAACAAGAGCTGAAAGAAAGCATGTTTTTGTGCTTTTATGTGATTAATACTGCTAATAATAGAAATGGTTGAAAATCTGATAAAGCAAAAGTAGAAAAACTAGGTGAATCTTTTATACACACTGAAATTATTTTAAATACGCTTTCCTGAACTGCCTTATTAACAATAAAAAGAAGCATACTAATAGCTTTGGTATCACCAGACATGTCTAGAATGGAGTTATGATTCATACCTGAATCTTAGACAGCTCTTGCACAGAAGGTTGGTCAATTTGTAGCTTTTCTACACGCTTCTTTAAATCATTGATTCCAGCATCTAGCTCCTTCAAACCTTCTTCTGCCTGCAGTATGACCTGTATTTGAAAATGACATCATTTAGTTTAACGGTTTAATGACAGCACTGTAACTACCATACAGTAATATTCTTTTCTGTTTTCTGTCCAAAGTATTAATCATTCCTTTAATCTGCCAAAATTCTGAAGGATACTATAAAGAAAAGGTATTCATTCAAAGCTGGGAGAACCCAGATAGATTCTTAAAGTTAAATTCAATATGGCATTATTACTTTTTTAATAACAAGCTGGTTTAGTATCATACACTATGTTACACCAAACCTTGCTGTGAAGCTCAATTCTTTTAAGTACACAGCATAGGCACAAAAGGATGATTAGTTGCTCTAACACCTCCTTTTAAAGCATTCTCTTTATTAGCAGTAGTTCCTGTCATATCTGAGCAACAAGAAATCAACCATCACAGCAGAAGACACGGAGGACAGCTAAGAACTGTGCACAGGTCCCTTTCAGGACCAAAACTACTGTCAATGAAAACTACCCATACATCCCCTTTGCACTTGGAAAACTACAACTTAAGAACACAGATTGGTATTTGCAAAGGTATGCAGGTGATAACTTGACTTTTTTTTCAATGGAAGCAATAAGCTTTCCTAAGTCTTTCAGCTTAGGAGTCTGCTGACATAACGCATGCAGCTATAACAAAAATAAAAGCACTGTAGATTGCTGTAGTTAGTCCTTTGTAAAGGCCCTTTTCTTGGATACTGCCTACCCAAACATGCTTAAACTATATATGCAAGTAGAACACCTGACTCATAGTAATGCAGAGTATGCACAATACAGCCACTAAACTTACACTTCATGCAGCTACATTACATGGCTGATTAATGGCCTTATTTCTACCTTCCAATCACATCTTGAACAAAAAGCAATAGTTTTAAATTTTAATGTTTTATCAGCCAAGGTAGATATTCAGAACTAAATTAATTCAGTTGCATTTGCTACCATGTTGTTTTCCTATTTGGTAGTAAAAAGTAATGATACAGGAGATAAACTTTTGCCAATCTTTCGCATCAGAGAAGAAAAAGAAAAAAAAGACATAGAGTGCCAGCTTCCTTATTCATACAGGAGACTTAAAATTCCTTCCAAATTTCATTATCAGGTATATAAAGCCCAGTATTTCAGTTTAGCTGAAGGATAAACCTCTTCATCTTAGTCACCTTCTGGCACCAGACACCAGCAGGTCTTGGGTAACAAGTAACATCTGCAGAAAATAGCCATCTGCAGAAAACAGCCATTCTTCAACTTCTCTCATTTGCAAAACAGAAACAAGAAATTTTGTCATATTAATAATTAATTATTCATCAGGCAATTCCTGATACCGAAAAAAAAAAAAAATTATTGCTTGAAATTAAAATGAATAATAGTCAACGTATTACTATAAAGCAGTGCAGAAAAGTGTGCCTTTGGTTTTTAATAAAGTATAATAGCTAAACAATTGAGTCAAACTAGACTTTTTTTGGTTCACTGTACTGCCCAGTGTATGCATAACTAAGTCAGGTAGGGAGACAAGAAAGACACTGTGTTGGTTTTTGGCTGAATTTTTTAAAATTTATAAAAACATAGTACACTCTTGGAAGTACTCATTTTCATATATTTTATGTGAACGTATCCGTTCTCCCCCCCAAAAGAAACTGTCCTGTAGAATCTGTTTAGACTTTGAATAGAAATTTTACCTCTTCTCCCCTCCCAAAGTAACAGATATTTGGCAATACCTGCATTTGTTCTGTTTCTGGTCTCTCAGCTGCCTCTGCTAGTTTCTGCAAAACTAAATATTTGTTTTCAGCCACCGATGTAAACAGGAGTTTCAGATCATTCTGCAGGGGACAACAACAAATTACAGCCAACCACAGCACAATGAAACTGAAAAATATTTTATGCTCCAAAAATGTTTAAAGTGTTACAATTTTACAACAGCAGCACTAATTCAAAATTGGAAGCATCACAATTACCCAGTGCAAAACATTTAAAGTTGCTGAAAAGCCATAGCTAGATATAAATGAGCTAAAAGACAGAGACAACTATTCAAAACAAAGCAGTTCTGCTTTTGCCTTACAATTAAATAATTAATTAGCAATGATCATCAGCTTCACTTAACAAAGAATCTGTTTTTCTTGTGTAGTTTATTCAACCACATACATTTGTAAACAAGTTAGGTTTTACTTTTTAAGGCAAGTTTTTTCATTACAAACTTGAGCCAATACAAAAAGAAATAAATAGGGCTTCAACACATTGCAAGGCTAACTACACATTATAACTTTTAAAGTACGTTATCAGACTAGGCACACAAATATTATTCAACAATTTTGTCAAGTTACAATCTATTAATCTTTTTTTTTTTTTATGAATTCATCCCAACAGAAAACTATCAGGAAAATTATATAAGGGGTGAATTAATGATACATGTTTTTTTTCTCCATGCAGTTATTTTTTTAAATACTAAATATCTAAAATACAACAATAAAGCACGGTATCCTAATCAACTTGTCTTTCTTCAGCAAAGTAAGGCCTTTCATTGAAAAATATGTTTATTTTCATTAAAACTAAGCCACAGTGGAGGCTGTATATAATAATAGGGAAGAAGATAGAAACTAAGTAAGGTCTGAAAGCATTTCTAAATTCTGTTTTAAAAGATTTCTAGAAGTGCGTATTTCTCCACTTCTTTCTTTTTTTTTTCTTCTGTGCTCAATACAGTTGTCTTGAGATACAAGCTCTTATAGATTAACAGGATGGCTCAAAGGTGATCAGAAAGATGGGAATCAATACTATGTTTTCTACCCTATCTAATAAAACCAGTGTACTCTTATCATTTATGAAATTATAAAATGTATAGAGTGGAACAGTCAAGTTGCTACTTCTCCTTTGAGAACAGCAGTCAAGTACTTCCTTTTATGTAATGCCAAGAGGGTGAGAAAGCATGGGATGAACAATCACATTAAAGTAAACGCATGAGTTGCAGAAGGCTTCTATCAAAGTGTTTAATTTTTGGATCAGATCTGGCTACCAAATTTTGCAAAGCTTAAGAAGTAGTTTGACTTTTCAGTAAAAACCTTGTCAACCTTGTTCTTTGATTTGTTACCAGAACTTGTTGCTTTGAGAATCACATCCTTTATATTCCCATTTGACGTGTACCCCTCAATTCCTTCAAATAGGCATCATACCTTGAAAGTCACTATCTGCTGGAGATGTTCTTTCATCTGACAGCATCTCTGGTTTGCTACTGACTCCAGTAATGTCAGTCTTCCCAGGAGACAATCCAAAGTGTCTTGTATAATACCCCTATTATCACCATTCTCAGGAAACAACTGAGCAAATAAATTCTTGTTCTTATCCATTTCTTCTGTTATTTCTTTGATTTCTTTGACAAGAGACTGTGTTGGTTTTTTTTAGAAAACAAAAAGTGAAGAAAGTGACAATCAGACATTCTGGAAAGCAGGCAAACATACTGTCATAACCATTGTCAATTCTGCACTGACACAGTAACTTTTTTATATTGTTAATATAGACACACTAAGCAAAGTTATGCAGCTACACTATCCCTGATAGTAAAAAGCCCCCAGATTCCTCTGAGGAAAGTAAGTGTTGAAACAAAAGGATGTAGAACCATAGAATGGTTTGGGCTGGAACAGACCTTTAAAGTCCACCCCTTCTGCCATGAGCAGGGCCATCATCAACATGAGCAACTTGCTCAGACTCTGGTCCAACCTGACCTTCATTGTTTCCAGGGAGGGAACGTCCATCCTCTCTTTGGACAACGTTTCATTCACCACTGACATGGTAAACAGTTTCTTCCTTGTATCTTATATGAATGTATCCCTTTTTACTTTAAAACCATCACCCTTTGTCCTACTGCCTCTCCCTTCCCTGCTTCTCCTGCTCTTCTCTTTTCCCCCTATCCCCCTTTCATGTTGATGAATTTGTAGCTATTTCTGTACCTCAGAGCATTCTTCCCTCTTTTTCACTTCATTTCAATTTCAACAGTATGGTGTTTGCTAGCACTTAGCAAAGAAGTTAAACCTAAGAAAGACTCTATGTTTAATTCTCTTCCAACCAGGCGAAGTTTGGGTCAGGTGCTGCTTTCTGCAACATTCTCTATACAGTCACAGAATCACAGAATCCCAAGGGTTTGGAAGGGACCTCAGAAGATCATCTAGTCCAACCCCCCTGCAAGAGCAGGGTAACCTAGAGTACATCACACAGGAACTTGCCCAGGCGGGCCTTGAATATCTCCAACGTAGGAGATGCCACAACCCCCCTGGGCAACCTGTTCCAGTGCTCTGTCACTCTCACAGTAAAGAAGTTTCTCCTGATGTTCACATGGAACCTCCTATGCTCCAGTTTGCATCCATTGCCCCTTGTCCTATTACTGGACATCACTGAAAAAAACCTAGCTCCATCATCCTGACACTCACCCTTTACATATTTGTAAACATTGGTGAGGTCACACCTCAGTCTCCTCCAAGCTAAAGAGACCTAGCTCCCTCAGCCTCTCTTCATAAGGGAGATGTTCCACTCCCTTAACTATCTTTGTGGCTCTGTGCTGGACTGTTTCAAGCAATTCCCTGTCCTTCTTGAACTGAGGGGCCCAGAACTGGACACAATGTTCAAGATGAGGCCTCACCAAGGCAGAATAGAGGGGGAGGAGAACCTCTCTTGACCTACTAACCACACCCTTTCTAATGCACCCCAGGATGCCATTTGCCTTCTTGGCCACAAGGGCACATTGCTGGCTAATGGTCATCCTCCTATCCACCAGCACCCCCAGGTCCCTTTCCCCTTCACTACTTTCCAGCAGATCAACCCCCAACCTGTACTGGTACATGGGGTTGCTCTTCCCCAGATGCAAGACTCTACACTTGCCCTTGCTGAATTTCATCAAGTTTCTCCCTGCCCAACTCTCCAGGTCTCACTGAATGGCAGCACAGCCTTCTGGTGTGTCAGCCACTCCTCCCAGTTTAGTATCATCAGCAAACTTGCTGAGGGTACACTCAGTTCCCTCATCCAGGTCGTTGATGAAAATATTAAACAGCACTGGTCCCAGCACCAACCCCTGGGGTACTCCACTAGTTACAGACCTCCAGCTAGATTCTGCCCCATTGACCACAATTCTCTGCCTTCTTCCTTTCAACCAGCTCTTGATCCACCTCACTACCTGATCATCAAGCCCACACTTCCTTAGCTTATCTATGAGGATGCTGTGGAAGACAGTATCAAACACCTTACTGAAATCAAGAAAAAACACATCTACTGCTCTACCATCATCCATCCACCTAGTTACTTCCTCATAGAAGGCTATAAGGTTGGTCAAACTTGACTTCCCCTTGGTAAAACCATGTTGGCTGCTCTTAATGACCCCCTCATCCTTGATATGTCTAGAGATGGTGTCAAGAATAAGTTGTTCCATCACCTTTCCAGGGACGGAGATAAGGCTGACCGGTTTATAATTACCCGGGTCCTCCTTCTTGCCCTTCTTGTAGACTGGCGTGACACTTGCCATCCTCCAGTCCTCAGGCACCTCTCCTGTTTCCGATGACTTACCAAAGATGATGGAGAGTGGTCTAGCAATGACCTCCGCCAGCTCCCTCAGCACCCGTGGGTGCATTCCATCCAGACCCATCGATTTATAGATGTCCAGATTGCATAGCTGTTCCCTAACCCAATCCTCATCTACCAAAGCAAACTCCTCCTTTGTCCTGACTCCTTCTGAGGCTACAGGAATCTTGGGCCCCCAGGGGGAGTCTGCAGGAGTAAAGACAGAGGCAAAGAAGGCATTCAGCACCTCTGCCTTCTTTAAATCCTCTGTCTCCAGGGCACCCACCGCGTTCAACAGTGGGCCTATATTGCCTCTTGTGTTAGTTTTATCTGTTATGTATTTGAAAAAGACCTTTCTATTTTCCTTAACCCAACTTGCAAGATTAAGTTCCAAGGAGGCCTTAGCTGTCCTAATTGCCTCCCTTCATCCTCTAACAACTGTCCTGTATTCCTCCCAGGTGGCCGGCCCCTCCTTCCATAATACATAGATTCTCTTTTTCCACATGAGTTTGCCCAGCAATTCCTTGTTTAACCATTCTGGTCTCCTGGCTCCCTTACTTGATTTCCTACCCATTGGGACACTCTGATCCTGAGCCTGGAAGAAGTGGTCCTTAAATGCTGACCAACTATCTTGAGCCCCTTTATCACCTAATACCCTTTCCCATGAAACTTCCCTTAGCAATCGATTGAAGAGGCCAAAGTTGGCCCTTTGGAAATCCAGAATTGTGGCCTCGCTAGGTATTCTATTCCTCCCACAGAGGATCCTAAACTCCACCATCTCACGGTCACTACAGCCAAGGCTGCCATTGACCATCACCACTTCAACCAGACCCTCCTTGTTGGTGACTACTAGATCCAGCAGCGCTCCTCTCCTAGTTGGTTTGTCCACCATTTGCATTAAGAAGTTATCATCAATGCACTGGAGGAACCTCCCAGACTGTGAATGATTGGCTGTATAAGTCTTCCAGCAAATATTGGGGTAGTTAAAATCCCCCATGAGGACCAAGGCATGTAGTCATGAGGCTGCTTTCAGCTGCCTGTAGAAAGCCTCATCAACTCCTTTGTCCTGATCAGGAGGTCTATAATAGACCCCCACAACTGTATCACCTGTACCAGCCAGTCCCCAGTCAACAAAGTTCTACCACTATCAGGATACTGTAGTTTGATTGATTGATTTATGGCTTGGCTTTGTGAGCTAAGATTTGGGAAGGGCTTTACCCATGTGTACTACAAGCACGATGATCAAGGGCATGTGGAATAGGCAAATTACACAGAGATAATGACAGCAACAGTCATTTATCCAGGATTCTAGTATTTTCTCTCTACACACTATATAAAAAGCACCCATACTGGCAATTTAAAGAAAGTCTAAATCATGGATCCCTTACCTCTTGCTTGAAGAGGTATGTTTCTGTTTCTTCCTCTGGCAACAGGGCTGTAGCAACAAAGACCTGTTCTTCCACACCATTTAGCCACAGGGATGTGGCTGTGACACCATCATACAGCTTCTGTTCAAGTTGCAGGCTTTCTTCTGCCCGTCCAACCTGGGCAAAAGGAAACAAGAGAAGTCCAGAGCAGAAGTACAAAATCCTCTAACATCTTACATCTGTGAAAGGGCTGGATTTCCAGGTGGGAGCTAGAGGAGTTTTCATTGTAAATGTGGCTCTGCTGGAGGATAGGTGTAAAGACAATTGAAAGGTTACCTCAGATGACACATCTTCAAAGACCTGACTCAATTCAACCAATACAGGTGACACGGAGGATTTAGCTTCATCCTGTCCTTTCTTATACAAAGGCATTCCAGATATCAGTCTGTTTGGTCTGTTATAAAACTGCTGAGAGAGATGTACTAATTAGGATGCTTTCATCATATACAAGTCAAGAAATTCAGCAATACAGATTCTACTGCTGAGGATATCACGAAATAATGCTCATGGTTCTCCTATGACTGTTCTGTGTCATGAATAACTTGAATAAAAGACTGATCAACAGGAGGTTCACTAGAAGCATAGTATAAATACTTGTGGCTAGAATCAGTAATTACTTGGGTTTTGCTTTTGGTTTATTTTTAAAAAGGAAAATTAATTATTTTTTAAATGAAGACAAGATACTTAGAACTTTGGGAGTGGGTTTCAATGTAATTTTATATAAAAAATAGACCCTATGTGTATTAGCAATAAAATTCAGGATGCATGTTAATATAGATCTTTTATTGTCCCCTGTTTAGTTGATCAATCCCTGGTTTTTTTTTCAGTAAAAATTCTGTTGCTAAAATCTCCTTTCTTTGTAACATACCCGCTAAGGTCAAGAACTGAGTGCAACCAATACATTCTAACTGCAAGTATCAGTTTTTCCTCTAAGTTGTTGCCAGAGTACTGTCAATCCCAATTTGTTACAGAATTATCCTGTGTTAGATACGTCGGTCAAAATTTTGTCTGAGCCCCTTCTTCCTTTCTCGTGCACTCACCTGAGTGGTAGTGCAATTCAAACGACTTGGAAAGAGAACAGTGCTAGTGCCAATGTTAAATATTTTTTTAAAGATATCACAAAAAGAAATTGTTCCATATTCTCTGCATTAACTACATCACCTTAATATAACTTCTATGGAAATACTGTACCTCATGCTGTGACAACTGCTTTCATAGAGGAAAATGCAAAGAGACATTAAAAATAGCTACCAGCTGTTCTTGTCCTAGAGCTTTCTGAAGCAGTCTCTGTTTTGTGTGGAATTCCTGGTTCAGGCTTTCCCATTTCACTTTCATCTGTTCTTCAGATGATGGCTTCTCACCTTCCAAGACCAGTTCCTCAGAAAGTGTATCAGGCTTCTCACTGAAAGGGAAGATGCATAAAGGTTTAACAAATACAAAAGCTCTAACTATATAAGGTGTTTATTTCTTCTTTCAATTAGGAAATTCTACATTTAAATTCTATGATACTTTTTAAAGTTTTGACTTTTTTTTGACTCTAGCACCTCCTCTCTCAAAATGTCAGAAATACAAGTGTAGCTCTGGTAAACAGTGAGTGAAGTTTGTCTTTAACTGTTTGATTTTTGTGTTTGTTTACATAGTGTAAGATCATGTAACAGAAGGAAGTCTCAAAGAGAGGAGATAAGAACTTTCTAGCATTATAATAAACCCCAACACTGAATTAGCACAAATGCTGAGGAAAACACAGAGTACAGCTTAAATTCCCTATGCATTAAGTCTTGGTTCTGCTGCCTCATGAACTGCCTTTATGGTCTAGACTTTGGCAGACTACAACATTTTAGACATTAGCTATGATTCACACACCAGTGCTGGATCATAAAGTTATAGTAACTGATCCACTGCTTGTCAACTGACCCCTACTAGTTTGTAATTTTAGTATGATGCTTGATAGTAAGAATAAAAGAATTTCTAAATGCTGGAAGTGATCTATTAGCAGAAAACAGCTTGTATAACTATATTATCAGACCCCTGAAATGTAAACCATGACTCCAGTATAGTAGGTGCTGTATAAAAATGATAAAACTAAAATTACAGGATTATATGCAGAAGGGAATGTAAACGTAAGAATGACAAAGCACAGTCATAAAAATTTACTTCGCAGAAGAACACATGAAAGCACACCTTATACATATGCCTTCTGGAGCACCGTGCTGTGTTAAGATTTCTTCTCCACGGCATGCTACTGACCGAAGCAGACTCTTCTGCTCTTCCAGCTCTTGCTCCAGTTCCTAGCAGAGCAAGTTACAAAAACCGAAATGAACCTTAGACAGATTGATTTTGCTTTGCAGTATATGTTTGCATTTTATAACTGTCATACAAAGATAGCTGAGCTATTTCTGATATGGCTTGTTTAAGTACAAAAAGTAGTGCAAAAACTCTACACAGGGACACAGAAAAAAATGGGTACATAAGCTGTATTGTTGAACTAATTGATCAATGCGATGCAGCTTTGAGAACCTAACCTAGTGAGGATGTCTGTGTTACCACAATACACCTTGTAATGTATCTTAGCTTCTATAAAGACAGTGTTGATTACTACTTTAAGGAATTACTGTCATCTCTTTAGAGTAACTTTAAGGGCTGATTCAGTTTATTTCTACTGATGGACAATGGAAGTACGGAGTGATTAAGTGATATGACCATGGTCACCAAGGCAGTCTTGTCTGCCTGGCTCTAACAAATATAAAATAGTGAGCTCAGATGTATCATTACAAAAGCACTGAGAAAGAAACAGAAGATTTCAGTGGAAATACTAACAAGAATGGCTCATCTTAAGCACATCTGAGATGGAAGTAAAAGAAATGCAAAACACTAACTTTCTGTTGCTGCAGGGTGCTCTGCTGTTGCTGTGAGCGAGTAGTTCTTGCTTGTGCCAGCCATTCTTGGACACTGGGGCTCTGTGAGGAACCAAAGTCTAGATCACTCTCTTCCTTGTCTTGTAATGATCCCTGCTTTAAAAAAAAAACAAAGACTTTTGCAACATCTTTTTTATACTACTAGACAGCTGGCAAGTCCAGCTTATCAACCCAAACCCCCATGTAGTTCAACCCTCCACCTCTACTGGCTCTCATAAATTCTGAAGCGAGCAATGACTCAATTTCTGACTTTTACTGGTTATTGTAGCAAGAAAGCATCCCTAAAAATGTAAAAATAAACATGCATCACTGCACCCAGATGAACCAAAGATCAGAGACTGATGTGTTTCCGAAAACGTCTACTTCTTAAAACCAGCACTGATCTGTAATGGAGGACACAACTTTAACTGGTGGTTCAGGGAATCAATGGGTTGTTTCTGCCAGGTTTTTAGTTTAATTAAAGCCTTTTTTTCTTTATTTTTTTTTCTTTTTTTTTTTTTTTTCCCCTAACTGAAAAGAATGCTGGTCGACAATATGGCCAAACTGTATTTCTCAGTATGTACGTAACTCCATCCATGGTTGGCAGAAACACAGCCATGTAACAGAAGATTATATGACATAAAAAGTAAAGACAGTAGGAGAGATGAAACCACAGAATGCTATAATAGAACAACAAAAGCAAGAGTTCCTTCACTTTATGCTTCTATCATTATATTTTTCCAACATGAGTGATTAAACAGGCTTTCTGTTAAGCAAAGCAAAAAAGCACAAATGCCTTAATAGTCCCAAAGAATGCTTTATCAACTTCTTGACTTCTGAAATGCATGTTGGTTGCAAATTTAAATTATTTAACAGACAATGTATTGCAGTGTAGGGATTTTAACATATTAGTTCTAATGTTAAAGCCAGATTTGTAGGTCTGGCTACTTAGATCTACAAGCCTCTCTGTGCCTGCAGGCACAAAATGACTGTAGAGTTTGTGCCTTTTTTTATTAGTATTTAAAAAAAAACCCAAACAAAAAACTTCAAGAGCTAAAGCTGGGACTTAATTCCTCTCCCCTTTTGGCCTATACACCTCATTTATGTAGGATTCAAGTTTTCTCTGTTATTCAGCTCTTATTCTAAATAGAGTAAGAGCACAAATGTTTCAGACATTACACAAGGCTCTCCAACACAGAAAACACATTCTGCCTTCCAGACAGCCTTTGTCTCAAATCAGCCAAGGACCATCAAGGCCAGAAGTGGCTGAGGAAACCTATTTTACCTCACAATAACAGCTGGGATGGATCTCTGCCACCAGCATCCCTGGCATCAAGCACTGAAACAGCAAAGTTTTGCTAACAGTATAAGTTATGTGCAATATTTCAATTTTGGGGAATGAGGAGTACACTGGAAAGGACTGATTAGTGTTACAGGATACAAACTGAAGATGAGCAAAACAAGCAAGCAGGTATCTAGAGCTGGGAAGAACAATTAGCCCTTGCTCTATGAAATAGCTTTGTTTCACTAAGGATTGAGTTTGCAGGTAAACTGTGACACTTTGTGAGAACAAGTTTCTAGAAAAGCTGATGTGGTTGGTGTGTAACCAATATGATTACAGGATACCAGGTGAGGCAAAGAAAATATTATGGGAGGGATGAAGAGAATCTGGATTTTTATTTTTTTTCCTACTAAAAATGAGGAAACTCCCCCAATCTTTCTGTAAATAAAAAAAAAAAAATAAAAAAATCTGCTTCTATGGACAATACCTGTTCACCTTGTAGATTCCTTTAGAGACCAGTATTTAGCTCTTCATTGCATTTGGGCAGCCTGGCTGATTTAAGTCATATTTTGAGTTTCCTCTTCTCTGGGAAGAGGGTTGAGAAGCTATGGTTTTGGAGTTATACTAAGGCAAAGAAAAGAGTAGTCCCTCAGTTCCTGCAATAGCAGAGTGTAAAAGGGATTGTGGCACTGTGGATGCAATGAGGTTTTTCAAATATGTTATCTTACATGGCTTTTAGATCAAAATTATTTGTGAACCACATTTTATCATTCTCAAGTCAAAGAATATAAATTTGAAAGAAACACACTTGTATTTTCATTTGAATTCTGTCTGAAGAAACTGTATGACGTGTCCTTTAAAAAAGCCAGGGAAATAAATGCTTGAAGCTGTTATTCCTGGGGACTATGCACTCCAGCACAGAAATAATAGGAAAATACCTGAAGAAAATGTGATAGAATTGATCTTTCAAAGGAGTTTAGAATTGTATAAACTTATCTCAACCATATTTGTCATGTGGAACTTAAATCATCCCTCCCACAGATACTTTGTAATAAAATGCAGAGTATCTGTTCATTGTTTTGAGTTTTGTTTTTGTTTGTTTTGTTTTTTTCTGCAGAATCCATTCTACTTCTTTGGGTGTTTTTAAGAAGTCTATTTATTTTTATTGCCCCTAAGTCACAGAATTCAGTAGATAACAGTAATAGTGCAATGTTTTGTATATCTTTCAAAGTGCTTGAAAAATGCTATATTTGGAAACAATGGGTCTGGAACTCTCCTGATCCAACATGTTTTTTATTATTTTCACTGCTTCATTTTATGAATAAAAAACTTGGTCTTAAAATCCATTTTCCATGTTAGAGACACTAATTAATTAAAATTGGAAGAAAAACTGAAATTGTTCCAAGGAAGTCACAGCACCTCACAGTGGCTCCTAAAAAGCTTTGTGCCACAGGAGTAACAGATATGCTGAAAGTCATTTAAGGAAAATATAACTCAGTCTTTACAATGTTCTTTGTCTTGCAGTGTAACTTGGGAAGATCCTTCTTTTTCTGGGTGCAGGTTGCTCTATGCCTCTGGATAATTACAAGGTTATCAGTAAAAAGGCTGAGTTTCTGAGTGAGCAACAGCACTGTCAACATATAATGCTTCTCAGAGTTAGTAATGGCAGCAGATAGAGTCAGTGCTTTTTTCGGCATCTAATGCTCTGAGCCTCAGTTCATAAGAAATACTTTATGCTTTACTGTTGTAAAAAAAAAAATATAGCATTTCTTGCTTGAAGAAAAACTGATCAGTGACAATTTGAAAATGTTATATTGCCTATATCTATTTTCTTCCAAGATCTGTAAGTGAAGTAAAAAAACAAGAAAAGGCTTCCCATTCATAAAGAAACTTAAATCTTGCATGCATCTAGCATCTTAAATGATTCATATCCTACATCCAAAAATTATTTTGTTGTTTTCAATATTAGAAGGGCATTTAAAAAAAAAAAGTTTAAGTAAATTAAACCACACCACTGTATTCTAAAATGCAGCACATTTTAAAATGCATATTTTAAAATGAATCAAAAAAGGTTGTGATGCCTTTTCATTCACAAGACATCAGAATATACCGTAACACGCCTATATGCTGTCGATAACATTTTTGATTTGCCTAATCATGAGGTTTAATATGCAAGAACAACATTAAAGTTACTTCATCTTAGAGGCAATTGGAATGAATACCTGTTTTTTTCTCTTCCCCTTTATTTTTATTTGTGTGTGTGTGTGCGTGTGTGCGCGTGTGTGTGTGTGTTTGTTGGGGTTTTTTTGGTGAAGCTATGTTAAGTTTTATAGTTATCCAGTTGCTTCGGACTAAAAATAGTTCTTAGCATGTCAAGTGACTTTTCAAGCTAACCTTTCAGTAGACTTTAATCTGCATTACAAGCTAGAAATCTTTGAAGCTTATCATGTTTAATTTGCACAGCAAAGCCCAGAAAAGAAGTAAAAGAAAAGGGGGAAGGGATTCACACCAGGGCAAGCAAATTCAAAACCACTCAGTCACATTACATGGTAGGGTTTCTTGTATGCATTCAGTTCTCCACATGCTAGTTTAACCTAAAGAATGACCAAAAACAACTGTTAAATAAAGCAGACTAATGGTGCTAGGAACAGAAACCTAGGACAAGACTGAGGTTAAATGCATCTTCCTTTTTGTAATACTTTGTTTGGTATAATGATGTCACCAAGTATTAGCCAAATATATATATATATATATATACACATTCAAAATGTTTCTTTATCTTGATGTTGTCTGTTTATTGTGTTGTGCATGTTGTATGGAGGAAAGCATGTATTTAGGATTGTCCTTTTGTTGGGGAAGAGATCCTGCCTCAGAGCAAATGCAATCTAAAGGGAACTGGGAACATGAATAGACTCTATTCAGACAAAGCTAATCATTTAGTTTCTTCACTTCTGTCCTTTCAGTGAAGACAGTGAGGTTAGGATAGTTTCACCACGAAGTGGTACTGGCAACTTAGAAATGATTAACTAAAGTTTGCTAGGCAGTTATTTATTTTGGGGTGTAATTTCATTTACTAACTAAAGATAAATAGCTCAGTCTAAATCAGTAAAATATTTCTGCTCCTTTGCTCAGTTGCATAAAACTGCTATGAAATCCCCCAGCCTCCTGCCCACCGTGAAACCAGCTGAAAAAAGACACTTACCCGAATGTTGATTTGTTTGTCATGGAGCACTCGCTGCAGCTCTAAAAGGCTGCCCTTCAGTGTCCTGAGTTTCACAGCCAGCTGCTCTGCCTCGTCCTTGGTATGAGCCTTCCCCTCCATAAGCAAGTTCTCGTTGTGCACAGACAACTCTGACAAGGCTACCACCTTCTGCTCTATTTCAACCAGCATATTCTGCAGCAGCAAAAACAAAGAACCAAAATCATACATTTCCCAGCACCTGTCACGCTTTCCAGCAAGACGACCTGTGGCCTACCTCACTCGTCACCAAGCTAAGGGCAAGTCAGATTATCATTGCTTTGCCTTCCACTTCCTTTCAGAGTCCTTAGGAATATGCTTGCAAATGTTTGCCTTTGCCATTTCTGTTTGCATCCTTTTTCAAAACAGGAAATTAAAAAGTTATTTGAAACAAAGGATTTGTTGCAGAGAAGATGCTCTTTATTTGCACATTAAAGGTAGGGGTGCCTAAGGTGCTAGACTGATATCCATCATAATTAAAAACAGAGCATGGAGCTAGAGTTACTTTCCTCTTCTTTCATGTACATTCAGTGCAATGCGTCCTACCTCCTCCTTTGCGTTGCTCTGGCTAGGTTGATAAGCTTCTCTTCTCACTATTTGCTCTTTCTGATTGGTGCATGACAGACTTAAGGATTTCTGTATAATCCTCTTTAGTCTAAAGACAGACTTAAAGTGACAAAGCTCTAGCATGTTTATTCGCAAAAGCTACTTCCTTGACATTCCATTAACTGTTTGTGTATTACAGACATAGTGCATATTTTGATCTTCCAAACTCAAAGCTCACACAATTCTTGAGAAAGAAACCTAACCTGACACCAAATGTTTTTGCTTCCATAGCAACCATCTAGTATAAACTTACAAATATTTCACCTGAAAGAATGCATACAAGATAAGATGGGCTAAGTATCTAAGAAGTGGAAACAATACAGAACTTTATATAAAGCTTACTGTATTAAGATGTTAAGAACAAGCAAAAGAACAGCAGTATTAACTTTTCCACAAAGTTAACCTTTTTTGTGTGTGTTTTCTATAAATTATACTAAAAAAAACAAAAACTGCTTTAATTTCACAGGTTTTATTTATATATAACAACAGTTCCTAAGGATGAGTGATGAAAGAACACACAGGACTCAGCTGACTGAAAATTCCAATAATGAAGCTATGTCGGTGGGAATTTAACCTGATGTTGAATTCATTGTACTTACAGGAACTTCCGTTTACACTAAAACAGTAGAGATCCTCAGTTGATAAGAAGCCAGTATCCTTTTATATGAAAGGGTATCTTTTGTCCATCTGTCTCTTGTCTATGTTGCAATTTTAATTATAATGGTCGTATAGTTCTAAACTCTCATTTAAAAATTGAAAACTCCCACTAACTTGAGAAACTGTATGTTACAACTGATCCAAGCCTTGTTAGCAACAGTATCTGCAATGACTAATGCAGCAAAACGTTCTTCCTCTGTTGTTTTGTATTTCGGGCTTATAACATTAACTACCGAGGATTATAGTTTACTTTTGACTATGGCTAGGGATTAGCCCTGAAGAAAACACAACACTGTCACAGGTACTGCTGCTAGCGTGAGTGTATTCTTCAGCTGGAAAAGGAGGAGTAGGAAAGTACAATGCAGGTGTTTGCATGCCTAGCAAGGGAGCTGTTCAACAGCTGTAGCTGTAGTGGAGCAAAAACCACAATTGCAGTGAAGAAAAATGTTCTTGCAGTCCAGATATCTTGGTTTTCTACTGTTCTGTTTGCATGTGCTTTCTAAAGCACTATGCAATCTTCAATAAGGAATTAATAACAGGCTATATTTTACAAATAATTGATGAAGATAACTGATCATATAGGAGGTGCTAAGGAGCTCAGAAAATTCTTCCCATTAATATGCTGGCTCATCCCAATCAATGATTAATTGTCTTAACATTTATGTTCCATATTTGACTTTTCACTCAGATAAAGCTATGTCAATCCTGTCTGTCTAAACATTCCAGGACTGATAATTTTACCTGACAGTCTACCAGCTGTGCTTCCATGTCCATAGGTTCCTCAGGAGCAACCAGAGCACTGTCAAGTGTTGCACGGGTATTTAATAGCCAGTGGTCAAGCTCATCAGCTTCACAGCGGTATCTTTGAAGAGCCTGCTCTTGCCGCTGTTCTTCCAGCTGCTCATTCAGTTTTTCCTAGAGGTACAAATTACATTTCAGTTTATAAAAGAAATACACTACAACATTCACTTAAAAAAAAAAAAAGAAAAAACAACAAAAAAGAAAAAAAAAGCCCCAACCCCCCCACCCTCTCTTCCTTTTATAACTTCTATATATTACTTTTAAGCTATAATAAGCCTTTTCTTTGGTAAGTTGAAAACCTTAACAAAATATTATTGCTTTCAATTGATGAGCATGAGTTTCTGGTGACTGAAATTCTCTTTCAGTTCAGCCACTGTATTACTCTTCTAAAGGTGAAGTCCTTTCTGCCTCCTTTGGATTCCCCCCTACACTGATTCAGTTTGCTCAACTAGCAAACTGTTTTGCTTATGGAAAAAGATGCATGGGGGCATAGCACTAGGAATGGGCTGCAGGGAAAGGAGAGCTGCTTTGCCTTTTGTGGGAGCTGCAGGCTACCTTATTGTCGCTCAAGAGAGGCAGAAGATGGGTACTTCAAGTACCAAGAGAGTACTGGTATGTCTCTGGTGTAACTACTGGGCATAAAAAGAAGTATGAAGAGCTGTCTACCTTGTCTGGCCTCCTGAAGGATCCCTGTGCCACGGGGTGTGGAAGGACATTAAGGTCCAGAGGCTGCTGCAACAGCTTTGCAGCAATGCAAAAGCCCTGGCTCCATCTATCAGCTGGTCTTTCTATTGGACAGACAGGGAGTAATCATCAAGACTTGCTCACCCTTTAATAGTTCCATATGAATTTGAGAACAGGCTGACCAGGTGGGCCCAGTGGGTGGAGATCAGGGGCCCAAAGTCTAGTGAAAGGCCATTAACAACCCTAGCAAGTTTACTGGTGACACAAAATGGGAGAAGTGTCTGATACACCAGATGGATCCCAACAGGCTGAAGAACGGAGCTGACAGGAACCTCATGGAGTTGAACAAAAGGAAGTGCAAAGTCCTGCACCTGAGAAGGAACAACCCCAGGCAGCAGTATATGCTGGAGGTCACGTAGATAGAAAGCAGCTTGGCAGAAAAGGATCCTGGGGTTCTGGGTGGACAGCAACTTGAGAATGAGCCACCAATGGACCCTTGTGGTAAAGAAGGCCAGTGGTGCCCTGGGCTGCACAAAGTGTTGTGCTGTGTCCAGTTCTGGACTCCCAAGAACAAGTGGAATATGGAGCATTAGAGAGAATAGAGAGGATTTCAGGAATAGGAAACAGATAGAATGAGATGGTCAGAGGATACGTAGATGTATTGGATAATGTGGAACCTAAGCATACTGCAAATAGTATGGAACAAGAGAAGATTGCACCGTATCTGGCTAGGATGAGTTAAATTCATTGCAGCGTGTTGAGTGCTGTGGTTTTTGCAACTGTGGCTAAACCTGTCTGATAACAGAAATGTTTTGGCTATTGCTGAACAATGCTTGCACAGAACTAAGGATTTATTTCCAACTGCCCCTCACAAAGGCCAGTGGGCTGGGGAAGGGCAAAAGGTTGAGAGAGGACATAACGTAGCCAGCACAGCTAAACTGAACTGACCAAAAGGATATTCCATATGAGCTCATGCTCAGCAATAAAAGCCCAAGTAAAAGGGTTAGGGCAGAGTGGCCATTTGTGCTTATGGTATTTGTCTTCCCAACCAACAAGATGGTGAGACCCTACTTTCCAGGAAAGTGGCTAAACATCTGCCTGCTGACGGGGAAGTAGTAAATAAGTTCTTCATTTTCCTTTGCTTGCACGCACAGCTTTTCCATACCCTATTAAGCTGTCATTATCTCGATCCATAAATCTTTTTTGTCTGCCTTCTATTTTTAACCCATTCTACAGGAGAGGGGAGTGAAGGTGAGTGCTTGGCTGCTGGCCAGGGTCAACATACCACACTTCTGTGAGGAAATTCAGACGTGCATGTGCAAGACAAATCCCTCACACAAGGACATGTTTGCAGAGCTTTTCTGAATGCTTAATTTAATGGGAAATTAATAATTACATGTTAGAATAATTTAAAGAATAATGATAGTTGTGAAGAGCCTCAAATAACCCAGAGCTGAACAGTTCTCAAGCTCTAGGTATTTATATTAAGTTCAGAGAAAGAACAATATTAGCAATCCACACCCTCAACAGCAACATGTTTTCATTACCTGTTCTACCTGCATTGTTAAATGTACATTCCTGCAGTATCCTGACAGATTTTATCTGTGAAATCAGAGCTATAAAGTGCACAGGTTATATTACTGAATACTGTCTGATTACCATACATATTTGCTATTATAGCAAAGTAACTGTCAGAATTTTAAGAACAGTTGATAGCAGTGTATCTGACTCATGCTTTATCCTGAAATTATTAGTTGGCATCTCCTCCTAAGTACTACCAAGAAGGAAAAACTCAGTGCAATTTTTAAAGAATAACAAAGATATTTTCTCTGGACTTATTCAGGTCACTGTACAGAATTAATGCAGTTGATGCACACTGGGGACTCCCCTGTAACTCAGTGTTGTGGTTTAACCCCAGCCAGCAACTAACCACGGCTTAGTTCCACAGAGTCAGTTCTCACTCAGTCTCTCAGAATCAACTGATGCTGGAAATAACAGCAGTTGCCGTGTTTGTGAATTCACTGCTGCAGTTCTTAGCAGGACAGCAGCAAAGCTGCTCTTCAATGTTCCAAGTAGCCAAACTAATGTAGCCAGCAGTAACATGACTTTATGTTCTCATGTATATAATTCACACAGCAGCATTCATACACACAAAGGACTTTTTAAAAATCACCTTAGTTTTGAAATATTTTTGGTAAAGCTGTTAGACAAAGAAATAAAGGGTTGCATCTTTGATAAAAGTCTGCATACTGATCACTGGTAAGATGAGCACAGACAACAATGAAACACTTTAGAAAAGGTGTTATTTCTTGTTTTAGGCTTCCCCCCTTCTCAGAGAGGTGGCTCCTTAAAATTTTATTGTAGGTAACATGACTTTTGATACCTGCACTTCATTACTTCTCCTGTGGAGAACATGGAATACCAATGGAACCTACTGAGAAAATGTCAATGTGAGTATTACAAACCAAATAAACTATGCATGTATATTATTACATAACTCCTGCAGTGTGTTTCCAAGTTCCTTCTGGTTGCTTACCACCTAGAATTAAGATAAGGGTTTTGTTAAGAAAGAGTGATAGTTTATTAGTGAAAGGAATTGTGACAAATGAGCAGAACTAAATTTACTTTTTCAACTATCATCACTCAGTGGTGACTAAGAACTTCGGCGAAAGTACAGGTCTGCCAAAAGTGGCTCTCAAAATCTGGAACACGACCCACTCCTACAGTCGTACCTCTAATAGTTGTCGTTTTCCTGATGCCTTCATTCGAATTGTGGCCATTCGTTCTGCCAAGACCGTGAGAGTGGATTGCAATGCCAGCTGATCAGCAGCTTCTGCATCCAGTGGTTCTGAAACCAGCTCATGGGCTAATGATGTCTGAAGCTCAGTGATTTCTTCTTGTAACATCAAAATCTCATCCATCAAAGCCTATTTAGAAATGAGACCAGAGGAAGTATTTGCTTCATTTATCAGTGAGAAGAAAGTATCTCAGGAGGCTTAATAAAAAATTCAAGATAGCTGTCCCAGGGGAGCGTAAGGAACACACAGTACAGGAATATATCACTGCTGGTTTGGTAGAGTCTGAGTCCTGCTTTTAGGTGATTAAGCCAGGATCATACATCTGACAACAGAAATGTGCATTTAATTACTTACCTGGAATTTGAAACATATCACCAAAAGGAAGTCTTTTTGAAATATTACACATACAGATCTATTCTTTAAAAAAGTTTTATACAGAATATTCTAGTAGATACAGTAGACATGATGAACAAGTTAGTGAGTGTACGTTTGTGAGAGAGAAACAGGGGCATGAGTTAGCTTCCAGCCTGTAATTTACTAATTCCACAAAGAACATCCTGCAATATATGTAAACATCCAGGGATTAACTCCATGGTGTAAAAGAAGTTACTACCACCATTCTTCTCACATAGATCAGTTTCCAAGATGCCTACAAGAGGATGCTGCATTACCAATACCTTAGAGCAGATACTCTACCTTCATGTCTGACAGTATACACATTGGGTGCACAGGACATAAGACAGTGCTACAAAAGCCAAAAGTTTTCTTTTTCAGGTCATGGAGTTCCTACTGAAATGAAAACTGGCCCTAACACATAGTTTCAAGCTATCAAATAGAAGGCTTATTTGACTACAACTTGGACAGACGTCAAATTGTTTAGCTGACAAAATATTCTCTCATTCAGGATGCCATTTCTCAAGGGGAATGGGAGGGATTTTTTTGTATGCTTTAGATTGCTTTATTCAACAAAGCAAAGATTGTATTTAGATCCATATAACATGCATCAGTATTGGTTATGATCTTAGTAAACTTGGAAACATCATAAAGAGTCCAGTGTATGCTAGCAGCACTGATGCCGAAGAACAGTATCTGTAGGTGGCAGTGAACACCATCTCTGACAAAAGATTTTGCTGAAAATTTTGATTGGACAAACTTACTATTTAGTCTACTTTTTTAAAAGGCTCTTTATTAAAAGAATCCACATTACACCATCTTTATAACAGCAGAAGTCCAGAAAGGCAGTTAACAGAGAAGTTTCATACAACTAATGAATGTTTTTGAGGCATCCAGCTGTGAAGAATGCTGCTTTCTAAAAAAAGGGAACTAAAGATATAGGCGTAATGCATGTCCTCCCTCTATTTGTCACATGTAAATTTTTACCTGATGTTCAGCCATCTGGCTCTCTGGGCTTTTGGCTGGTTCCAGACTCTCATTTAGTTTGGTCTCAATGCTCTCCATTTTTGTGGATATAGACTGGAGTGTGTCCTGATACTTCTGCTGACGTTCAAGAGCTTCATAGAGGGTACGCTGCTTTTCACTGATCTGAAAAGAAATGGAATGTATAAGTTCTGACCTCTGATATAAAATTTACTCTTTCTCCTGCTTCTTATATCCCTAGGCTTACCAGACTAAATCCAAGAACTTGCCACAAGTTTTCAAAAGTATGAATTATAAAGGATTATTTATTTTAGATTTTATGTATTCTAACATGTGGATATGCACTATTTGCTAGATGTATAGTTCTTAATATCCCATAATAGCTAATGTGCCTCTGCAAAGAATTAAAATTTATAGCATGCAATCAAAACCTTGATCATTGTCATAGTTCACTGAATTATTATGCTGCACTACTATGTAAAATGTGTTAAGCTGACTCAGTACGTGCGGAAACTGGATTCTTGGGCCTTTTTTGCCAGCTCATCCAGCATGAGCAGATTTCCCTGTAATCTTAACAATAGTTGCCTTCAAAAATATTGGCCATCAGCCTTAATGACTTAATGGAGATCTATCCAAACGCAGGCTTCCAAACAAAGAACAAAAGTAGAATAACATCACAACTAACAATTCCTGTTTCTGCTTGAAAACCAAGAATTGCTGAGAAGAATATTAAATAAACCAGTTCTTTGCATTTTATTCCTTACAAACTATCTAATTTTTTGAACCCTTCAAATGAAGACTTACCACATTTTTCAGTGTTTCCCAAGAACGCTGCAAATCATCCAATTTGGCACTAGCAGCTGTTTCTAAGCCTGGTTCATAAAACTCCTGGGTGGCTGAAGTGCTGGGTTGAATTTTAGCAGCTTCTGTCTGCAACTGTTCAGCAGATAAGGCTTGGTAATAAGCAATGTCCTACAAGCACGAAGCACATTATGGCACTTTCAAAATGAAAGATACTACGTAACATTCCCTCTGTGTACTGTCCCATTGCATGTCCATTCAAATAAAACCCCCCAAAAGACAAAACCACCAGAAAACCTCTGGGCAACACAGTAAATAAAGAGTAGAACACTGAGTACAGCCTGGAGCTTCACTATGAAGACCACTGTAGATGCATTTTTTTCACGATCATACTAGCTGTCAGACACAGGAGGCATCTATAGACAGACATGGAAAGGCTGGGAATGGAGTGCTATAAGTGGGAGCATTGTTCTAACATCATCGCAACAGACAGCAGGGTATGGCATGGTAGGTGACAAAGAATGTCATTTCAATGAACAGAGAGAAGGCAACAAAAGAACAAAAAGGAGTATGTTGAAGAACTAGTCAACATGTAAGAAAGAGTACAAAACACTAGCTTATAGTAAGCGTTCAAACAAATAGATATTCTTGGCTAACTTACAAAAGATAGTGGGAAAAGAGACTAGAATTGCTATGAGAAAGGGGCAAATGTTCAAACTGCCATTGAAAATTCAGGGTGGAACTGTTTCACAGCAGACATTCCATATTCAGCGCGTAGGGATTCCTTCAACTATTACAGGTGACAATTAAAAAAATATGCAGAAAATTTCAAATTAAGGAAACATGCACAGTATCTATATTTCAGTAAGGAAAGCAGACTTCACAACAAGGATTATTTAAAACAAAACCATGTAGTAAGAGTTACCACCACATCTATTTGGAAGGTGAAAAACACTGCAGCCTTCCTTCTTCTCACTTAGTAGCCTTACTTTGTGAACTATGCCCAGACCATGCAACCCAGCAGCTATTATTCAGTTTTCTCACCAACTTTGCACTTGTAAATGCCCCTAGTTGCTCAAAATCTACTGGAAAGTTTGCTTGGAAAGTCCTCCTCCAATGATTTCAAATTTCTTTGTTCCTGACTTTGTAGGATAGGGATGAAAATTCAGCAGGTTGAGCAACATGACTGAAAGAAAACTAAGTGCCTTTCACCTAGAAGCTTACAAAGCTGTGTCTACCAAACAGACTGCAGACCCTTTACTGTACTGCAAATATAAAAGTGTGTGTATAAATACAAATTCCCAAAGAGTGAAAGGAATTAAATAGAGTTGGTAGCTCTTCTCCAGGGCCCATTACTGGGGCCAGTTTTGTTTAATGTTTGTAGCAAGGTGGGTGTTGGTCTCTTCTCCCAAGTAACAAGTGATAGGACAAGAGGAAATGGCCTCAAGCTGTACCAGGAGACGTTTAGATTGGATACTAGGAAAAGCCTCTTCTCCAATAGATTTGTCAAGCACTGGAACAGGATGCTCAGGGAAATAGTTGAGTCCCCGTCCCTGGACGCATTTAAAACACGTACTTAGAGACATGGTTTAGTGGTGGACTTGGCAGTGCTTGATTATCAGTTGGACTCGATCTTAAAGGTCCTTTCCAACCTAAATGATTTAATGATTCTATTTTATACCTGAAAGGAAAGTGCAAAGAAGACAGAGCTAGGCTTTTTTAAATGTTGCCCAGTGACAGGACAAGGGACTATGGGCACAAACTGAAACACAAGAGGTTCCCTCTGAACATCAGGAAACACTTTTTTACTGTTAAGGGTTACTGACCACTGCGACAGCCTGCCCACAGAAGCTGTGGAGTCTCCATCCTTGGAGATACTCAAAACCCAACTGAATAGAGTCCCAGACAACCTGCTGTATGTGGCCTAGCTTGAGAAAGGGCATTGGAACAGCACAAATCATCCCGTGATTCTGTATAGGTGCATACAAGTTAGGTACTACACAAGACTATATCTGGGGTACTAGATCTCCAAGTATATTTAGGATCCTAACTTGGAGCAGAATCTTTATTTCCCAATGTAATTTCATTATCTTATCTAATACTGTATGCGAACAAAACAAAACAAGCTCTGGAAGAGTACAGGAACAAGGTCACTCCCATCAAACTGTCCAAAAGCGGCAGATGAGGTACTTCTTCCAAGGCAATAATAGAGAACATTGAACGATTTCATGATAAAAGTTATTTCTGATGTCCAGGAGCTAATAAGGAATAGGTAACAACTTAGCACACCACTCGTTACTGCAATTTGAGGATCTTTTACTCTGACCACAAGTGATCTTTCTATGTCACAGTGAAAAATTGCAACAGTGCAGGCAACTTCTCATTTTGCCTTATCAGCAGCTACTTTCCAGCCCTTAGCTAGCCCTCTCTCAAGACCAATACAAAAACTGGGCTTCTGAGACTTCTTAATCATGGTTTCCAGAATAAAAAGCTCGCTTTTATAGAGAAAGAAAAGCAACCCCTTCCCCCATCTTTTCAACTACTTTCTGGAGTATATATGACAGCTTCTTTTTGGCAGAGCTTTCAGATAATGGTAGTGTGAATCCAGATGTTCCTACAAGTAACAGATTTTGTTGCCCCTAAAAGGCCCTAACATATCATGCCCACTTTTGTGAAAATTAGCCAAAGAACAGTACTCAGGCTTTGTTGTTAGGATGTAGGAGAAAAGGGTGTGTTTAGATTTCAAAGGATATTTAACAAGGGCTGTTGCACTCTAGGTGAGTTTTTGTAAGGGAAGGAGAAAGAATGATAACTGTGTACAAGGAGATGAAAAGACATTTAATAGTGACCTGGTCCTGAAGACCTGAATCACAGCATCAGCTGTGGCTTCAAAGGCTTTCTGACACTTCAGCTTTTGCAATTCAATTGTGCTGCATTGCCTATCTGGAAAAAAAAGTTTTTAAAAATGTGCCAAATCTTAATCAGCTATACCTCTGGGTAAAGGTGAGAAGTTTTAACTCCAAAGGCTTCCCATTCAGTACTGTAGCAGATGAAGTGCCTGATTCTGCTATGCATCAAAATAAACTGCACTGAAGGACTGTTATCTGTTGCTGAAGTGTATACTATGAAACTCCTCAGCCTTCTTACAGTTAACATTTTTATTGTTCCCCACCCACCCCATTGTTCTTAGAGGAGTTCCAGTAGAAAACTAACAACATGGGCACCTGCTAACAGGGCTAAATCTGTCATTTTCTTGTATTTATGGTCTTGCTTTACTCTATTTCAATACACAGAACCAGTATTTCCACTAATACACAGTTGGCATTTGTTTTATATTTTCATTACTTGTTAGTAATGTAAGACAGTGCATAGGTGTCTGAATTCAGAATAACCACACTTCACCATTAAGAGACACTAGGAAACCATGATGAAAGGCTGGACAAAGATAGGCATGAATTTAAAAAATAGCCTTAACATCCAACCTTCTCCTCCTTACCTCCTACTTCATGAAATCTTTTAATTTTTTCCAGAGACTAAATTAATGTAATTCTTTACTTTCTAGAGCTCCTGTTCACATGTTTTTTTCTGGTACTCTGCAGTTTCTCTTACTGTGAGAATTTTTTTCTGTTAATGCTGGCTACTTTTTATAACAAAAGATTTTCAAATTAGTTCTGCCAAGTCTCAGTGAATACATGGTATTTTTTAACTTACATTTAAGACCCTAATTAACTAATCTCTATTTTTTTGTGGTTTTTTTCTTTTTTCTTTTTTTTTTTTTTTTAACCAATCTTCTTTCCTGAAGTGTCCCTGGGCATTCATCATGGTCAGCACTGGCACTTTCACAGCTTCTTTAGTTTCAACATCATGTGAGTGAGAACCTAAGCATTTTGTAAGCCACCGCATTTTGGATCATTCTTCCACTTATTTTTTAGTATATTCAGATCATTTCAACACTAACCACACTGAACAAACCTTAATCTGTACGTTTTTTAGATTATAACACCATCAATTTTATCTCTTTCAAAAATACTCTGCTAAATGAAAAACATCACCTTCTTCTTAAATTTTGCCCTAATAAATCATAGGTTCTAAAATCTGCATTTTGATGTCACCTCATGGTGCAACAGCATCTTTGCTAGGTTTTCCTTATTATTTGAGATACTGGAGCTGTTAGCCTGATTTTACATTTTCAGAGAAATGTGAGGAACTGACATTGGCTTCATTTCTTGGGAAGCAAGATGCTCTTGGTTCTTTCATTATTTCACTGATTAACACTGTCTAAGATTTCTGTGCTGAAACATACAACTGTCTTTTTACTGTAAGTAAACTTCACTGGAAATTATCTGATTATATGAAATAACAGAACACTAGAAAAATCCTTCTCATTAATTAAATATCTTTTTTATTTTTCTGTTGGAAGATTTTGTCAGCAGTCTTACTATTTTACCTTAATATTCTTCCTTATGTCTGTCATAAAAATGAATTATTCATATTTAGCAACTTCTGTAGCACATAAGTATCTTTGAAATTAGTGGAAGGAATCAGTGGGTATCTTGCTCAAACCTTTCAAATTCTACTCAGCCATGCAACACAATGCATTCTACCCCTTAAGTCTGTAGTGGTCAGTTTTGGAAGAAGTCGCAACTGAAAAAAACAACCACAAAACCCACAACGTGACTAACTCAGAGAGGTGGTGACTGCCCCTAAGGCTCATCTCTGAACTTCTAAAGCTTAATATTTTTCATGTGCTTTCATGTGCATGATGCTCCATGTGCTAGGTTCATTGCTTATTAGAAATGCCAGGCCCCTCAGTTTTGATTTAACTTCAGTGGTTTTGCTGATCTGCCACTTAAAATAGACTGTCACAGAAAGCAAGGAATGAACAATACATGAATAAAAAAAAAAAGAAACAAACCAGGAAAGTTAATACTTTAAGTGGTATTAAGATATCAGTGTGTGACTTCAATGTTACAATGCCACTGATACAGTAAGATAGCTATATGGACATAATGCAATGTTTTATTATGTGGAGTACAAAATTGCATTTCTTCTCAGGATGCAAGATTCCATTAAGTACTACTGACAAATTAAAAGTAAGGTTATAAATAAAAAACTGTAGTCACATGCAAGAGCTTTGTCAATTAAAACATATTTTTAAAAACAGCAAATAGCTTTAACACCAGGTTTACACATTTTAAACTCAGAAGTCAGTATATGCATCCATTTTGAATTAGAACCTGAAGGTTCAATTAGGTTAGAGGTTAAGCCTCAGCTCCTTGGAGCTGTAGGTAAATATTATTTCAGAAGATTAAATAAACCACCTGTGGAATGGAACCATGCATGTCTGAGATTAAAGCTGAATGAATGCCAAGAGGGAGGTACCTGGTTAACAGAAGCATCTGTATTAGCCACAGGTGAAGGAGAGCGACAGGCAGGTGGAGAAGAAATCTCACTGTTGGTTCCCTCCTCCCCAGATTCCTCAGTGACAGGGGAGAGCAGCGTGTGACAGCGACCAGCAGTCATCTGCCACAGGAAAAGCAACCCCAGAGCACAGGAAGAAAATCAGTTACCTCAACTTATGTTTGACTTAGACTGAGATAAACCCCCCCAAAAAAAAACAAACAAAAAAAAACCCAACACATGGCCAGAATTACCATGTCATTATTTGGTCATACTTCATGCTCTTAATTTACCAGTTTAAAAATCTTGTTGAATTAACAGTATCATTTACTTGTCAGACTTCAGTATAAATATGCTCTCCTCTACCCTCACGAATTTAAAAGAAATTGTATAGCAAACAACTCAATAATAGTAAATTACGGTTTGGCTGTATGTCTTCTAATACAATCACTGCTGCATATGGAAATACTGTGGAGAGCTACAGAATAATGTAGCATTGGCCACAGTATCCATGCCTGATTAGAACAAGGAATAGACTTGGAATATAAAATACACACAGTCCAGTAGCAACATACTATTCTTGCTCCCCCAATGCTGTTATACAATGAAAAATCCTGAAATCAGCACTCTATTTTCACTCAGATAAAAATCTCAATACCATCAGCAGTACATTTGTAATGAGATCCAGTTAGAAACAAACAAAAGCAGAGTAATTTAAACATGAGGCCTATGGCAGTACTTGGCCAGCTTTTATTTCCAACACTATCACCTGAAAATATAGCAGCATATTGTAAATTATCAAATCAACATTTTAAGATAAGAGCTTTAAAAATACAGTGTGCAAAACCTATCCACTGCAACGTTATGAAATAATATTTAATCTGATTTCATCTCATTCCTGCAATTCAGTACTTTTTCAGTGTTTGCTCTTACATGCTTACAGCTACAAAAAAGCACTGAATTTGCATCTTCTTACAGAAAACTTCCACTGGTATATGTCTGTTAAATAATTTCACCCTTTATGAAGAAGTCTTGAAAACCCACATAAAGCAAACTACAGGAAGGGGAAGCTGCAACTTGTTTGGTTTGCCACACTTCCAGCCATTTCAAAAGCAAAATGTATATGTAACCTGTGGCAATTTGCTACACAGGAGTATTGCAATGATGCAAAAGCAAGCAGCTGAGATAAACAGTACCAATACCAAAGCATTCCTTACCATAACCACCGAGGGATGAGCAGAGTGTGCTGGGAGCAGGTCTGAATCCAGCTCCTCCATTCCCTCTGAAAGCCCCTCCACTTCTGTCACTGTCAGCAGCATGGTGGCATGTTTTGCTTTCATTGTCAGCATCTTGCACTTTGAATTCAAAGAAGCAATTTGCTCCTGGTATCCTTTGATCTTCTGAGCCAGCTCCTGAGGAAACATTTTTTTTCCTCTTATGCAGAGGCTGTCCATAAAGGCCACAGGACTCGCAGCATTTCAGCTTTCCTGGCAAATGCAAGCTCTCCCCTCCAAGCCCAGCCAATAACATCACAGCACTGCCTCTCCGGAGCCCTGCATAAGCTGCCGCGCTAGCTGACAAGCAGGATGTTGGTAGTGGAGCGAACAAGTCAGGCTGCGTCTGGCTGCAGAGCTAAACCGCAGAACAGAGAGCTTTGAGGCAAAACCGGAAAAATGCTGCAAAGGCTCTGTGTGCATGATAATCACAGAGGGAAGGGAGGGATGCCTCACGCTCGCATCCAGCCTGAGCCTGACATGAAGTTTATCAGCTTCAGACTGCAGAAAAGGGAAATGTGTCTCCCTCTTCCTGTTCTATTTTTTCCCCTGTTCTATTTCCATATATCTGAGGAAGATGAAGCTTCTCCACACAGTGCCTGCCACGGAAATGAGGCTATGTGGTAACCACTGTAAAAAATGCCCCATTCAGCTCTTGACAGAACGAATTAATTGTTCAAACAATAACTCACAGGGTCTAGCAACATCAAATGTGATAGGCACAATCAGTCATGTAATAAGATTAAATGCAGACTGGATCACTTTTTGTCACTGTTTGGATAAGCTGGGGTTTAATCCTGTTATGGCTAAAAGGGGGTTTATCTGTATGGCCAAACACCATCATATATTTAAGTTTAGTTGGAGAAGAAAGATGGAAATGAACAATGAACAACCTTAGAAACTGACTTGTCTTCTCTCCTGCCCTGTACTGCTACCCAGGTGGCTGTCCAGCCTCAAAGCTTTCAACTAACATACTTAAGTAAATAAACAACAAAGCAATGCTGGGAGATTTTACATTTCTGCCAAAGCTATTGCTCCTGTTTCCATAGAGATTCAATAATATGAATTTTGATCTATAAAATGAAAAGGACATTTGTATAAGCTTGCCTACTTAGCCAGTGATTATTCATTCAAATATACTCCTTTATTTTTTTATCTGCTTTTATTTCTTTAACAAACACAAGTTTTCAAAGAAAAATAGGAACAGAAGTTGCAAGATCTAGTAGGTATAATAAAAAATAATTAAAATATCTTTTTAAAAGTAAATTAATGCTTCAGGCTGGTAAAATGAAATCTGGGGAGGGGGGCTGTATAACATTTTCTGGAAATTATTTTCTCAAAATCACACTGCAGAACAGTCATAGTGAGGAATAGAGAGATCGAAATGGAAGCAGCACAAGAACTGAGGATGACACTTGACTGCCTGGGTTACAATGGCACCTGGTCAGTACCTGCCATGTAAATAACAAAAGGAGCTCTCTTGAAGCTCCAAGACTTACCTCGGAGATTAAGCAAAGTCTTGAGTATAAAACATCAACTACATAAATCAAAAACCCAACTGCAATTAAATTAAGCTATAATTTTAATGTCTAGCAGCTGGAATAGTTCTCTCTTTGGCAGGTACCAGTCATTCACTAATGCTTAATGAATGACATCTCTGGGACTCAGTAAGAAATTATCATCATTCAGTGTACTCACTTAATTCCATCATTATTACTGAGATGCAATAACATTTGTGGCATTAATTTCCAATGAACTGAGTATCTAACATATTGAAAACAGGGAAAAGGAGAGAAAAATGTGATTGTAAAAAATCCCTGAAGTGACTTATAAAAGTAATGCCTTATGAAATACTGTATTATCCATTAAAATAATTCACAAGTATGGAGGTACTTGCCCACTTTTTATACGAAAGTCTAAATAAGCACAGGTCAATAAACAGAGTGTTACATGCATAGCAATACAAGATTCCTATAAACCACATTGTATTTTGCTTCTACTATCTTCCTCTTAGTTTAAATATAACTACTACAAACATCCCTTTCAGTTCTTGTCCATGCAGGCTACAACAGGGAATCTTCAGCTGAAGTCTTCTTAAACTAAAAACACCTGTAATAAGCATCTTGATGAATTTCCCTTTCAAAGTAGTTTTTGAAATAATACAGGGTATGAAATATACACTTTATGCTATGCATTTCCACAGGTTTTTGTCAGACAAAATATGAGCCAGAACCATGCATCTCAATCTTTCAAAACTCCTTACCCCTCAATGTGGAAAGCTTGCAAGTATGTAAACCTGTCCGCTCTGGCTGATCTCCACATGTGCAATAGACTAAAGCTGCTGTTTTCCCGCAGACATTTAGAAAGACTCATAGCACTGAACTTGTTCAAATGCAGATGAAATTTCAAGCTGCCCCATTTTTAATTCCTTCTTTCTGCAGCATCATTCCTTCCTCTAGGAATATTACCCTGTACCACTGAAGTCACTTTCCTGTGTTTCCCATTCCAGAACATTTGACTAGAGAATAGTAGCATTATTAATTCAGTACTAAAACCCCATTAAGTGTTTGTTTAAACAATTTATATACCAAGTAACTTCTGTAACAACTGGATGGTAAATGAGCAACACATTTAACAGTAGGTTATATTACACTATAGCACAGACAGCTTTAATTCTCATGTAAAGAAATGGTGCCATCTAGTGCCAAAAATAACACATATAGATAATGGTACATCTTTTATCCCAGGAAATAGCCGACAGGGGAAGGGAAAAAGGAGCTCAGGAGCTCCAATGCCAGCACAGCAAGAAGGCTGCACAGAGACTATCCTGACTCATTCAAGGGCTGCCAATCAATGGGTTTGAGGACAGGACCTGTAAGTCCATGGACAAAACTCTTCCCAACAACTTGAAAAGAAGCCTTTGGAGTCAACATTGCAGAGTTTCCCTCCAAATCAACTGTATTTTTCCTGTGATTCATGTCCCCTGATGTTTTTTTACAGGATGTTACTGGCATGGAAATGAGTAATTACTTCAGGACATACACATATATAGATATGTATATGAGAATGACTGAACTAGCAGTGCTCACTTGATTAACTGCTCAACATTAACTTCTGGGACACTCCTTAGTTAAGCACCTATGCTAACTGTCCCTGAGTCATGCAATGATTTAGTTTGTCACAATTTTGCCTGGAGATTCAGACATATCTAACTGAACAAGCAAATGAATGCTCCACACTTGTACCAGTAGCATAAGTTTCCTGTCTGGTATTACATCTATCTGTCCAACTAGCCTTAAGTAAGCCTGAGAAGCTACTCACATAATTTACGACCATTGCTTATGAAAAGTTTTTTTGGGTCCTGGAGCTGCCTTTGACCCCATGCTGTTGCATTTTGCTCCCCTACCTCATGACGTGAAATCTGGACCTGAAGCTCCTGGATGTTGCCAGTTGCTATTGGTTTGTCTTGGATCTCATGATGGGCACTCTCTATCATTTGCTGTAAATGTTTCATTTCTTGCTCATATTGCTCATACTGAACCACTGCTTCCTAGAGAGGGGGAAAAGAACATTGAGTGTCTACATGAATATAAATATTTATTTAGTCCAAGCATGTCTGATTTCCCTTCTGAAGTGCAGCAAACTTAATCTATCTGGTACTTGTATCTGAATATGCAAAGCAGGAATATAGTCAGGGAAAAGTCCATTCAGAAATATTACACTTAAGTAGTATCAAGTATTCTTAATCACTGAAAATCTCTTGCTATTAAAACCTTATTCTTCTCTTTGGAAATACCTTTTACATGTTCAATTATGAATTTAAACAATCAAACAAAACCTAGTTTTCTTGTATTTAACTAAACTTGAAAATGCAAATATAATAGATGCTGAATGACTCCAAAGTCAGAAAGAAAAAATATATACATTTTCAGTAATAATGAAAAAAATATCCTAGAAAGCTATTTAAGTAACTCAACAGTTTTTACGCAATCCCAAGAGGTTGATGTTATAATGATGTATTAATTTCATAAACTAATTATCTATATTATAAAATTAACCTGCATACAATTTATATTAGCTATTTGTCTAGTTAAACCTAACAGTATTACAAAAAGCACAAGATCAAGGACAGAACCGAGATGAACGTCTGATGAAAGTCTAATCAACAATTAACATGATCATCACTATTAGAACCCCAAAAAACATAAAGAAATGAAAACTTATTGGGGAACTTCTTAATGGCACCTACATGAAAAAGAAGAATGCACAGAGATATGAAATTCTCTGCACCACAGTTTGTATGGCACTGTTCAAGTTATCCAGAGTAATTTCAGGGATGGAGTGCCACTTACCTGCATGATGTTGCATTGCTGAATGGCAGTGTGCTGCAGGCGGCTGGCCTCCTCTTGGAGCCTGAGGGCACTGTGGCATATTGGCAGGCCAGTGACCACCTCTTCAGGAATCCTCAGGGCACTCTGACAGACTTGTACTGCATGAACTTTTGGCTTCAGTGACTCCATTTCAGACAACAGATGCTAGAAACAAAGTCAGTGCCACAATAAGCCAGTACTGCAGATCTTCCAGAGCATTTAATGCAGCAAAGAAAAAATAATGATGAGTTCAAGGACTAAAGCAAACAAATTTAATTATGTATTTTCTAAATTGAATATAATCAGAACACACTTTGTCTGGAATTATTCACTCTGAAATGAGCATTCTTCTAAATATTAGTTAAGCAAAAAGCCTGTGTAATAGAAATAAAAATATTCATTAAAAAGCATAGTAATAACTACTTTCTAAGTAACTACAAAATATTTCTGTTAACATATTAAAAAAAAATCTTTACAAAATCCACGAATCAAAGCAGCATAGGAATCATTTATATATGCACATATTTTAATGTTAAAATCCAACTCCCTGCTAAGATAGAAGTACACTTTCAAACCAGTAAATGAATCCTGTTGTGTTCACAGCCTTCTTTTGAAAAGAAAAGCCATGGCTGAAAATATTATTTAAAATGCAAAAGACAATGAACAGAAAGAAACACAGCTACACAGAAATCTTGTTCTTTGAATAACGACTGGCTGGGTGCCTTTGTTAATACAGTCTCTATTCTGTTCATGTCCACTCAAGCTGTCTGTTCATATGCATGATAAGGGTCTAAGTGTAATGACTAGTGCACAGATTTGACCAACATTCTTTTTATCTTCACTAGGGGGTGTTAATGTATTTACAGGTAAAAAAAGAAAAATTATTAAAGAAAATAAAAAAAAAATAAAGGCAAAGTTGTTGAAAGAGGCCTTAGCACATGAGGAAAGAATTTCAGCTAGACAATGTATGTGGCAAACAGGGAGAAAAAGACTGGTCATCTCCCTTCCCTTATACTTTATGCATTAAGACAGCTAAGTGGGTCTAAAGTGCATGCTGATGAGACGATTGTGGTTTACTCTTTATTTCTGTGTCTTCATGACATATGGTGGATAATCTAAACAGAGATTTGGTATAAAGGTCTATTCTTCAGCCATCACAGGTGAGGCCTCTTCTCTGGCACACCCTATATGCTGGCAAAGGTGCCTTTAATGCGCAGCCAGCACCCAGAAGTACCCTGGGGGCTGCATGCCAGCCAGGCACTTTCCAATACCCACTCTCTGATCTGGTAAAACAGGTTGGCAGTGGCTACAGCCTCTTTCTGTACAAAACAAAACTGTACTGTGAGACCTGCTAGAGCCAGAACAAAGAATACACATAAAAAACAATGTAAACTCCACATTCCTTTACTCTTACAGTGGGTGATGTGTTTCACTTACACTCTTCAACAACACATTGCAAAATTTGAATGCAAGTCCCTAAATAAAGACTGCATATTTTAATCAAAAGGGAAAGCTCTGCAAATTCACCTTCCATCCGAATGTTTTTCCTGGAGATTTTAGCCTTAAAATGGATCTGTTGACATTTAATTTTAATATGAGACTAAGACAGCTGTATCTCTATATTAGCCTGCAGCAAAAAACATTCCTTAAGCAACTCAGAAAGCTATAAAATGGGTCGGGGTTTTTTTGTCATGAGACTGAGACCAAAAATAACAAAGTGTCATCTCTATAGCAGTCCAAGTGCTACACAGAAAGCAGCAATATGGTGGTAATTCAACTAAGCATACAAGAAAGGTAACTGAAGGTAACATACAAGAAAGGGTAACTGAATTTTAGGAAAACTGAATTTTCTCTTAGCTTTCCAATTGACTACTGGGGGACATAGCGGGCTTATGACTGAACGCCCCTAAGAACCCGCCTAGACGCTTGTTCTATTGCGTCATCGGTCACTTCTGATTGACCCAGGAGATGACAGTCTTGTTCAGAATGCATGGCTAAAGGTCTTCCTGAATCTCGTTAGCGAAGTCAGGACTTGCTCATAGGAGAAGGCAAACTCCCAACTTCAAACGCGGGCAGATGGAGCTCGTCTAGCCTTGTATGGTCTTCCATCAAAGAGAAGGACACTCTTACAAAACCTACAACCTCTGGACTTTGCTGTCACCATCCTAGCTAACTAGGCCGTGCCAGTTAAACCACAGGTTTAAAGGGTGGGGCCAGTTCTGCGCAAGCTGCGCTTCACCTAAAAAATCCACTGTGGTGGCTGGAAGGGCTCACTCTCACTTGTTTGTATGGACAGGCGAGGGTCAAAACGGTAGGTGACAAAGTGCATGGGAAGCTGCAGATCCAACGTTGCACATGGGCGGACCAGCGCATGGGTAGCTCGAGTTAGCCCAGGAGTTGATAGTTGTGGTCGGACACTTCCTGATTGCCTCAGCACCCTTTTTCCCAGATTTTCATATCCCATATGCCCTTGGTCATCGTGCCTGTAGTAAGCGTGGTTAAAGCCCTTCCCAAATCTTCGCTCATGAAGCCAAGCCATCAATCTCATTGCACCTCTACCAGTAAACTGTTAATAACAATCTAGACTTCCTTTTCAAGCACTTTAAGAACCTGTTGATAAGAGCACTAGATGTACTGAGCTTCATTCATCACTGGATGAACTGACCATTATTATTATTATTATTAATAATATGGATTAAACTTGGATTGGATGTACATTTCTTAGAATCACATCAAGCTACGTACAGACTCAGGAAGGACTATACTTCAACCATTCCCTTTCAGGGAACGATTTTTCCTGTTCCTTTGGCAGTTCTAGTCCAAAACTATCACTCTCTGAAGAAACACTACAATCACTCCCACCAGCATTCATTATCCTTTGTGTTAACTCGCACTATTCAAGTGCTAACTTTGAGGTCCTAGCCTTTTACCTGTCTGTGAGAGAGCTGTTCTTTTAAGCTCAGAAGTCCAAGTTCTGGAGAGGTCAGTGTGGCCTGGGCTTGCTCCAGAGCAACCTGCAGGGCTCTCAGCTCAACTTCAAATTTCTTCATGTCCTGTAAAAGAACGCATTTGATTTGGGGACAAATAAGGAGAAGGAAAACAAACCAACCAAACAAAACCAAACAACAAAACAACAAAAAAAAAATACAACAAAAACAAACAATCAAACAAAAAACCCCAAACAATAAACTAAACAAACAAAAACACCTGACCCCTCCCAAACCCCCCCCCTCCCCCCCAAAAAAAAAAACCCCAACAACAAACCAGCCTAAGAACAGGGGAAAAAAACCCACAACACTATAAACATTTCTGTCTGGATTTTGTAGCTATGTCCCTTATATACAGCACCAAAACTAATTCATATTTTTAAAAATTCATTTTAAAATATTGTATAAAATACCAGTCACACGATAGTCTAGAAAAAGAGTTCTCAAAGTCAGAGCTATTATTTTATGTTACTTACTCAATCTCAAATACAGTATGTATTTTACAAAGCTAATTTCATGAAGTTCAAGGCCTACAAAGGAATTCAAGATGTCCTCTAGTCATTGTCCTGTAACAAGACAGGACGTAGCTGTCTTATCTTTACAGACTGTTCTTAAAGACTTCTAGCAGCAGAGGCCCACTTATCTCTACAGACAACATACTCAACTGTTTCAGTATTCTCCTTTTGCATTTATATTTTTCTGATGGTGTGAAATTAAGTTACCTTTTGTTGTCATTTCAATCTTCTGCTTATAACCCCATTAACATGAAGAACAAATAATTTTTACTCTGAATACATCATATGTTAGGATAATTTTTTAGGCAACTTTTCTATAAATTTATACACATATCGTAATCATCACTACCCCGTTCTTTCTCCAGTTAGTCCATGTCTGTCTTCAAGCGCAAAACTGGATACAGCTGAAACCTCATTAGTGACCAACAGGTAGAACAAAAGGACTAATTCACAAACCTTACAATTCTATACTTTCTGAATGGTGTTTGGATGTTTTACAGTGTTGTGACATTGTTCACTCATTTTTCCATGATCTGCTTTATTAAACTTAAGACCTTTTAACCAGGTACATCAAACCAGTTAGTTCCTCATTCATTGGAACACATGCCTGGTCCTTCCTATCAAATATTATTAAAGTCAAGATATATGACATACTGTACATTTATATATAAATCTATTACATTCACATTAAATTAGGCAATTTATATGGTTTTATTTTGTCATAAATCTATGTTGGCTTCTATTCATGTCCATGTTTTCTTATGAAATAAATAGTTTATTCAATTGCTCCAATATTTCTTCTAGAAATGAAGCTAGTACATTTCACTTCTACTATGCTTGCCTGTGTTCACATCTTCAGTTTGTTCTAAAAAAAATAATAATAATAAAAATAACAAAAGCCTTCTGCTCATATATTGTGGTTTACCGTAAGAGCAAGCAAAGCACAAAAGACTTCTGTGCTTTTCCCTGTGTCTTGCACCAGTTTATCACACCCTCAGGCACTTCAGAGACATAATTCACATTTATATTAATCCATATGGAAATGCTTAGCAAAAATGCCAGTGACATGAAAAAGCACATTCATTCTCTTTATTGCACTCCCCTGTAGAGGTAAGTCATACATTATGAAACCCAGGTCTGGTCCAGTACTGATCTGAATTAGTATATTTAGATATCTTTAAACATGAGAATAAAGGAAATTGCACAGTGTTTAAAGTAGCAACACAGACACTTTTCAAGTATCTAAACATAGGTGCTCAGTGCCATTTGAGAGACACCATGATCCCCACCCATCCCGAATAGACAGATAAGACAGGACCTGCAGAAATCTTGCCCCACCTGGAACAGCACCTGAAGGCATTATCTCAAATGACACAAGATACCTAACTTTAGACAACACAATCATGCCCTTTATAGACCACAGATAATGTGCACTGCTATTAGTCTCAGAAACATGATGCACACAGCACCCTAGCTGTCAGCTAGCATTAGAAAAACTGCTTTAATCTACCTTGGCAGCATCTTGGAGATTTGGTAGTTGCACTTTGATAACCTGCTGCAATTCCTCTGTCCGCCGTCCCAGTTCCAGCACTTGCTGTGACATGCCTTCAGTACAGTATACACTTGCCAGATACTCAATCCTCTCGCTCATGGCCTCAAGGTCACCCTGAATCTCTCCAGACTCATCAAGCATGGTCTAGATGCAAATATGAACAAAATGAATGGCAAAGTTGATCTTAAATGCATCTTTGTGTTCCCATTCTACAAACTCCTCAATTTGTACACCTCAGTAAGCACATGATTAAGTTCTACTGACTTCCTGTAAGGCTTGGGCAAGATGCTTAATTCTGAGTGTATGCTGAACTGCTTCAGCTTATGGAGAATAGGAAACAAAAGAGTAAGTCATAAAGCTTCAGCAGCTGTACTTACCAAACCCTTCATTTTAGTGTTCACACTTCAGTATATACCCTAGCCTGTAAAAATATGACATACACAATCTGTGGATAGAATTTGTTCTGGAAGACTGATATACCTAACAGGAAGCAGCAGAATGCACTTGGGTGCAACTTTATAGCAGGGCAGTAGTCATTAACACTGCCTAAAAGACGGCTACTGAAGTGTTCTGTGGCATGACATAGTTTAAGCCTGTATCTCCATCAATTCTGAAGTAGGGAAAAAGCCATAGAAAAACAAGTCAGCTCCCAGCTATCCTCAGCATAAATCGCATAGAGGTTCCTATTCAGAATAAGAAAATGTGACATTCTACTTTGCCCCAGTGTAACTGAAGACAGTTGACAATTAACTAATGTACGTATGAACCCCATAATTAATGATCTTATTTTGTCATTAATGAGACATGGTAATCTTATAGTGCTTTGATTTGTTCCATGTGGTCATGTGATAGTGGGCAAGCTTCAACCTTAAAACTGCTTTACTGATACCACACTTGCACATTCCACACACTGTCACAGGGACAGTAAAAGACTCTGGTATGGGATGTCCAGGAAGCAACTGGAAGAAACTGATCCACTGGGTACCAGTTTAAGAACATTTGGTGTGAAACTCATCAGGTGAGAACAAAGGGTATCCTGATTCAGTGCAAAGAAGAAAAAAAGAAGAAAAAAAATAAATAAAGCCAAACGTAAACTCGAAATTTTGTTTGGATAACTAAAATTTTAGAGCAATATCAACTGCAACGAGGTACTTAATGTGACAGAATCATGATATATAGACACATTACCCAATGAAAAGCTACTATGAATCCAACGTACTTGAGCAAATATGGAGATTTTGAATTGTGTAGTTTTACTCAACAATATAGCTTAATTTCAGTAATCAAAGCAATTGCCCAAAAAAATCATCTTTGAGACGTGGGGGAACAGTCAAAGCAAGCATTTAAAGACTTCTTTTTTTGCTCAAGAAGGCAAAAAACATCTAAAACCCCCTCAATGCTTAGAAATTAACTTCTTCTACACACTGCTCTTTAGATTTCATAGCTCATATAATCACCTGGTAAGCTTTAAACTGATCACGAAGCTGAGAGGAAGAATTCCATGTTATACTACCATGCACTAGAATATTTGCTTTCTCAATCCATTTCAAGATGAACTCCAGCATCTCATTGTATTCTTCCAAGTGTGAAGCAGCCTGGATAATAAAAGAAAAACCCACATAAGGCTAAGATGTAATTCTGTACAGTTATCAGAGAATAACAAAATTCATTTTATTTATTGTTTTTAACTTGAGGATTGTTTTAACATCTTTTCCTTACTGCTGAATATAATTTAATTACTTCTGTATTTATGGAATTAGAATAGGTCTGCTTCCAGTAACGTGTATCTATTTCAGGGAAAAAAGAGCACTATAAGAACGTAGATCCCATTCGGAGAGTGCACTGATGCTCAAATATATCCCTAGGGGGTACACTTCCTGCACGTATTTCAGCCTCGCATGTAAATTCCAAAATACTTTCTTGCCCTGAAGTTTGGGGCTTACTCCAAGCCTTTATGTCATTCTTTATTTTTCTTTGTCTCTTTCCATGTCATTTCCCAAATCACCTTTAAAAAAAAAAACAAAACAAGAAAAAACCAAACCAAACAAAACAAACAAAAAAAAACCCAACCCAAACCAAACCAAACAACCAAACCTGCTTTGTCCAGTTAGCCTGCCATATTTCTAAAGAGAGAAATGTTGCAATTTTTCCTGTGTTTCGCACTTTCAAAATACAGGAAAAAAACTCTACTTTCCAATTATCAAGCTTCTGTTTTGGAAAGTACTTTTAAGCGTCAATTCTCACTTAAAAGGAGTAATGTCACTGATTTTCATGCATTTTTCCATCATGAAGCATGGGTCAAATCCTAGATGACTGCCTTACTTATCATTTTGTATGACAGGAAGTGGATTTCTTCCTGCTGAAAAAAAAATCCTTAAATCCATTCACCAGGTACCTTTTGACTGAACTCTGATAATAATTTCCTATCTCTTTTTAAAAACAATTTTTCAGAAGAAATTGAAAAAAAAAACACAAACAAAACAAAACAAATAGTTTTCGTTTTCAAGCCTTACAGAAGCCTCTTTATGCATGCAGAAAAGAGAACTCATTTATTAGGGTATTGATGGCAGAACTATAGATAATGCATTTCTTAGCTTTTATCTGGACTCTTTGGGGATAACAACGACTAGCGAAAAAAAAATAAAAATCACAGAATGGTTTGGGTTGGAAAGGACTTTAAGATCATCTAGTTCCAACATCCTTCTTATGCTGAGGACACCAGAACTGCACACAATACTCCAAGTGGGGTCCCACGAGAGCAAAGTAGAGGGGCAGGATCACCTCCTTCGACCTGCTGGTCATGCTCTTTTTGATGCAGCCCAGGATACGGTTGGCTCATGTTAAGTTTCTCATCGACCAATACTCCCCAGTCCTTCTCCAGAAGGCAGCTCTGAATCTCTTCTCCACCCAACCTGTAGCTGTGCCTGCAATTGCCCTGATCCAGGTGTAGGACCTTGTATTTGGCTTGGTTGAACTTCATGAGGCTGGCATCAGCCCACCTCACAAGTGTGTCAAGGTCCCTCTGGATGGCATTCCTTCCCTCTAGTGTATGAACTGAACCACACAGCCTGGCATCATGGGCAAACTTGCTGAGGGTGCACTCCACCCCACTGTCCATGTCACTGACAAAGATGCTGAACAGGACTGGTCCCAACACTGACCCCTGAGGGACACCATTTGTTACCCATCTCCAGTTGGACATTGAGCCATTGACCACAACTCTACGTTCAGCCATCCAGCCAATTCTTTATCAGTCGAGTGGTCCATCTTTCAAATTGATGACTCTCCAGTTTAGAGACAAGGATGCTGTCTGGGACAATGTCAAATGCTTTGCACAAGTCCAGGTAGATGATGTCAACTGCTTTGCCCCTGTCCACCAGTTCTGTAGCCTCACCATAGAAGGCCACCAAGTTGGTCAGGCATGATTTGCCCTTAGTGAAGCCATCTTGGCTGCCACCAACCACTTCATTGTTTTTCACGTGCCTTAGCATGCCTTCCAGGAGAATCTGCCCCAAGATCCTGCCAGGCACAGAGGTGAGGCTGACTGTACTATAGTTTTTCCGGATCTTCTATTTTCCCCTTCTTGAAAATGGGGGTTATATTTCCCTTTTTCCAGCCATCAGGGACTTTGAACTGCAGTGGAAGCATCTTTAGGAATGCATTATCAGGGCCATTGTATCTAGGCTTTTCTATTGAATCTGTTGAATCTACAGATTATATCCACCCTCTGCAGATTGTGGCTAAATCAACAGAAGTTCTTAGTTTTGGTTTTGTTTTGATTTGGCTTGTTTGTTGTTTTGGTTTTTGGTTGTTTTGTTTGTTTGTTGTTTTTGTTTGCCTTTTTTTTTTTTTTATGCTGAAAATATAGGTAACAGCAATAAGACAGAGGCCCTGAAAAGTACAATGAGATTTTATTTCCTGGCATACTAATCTTTGTGAGAACTATAAACTTTTCAGGGCACCAGAGGAACCAGCCAGCAGATGATTCATCAGCAGAGGATGTTAAAACATCACAACAAAATTATTCCACCCTCCTGATCTGACCCATCTGTACCTCTCTTTGAGGAGTGATGCAAGCTCTGACTAACAATAGTCAGATGTACCAAGGAATGTCCCTTCTGGTTCTGAAAAGAAACAGAAGAAACAATTTGAGACCATACCTGACTGAGCTTGGCTGCTCTGTATTCAGCCTGCCGTATAGTCTGTTGGTGCAATGTCGTGAGTTTTGCTATCCTGTTCGCCAGCTGCTTAGCCAGCGGTGTGTTCTGTTCTGCAAAGTCCTGGACTGATGCATCTAATTCCAACAGCTTTATATTGCAGCTGTCCAACTCTTCACCAAGGATCTAGACAGGAAAACAAGAAAATCACTGATCTAGGAAGTGCTAGCTTGATTATTTCTAGTCAAACTCGCAACTTTCAGACCCTGTCCGAAGTTTTCACAGTTCCATTTTTATTCTGGCTGGAAACCAACAATCCTTGTCTAAGCAGGATGGCAGAACAGCAGGATGTCTGGTCATCTCCTAATTGTGTGCCATTAATCTTACTTCTTTGACTTCCTGGCTGAAATGGATAATAATTTTCCCTACCATAGCAAAAGGCTGAGTCACTTCACAACGGCATTAACCCTTTTTAGCCATCTCTTTGTGGTTTTTTTTTTTTTTTAAACGAGTAGCACACATTGCCATGACAAGGATTTTTTTTATTGGAAAGGGATTTAGTTTAGTTTTGTTGCTGTCTCAAAATATACCCTTACAAACTCAGAAATATGTAGTTATTCATTAATGCACGATAAAAACCTTGCATTTTCATTTGAAACCTACAAAAAGAACCAAGAGTACTTTTGTTATGCTTAACTGTGCCACTAATACTTTACCTCATTGTGTCAAATGATATGAGAAATTCCAGTACAGACTGGAATAACAAGCAGTCTGGGAGCCTCACAGACTTTCCCAGATTTCAGTAATACTCATTATTCAGAGGGAACAGCATAAATTTGTCTATCTGACTCATGTTTACTCTCAGCTACTTCTTCCAAGTTCTCTCACTCACTCAAGTGCCTGTAAAGGCTAATCTGCAAGGAATATAATCCAAAACCAAAATAATAAAAATCTCATCAGTCAACCTTTATTTCTATCTACTGTTCTGTTGAACTGCATTTCTGCACATACACAACTGTGCTGGGAAGTAAGTGTCCCAGTTCAGAAGAATTCATGGTACAACCAAATAAGGGAAGTGTTCTTACCTTTTGCTCGATTTTAGCTTGTGCTATATCATTTGTTTTCTTTTTCAGTTTGGAAAGAATGGCATTTAGTTCATTTGCTATCTCCTGAATTGTCTGACCAAACTCTTGATTCAATGTTTTGATCTGCTGAGTTTCTCTTTCTTTGGCTTCAATCTGTCAAAAAGAAGATTTAAATTCAGTAACCAGAAATCTCTCCTCCTAAAAGGAAGTTAACTGTCATTTAACTTACTTTAATTTAAAGGAAGAAGGTAATAAAACCATTTTATGTTGTTGTAGTGTAACCATACTTGGATCCTGTATTTCACTAAGTTATAAAGTCTGAAGAAGGGCTACAGATCTGTAATGTATTTATCTACTATGTTTTACCTGATCCTGTACATTTACAAGGGCCAGCCCAACTTCTGATAAATGAAGAGAGAGTTCAGAAGGCAAAATGGTATAAAGTCCCAAATACTTATTCTGTTGTTGTTCAGCCATTTTTTCAACAGCCTGACGATGAGTAGTTGCTTCAGCAAGGAGAGACTAATAACAGAAAAACAGTATTGTTAAGAGCAATGGGAAAAACATCTCTGTGTAAACTTAGCAAAGCCAGACGTTACACCCTGTTTGAAACAAAGCCAATTGCTTTCAATTTTTTAATTAGATCACTAGTAAGAATTTTATCTTGGGATTCCCTGGATTCTCACTTATGACTGACTGTCCAGTTCTCTGTTCCTGTGTGACCACAGGTATACTGAAAATGTCAAGTTTTCAGCACCTCCACTTAAATTAGTTTATTTTTGTTCAACATCTTCGTCAGTGACACGGACAGTGGGATTGAGTGTGCCCTCAGTGAGTTTGCCAATGACGCCAGGCTGTGTGGTTCAGTTCATACACTAGAGGGAAGGAACGCCATCCAGAGGGACCTTGACACGCTTGTAAGGTGGGCTGATGCCAACCTCATGAAGTTTAACTATGACAAGAGCAAGGTCCTACACTTGGGTTGAGCAATTGCAGGCACAGCTACGTGTTGGGTGGAGAAGAAATTCAGAGCAGCCCTGCGGAGAAGAACTTGGGGGTGCTGGTCAATGAGAAAATGAACATCAGCCAGCAGTGTGCGCTTGCAGCCCAGATAGCCAACTGCATCCTGGGCTGCATCAAAAGGAGTGTGACCAGCAGGTCAAAGGAGGTGATCCCGCCCCTCTACTTTGCTCTCATGAGACCTCACCTGGAGTACTGTGTACAATTCTGGTGTCCTCAACATAAAAAGGACATGGAGCTGTTGGAACAAGTCCAGAGGAGGGCCATGAGAATGATCAGGGGACTGGAGCACCTCCCACACGAAGATCGGCTGAGAAAGTTGGGACTGTTCATCCTGGAGAAGAGAAGGCTGCGTGGAGACCTCATAGCAGCCTTCCAGTATCTGAAGGGGGCATATAGGGATGCTGGGGATGGACTCTTCATTAGGGACTGTAGTGGTAGGACAAGGGGTAATGGGTTAAAACTTAAACAGGGGAAGTTTAGACCGGATATAAGGAGGAAATTATTTCCTGTTAGGGTGGTGAGGCACTGGAATAGGCTGCCCAAGGAGGTTGTGAATGCTCCATCCCTGGCAGTGTTCAAGGCCAGGTTGGACGAGGCCTTGAGTAATAAGTTTTAGAGCGAGGTGTCCCTGCCCATGGCAGGGGGGTTGGAGATTGATGATCTTAAGGTCCTTTCCAACCCTAACTATTCTATGATTCTATTATCTTAAGGTCCTTTCCAAACCTAGCTATTCTATGATTCTAGGATTTTGCTGCTTCCCTCCCTGACCCAAACTGCTGAGACAGAGTGTGAATAGGCAGAATGTGACATTTCCATAGTTCCCCCCTATTTTAAATGAGAGGAGGAAAATTACTAAAAAACCTGCTAGTATGTAAAATTGCACAAATGCAAATACTTAAATGTATCTTAAATATCTTTACAATAAAATATTACAGCCCATCAGCCATTTTATGGATTTGTCTAGTAGCTTATTCAAAAACCAGTGAATATCATCTAATTTGAATTGTTGTGGTTTTGAACTGATTAACATTCACAAGCAGATTACAAGATGAATACTGTAATTTAAAAATTAATAAACTTGAAATACCTGCAACTCCTGAAGTTGAGTGTCCACTTCTACATCAGGGCTTAATAAATATTCTTTTGTTTCCTGGATCCAAGACTTCACAATATTAATCTCTGCTTCAACCTCCTCACGCTCCTTCAGCTCCTGTTTCACCATCTTCACACCTTTTTTCACTTTCTGTTGCATACTTCGGAAAGAAACAAAAACTATTTGTGAAGAATTAAGCAATGTCAAAAAACACTGCTTTGTCAAAACATACTGAATAATAGAGATAATAATTACTATCAAAAGTAATAGAAAGTGTTGCAACAGACTACTAAAGCAGCACGCTTAAGTTCCTCATGCTCATTCTTCAATTCATGCTTTTTAATTACGGCTTCATGTAGTTTGACATCAAGCGCACAATTCTTTTGAAGAAATCCAAATTTTTACAACCTACATCTAAGCTCCCCACTACAGACCGCCCTTATTGTCAGTGGAGGAAGCAAGCAAGTCTAGGCCATGATTTAGGATGATTCATCATCATTCTAAAAGCAGCTTTTAAAATAAATCAGGAAATCTGCATTTTATATCTGTCTATTTCTCCACTAATTAGAGAGGGATAATTAATCTGTCCAGATTTGGATATCTACAATCTAAACCAGCATGAGATGAATTCCACTCCTATTGATGGGATTTGTGTTGGCAAAATACCTGAGATAAGGCATGGATCAAACACATTTTAGGTCCAGGGACCTATCTCCATGCTTCCACTAAAGCAGAATTTCCGTACTTCCGTCAAGAACTTGGATCTCCAGTAAAAAACAGAATCTTTTTTCATGACAGCTCTGTGAAAGATCTACAGGACTACTTGTAACTTTTAAGTACATGACATGGATCTTACTACAATGTTCCCATATTTGATTTGTGTTTATATAACCTTCCATAGCCAAATCATGGCTTATTTACATGAGCATGAGATCATCACAAACCTTATTTCTTAGAATCCAACTCTAAGGGAAGTCCAGAATTACAGAAGTGCTAATATCTACATGTTTTCTACAGAGCAATTGGTTATGCATGCACAATGAACTTTGTATAGGCTAGGTGCAGGATTTACACTTTTTTAATTCTCTATCTCTTTTCCCACCAAGGAGACACAGTTAACGGCATCTTAGTGCACTTATGAGGTGGATATGAGTGCTGAAAGCTTGCCATAAAATTTCCTCATTTTACATGGCAAAGTAACATTTTAGATTTAGATAAACACGTATATAACCACAAAGCAAAATGCTAAGATATGTTTCATTTGCACATGCACCAAATTCCACTGTAAATTTCACATAGGGTACCTACTTTTGGTACCTAAGTGCTTCCAACAGGGGAAACAAAACGGTAAACTAATCTAAACTTAGGATACAAAAAAAATAAAAGGTTACTGCAATTGAAGTGTTTAAAATCAGTTATAATTGCAATGTAGTTTATACAACTTTTACATAAGTTACTATTATTATGCAAGGGAAGAAGTATGTGTTCTAAAACACATATCCTCCTAACTGAAATTAAAAATAATGGTAAAAACATATTTCAAAATTAACAATAATTTCAAGTTAAATTGGTACTTAATTATAAAAACAAATATTTCTTTTAAGCATGGACATTATTAATAACAAAAATGATAGCTGAACTCTTATTAACGAATTGTAAGGTGCCATTTTTCTAGTGAATCTTTTAAAATGTTGTCTTACTTGTGACACCGATCTTGCATTGCTTTGATTTCTTGCATGACTGGTAGTTCCTCTTGAGACGGAGGCTTTATTTCCACATCCTGAAGCATGCTGACAGCATGCTGTTTGAGCAGGCCCAAAGATGACAGCTGGCGCTCCACCTCCAGAAGGAAACTGCTGTGGTAATCCAAGAGTTCCAGGAGTTCTGTCTTGGATGCCTTCTCTACTGAGCTTTCTGGTAAGCGACCTTGTAGCTCATCTATTGCTATGGTGGCTTTCTGAATCTATGTAAAGGAAAGTAGTCTTGGCAATAATGAAAATAAGCTAGTACAACTGCTACCAAGAGGAGCTAAATCCAGTGCAACTGATACCAAGAGGAGCTAAATCCAGTGCAGACCATTTAGATGCTGTAAAACAGTTGTGGTATAGGGTGTGTGCAACAGACTCTATTCCAGATATCAATCTATACTCTAATGGGCTAGATCTAGCTAACTAGCGGTAGGTCTTCACAGTGGACTAGGACTTCGTAAGGGACTTTTTCCCAAGTGATGAATGGTTGCTTGTATTTTTTAGTATTTAGTATCTTTATTGCCATAGGACCTAGCTCTACCCCAAGGTACACCCATATTTGGCATATGTGATACATTTAACAAAACTATTACCCTCATTCCTGGAGAACCTGAAGCCTGAGCATAAAATAATGGACAACAGCAGATAAAAGAGACAGGTAGGATATAAAGAAAGAGACACGTGATCAGTGAGCAATGACAGGCAATGATAACAATGCATAAATTTAGAAATAGCAACTTTATACTGTTCAGGAAAAAAAAAAGAGGTTGAATTAAACTAGAACAGATCATCTGCGGAAGGGAAATACAGAGGATAAGATTCTGAAGAGCCACCAGAAACCAAAATAACTCTGTATTTACTATACATGTATGCATATAGAAGAAAAGTGCAAACCTTGGAGGCCTTGGAGGCGGTGATTCTAAGCCTAGGTCTTCCATAGTTCTTTTTAGTATGACTTGAGAAAAATTACTGCTATTCCTGCTATCAGCTTTTGTTACCAGAGGATGATTAATAAGGCAAAAAACCTTAGTACAGTTAACAAATAAGGATATACCAAGACCAGAAGTTACCTTATCATTAAAATCCTTCCATTCCTGCACTGCATCTTCCAAAATTTTCTCTTGCTCTTGGGCTACATTCCGGAGCCGTGTCCAGCGCTGCCAAACTGTTGTCATGGATCTACTTATAGTTGCTTTACTGGCATCATTGCTAACTTTTTCCAGCTGTGAAGTCTTTTCTTCTAGGGCTGTGATCTTCTCATGGAAAGAATTCACTACAGACACAAGATTCTGAAAAAGCAAAAAACAGTTTTCCACTTTTACAACACAACTCATAACTATTCAACACACTTGCAGGCAGATGAGCTACTTCCATTCACTGAAGACAAAGAAGATGTACCCTATGCTGAGTGAGATACAGTTAGGTCTCACTTAATTTTTCATAAAATACCTCACCACATTTTATTTTTCATGTGTGATATATTCATGTGTCTCACTTTATTTTTCATGTGCGATGTATTATTTACAATTACTTAAGGGACTTGGTCCAAAATGTAAGTCTCTGGAAGCAGCAGAAATCTGGTGTAATCAGATTTTTTCTTTCTTCCTTTGCTAGCCTCTCAAAAGGGATGGATAGTATTCAGGACCCTTCTCATCGCAAAGAAAGACTTTACTGTAAGAGTCTAAAAAATGAAAGAAGCAATTCAGGGGTTTAAGCACACATTTATGTCATATTTATATCTAATGACATTTTAGAGGTCCAAGGGTATCTGGATATTCTTATGAAGCTGGCAAACACGACTTTACTGTTGGGGAAGATTCCAGCCTTCAGAGACAGAGCTGGAAACCAGAAGGACATATACAGTATCACTAACTGTCTATATTAAGGCAACTCATTAATGCCCTAAATACTAGAGGATAAAGTAATTCCTTTAAGTCACATTTTTAATTTTAGACTAAACAAGAGTTAATATTAAACCTGAACCCTTCCTGTCCTAGTAAAACTATTACATGTTATCCAAAGTTGTCCTGGGTTCAGCAGTAGCAGTCATTTTTCTCCTTCTTGGTAGCTGGTGCAGTGCTGTGTTTTGACTTTCCACCTGGGAACAGAGCTGATAACGATGATATTTTGGTCTGGCAAAAGACTTCGTGAGGCTCAAGCTCTGCCAGGAAGGAGGTGAAGCCGGGAGGAAGCAGAGACAGGACACCTGACCCAAACTGACCAAAGAGGTATTCCATACCACAATATGTCATGCCCAGGATGTAACTGGGGTTACCCAGAAGGGCTAGAGGACTGCAGGGTTGGAGGAGGTATCGGTTGGTACTTGGTTGGGCTGGGGGGGTTGGAGGGGTGGGGCGAGTTATCCGTAGGCTGGTGATGAGGTGTATTCTCTTCCCTTGTTACTTCCTTTATCATTATTATTATTGGTGGTAGCAGTAGTGATTTGTGTTATACCTTAGTTACTAAACTGTTCTTATCTCAACCCGTGGGAGTTGCATTCTTTTTGATTCTCCTCTCTGTCCCTCCAGGAGTAGGGAGAGGGCAAGATGGGGGGGGGAGTGAGTGAAAAAGCTGTCTGGCTGGGTTTAAACCACGACAAAAGTAGGTGGACATTTCTATTGGTCTGAATTTCTCTAGGGTACACAATTTTGGGGCTTATGTACCCAAGGCTTTCACAAACCTTTTAGATCCTTCCAGTTCTCTACAGTCATAGGCACATAGACAGATATTAAGCTGAAAAGTGATTAAAAATATCTGTCTTGGTCACCCCACAAATAAAATGTGTGTCCTGCATAACACAAACCACCCATTGGTGTTTTATGACACAGTTATGTGCTATGACATTCTCTATTAGTGGGTGAACAATCCAACGCTTGGTGAATTCTGCTTCACAATGTCAGCAAGAGCTGACATCGAAGGATTAAAAAGCGACATCGTGAGACAGGTTAGTTTTACTCTACTGATGATGTGCTGTTACAATAGTAATCCTGCTCAGTACAAAAGGAACCACAGGTTCAGACACCTGGTGTGTGTGCAGCTTATGACTGCACGCCTCCAAGTCAGAATCCCGCCTAGATGCCTGATATTGTGCTGTTGCATCATAGGTCGCTCAAGACTGTCCCAGGAGATGAGTCTTGTTCAGAATGTGTGGGTTAAAGCCCTTCCTGAATCTTCGTTAGCAAAGACAGGCCTTCCTCATAAGAGAAGGAAAACTCCTATCTTCAAACGCGGGCAGATGGAGCTCGTCTAGCCCTGTAAGGTTTTCCATCAAAGAGAAGGACACTCTTACAAAACCTACAACCTGTGGACTTTGCTGTCACCGTTCTAGCTAACTAGGCCATGCCGGTTAAACCGCAGGTTTAAAGGGTGGGGCTAGTTCTGTGCAAGCTGTGCTTCACCTAAAAAATCTACTGTGGAGGCTGGTAGGGCTCACTCTCAGTCGTCTGTATGGACAGGTGAGGGTCAAAACTGTAGGTGACAAGGTGCATGGGAAGCTGCAGATCCAACCTTGCATGCGGGCAGACCAGCGCACGGGTAGCGCAAGATTGCGCAGGAGCTAACAGTCCTGGTCGGACACTTCCTGATTGCCTAAGCACCCTTTTTATCAACCAGATTTGCATATCCCACATGCCCTTGGTCATTGTGCTTGTAGTAAGCATGGTTAAAGCCCTTCCCAAATCTTCGTTTGCAAAGCCAAGCCATCAATGTGCTATGAGAAAAGATCTAAAACCTCAAATTAAGGTTGCCACAGGTAGGGACCCACATAACATACATGTATTTTCATGGAAGAAAAAGCTTTTCATGTACTTTTCAGTACCTTACCTTATGCGTTAGCAATTTCTCTTCTGCTTCATAAGATGAAGCAGCTTTAGCTACTGAGAATTCAGATAATTTTTTCTCAGCCTCATTCATCACTTCAATAACCTTCTGTCTTGCTGTCTGGTACTCCTGCCACTCAGAAGTACACCTTAAACAAATATAGTTCCAGAGAGAACAATTAAATGCAACATAAAACTATCTGAAAAAATCAGCAATATTATTGCAGCTAGTTTTTGCTGTTACACAGTACCTTCTAAGAGAAAAGAAAAATTATTGAGAAAGAGCATACACAGAAGCATATGCTCCTGATTTTCAGCTGTGCCTTACAGACACAGTCGTGCATTTAAGAGTCCTTGTTTAAACTTTCCTCAGTGACTTTGCCCAGGTTGCACTTTAAACCCACCCAAATTTTTGGAATCCAGAACACTCAAGACTAATAAGTAACAGTTATGCTGGTTAAAAAGCTATTTCCATTTACTTCAAAATGTCTATTTTATTTTTTATTGTGTAGTTCTTGTGCCAGGTGGAATAAGGGACAGTTATGCCCCACTATTTTCCTCAGTACTGTTCCAAACTTTACATAAATTTTATCATAGCTTCCTCAGGACTACATATCTAATCAGTCAGTGGCAGAGGAGAAAACAGAATCCAAGAGCTCTGAATCCTAATATCCACTTCTCTCATTAGCAGCACAAACATTTTACATAAATTAATGTTGGGATTTTTTTTTTAGCACTAACAAGGTGATAAAATGAAAGAAAACTTTAGAAGATTAATATACCTTTGCAACTGCTCTTGCTGGGTTTTGGCTTCTTGTTTTGTCCCTTTGGCCTTTTCTTCCAATGCAGCCACATTCTGCATTAACTGCTCTCTTGCTGTGGCTTGGATAAAGGGCTTTATCTCAGACACAAGGTTCTGTAACTCCTTCAAATGATTACTGAACTGACTTTCTGTGCTGAAAAATTCAATGTGGCTCTTTAGGTTCTCCTCAGAGTTCTCAACATCAAGACCATTCCTTGCTAAATGCAGAAATTCCTGAGCATCTTCAAGCCAGTCATTTGCTATCTGCATCACTTGGTAGTATCTTTCGCAGAGGCTATGTAATTTACTCAAGGTAGCCTGAAATAAAAGGAAAAATTATACAGAGGGTTACAGACACAAAACAGCAACAAAAATGGCCTCTGCTGTGAGTCTGTATTTTTACTATGCTTGCTTTCTTTTCCCTTCACTATATGCAACATACAGGTCCAGAAAGACTACATGGAAGTAGCTTTTGTGTGAGTTTGCACTTCTACGTGCAGATATAAATGCATATTAAGGAAGCCTTCCCCAATGGACACCTCCACCCCCACCCCAAGCCATCCATGTCAATAGGCCACAACCTAAGTCACTAAAAAAACCTCAAACAACTGGATTATTAAAATAAATCTTTTCATTATTATTACAAACATCAAGCCACAGAGCCATCTTTTCCAGTTTCATGAGTGAGAAACTAATGACAAGACGGGTAAACTAACCTGTCTTGTGTGTATAGCTTCTTGAACTTCACTGTCTAGTTCTGTCAGCTCAGCAAGAGCATCTTCTAGGTCAGCAGGTATCAGCTCCTTTGCTATTGTATATCTCTCTTTCTCCTTATTGCTTAGTGCATTCATTATTCTCAAGCTTGACTGCACTTCTTCCTGATGTATCTGAACCTTTCTGATTTCTTCTTGGATGTTTTGCAGTTTGAGGTCCAAACTCAGTGTTCCATTAAGTTCTGTTTTCACCCATCTCAACCAGTCAAGTGAGCGACAGATTTCTGTCTGGAAGTCTATGCTTTGCACAAGTCTGTTCTCGCATTCCATCACAGTATCATCAATGGCAGCATGCAAAGACTTCAGTTTCTCTTGCCAAGACTGCACTTGTTGGTTTGCTGTCTCACATGCAGATGAGTCAAACTGAGGCGAAATTGCTTCTAGATGTTCAGTTATTCGTTTCAGAAGACTCCCTGAGTCTTGCAAGCTGCCCACCAAAGAATGGTATATTTTCAACTTTTCTTCTATTGGGAGTGTTTCTTCATTTACTTTAATCTGTTCTTTCTTCACTGCCTCTAGTTGTGCCTCAAATTGCATGCACATTTTCTCATGCTCCTGGCATGCTTCAACTGTGTCTTCCAACATACTGATTTTCTGTTCTATCTGCCTCTTCAACTTGTGATACAGTGTGGCAAGTTTTAACATGTCATCTGGTTGCCATGGCTGGCCAGTGCTTCTAAAGGCTTCCTTCTTCTGGTTTAGTTCATCCACTGCTGCACCAAGGCTCACCACTTCACCTAAGAGACCTCTGTAGGCCTGCTGTAATGACACAGCTTCTTTGACTAAAACAGCAGCTGGAGCTTTGTCCATGTTAATAAACTGATCTTCTAGTTCAGTCAGAGCTTTACTTGTCAACTCAATCAAAGAAGCATACTCTTTTCTAGCATAAATTGCTTCCTGAACTTTATACAATTTTTCTTTTGCCAGAGCAGTGACAGCATTAAATTGCTGAGGGAGAATGTTAAGTTTCTCATCTAGATAAGAACGATCTACTTCATTAAGTGACAGTAGGATTTCTTGGCCATCTCTTTGTAGTGCAAGTAACAGATTTTCATATTCTGGAGATTGTTCAAGAATCTGTTGATATTTTGCCAACTGGCTGCATAGTTCAGAGTTAGAATTCATTACATTGACTTCTGCGAATGTGACAATATCAGCTTGTTTTAGCCAGTGGCAAGCTTTATCCAAGTCTTCTTTGAAGTATTTCCTTGAAACCATATTTTTCTCCAATTCTAACAATCTCTGGTTACACTTCTGTAAAACAGCATCATACACATTCTGTAGCTCTTGTAGTTTACCTAACACTTCACTCTTCTCTTGTTTTGTTGTTTCTTTCATTAAATCCCTTCCTTGAGCCCACAACACTGTGACTTCATTTTGATAGGCCTTTAGGTTAGCCTGGATATTCTTACAAGTCCTGATCTGCTTGTTCACATCTTCTGGCAACAGACAAATGTGTTCCAGAAATGTTACCTTCTTCTCATGCTGGTGAATTTGGTTTGTAGCCTGAAAGACTGCCATGAGAAACTGGGTCTTTTCAGACAGTGCTTTATTCAGGTGCTTTCTTCTCTGCCCAACCAGATTGCTGAGACAAGCTACGTGGTGCTGTGCATCAGAAAGTGCTTTCTGCAGCTCCTGCCTTTCATTGAGCCCTAGGTTGGTCATCACCCTGTCAGCATCCTTCACAAGTGTCTTCAGAACAAGTTGCTTGGCTTCAAGTTCACTGCAAATTGTAAGATGCTCCATGAGAAGACTCTGAGCCAAATCTGGGGGTGGACTCTGTTTAAGAGCCTCTGAGATACTAGGCTGTTGCTCCTCTGCCCATTCCATTAGTTCCTGAAATTTGGAATGCACCAAACTGAGCTCTTCTAAGGTTGAAACAGAAACTTGAATTTTCCTTTTGACAAGGTCCTCTAGCTGAGTCCAGCGTTGCTCAAAATGACCAAATTGCTCCTTTACTAATTCTTTGTCATCAAGATTCAGATGTTCTATCATCTTCTGTTTCTGATCTTTCAACTCTTCCAAAGCAAATCTTCTTTCCTGTAGTGCCAGTGCCAGTTTTTGCAAAGCTTCAAGGTGCACGTTTGTACTTTCAGCATCAGATCTATTATCAAAATGGACAGGACAGAAATGAATTATTAGATCCTATCTCAGGACAGACTTTTAAAAGCAGTCAGGATGAATTATAAGCCCACTATAAAATGAAATCAATATAATTTAAATACCTACAGTTTTCAGATTCCTTTGAAGGTACAAGCCCTGAATATGCATTAAATAGTTTGACATTTTTTATTCCTATCTCTTTCATCTGAAACATGGTCATCAGGCTGACCATACAAATTAACATGAATACTACAGAGCGTTCTGGTTATATTGCACATATGAACAACAGCAAGTAGTGAGATTGTTCCACAACAATGATAGCACCAGTAATACACTCACAACTTTACACACAGATGGTGTGTTTATGCTACACACAGCAGCTGCAGCCATTTAGCAGCAGCAGCAACTAAGCATTAATATTACAGCCTAATAGATAAAATACAGTATCACATTGAAAAACACATACAAAATGCAATAAACAAATTAAGAGTTCAAACAAAATAGTCAAAATTCTTGAAATATCAGAAAATGTTATAGTCTGAGACAGGATCAGTCAGTACTTGCCTTGAAGACAAACACTGAAGATATGGCTTCTCAAACTCCCTTTATTTCAATACAAGTAATTGTCCTATCATTAATATGTGAGGCTTGCTTTTAATTAAGCATGGAAAAGGGGATTTCAGCATCTATGCGCTAAGTCAGCTTTGCGAGTGCTACTCCTTTTTTACCTAGCCAGGTTGTCCCACTCTTTTGTAAGCTTTTCCATGAAAACTTCAACTATGTTCATGCGATCATGGTAATCCCCTGTCCTCTGCAGATCCTCCTCCCTCTGTACGAGCAAACTATGTGCCTGAAGGCAGAGGTCCAGCCACTGATTGCTCAGTTCTCCTATTTCTTTGTGTTCAGGAGATTCTTGTCCTTGTGTTAGTCTGTTCATCTTCTCAGTCACAGAGCTAAGCGCTGACTGCTTTGACTGCAACTTCTGTCTGAATTCCTGAGAAAAATACAAATAAAAAACAATATGGTGACAGATATTCAAAGCTATAAGAGGGAATTGAAATAAAAAGTCTGAAACAAATTGTACAAGGACTAATTAAGGTAACTGCTGCGCAGATATAACCGGGAGATGTGCCTTCTCCCCATCTTCTCAGGTGATGACAGGTTGGTTACAGACAAGAAAGCAAACCAGAGCAGTTTTCAAGTGTCAGTGATAAGCAGAAAACACAATTGAGTCCCATCTTGCTGTCCAGGCTTCCAGACTGGCACAGCACCCACCTTACACACTAAAACATTCAAGGTAGTCTGGATCTCCTGAGAATTCATTTTATCAGCAGTTTCTAGTTCATTTTCTTCCTTTTCCATTTGAGTCCATTAGGAAGCACAGTCCTTGAGTCAGTGAGCTCCCACACATCCATACTTTGTATTGTTCCTACTTCTATAATAGCAACCACTATCGCTGTTATTAATGAAACAAAGCCTGTGATGATCTAGGTATGACTGCTATTTGAGTTAATAAATTCCAGTACAAGTCTATCTGCATACACATTTTTTACTGAATAAGAAGTCACAGAGAACCCTAGAGAAAGAAAATACAATATCCTGACAACTAATGAAGCTAATGAAATATTTTTCAGTCCTATCTAGGGTAAATACAACATTTTTTCCCAAATTCTAGTTCCAATAACTAATTAAACAACCATACCCAGCTCCAGAACTTTGCTGGGATGATACAATTTACACTGAAGGCTGGCAGGGGTTCTGAAGGAGAGATGCTACTACCCAGCTCTGCCTCATTCCTCTTTGTGACTGCTTCCTTTCCCAGGACAAAAATACACTCTGCCATATTTGACAGTACAGCAGGTGCCTGTCTTTCATAATAATCCACAGTTCCTGACTGAAATAGCAAAGAAATAGAGACTTCTGCTTCCTCCTGGACTCTAATGATTGCTAGTGTAACAGTTTTCAGTCCACATTGCGCTGAGGTATCTTCAAGAGCTATGGCTTTGCTTGTTCATACACTTGTGCAGAACAGACATGAAACAAAGTGCTGTTTACTCTTCACCTAACTCCTTGCATGTCAGAAAAAGAATGCAAGCAAACTGTAGATCAAAAATGCAAAACCTAAGCATTTCATCATTAATAAAAAAATAATCTACTTTCCTGTGTCTTCTTACTTTACTGATGTTTGTGATACATACAGAATGGCCATTAAAATTCTCTCTTCTGTAATTAATGAGTGAAGATCTGAAGGCAACTGTCACATTATTTAGGGTAAATTAAATTGGGTTTCTGTCATACCAATTCTCCAGTAGTTTTCAGAGTCCAGAAACATTGAATAGCTTCCTCAACTAATTCTGAAATAAATCTAAATAATTTAGAATTATTGAAAACAAAGAATTAAGCAAGCATGAGCTGCAGAACTTATCTTCAGGTCCACTGTGATCAGTAATTAGCTTATTAAAAGTGAAGACAGAACACTACGCAGAAAATTGCATACTGTCAAAAAGAGAGACAAAGCCAGAAAAATATTAGCGTTTTGCTTTCTGTGTCACCTTGTAATATCAATAAGGAAACACTATTTTCTCTGACTTCTCTGCTCTTGCTTAGAACATACAAGCAATTGTATGCAGTAAGTTCATTTTTGATGATTTTTATCAGCTGCAGGATGAACTTATGTTCCTTATGTTCTGTTCTTAACCTAAGGCATCCTTACCTTAACCTGGAGTACCATATTCTGGGCAATGTTTAGCTCCAACTCTGCCCGTCTCCTTTTCAAATTCTGTAGTTGCTGGTCTGCATCCTGGAAATATATCCAGAGCTCAGCCTTCATTTGTTTGATCTCCTCCCAGCCTTGAGCCAAATACTGTGAGTGCATTATCTGTTGCTCAATCTAGAAGAACAGAAATGGAGTAGGAATGTTTTAAGGCATCTATTTTTGGAGAATGAATGATGAATACCATTCCTCCTCAAAGCACAACGCTGTACTAAATCAGATTTCTGCTCTAGATTCTGAAAGGGCTAATATGACCTACAAATAGAGTCTTAAACTTCAAAGTCATAAAAATCAGACCTATCAAAAGGAAAGTTTTTGGGGAAAAAAAGAAACATCATTTACCATAGAGATCAGCCAGTATATTTCGAAGTGTCCTCAGCCTTCTGTTAAAGCTTAAATTAGTTGTACAATTTAGTCTATTGTATGCCAAGAATATTGCTGGACTGTAAACTACATGCCTTTACAATGACCAAATAAAAGCTTAAACTAAACACTTTCATGTAACTTGCTCACCCCAGTTATTTTTCCTATATGCGTTTTGTAAAATGCCAATAAGAATGCTTACCAGATCTGAGACCATCAACCACCTTAAACCAACAGTCACACAGATTCTTTTGCACCAAATACAGCAGTAGGGTACCTTTAAGGTTTAGACACTGAATCAGCTTAATATATCTCAGCACTGTACTGCCTGTGATTTCATAAAAATGTTTCACTTCTTCCTATATAAAAGGAGAATCTTACTCTGATGTTTCAGATGATTTTTCACTATTCAGTATTTGGATAGCCACTGTTTATGGATTACTTGAATTTGTAAAATTTAGTTCTCTGGTATGGAATACTATTATATGTATTAGATTTTTACTCTCGGTAGAAGTAGTTTCAAAAGTTTGGTTGTGTTTGTATATGTAACTAACATTTTCACGTTCACAACAACAGGAACGTTCATAGTATTTCTTTTTCTAATAACATGTTTATAGTTTTATTGTAACATGAAGTACTAAGCTACTTGAAAACTTAACATTTAGGTATGCTTCATAAATTAATATGCTGAAATAGATGCACTCCAATTTATTAATTGAACCACTAGTTTTTTTTTTATTATGGTTACAATTAATATACTCCTATGTCCTAATAACAACATCAGTCTAGTATTGAATAAATAATAACAGTAAAATATGTCTAAGCTTTAATAAAATACAGAGGGAAATAGACTGAACTGTGTTTCATGAAAACAAATAACTCACATCAGGTTTTCTTCCACAGAAAGTTATTTGTATGGCTTTAGACAAACATCTTGTAACATTGCCTAAGTAACTTTAGCAACTTTTGTTGTGTGTCTTTGTATTACTACCTGGATGGCAACCTTTGGATTCAATTAAAAAAAATTAAAAAAAAAATTAAAATTATAAAAGCAGAAAGCAAACCATTTTGAAAGGAAGTACTTAAGATGATATTAAGATGACATTTCTTCACACCATTACCCAATATGACCTTCTTAAAAGAGGATAGATCAAGGTAGTTAAAGCTCTGAACAGGATTAAAAGTGGGTTGTTGCGGTTATCTTGTACCATTTGTTTTGTTTGTTGAATATCTGTTGCTGTACTCTTCACTGTGGCATCTGACAGATCACACATCGAACACAGAAGATCCAAGTATGTATTGGCTTGCTCCTGCAGAGCCCGAAAATGTTTTACCTGAGGGAAGACAATCCTCAAATAAACTCTGAGACTGTGGAAATACTACTTTATTAAAATCACACATTTTATCATTTTTACTTTAGCTTATTATTTCCAAAAGATGAAATGCAGGCATACATTATTAGGTATGGCTGCTCTGTCAGAATTACGGACAAGAGCAACTCTTAAAAACTTGATTATCATCCTACATTGCCTGTAGGAGCTCCCCTCTCCCTGTGAAGTTTCTTCATCCCAAAAGAAAATTATTACATTGGTGTTGACAAGCAGGGCAACGAGATACCTCCTAGAGTCCCAGGAAGGAGGGGTGAGTGGCCACCTAATGCAGAGGGTCATCGGTGGTTCCTTGCGGGCTACACAGCCCTCTGAGAAGGTCAGAGGGTATCTAATTTCTATTAATATGAAAATTTTACCTGAAGTCACCTTATTAAGGAGAACTGAGCATTTTCAAGTGCTGAACTTTTACCTGTTTAACTGCATCTGCCAAGCTGAAGGGTGGCCAGGTAGTTGGCTTTAGCTCTGATTTCACTGTAGACAGCCAAGTCTGGCACTGCTGTAGGGTGTCCTGATGATTAACATGTTTTTGGAGTTCATTTTCCAAACTCTGGTATACCTAAAATAAACATTTTGTAACTGCATTTTCACACACCATTATTAGATCTCTTCTCCCACCTTAGAAATTACAGCTAGAACAGAATTATTAAGACTGTGATTATTTTAGCGCTTATACATAAAACTATCAAGGGCTGAAAGCTCCTTAAGCTCTCACTGCATCTTGCTAATTTATGGAGAAAATGGACAATAAGGCATGGCTTCTGGAAAGTAAAAATAAATTTCAAAATAAAGAGCATTGTCTTTTATTTCTGTATTCTTGTTCATCATTTTGCCATTATCTAGTATCAGGTTTTACCTACCTCTATGACTATGCATTTTGGAATTCTGTATTTTGTTCTGGTTTGGGTTTTTTGTCAGTTTTTTGTTTGGTTTGGTGGGGTTTGTTTTTGGTTTTGGAGGTTTTTTGGGTTGGTTTTGACTATGCGGGATTGATCTCCTAATTAGAGTAATAGAAGGACCCAGCTAGCCCTTCTTAACTGTATATTCTGTTTTTACTAAGAGAGGATTTCCTAGCACATACTTAAGACCCATGATTGTACCTATGTAAACTACTAACACCAAGAGTGCGATTTGCTTCCTAGTTCTTGAAGCAGGAATAGTTCTAATGTCTTTGCTGCAACTTCTCAGAAGCTAGTGTAACTTGAATGTAATGAGGATGTGGAGAGATTGAGGTAAGAGCTGTTAGGGAGTTAGTTTTGCTGGCTGAAAGACAACATTCAGTTCACAAGAAACTTAGCTGTAGCACAGTAATGATGACATTAGGAACCTGTAGGCTCAATTTAAATGAAAATAATAGAAAGTTTTAGACCATTTAAAGAAACAAACACAGACATAATGTGTACTGCTCTTAAATGACATAAAAAACATGTTTGAAACAAGACTTACTCTTTGGGCTGTACTACATATCGCAGAGTAGCTGTCTTTTGCCCCCTGAAGATGGCTTTGTATGTTTTGCTTAAATTTTGCTTGAAGATGTTCTGTGCATTGACTGATTAAGTAGTCACCTTTACTCTTAAGGTTGTTCAAACGATCTTCAAATCCTGCAATTTCTTCCATGATAGCCTAAGAAATAGATTAAATACTTCTGAAGAAATATTTCAAACATAAAACATTCTGCATCACAGCTTTTTAAATAAGCTTTTTTGGTTGTTTTTGTTTTTTTTTCCTTCCTTAAACATGACTTGTCTTCAGATTTGGAAAAAGGTTTTCAGACAAACTGCATTGTTATGCTCAAACTATTAGCGTGTATACTCTGTAAAATCATTAAGTCTGTACATAAATAGAATGTACAGACAGAAACATCAGTATCACTTCATAATGTGTAAATATTATAGGCTCATGTCCCAAGACTGCCCTTAATTTTCCTTTGTTGCATGCTCTCCAGGGCTCCACCAACTTCTTTGGTGCCTAGTAGCGAGGACTAAACCTGATGCTGGATCATGTCTTATTCCATAAGCTCCTCCACTGTAAACAGTTCTTTCCATTGACTTTGGCACAACCAAATTTTTATTTAAGGAGGTTACTTGAAGAATAGCACTAATCACTATGAGGGTGATTTCAACATTCACCCTTAGAATCCCAGTCACATTGAGTGGTGGGGAGGGTTAGATTTGGCTTTCTTTTACGTTCTAGAAAGCATCAGCTATTGAGGTAGCGAATGATTATAATTAATAGCAACCATAATAATACCTTTAATAAAAGCAATGGAGGAAATGTTACATCCTAATGGGAGGCAGGGGGAATTTTGAAAATGCAAAATGTTTTTCTTTTACCTTTAAAAGTGCCAGGGCAAAAATGCCTTAGGAGTAAAATTAACTAAATACATTTTTTTGTGGTCTATTTCCTGGGACATCTTAGCAAAAATCTGAGACAGAATTCACACCAGTGTACAAGAAAACTCCTGTGTAGTCAATCCTAACAACATGGCAGACTTGTTAACTGCATTAATGACACTGATGATTCTTTACACAGTTAGCAGTAAGAGGAATAAAATCGGTGAATGACAAATAACTAAAACTCTGGAGCAGAGAGAAGCAAAGAAGGAAAATTTTATAATGCCGGACAGAGAAAGTTTACCCAGCAGCAAACCCACCTTGTGGTTAGCTAGTTGCTGAGTGATTATTTCAAGACTGCTACTCTCCATGAGGTCAGGGCTAACCAGCCTGCTGGACATATGTAATAACCATTTCTCCCCTTCTTGCAAATCACTGTTGTAATCCTCGTGTTCTTTTACTCTTACCTCTAAGGTTTCAACATATGCCTGCAAGTCCACAATAAACAAAATTAAATATTACGGTTAAGTATAATAATAAAAAATAAAAACTAAAAAAAAAACAAACCCACAAATAACACAAACAAACCAAACCCCAAACCAAAACCAAAACAACAAACCACCAACACAAACCAAAAACTACCAAGAGCTTGAAAACATATGAGCTCTCTTCCACATTTACATTCCTGTGAGGAACTTTCACAGGATTAGACTGTTAAGGAAGACGTAAAAGGGATTATTTTGTAGTAGTGAGCAGTGTTTTCAATTCTGATGAAATACCATACTTTGAAGTCTGCGGAAACCCCTGAGGATTTCCTTTTTTTAAAAAAAGGAACACTGTCTTGACATTAAGTTCTCTTAGGAAAAGTTAGTACATGATCTTTGAGACACTTCACATGACCTATCAAATGTTATGGCTGGGCCCCTGCTGCTCACAGCCTCTGCACGTATATATTGCCTGTGATTGTGGTAGGTAAATTAAGAATGTACATATTGAGCTAAAATGTATTTATCCTTTTTAAGAGAGATTTTTCATAAGATCCTCTACATTTAAGTCATCAACATTACACCTAATGCAACTGCTATCAGTTTTGTGATAGAGATCAGAGGAATGTTCCCAAATTAAAAAAAAAAAAAAAAAAAAAGACTGAGAAAAATAAAATAATCTGCTATTGGTGGACAGATTTGCCATTAAAGGTACTTAAGTCAAACATAAGGTTTGCAGAGCTTATCCTTATTAAGAGTATAACCTATTAAAAGCTTTAGGAATAATAATACTTTAGAACATATTTAGTAGTCTTAAAGATCTAATACTTCTACACATGTGGACTAATGAATCAATGTTAATAATGTCCTTGGCTGAATTAATTTATATCCATCTTGCACTTAATTTTCTCAGTGACTTCCATTCAACAACTAAACTAGATTAAACAGGGTTTGTGTGAGATCTAGCCGAAAAAAGAGACAAAATGGCAGAATTCAAGGGCAATTGTTTCTTCAAGAAAAATGTATTTAGAAATATATTCAAAGCAATTAAAAATACTAGCAATAGTACAAACTAGTTGCTGATATATTTTCTCTTAGTGCTATGAACACTTTATCTACCACATTCAAAACTCATTCCAGTCACCCGTTAGATTTATTTAGGTAGATGTTCTTTTCGTATTCAAGAATCTCCTTCTTCCCTATTTCCTTCCCCTTTATCCTCCCACGCAACACCCCCCCCAAAAAAAAAAAGAATAAAAAAAAGTAATGAAATCTAATTGGCTCTGATGTACAGGGTGTGACATGACAGCATGAAACAAATAGTCAGTGACTTAAAACAGAGCAAACTGAAAGAACCTAGAATTTTCTTCCCGACTTCTTACCTTTGTTGTGCTGCAGAGCTCCTGGTAACTGCTCTGAAGGTCTTGAATGTTGTTCTTTAGAATCACATCATTCACCAGATCAAAAAGTGCTTCTCCCTTTTCAATCACTGATTTTATTGAAGGCTCATGGGACAGAACAGTCTGCTGTATGGACTACAATGCAAGCAAGAACTAAATACATCCACTGAACACTGACGATTCATTTCACTAACTTCTCTTTGATCTCAAGCACAGCCTTCTATCATGATATATATTCTCCCTTACTAGATGAGCTGTGCTACCAGTACAGGGCTGTTTCTCAACCATGTCTTGAGAAAGCAATTTTGCAGGCATTTAAAAGCAATTACTCTTTTTGTTGAGTAGCTAGTAGCACAGACAATAATCTGCAGCTGGTGAAGGAAAGGGAGTTAATACGTGTGAAGGGGTCAGTCCTAGGGATAAAACTTGTGTTGAGAAACAAATTCTGAGAATAGGTGGGAAAGCATCAACAGAGCCATGCTCTTAATAAGAAGTGTGCAGATGAGTGTGCAACCTGATCTGTCACTGTGTCACTAACTCAGAGAGCATGGCACATGCCAGCGTCTATCAAATGACAGTGAGTTACCAGCTCCCCAGATGTGTAGGAAGCAAGCACACAGCTATGACATACGATTCTGAGTACTGAAACCAGAAGGAGGTAGGTAGTTGGTGCTGTGGAGGTACTGATAGCAATAGCGAAAACACTGGTTAACAGCACTGTTTTAGCCACAAAGTTACAGTGCTAAATGGGCTGCTATGAGGAGTTAGCTCCATTCTAGCCAGACTCAGTACACATCTTATGAAACACCTGTAAGCCTGAAGTATTTTATGAATTTTATGAAAACATCATTAAGAGAAGAAATGGGGTTTGTGATCAGGTTTTTTTTACTCATTTTTATAACTAGGAAAAAAAAAAAAAACAAAAAACACAACAAAACAACAAAAAACTTCACTAAAATCCTAACTAAAACCAGAAGAGGCCATAGCAGCTGACTATCTTAGATGTCAGTCGAGCTAGGACACCCAGAAAACTGATTAAGCAAATATAAATAGAATGTCTGCACTGAAGAAAGACCAACTGATTTCTGTCCTTGTTTAAACCACAGTCAGCTCTGTTGGTACCAACAGAATTACTCATATGTGTACTCATAAAAGAATTCTGCTTCGTAACAGGAAATACTCAGATATGGAAGCCTTATTAGGACATTCACATTTCAAATACAGGTGATCATCCAAGTTTGTAGATACAGATATCATACACAGGTTCCCTTTGATGCCTATCTGGACATCCAGATCAGAGACATCTCATACATCTGTTGAGAAAACTTGAACAGACACCTGGATTAGAGTTGCTAGGTCAAAAATGATTCCATAGTACAATGATATAATCCCTTTTTACCTTGTATTTGGACAACTGGGCCTTCTTCTCATAGAGTTCACTCTTTGGCTCCACAGGAGCATGTAATATGGCTTGGTACTCCATGACCCACTGAGTCTGTGCCTTGTACTTGTCTGAGAACTCTTTTGCCAGCTGAAGACACTTCTCTGAAGTCATGTGCTCTTTCCTGATGGAGCCAGCCAGTTCTTCAAGATGTTCCACATGATCTCCAATTTCTTTTCTTAACTGGTCAGCTTCATTTTCCTCCATGTACTTTATAGCTCGCTCCCCCTTCTCTCGAGCAGATTTCAGTAAACTGTGGCCTATGTCCATATCACTTAATAGCAGCTGTGAAGGAAGTGTTAGTTAACAGGAATGTATGAATTTAGATGAGGACACAGAAGGAACTACTAGGAAAATTTAATGGACTTTTCATTACAAAATTGCCTGGAATTAAGGTGTGGTAAACTAGAAAGCAACAGAAAAAAGCGGATACTTCTGCTCTGCACTGGTGTTGTGAAGACAAACACAGAAACTGAGGGCTCTCAGGAGAGAATCTGAAATGGATTAAAAGTTTTCCTTCAACTCTGAAACATGAGTTTTACTACTGAGTTATGTCAATGAGAAGAAATAAAAGCACTTCTTGTCACAGTGCATACTGGTATAAAATATATATGACAGGATGCCTTGCAAGCTCTTACAGAAGGATAGGATTGTATTATTTAGGACTATTCATAATCTCAACAACCAAACTGTAGGAAGTTTTATGCTGGGTCATCATTATGCTATTAGCATCTCTGGGCAAGTTGAAGTCAGAATTTTGAGCAGCTGTTAAGATGCATGTTAAAATATAGAATCTTTCTAGTGAACAGAAATAAAAATTATATTCAAGAAAGCTGTACCTCTAGTTTCTGCACTTTTTTCTCCATTGCTGTTTTATCAACCATGTCGAACTTGGTGATCACATTCCTGAAGTTCTTGTTAGTAGCTCCATACCAATTTGTGTAAGCACTAAAAGCCAATTCTGACTCTTCTATACAGCGTATTTCTTCTTCCAGACACTTTATTTGCTCCTTCAAACAAATATAAGGGTGAGGAAACAAGAACCACCCAGATGTTTATCACTACTATTGACTAAAGATAGCAATAAATTATTATTTATTAATAAAACCTGATAAGAATTAAACTGAGTTTTTTAAATCTACTGGGTAATTCTCACTAGGATCTTGTCAGGTTGTACATACAGTAACTCACTAATGTTAAAACTGCTAAACAACGAAAAGCTACTTACATTTTGCAATTTGAATTGTGACTTGAGACGCTTATTACTTAAAAGTGACCTGAAGACTGCTCCTTACAAATTTAAATTTTCCTCTAACTATGTGTTTCAGTGATAACCTGAAAACATTTCTCTACACATTGTTTAGCATTCAAATGTATGAAATTCTGAATTTCTCTCCTGAGACTGCTAAAAAAGACAGTAACAACATCTGGTGAATACTGAATATTTTGAAAGGTCATTATCTCTAATACCATTATCTAATACATTTAATCCATATACACGTGTGTATATATATGAATATTTAATTAAGTCTAGAGTAATTAATAAACTCTGATAAAGTCTAATTAAGAAAGTCTGTTTATATTTGCTTAACTGTCAGTTTATGATGTCACAATGAATTATTTATTACTTACTAAAACACGAAGAAGAAGAGTTTGATAGCGTGATGTAAGCTGCGTAGCCTGGCTTCCCATTCTGCTTGAAGTGAGACTTTGCTCTAGTATTTGCTGAGCCAATACCCCAACTTCCTCCACATCATCTTTGTAGATCGTAATTTCTTCATGCCACTTCTATGACAAAGACATTATCCAGCTCATATGACTGATTCAAATATCTTAAGCACAACAGGAATTCATTGAAAAGGAGAGCAAATACATGGTTGCAAACATGGATTTACAACAGGAAAATAAACAGATTCTGATGAAGGTTAAGATAACAAATACGCTGGAAGTTTTATCCTATCATATGGATTGCATCTCATTACAATAGTTTCAATACTTTCCCCAGAATAATAAAAATAGAAATGCAACCTGGAATTCCTATAGAATTTGACTGAAGTTTTAAAGATGACTGTAAAGTGTAACCTCAAATGTCTTCAAATATAATTCCTTCATTTACTCAGAACTATGTCTTCTTCTTGCAATGACTGAAGAATTATTATATGAAATATATTATTATACAGCAAAGACTTCACAACACAGCTGGTCACATTTTACTCTTGTTATCATATTAACACTTTCCCACTGTCCTGGTTTTAGCTGAGATAGAGTTAATTTTCTCCCTAATAGCTGGCACAGAGCTGTGTTTTGGTTTAGTATGAGGATAATGTTACTAATACACAGATGTTTTAGCTGTTGTTGAACAGTGCTTACTCCAAGTCAAGGACTTATTTAATTTCCCATGCTCTGCCAGTGATAAGGGGCACAAGAAGCTGTGAAGGAGAATCTGACCTGAGCAAACCAAAAGGATATTCCATAACATAGAATATCATGCTTAGTGTATAAGCTTGGGGAACTCAGCCAGAAGCCACAGATCACTGCTTGGGGACGGGCTGGGCATTGATCAGTGGGTGGTAAGCAATTGTATTGTGCATCACTTGTTTTCTTAGGTTTTATTCCTCTCTCACTCTTTCTGCTATCTCCCTGTTCACTATTATTATATTACATTACATTACATTATATTACATTACATTACATTATATTTTATTTAGTCCACTCCAGGACTTAATCTTTATTCTAAATTGTGCCTTCATACACCACAAAGTATACGCATACAAAATCTCCTTATGAGATTTCAACATTGGCATAGTCATACCCGTAACAGTAAAATATGAGGAACCAGGATCCAAAAGGCAAGAAGCTCTCTTGGATCCATCATTCTAGGCACTATCTCAGAATAAATTACAATGCTTCCTTGTCATTTTCACAGTGCAACCAGAACTAATATGGAAACCTCACATGGTATTTTGTTTAAGGAATGCCTTAACTATATTCTTTACCTTCATTTGTTGAAGCTGCATCTCCTTTGTTGCTCTACCAGACTGCCTCCCAGTCCTGACAGCAACTTTCCCCTCCAGGTCTGTTAGCCACTCATTAACCTTCTGAAATTTTTTCTCCATTAACCTCAGTCTGCTCACAGCAACATTTAATTGGCTTCTTGCTTCAGAAAGTCTGTGTTGATAAAGTTGCCAATCCTGCCGCAAGGATTCCAGGGCTCGGTCTTCTATCTGAGGAATGCCCCAGGGAATCACCTCCTCTCTGGCATGGACAGCAGCATTCAGTAGTGCTTGTCCTTCTGCACAGTGGACCTGCAGCTCCTGTAAAGGTAGTTACGAATACATACACTATATTAACAGTTTCCATACACACATGGCAAACAACGTCCTGGTTCTACTTAAGACAAAAGCCATTCCCTCGCATTATCTAGATACCGCCTTTAGTTATCTACAGTTGAACACATATTACTAAGTTCCTGCTAAGTTTATCACCAGTTCTGAAACATTAGCTGCCTGTGCTAATTAACGCAATCCATTCAGCACAGCCTTACATTCAAACTTTCCCAGCTCTGCGGCAAGTAGACTATAAGACTGATTCTAAAATTAAATCTGTTTAAAAAAAGGAACAAGGTGAAACATCAATCTTTTAAAATAAACAAACCTATTGTTTTTACATATGTTTCAGACATAATTCTAAAATAATTCTCAATATCCTTTTCCAGACACATGTGGTATCGGCTTCAGATCACAGAATCATAGAATACTTAAGGTTGGAAAGGACCTTAAGATCATCTAGTTCCAACCCTCCTGCCATGGGCAGGGACACCTCACACCAAACCATGACAACCAAAGCTAACTAATGCATAACTTGGAAACTACTGAAGTACTAGATTCATCCTTCACTGTCACTTAAGTGATTCAATAATAATCTTCCAACCTGATCATAGGAGCTAGCCTACATGACTGGAACTGCCTGAAAGCAGACATATCTGAACTGTAAGCAATAAAAGATGAAAATCCAATGAAAAGAATAATTTTGATATTTTTATGAAACACAGGGAAAAGAGGAGGTAGGCCAACATCTAAAACAAATTCAGTACTTGCAAGGAACGATTATTATGCCTGAAGAAAGGATTATCAGTATGCCTGGAGATTTTATTCAAGGCCTGACACTTCTTTCTGGACATGAATGACATTGTTTCTATTGACTTTACTGGAACTACTTTTGAGCAGCAGAGTACTTGAAATATAATGTGATTCTAAGCTGTTCTGGTGGCAACAGAGATGCAATTTTTCTCTGGAAATTAATGTTATTTTGTTATTTCACAAGTAGGACTATGTTTTTACTTAGAGTGTCAGACATTATGTACCTGTAAGTCTCGGAGTGTTGCCTCCTGTTTCTGAGCATCACCATCAAGATGTGATAAATGGTCAAGTTTTTCTTGTTCTTTCTCTAGCCATACTTCAAAGGCCTTCAGATTTCTCTGGTAAGCTTGATGTAAGTGAAGCAGCCCTTCAGCTTTTGTTACTGCCTCCTGTATAAACCAAAAAAGCATAAAACCTAGACTTTCATCAAGGGGAAAAGTTTGTATCTGATGCTGAGCTGCCCTAAAATTCAAGAGTACTCGGATTCTGAGGATGGTTTTATCAATTACAGGGAAAGAGGGGTAAATGCAGAGAAACAGATACTTATCTTGAAAGATTCTTCTCATAAGTTTGTAACTTCTGGGATCTGAAGTTTTGATATGGGATCACTTTTAAATAACACTGTGTCTAATAACAAGACCTTAATTTTTATATCAATTAACTGTATTGAAGTCATTAATAAGGGTATTAGCTTAGAAAGTGCATATTTTTTCTTCACGATTTTTTTTTCCAATGGAGTAATAATATCCTATTAAAAGTATCTAATATCTTTAGGTTTCAAGAGTAACCAGGTCGTCTGCAGGCAGTTCCTACAGAGCACAGTGAGAAACAGACTGGAAGTCTTCTGTGCATATGGGTAAGCAAGCTACAATAATCTGGCACTAAAGTATTGTGTGCCTGAGCATACATTAGGCATTATTTAATAACTACAGAAGAACCTGGGTTAACTGAAGATAATCACCTACCTTTAAATACCTTTAAGTATCACCAGTTCTTTTATTATTTCTTCTTTATCCTGTATCTTACATTAAAACCCATCTTGACCTTTATCTGTCTATGCCCTTATCTCTTCCAGTCCTACAATATTAACACTTATCAGTAAATGTGGTGCTTATCATGCTGGGTCTTTTGACACTGCATTAAGTTTCCCTGCTAACAAGGTCTGTGTTTAATAATAAGCTTCTGTAGTTGTGAAACATTTGTGAATTACCTATCGATTGGCTGCATTTATTGCAAGCCATACATTTACACGAATCATAGATTCCAAGTTTCCAGTCACAACAGGCAAAATCATATCTGCACAGAAGTCAGTGAGACTTTTGACATAAAATTCCTCAGACTATTCACCTGATGATTTTGCCAGATTCAGATTTTTAGAACCTTTCTGGAAAGATCTGAAGCTTAGTGGTACAAATTGATAAATCACCCTAATAACTTTCTCTTACATTAACTTACAGCTGTCCCCAAACTTGTACTCTTCATTTAACTGTAAAATCAATTATCAATAAATAGACTTTCTCTTTTTCCTTGTTCCCAACAAAACAAGAATGAGTGCTATCAAGAAAAACTGTACCCTTGTTCTATCTTTGAGGAACTTATACCGCTCCTGAAGGTCCTGAAGTTCAAGCTGAGTGACATAATGCTCAGCCATCCCACTTCCTTTCACTTCAATTGTCTCCAACAGGCTGCTGTGACTCAACACTTCTTCATTGAGTAGCTGTAAAAAAGAAAAAAGAATAATACATGTATGAAAGGGGCAGAATTAAAACAAGGCCACAAACCTTTCAGTTATTCTGACTTTTTTTTGTTGCTTATAAGGGCTTGTTGCTGGTTATTGTAAAGCAAACACACCTTTGCTTTGCTGAGGGCAGCTGTTTTTTCCCTGAGTTCAGCATATTGCATTTCAGAAGCATTCATACTTGCTTCTACTTTATCCATCCAGCTGGAAAACTGACGAACATCATCCTGGTAATTCGTCCATTTGGAGAGAGCTCCTTCCAGTTGACTGTAATGTAAAAATATGTGTCATGACTGCAGATTTCTCATGCTATATAAGCAGTGAGGTATAGTCACATACATATGGTCTAGTTATTCTAGACAATATTTATAAGAAAGATATCTAACAAGCTAAGCAGTCTGACAAAGAGCTATTTAAAACCCTGCAGATTTTAACTAGGGGCACTGTTTGGTTGACAAATAGGAATTAAGTTTTCCAGACCTAGAACAGGAAAGACTTGGAGGTCTGTAAGTTATGTAGCTAGCTGATGTATTCTTGCTTTGGTAAATAAAATACAACTGAAAGCATAAGGTCCAGAATCAGAAAATTTCTGTCCTTTTGCATACATTCAAAAGTTGCCGTGTTCTAATATTTAGTTACTTTTCTTGTTTTAAATTGAAGTATTTGCACTAGTGACACCCTACCAAAGAAGGCTCATTTTCCCCTTATATTTTTTTATTCTATTACTTTGAGTATAATTATTGGACACTGTAATTACAGTACCTTCTGAAAATGCTAGCAAGCGGAAAGCCAGACAGGATCTTGACAGAGCAACTATTAATGTCCGCAACAAGATATTCTAATTTCTGAGAACAATTCAAGGCACCAAGGGCAACTCAAAGCAAAATTTACAAGAAGATTATGGACATGTAATCAATTTTTAAGAGTATATTAACAGTCGGTGTTAACAATTTCCTTCCTTTTTTCTTCTTCAATGAATGTCGCTTACGGCCTCTAGACCTGCGATGTTAGGCATATGCAGTCATTTTATATAGATTTGACTCTTGTAATAATAAAACTCTGGGAATTAACTTTCCAAAAATTTTTACAGTACTTTATTGTTAAGCATCATTCTGTACCGCATACCCTTTTTACCTCTTGCAGTGGATGCAAGCAGACAGAAGAGAAGACCAGCTGTCTTTCAGGGTTTGCAACTGCCGTTCAATCACTGGTACTCCCTCCAGAGAAGTATTTTGCAGAACAGATTCTCCTCTTGTCAGAATAATTTTCATTTGGATTTCTTTTTCCTGTTTTACTGCTAGCAGTCCCTAAAAAGTGAGTGGGTATTATTTTACTTTCATCATTAATTAGGCATGAACATACTAACTGGCTTTACTGGAAAATGAGCTGATCAAATCTAGCAGCTTAATACTAACAGTCAATTGGAAGAGGGACAGTGGGGTTCACAGCTGGGTTTCACAATGAAAAAGAGACTTTCAAAGGCTAGGATCAGGCTACTGAAAAATATAATCTCAGTTGACAGGGAAGTTTTCATGGAATCTGTGCAAGTACTTAAAAGTGTATCAGAGAAGGTACCGTTGACTGGAAAAACTGATCTTTTAAAGGAAATGTCATTTAGATCGAGAAAACAATGTGATGACAAAGCTTTTGCAACAATTACTGTGAATTATTGTCTTTGCGTTTTTCTTAACATTCTAAAAAGAGCAGGTTTTAGAGTCTGTTGTTTCCATACCTCTAGCTTTAGCATCCGGCTGTCCAGAACACTCTTGTCTGCAGTGGGATGACAATAGGAATCCAGCATATGAACTGCATCAGCCACCCAGTCCTCGAGGTCTTTGATACTGTGTGAGAATTGCTGGTGCTCTGCTACCACCCTATCCATTCTTGAAACTTTTTCCTGCAATTCATACAGCAATTAGCACCAACAGCTATTCAAAGGACTGTTTATTCCCCATACTTACTTATGGACTTTAAAGTTTCATAAACTATACTCAGAAATTCTCTTCATATATTGATAATTAAAAGTACAGCTACTTAAGCATGGAATGAATTTTGCATGCAAACACACACACACATCGTCCAAACTTAACATACACATGAAAATTTCAGAAATGCCTTTTTGTGTTTTTTTTTTGGTTGGTTGGTTGGTTTGTTTTTTCTTTTTTATTTGTTTTATTTTCTGAATTTTCTTTTTTGTTTGTTTGGTTTGTTGGGGTTTTTTTTATGTGTGTTCTAAGTGTAAAGCTTCACCTATTTGTCTCCTCTCATCCAAAGTTCATGCCATTTTTTTCTGGTTTCACTTTTTCTTAAACACCTACTAAATCACACCTAAACTCCGTGTAAGTGTGGCAACTGAAGAGAACTTCTTTGTTTTCCTCAATGACTTCCACTGATATAACCATTCTTTAGAAAAAAATCAGACACTCACACAAATAAAAAATAAATGCTTAAGTTACATTGCTAAAAGGCCCGAGGCGAACAGCAGTACAGAGCAGAGTGCATTTCACACAGTAACAAAGAACTAAAGTCAAGCCAGTGAAACAGGTAGAGGAAGTTACTGAGAGAGATCTTTCTCAAGCATCCATGCCTATCTAAAGAATTCCATAATTTCTCTCATAGGCTGGTTCTTATGTATCCTCTGCCTCAAACTCCTCTTTCTCATCCTGCCATCCCCTACAAGTTCTGCTCACATAAGACCGTGTAACTCACGCATCTTTCCCATTTTGCAGTCATGAATATTTATTATGGCCATGTACACAATCATTTTCACTAAGTCATACAGCTCTAGATATGCTTTATAATTTTTATTTCCACAGAAAAAGTAGAAATTAAAAAACTGGCAACTGGCCAAGCATAAATACTTTCTGAATGGAGTTGTTATCCTATAACACACTTCCTATATCCTTAATTATTCTCATTACTATAATAACTGTAAGACCTAATTCAGTATCAAGCCTAGTTTTATGACATGAACTTTGCCAAAAATAACGGTCCTAATACAAAGACCTTATCTGTTTAGACAATAGAAACAGTAAAACTATAAGACACTGAAGAAGTGTGTCACACACCATTCAACAAATCAGTTAGATTAAAATCTCAGTCCCTAGCACGATTCTTTAGAGTTTGGCCTATGTATCGCATTGAACCTTCAAAATAGCCTAAGAGGTAATTTTTTTAGACCAATCTATTAGTTTTAGATGAAGATGCTTATAATGAATATATTTACTAATCCTTATAGGATGCAATGAAGTAATAACTTTTGTGTATTCTGTATTAAAAAAAAAAAAACAACACCCAAAAAAACAACAAACAAACAAAACCCCCCAAAACAGTAACAATACAAAACCAAAAAAACACTCCACTGCCATAAATCTTGAAAAATACTTTCAGGTGCCACTAAAATGTCTTCATTTGAAAGAATCAAAATAAAGCCTGATTATTTTATAATGAGGTAGGGCTTACTTTTTTAACCAAAGCACATTTAAAAACAAAAATAAATCATAATTCCATTTTGTTGACAGTCCATAGAATGATCCAGGTCATTACTTCCTACTCTTTAAAGCTAGTGTGAAAGACAAAACAGCTCAGATATACCACAGAGCAGACAAGCAAGACAGCTGCAGTGTTTCATACTTCAGTCTTTCTTTTTCCCCCCATACATCAGATGAGCTGCTCAAAAGCACATACACTGGGTGCATTACCTTTGTCAGATTGCTTAGAGTAAGATATTGAGAAGACAACTGAGACACTCTGCGCATAAAGCTTTTGCTGACAGCTTGCTCTTCCCACAGCTGCTGAGCTTTCTCTTTTAGCCTGTTGAGCTGATGCTCATGGCAGCTTATTTCCTCAAGGACAGACTGTAAAGCACAAGCACGTTAATATTAGAATTGGGTGCAAGAAAGCAGGACATGGAGAAACATGAAGGCCCCACAGAAAATAGAAGTGACATATGGCAAGCTTGCTGAGAAAGGCACACCATATGGCTACAGCAGTGAAGCAGCATGTCGTAAGAAATGTGAGGATGTGAAACCTGATGGAACAGGATCAACGACAATCTTTGAAACCAGTTCTCTTCTTATTTAGAGGTCAGGATGCTAGAATGATCAAGCTTTCGTATGGAATCAATGAGGACAGGGAAGTCTGGCTGTGTTAAAAAGGGCTTATAAGAAATGACCTGCAACTTTTGCTGTTCTCTCCTCTTGGAAGGAAGATCATGGAGCCGACTGCTACTTCCTTGTACCATCTTCTCAGTTGTGGTCAGCCACTCCTGCAGAGGCTCAGCAGTTGCTTCAAAGTCCCTCATCTGGATTTTTAAGCTCTGGAAAGGCATGCACAATTCTATCAACAGTCCCACTGCACTGGGCATAACTGTAATGCACAACATTACAGCACACAAAAAGGATATACAATTGCAGCCAAATCTACACAACTCTTCAAATAAACAACACCAGCTCTGCTCCTTCCCATCCCACAAGCAGACACAGAAAGAAAAGTCTGAGAGAACATCTCATCAAGGGGCAAAATAGAGGCAACAATGTTGAGGGGAGGCTGAACAAATTTCCTCTGAACTGAAAGCTTTAGAAATCTTATGAGCGTTGACTCAATGTAAATCTATCTCACACAGCTAAAGCAGTCTGAACATAGGTTAATTTGGAATACGAGTTACCTAACATCTGCTTGCAGTCATTCACACTGGCTGCCACTATTCCTAGGTGATGCATGACTATGTTCAACCCAATCCTGGGGATCATTTCTGATTATATTCTTTTTTTGTTTTAAATGTTGGTTATAAAAATGTGTGCAGGAAGGCATATGTGTGCATTCCTTCAGTGCCTGCATATTCTTTTGTAGGCTTTAATCACGCTTAATCTGCATGATTAAAAAAATAGCATCTTAAATAATTCATATGGAATAGAAACTTAAACAGCACAGTTCCTGTGCCCTAGTTATCTTTTTTTTTTTCTCAGACTTAGTTGTCTTTTTAGCTATAGCCTTATCACTTAAATTAAACATCAGAATGAAAAACTAAGCCTATGAGACTCAAAAATGCTTGGCTCAAAAAGATTAACCTCTAAGAACATCCTTTTCCCACAGCAACCCTGAGATAAAGCAAGCCCTTGCTACCTGAGAATTTTCTTTTAAAGGGTTTCCTACACAATACATAAAATGTAATTAAATTTTTTCTCAGCTGCCTAGGCAGCATTGGTTCAAAACAAGAACACCTAGGTACTTTCATTCTCCTCTGCTATGCAGGGAATTCTAGATAAGACCTTTTGACATTAAACCCTAAGACTATTAAAAAAAAAAAAAGAAAAGAAAAAAACACAGTTTTAAGATATTCACCCTCTGTGCTGGTTGAATTGTGAGCTCTGAACAGAGAAAAGCACTGGGATTTATTTTAAAAGTTGCTCAAATACATCATCACATTTCACCAGTTTGCAATAAGAGACATTTACCTGGTGTGCTGAGACTATTCAATCAGCAACAGTCCTTAAAAAAGAAAATGTCTTTTAATAATCCACTACATTTGATGAGACTCGTTCTTGCAAACTTGAGCAGCTGCTGTCTTTGCTACCTCCAGTTACTCTGAAAACACCTTTTTCCATGAAACACCCCACTTAACGTGAAATCAGGTCACAGGAATATAGGTAAACAAAAGTAAAATGTAAGCCAAAGAACTGGACATCTTAAAAATAGCTATTTATTAATTCTGTCACATCATAAACACAGTTATATACAAAATCTAAACTATGCTGTTTGAAACAAAAAGCAAAGAGGAAAGATCCAATCTTTCTCCACTGTGACTGATTCAATACCTCCAATGCAGATTCCTTCTGGTGGAGGGTGGTGATAAAATTTTTCCAATCTTCTTTAGCGGTAGCACATTTGTCCTGGATAACCTCAGCCTTTTCTTTTGTTAAAACAGAGCACAGGAGTTCTCCTTTGGATGCTACCAGGTTAAGTTTCTGTTGCCCATTCTCACTTTCTGTTAAGAATTCCTAAAAACAGTAACAAAAGAAGCTAATTGGTGAAATTTGGGTCCCAGGAAACGCCAATAGCAAGCTTCCAGAAAATTTAACAGGGATAAGAGTTTACTGCTTCTGCTCATTCATATGCAAACACATTTTTTGGTACATTCCATTTTAATATCATTGTTATTTATGGGATTCAGGGACAACAACTTAATCCAGAAGTGCCATGCATCTAAATAATGTATATATTAGGAGTCTAGTATCACCTGTATGTTCTGCATTTCATGAGACAACTACTGGTCATTTAATTGGTTATTACACTTTTTTCAAATCTCCATGGTACAGAAAATGGTAACAGTTTCATTTTGGGGAACTAGTATCCTGGCATAGGTAGCTGCAGGCACCAGGGCCCACCCTGAGACACATAGGACTGAAGGCTTGTCCATGGCCAATAGCTTGGACTTCCAACGAGTGTTGTAGAGGTGTAGGCTGACACACCCTCAGCAGTGCCTAAGGTATGTGATTTATCCCTCTGTGTCCTTAATTTACCTTCCCTGTTTGAAAGTATTTTTCTCCACAGAAATCTTCCACAGTGCTGGTGTGCAGGAAGTGTATGAAAAAATGCATGTGCAAGAAATATACAGAAATGTAAGGAAACAGATGGATTTTTAGATTTCAGTGTACTCAGATAATATACTTCTAATTACTAAAAGACTATGTGAGCTTTTAGGACTTAATGGAATTTACCAGTCTAAAATACCAATATTTTAAAATGTTATTATGATTATGTGATACAAAAATAGTTTTATATCCATAATCATAAGGTTGCATCCATATTCAGAATTAACAGGCTTGATATAAAAATTACTAAGTCAGGTTCTGATTCTATGTTACACTAAAGGTCTTAGTAGAGTATGCCTTGAGATACTTGGTTCAAGTTCTGATTATATAAAAAAATCAAAGATATAATTGCCTTGTGACTTAATGATGTCAAATATGCTAACAGACAGAACATATAACTTTTAACAAAAATAGAATTTTAAGTTTATACAGGTTACCAAGACATGTCTAGAAGTCCTAAAGCAGTTTCTGCGTGTTAAAAAGAGTTCATTTCACTACAAGCAGCTTTCAGGGAGGAGGAGAACAAAGTAAGGTCTTATGCTATGAAGGGGCTGCAACGATGAAACAAACAAAAAAACTTACCACTTTTGGAAAAAAAAAAAAAAAAAATCCCAACTTGCTGGAATTTTTACATTTAATACCAAAAACCCACTAGGATTTTTTTTTCCCCTGTTATTTTTTCTAAATGAATATTCTCATTTTGGGGTAGACAAAGATTTGATATATTAATACAGTATTGTTTATGCTTTTAAGCAAAACATTTAAGCAAAGGAAAGTAAGTTTACCAAAAGGAGGAGGAAGTGATGTGGGGTTTTGTATTTTCTGAGAACCTCATACAAATTTCTTCTGTTACACTAGCCAAATGTTTAACAGTCTCATTACGCAATTCTCTTTTTGCTATTTTCAGCTGAAATTAAAGCTACATTCTATTCATAATAGCATTTATTTCACTCACTTTTATTAAATAAACTTATAATTGTCACTCTTTTCCACAGAGTTGTTCAGGCTTCTTTTAGCTTTATGTGAAAATATTATTTTTAAAATGCTTGTTTGCACTGCATACATTTTAATTCTGTTCTTGCAATATAAGGGCTCTAGTTTCATATATGAGAAAAAATGTTTACATAACTTTGAAATAATTCCAGGTACTAAGTCCTGATTCTGATATCATTCTGATTTTATAGTATTCTCTGACCTTAAAAATATATTTTTTTTATAATAAAAAAGAAATAAACAAGAAAAAGCAACACGAGAGACAATTGCAACATATGAACTATTAAACTAAACAAACTAGATTAAAAAGATGATTTTTTCATTGTAATTAGTCACCTTTAGTGATTACATAGCAACATTAACAAAAATTATTAAGCAAACAATTCAACCTGAGCTTTACATGAAACTGATTAAGTTTCCCTTAGACTAATGTTTCACAGCTACAGTTACCTGTATTTTCTGCAGGCTTGCTGAAGCTTCATTGATATTTTGAGGCACGTCAAAGCATTTGGCTGTGGTGACTTTTGCATGGACCAGCCACTGCTGGAAGTCCCTGAAAGCTGTCCGAAATCTTTGCTGCAAAATCTGCTCTTTGCTCTGACATCCTTTTGAAGCTTGCAAGCAGAGGCTGGGTTTATCACATCAGGGAAGCAAGAGGGAGGAAGAAAGGGAGGAAAAGCATGACTCGATTAGGTGACAGTGCTATTACTTAGTTCTCTGAAATACAATGGTAAGGTTAAGTTAACCTGAGTTCCTCCTACTCATTTTAAGCACTTAACTGAGGTACCAGGAAATCCATTAGAAGCTTTCAGTTCCTTAAAAGTGAAGCATATAAATTGGGATGTAACTGCCACAGATATGACAGGTGTAAGCACTTTCAGAGAATGACTCAGGGCACCTAAGCATAAACAGTTTTCCAAGGCCCTTTCTCTCTCTAGGGACAGGCTGTGGAACTATAGCAATTACAATTCTAACTTCTGTGGCTTAGTTACATTTGAAATGTTAGGAAGGATCAATCAAAGCTATACCCTCCTGCAAGAAACAATGGAATCTTGTGCCTGAAATGCATGTGTCCCACTCCAAATAAATGAGCTAGAGTGACCTGAGAGAAAGCAAGAAATCAACCAAATGCTAGCTCCCCTCTTTCAAAGAACCAGCTAGTCAAAGAAGAGTAAACTGAATGACAAAGTTAAGAAAAAGATCTTAAATAGCTGGTATAGCTTGTTCTTCCTTCAGACAAATAATCTGTAGTGCTACCTCACAGTTGCTTACAGGGATTTCTCCTGTAACAGGTCAGGTGCGGATATACATTAATTTCAGCTGAGTTTAGTGGCATAGCCTAGCTTTTAGAAAAAAAAAAAAAAACCCAACCAATGAAATTGCTACTTTTTACAACCTGTATTGACAAAAAAAATCAAAATCATGATTCTAATAATTGTATACCTCTGTTTCTAATTCTAAAATTCTAATTAATGGTTCCCTAAAAGACAGCTCATGCCCCCTCCCACACACAAGGAATTGATTATCTATAAACAAGATGAATGTGTACCTGTTATACTCCTTAATCAGCCCTGAAACTTTTGAAGAATAAGAACTCAAATCTCTGGAAAATCTACAAAGATCATTTAACTGAGTTTTGAGCTCATCTGTCATATGTTCAGACTTTACCAGAGTATCCAATGTTTCCTGTTAAAACAAAACAAATGAAACAATTACGACAATATTAAACCAAATTGAAACAAGATTGGTAAATGAGAGACTTAATCTTTTGAATCTAACTTTATGAGAATTTCAGTTCAACTTCATTTATGATATATGCAAATTCACTTTCAAATGTATTTTAGCAGTCAAACCTACAGAAACTTATTTGAAATTACGAGCTTCTAAAAACCAAATTTCTGGAAGCCTCAACTTTCTTAGTTCAAAATATTCTCAAAGAAAAGTTTAAAATACAAATTTCATTTTAATAAATGAGCTATGGTATTGTCAGTTAGCTGTACAGATGTAAAAGTACATACAATTAGGGAAGAGCAAACAGTATGTGTTTACATACACATAATTAGCCAGTTGGCTTGAGTTTAGCATGTTCAATAAAAACTGGTTTAAGCTATATATTAAAAAAAATAATTTATGCACAAAATTTTTAACAGCTTCAACTCTTTCACAGAGGGCTTCATAATGTAAAAATACAGCTGCCTACAATCTCATGAAAGTGGGTTACTGCCTGTCATTGCTGCACTGGAAAGACTCTTGCTTTGGAGACAGCTAAGCCAGCAAAACCAAAATGCTTTTGTTGGCTTAACTTACATCACTGGAAGACATGTGATAACCACTCCAACAAAAACAGCCCTTGCTGATGTCCACAGCATCTCCACTGCAGAATCCTGCCAGCTACTCGAGCATAATGAGCAGGGCAGACTTGGCTCCTTATCTCACTAGAAACTAAATTCTTCAGGCATTCCTCTGAAACTCCCAGGGAGAGGAGACAATCCTCTAGCCAGTTACATTCACCCTGGCAGAGGTTCTTCAGTGCAGGCAGGCCACAACATTTTGCAAGTACTGATTAATTTGTCTAAATCTAAGTGCCATTCTGGAAGAAACATGTAATATAAACTTAAGAAATGGACCATATGAAAGTGAAGACAGATTTTACAGAGACATGTAAGTGGGACAAGAAGTCCCCAGATCATGGTTTTGAATATATATATAAAGAAATATACACAGTAAACAGTTTGCAATAATCTATCCACACAAAACTGAATGTTTGGGAAAGGTACACGCAATGTACAGAAAAACACACGGGGAAAGTTTTCAAAATAACACAATCTACACTGCAGACATAAAAATGCTCACTGAGTAGATTTTTCATTGTAAAGTATTAACTAACTCTGCAATAAACTGATATCCCTTTATGTTAATCAAAAGTAAAAGGACATATTACAAGAGTCTAGCAAGGCAATCAACAGACTTAGCAAGAATAGCAAATGTACAAATGCCAGAGATTCAGCTGATGTGTCTGTTGCCCTCAAGCAATTTTGTGCTTGTTTCTTATCTGTTTTCCTGAATGGCAAAATTAGTATTTTAAAAGTTATATAGGGGATTTCTGAGCAAGTGAGAAAAAAAAAATAAAAAAGAGATATAGAGATATTGTTTCTTGAACTGCCAGGAAGAAAAACCAGAACAATCCATTTAGAGAAAAGACTAAATTACAAACATGCATTGGCTATGAATCACAGCTTGATTATATTAACAGTATTGAACTCTGTTTGCATTTTTACATCCCAGGGAAGCCCTATAAAATTAAGTCTACAGACTTTTCAGATGTATTATGTGTACAAACTTTCATGTGTTCTTGTGAGTATGAAGAAATACTTTGCTACAGCAGATTTTCAGGTCTCCTCTGTTTTACGTCATTTGTGCTTGCTTCATGGACTTTATCTGCTTTAAGTCATTCATACACCAGAAATCAGTTCAACCATAAAAGACACTTCCAAAGTCTCACTGCCAGTTTATTTCAATACCATATAAAGAAGCATTTGAATTAAATAGTTATGTAATAGCAATGAAACTTGGGGAAAATGTAAACCAACTACTTTTTGTTTCTCTTACTTTACATTAAACTAGATACAAGATCCTTTTTTAAAAGCATTATGAATAAAAACACAATTTACAAGTAAAGTTGTAGCTGCTACTTAAACATAAAATGCCACAAACTGTATAGGGCAGGAATCACCATAATGAAATACTAACAGCTTTTATTTTTGTTGCTGTTTTTGGTAAAGAAAACATGTTCTAAGGGTAACACAGGGTTAGAATTGCCTGTTCTCAATTATTTTTTTCCAGTTTCAAATAGCCTACCTCAATAACTTCTAAAAGGTTATTTTGATGAGGTACAGCCTTAGGCATAACCTATTAACAAACAGGAACATTAACTTCCAAAACAGGGTGCATTTAACTGTTATATTTTTCCATACAGACCACAGATAGCACTGTTTCAGCCACTTGGATTTCATTTTGAATCTGACAATTACCAAAAATAATTTGCTGAATTCCAAGTGCAAGATCTGTTGCTTTTATTTTGCACAAACCTAAAGGAATGGAGCTTGCGTACAGCAGAACAGCAGAATGAGCTTGCTAATTCTGAGAATTAGGAGATTCATTTTTAATTCATGGCCTTGGCTCACATGGCAACAGAACCACTGTGAAACAATGGAAATGGAAAGCTGCAGTGCTATTTTATGTTCACAATAGGACCTATCCCTGGGGCCCAGAAATGGCAGGATTACTGTCACATTTCCTCTAACTATAAATAAAATTACATATTAGGGCCGTGCATTGTGAGTCTTGAGATTCCTCTACATTTTCCTCATTAGCTAAAGTTTACAACTGTCTAATCTAAATAAAGTGTTGTTACAGTATATACACAGTATATATGCAATTAATAAAACCAATATCCTCCATTTGTAAAATGAAAAATGTCTGGTAGTTGTTGATGTATGCTGATGATAATTCCATGTCTTCCTTTCCTTTGCAAAAACATATGGAAGACTTTGCATATTTCTACCATTATTTGCTTCAATGTAATGTCAGCTTTGTTACTCCTGCAGACATATACTGATGCCCAAGTAGGTTCCATAAATCTGTGCCAAATTTGAAAGGGAAGCCATAGAAAAGACTTGGCAAAGACACTGGAGGAGAAGGTTTATAATCTCAGTTCAAAGAGAAGGTGTTGTGTTTTTTTTAAAAGTATCTTCCATCAAGGGGTCAGAAAGCAGGCATCACAGGCCTCTCTTCCTTTACTTGAACTGCTTAATTTCAACACCACTCTGAAAGGTAAATACACTGTATCTTTTCTCAACACCTGTGCTTCACAGTACGCAGATACATACAAATACGTATCTTGATTGTTGTGAAAATATATATCTATATTTACATACAGTGTGTGTGTTTGTGATACATACACGTGTTTTGTTGTTGTTGCTGGAAGACAATCAGCAACACAAACCACCTATTCCTCTAATTCCACTACAAAGTAATCAGCAAGTGCACCGGTTTCTGGTATAACTCCTTTAAATACTGGACAAGATCTCAACATGCATGACATGAAGGATATTTCAGGAAATGCAGAACATGAGCTCAACACACTCCTGACAAATTATAAGTAAGAAACAGCTCCGGCTGTTACTTAGGTTTTAAGAAATGTTTCCCGTGTCCCTGTTCAAGTGCTTTTCAAGTCTGAAACACTGAACAACTTGGAAGAGAAGTTCCCAACTGGTGTGCTGTAGCTCCTTCCCTTTCTCAGAGACAAGCCCTTGTTTTTCCCAGATGAGATGCAGGCAGCATTTGCTAAACCTTGTACAGCAGCGGCCAAGGAGAGAAATGTCTTCTGGAAACACTGCTTGTTGTGATGACAGTTACAGAAAAAGTTTGGAAAGATGTGATTTCATAGAAATATTTTTCACAAATGCAAGGTACTATTTCCTACGTGACAGTCCCCACTGGCATAAGCTGTCTGCCCCCAGTAGCCGTGCATTTACAACCGAACAGCAGCTAGGAAAAGAGATGTGGCCTTACTTTCTCCTTGCGCCAGCTTTCCACAACCTCGCCGTCGGTGTGCGCGCTGTCGAGGATAGCCAGGCTCCGGGAGGAAGCGGCCAATAGCCCGCCAAGCCGCTCCGCGGCCTCCTCCAGCCGCGCGGCCTGCGCCGCGAACTCACGCTCGGACAGTGTCCTCTGGCTCAGCACGTCCCGCAAGCTGCGCTGGCTCCGCAGGGCGCTCTCCTCCCACTGCTCCCAGTCCGACCGCAGGGCCTGCATCTCTGCCGCCAGCAGCTGGCACCCACCGGCCGTCGTGCCGCGCTTCGCGCCGGGGGACAGCGTCTCCACTCGGCCCAGGCGGCCCGCGCCGCTCTGCCGGGACTCTACCAGCTCCTGCAGGGAAACATCGCCATGGTAACCCTCCGAGCTGCCACCGCCTCCGCCGCGACGGGGAGGGCCGTGGCGTCCCGCCCGCACCGAGCAGAGCCCGCACAGGGCGGAGGCAGCGGGCCCGGGGAGCCGCCAGGCTTGGAAGGACTGCCGGAGGGACGGATACAAAGAAAACTCGGGCGACAGAGTGCGGGCTGTGCACCGGGTAAACAGCGCTCCCGAAACTTCTGTAAGCTGAAGTTTAGGGGAGAAAGAACAAACTTCCTTGAAAACTGTGTTTAGGTTAAGATCCACAAGTAGCTAACTGCTGTAATCTGTACAGAAGCTGCACGGGTATGTAGCTGCTCACAGTGTTAAAAGCACAACTGTGCTGCTCAGAAAGAAGCCATTTACAGCCGTGATCTGTGATGTGCCAAAATTGGTTGCACATGTCTCTTTTTCCATTTTTATTTTTTTTTCCCTCTCTCCAGAAGTGAATTCTTTCTCCAGTGTCCTATTTCAATCTCACACATGCTACAGGGGAATCTGGAGAGTTTTTAGCTTAAGAGACTGGAGAGTATAAATATCATCCCAAACAACACATGGCCAGACTAACCATATTTGTTCTTTTGTTAGTCTTACGAGCTAGAAACTACTGTCTCCCTCCTTTCCCGTTTTATATGTGGGGAGTTTGAGCACAAAGGAAACTGAAAACTATCTGAGAGTGCACAACAAATCTGCAATTTGATTTTGGGTATCCTGAATCTTCCTCTAGAAGCCTATTCGCTGGCCCACTCCTACATGTTTAGGAGCAGAGTAAAATGTTGACAGCATGAGTATCTGAAAGTAAACATCAGGCATGACCAAAACATTCAGTCTGCTTTAACACTGCATGCAGAAATACATAACTTAGGCACTCAAATATGGAGTAAGGCACTCAAATATGGAGTAAGGAAAGCACACATAAGGGAGGCAACACATTTCTGCTGTTTGGAGAGAACAATCCTTGCACTGCTTTATGCATCTTCATTTCGTGCAACTCAGGAAAGGTTGTTTCTGATTCAGACAACTCTGCTCATGGAGACAACATCCTCGGCAATGAGGACAGAGCAGTATTCATTAATCAGCTAAGCCATTCTTCTGTGATGCCACTGGGCTTCTGACCTTGCAAATTGTTTCCATGTGTGCTGTGGCTAATTCAGGTCTGATTGTACTTTTACTCAATCAGTTTAATATAGGAAGGGAAGCAAAAAAATCGTGGCTCAGAAAGCTTGTTTTCAGTTCACTGAAATGTAATCACCATTGTATAGGATCATAGAATGGTTTGGGTTGGAAGGGACCTAAAAGATCAGCTAGTTCCACTCCCCCTGCAATGGGCAAGGGCACCTTCCACTAGACCAGGTTGCTCAAAGCCGCATCCAGCATGGCCTTGAACACTTCCAGGGATGGGGCATTTCCTATTTCAAATACACAAAGAGTAAGATCCCACAACTTACTGTCTCTAGTCTATTCTAAAGTCTGAACTGCAGATGAAATCATGAAAGGTAACTTATCTTACATTGATTTTAGCCAGCTTTTTCTGTATAGTTGATGTATCTCCAGATGCGTCTGACCAACGGTGTAGCTCTTCCTTTGCAGACTGGAGCCAGTCTGTGAATTCATGCACAGCATCAAGGTATAGCAAATGATCCTTCACGATGTCTTCCACTTTCCTCATTTTTTCCTATCATTCAGATGAAAAAAAAACAACAAACCAAAACCAAACCCCCAGAAAACCCAAAACAAAAACAAAACCAAAACAAAACAAAACAAAAAAAACCACAAAACAAGGTTAATAAATTGCTCAAATACTGTTCTGGCTTTAAGTAGGTTTGATTCAAGCACAGGCATGTTCTGCTGGAGCAAAAGATGAAACAGTCTTCTGGAAATGTATGCAAAAATGAACTTTAACATGTCCTTTTACAACGTATATATTGTCTGACAGATATCAAAACTGCAGCTGTGACAACTCTTTCTCAGTACATCCTTAAGAGGCTTTTGAGCCCATGAGTCCTCTCAGGAAGCTGCGTGCTACCAGGAACAACTCTTATTTAGGAGTTTCAAGTCTCTACACATAAGAAGCAGAGTCACAGATATGTTGCATACGAAGACCACAAAGGAGGACTTCTGCTGTTCAAAACTGCAAAAGGTTCTTCTGGTGCAGAGTCCATTCTAATCACCAGATCAGAAGATCCTCCACCCCAGAGGATGCTTCCCCTGACACAGGCATACAGCAGCTTCCTGGCTCCGTTCTTAACTTTTTAATGTAAGCTTAAATCGGGGAGAGTTTATCCTTACTATGAAAAGATGAAATAGCATACTGGTCCAGCATTGCCTTTGGTCTGGCTGAACAGATTTCTTGCTATATTCTCATGAGCTAACACAAAAGTTTATAAAAACTAACCAAAATTAACTGAACTAATCAAATAGGTTTCTACTCCTATATGAATACTCTAGATCTAAGTGCCCTTAAACCAGTTTTGAACTAAACCACTATGAATTACACTCCAGTTATTTTTAACTTTGAATAACTCAACATTTAACTAATGCTTTTAGAAATCAAGTTAGATTAATAAGCCTTGCTGTTCTCTCTGAAAATAATCATCATAATTTCTCAGAATGTCTCAGACCAACTACACAATGGATGGTTACTACCTAAACAAAGATGACCTGAAGTTAATCCTCAGAGCTTTTACATCTTAATGCATTTTATGGAATAACAGAGTAAGAAAATATCCACATGCACGGGACTCTGAACAAAACAGATAGTCCTCTAGGGAAACAAAAGAGCCCCAGGAAAGGCAACATGCACCTCCTGTTTATGTTGCTTGCCCCAAAACATAGCACCAGTAGAAGGGGAGAGTGGAGGCAAAGTGCAGCTGTAGTTGGTCTCTTCTGGTGGGAATGGCATCTACCAGCTGCAGTCCGTGCTGTTCTCTCCCAGGGGAAAGACTGCAAAGCTTGCTTTCTTGCTTAAGAAATTAAATTTATTGACGCATATTGATTTTATGAGAATGCTGCCATGCTCACTTACAATACTCTTTTCACACAAGTTTAAAAGCACTGTATTGAGTGAGTCAGTAATCTTTATATTGCTCCGGTTTAACTGCTGAGGAAAATGGAGTCATACAAGGATGAAACTGTGCTCATTCTCTAGAATTTAGATTCATAGGTTACTATTTCCAGTATAAAAAAAAAAAAAAAAAAACAAAAAAAAAGGCAAAAGTTCATCAATAAAAGCGTGTTTGAGTAGATGGTAATGAAAGAATTCATATGCCCTAGATTTAACATTTTTCCCAACAGGTAATTTTTCAGATCTTCCATTAATTTTTACGTTGGTACTTTTTTACATATATACTATGGATTAACTACCTACAGGCCATCAGCACTATTCTCAGTACATGGAAACGTGAAAACGTGAAGCACACTTCCAAGAGATTATAGTGTCGACTTCAGTCTCAGTTAACCTTTTATCATGGAGCCTTTCTCAGATGCAAACTTTCCCATTAGCTGAAAAGGTGGTGACCTCATGTATCTTTTCCTTAGAAACCAAACTACCTGTGTACCATGTGTGGTGCTTAGTGGCTTGAAATATCACAAAATATGGGCATATATCTCTCTGACAGTAGGATTTATCTCTCTGACAATATGCTTTCTACTCAGGGAAGCATTTCCCTTTCATTCTTCCCTTTCTAGGTACAAAAAAAAAAGAAGTGCTAAGAATGAATGAAAAATAAGTAGATTAAAATAAATATGGAAAGATGTCAGAAATATGGTTGTATATAAGAAACTAGGAATAAAATATATGGCCTTCACTTTTCAAAAATCAGAACCATACCAATTTCAATTCCGAATAATTTTTGCATTTCAATGCAATTCCAATTGTAATAAACTGTTTCCAACTTTTTGTTAGACTGAACCAGAACAAAAGGCAAGATTATTCAAACACAGTCAATCCTTTAGTTACTAAAATATTATGAAAATAAAAGCTTTAGCTATATATACAGATGTCTAAACATTTTACTTAGTTGAAATTGAGATCTTTGCCTTTATCTTACCTTGGCTACAGTTGTGATGTCATTAAACTGTGTTTTTAGTTCTTCTTGAGCTGCTTCTCCAAAAGACTCATCCTCTGTTTTTTCATACAGTTCCACAGCCTTTTCAATGAGTTGCTGTAAATCACTAGAGTGATTCTCTATCTCAGAAACAATAGCCTGGAAGTGGTCCAGCTGAGCAAATTTCTCCTTCAGACCAATCTGTGGTTCTAAAGGCTGTTCCACTTTGTGATCCAGTTTCTCTAACCACTGCTCCAGCTGGTTTTTCCTTTCCAGATATTCATTCCACTGGCTAATGACAGAATCTAGGCAGCTTACATTAAAAGAAACATATACAGTACAAGTAAGAACTTCTGATTAGTCTGGGAAAAAATAAAAAGACCCTGCTTATAGCATAATGTTATACTGTCTCTTGCCATGTATAACACTTTTAGAAAATGCTTTTTCCTCTAGCTTGCTTTAGTTTTCTATGTCAGTTTACATTCAAGTTAGTGAGGAATGTAATTCTCATTCCACTGGACTTAATGATAGACATGAGTTTGTGAGGATCTCATTCAAAACATAGTGGTCTAACCTAATCTAAGGACAAGAGGAAATCATCTTAATATGCAAAAAAGATTATTTGGAGTAGATATTAGGATTAAATTTTTTAATAAAAAAAACATACTGAAAGACAAATTTGAGAAAACTTCCTAGAGTTTTCTAAGGAAGAGGTAGATAAATATCTGTCACGTGTTCTTGGTCCTGCCAAGTACATGTTCAATAACTCAGAAAGCCCTTTCTAGGTTTTTCTCTGTACGAATTTCTATGATTTCTATTTTAAAATGACCATCAAGTACCATCCATATGAAATTTGATTCATCTGATAGGATCAACTCGTCTTTTTTATAGAAGTATGTATTTTTTCAGGCAATTTTGATTCTCTCTGATAAAGCAGATTTCCTGTCACATACTAGTAATGAATGAATGAATGGACTCCTATGTGCTGTAAGGTGCCACTCTTTGTAAGCAGGGTTTGACCTGTGTTTTCCAGGAAGTTTTACCTTTGCCAGTTCACTGAGGTGCTGATGATGTCATTCCATACACCCTTCAGTGTCTGTAGCTCGGTTTGTATCACCTTTTGTCCTTCCTCACTGCTGCTTTTAAGTGCTTGTTCTCCTTTGCCGATGGCCATGTTCAGCTTAACTTCACCATCACCTTTAAGTAAGAGGATCTCCTGTAAAGCAAAATAAGTCAAAATATCAAATTTATGTGAGAAGTGAAAGCCGTTGTTCTTTCACTTTCATGGCGGACACTACCTTCTGTGAGCTTATTTATTCTTGACTGCCATATCCAGTATGAATTCCTATGCCCCTCTTCTTTAAGTTCCTGTCCCTTGCTATGTGCAAGTGATCCAGCAGTTTTACTCACAGATATACAGGCTTTTCACTGCATTGGTCATCCTAAGAGATTGCTCACATTGCAGTATTTAAGGAGTAGGCCAGGCACTGCACAGAAAGACAGCCCAGTCCCCCTTAGCTAGAACAAATCTCAAGAAAGCCCATGGAGGGATCTCCTACACTGATGACCTTCCTATTAGGATGTTTATCTCACCTGTTCTTGAAGATGATGTGCGGCAGATATGTTACGCCTCTCTATGTCAATTATTCTAAGGCTTCCCCTCCATGAGGAAGCTTTTTTGTATCTAAATACACATTTTCATAGTTCGCTACTTTTTATTGATGTAATACCTGTCTGTATTAAACTTCATCCTATTTTTCATACTGCACCTCCCAATTTGTCAAAATCACCTTAAATTTTGATCCTCTCCTTCATAACTGTAGTAAGAATAAAATACAAAAATGTTTCTCTTCCACTTATGTGGCCCACAGCCAATATTAACCTCGATGAGTAATATCTAGTTGTATCCTTCTTTACCTGAATTTGTGTCAGCCGTCTCTCTAGTGTGTCTTTGCTACCAAGAGTGCTCTCTGATGATGCCAGTTTATCTTGAATCTCTTTCAACCATAACCACATACTCTGCAATGCCTCCTCCAGAGTGAGATGTTCTTGGAGTGCAAGCTGACATGTTTGTAGCTTCTTCTTGACAGTTTTGACCATGTTTTGATAATTAGTGAGATGCTGAGAAGCCAGGCGCACTTCCCTCCCTGCACCATGGCCTTCTTCATTTAAAGTCTGTGCCATTTGGGACAGCTTATCAAAAGATTCCCTGAAAGAAAATGATGAGACTGAAAATCTTTTTTGGAAAGCATATGATATCGCTATAGCAACTATCAGAAGTTATGAATGTTGCTGACACAATCACCTATGAGTTCATAGTTAGTAGACAAATCAGCTGGGAGAGACTGAAAGGAAATACAAGCAGTGTGTGTTGATTAATATCTTTACTTGCGTACAGTGTAGTTTCTTGCAGATTTTGGCACTCAGAATGGTCGCACTGAAAGCTTTGTGTTGCACATTTAAATTAAAAGCTAACTTAATTTTCTTTTTGGCTATCAGACTTTCCAATTCTATATGAACTGCTACCTCTTTGTACGTGCCAAAGCTTCTGAGAACTCCACAGTCTTTGTCAGGTAAGAAGGCATAATGGAAATATCAGGACATTTGTCCAGAATTAGACACTGACTCTGGCGTTTAGTACAACGATCAGTAAAAGGGATTAAAATTCTGGGTTTATACAGCCTCAATTAATTTCCATCTACTGAATCACCCTTCCTGATGTCCTGTGATTACAGGGAATTTTCATCAGACCAAAATGTCTTGCATCAGTCTCCACGGGATAAGTAGTGACTGGGTGTTTCCTTTTAGCATGTTGTGTGGCTTGAACAACTGACTACTATTTATGTTCTGTCTTCACCAACCTAATAATAAAAAAAAGAATTTGAAAACCACTGTGCACTAAAAAAGGCAATTACTTCATCATCTGTTGGCTAAGTCTGAGTTCTAGAAAGATTTCACAGCCAATGTGGAAGTTATTTGAGCTTTTTTATAAAGTTAGCTATATGTGAAAGGGATTTGTGCTAACCCAGTTGAATCTGAGTGTTGCAGGTCAGAAAGAAAATTTTAAAACTGATATAATGATAAGTGCCATTTTTACTACTGATTTTACAATCAATATTGTTAAGATTTTTTTTATTATGTTTTTCAGTTTTCATTTATGCATGCATTAAGATAAGCTTTTTTAATGAAAAATGTATCATCACTGAATTTTGGAGATGGCTCCAAATTCCAGTCTCCTTAAAACTGGAAGTATCTGGATTCAGCTTCTTTTAATGGAGCATGTTGCAACACCTTTCTCTTTCTTTCACAAACACACTTTACCCAACAGTTTAGTTTCACTGTTGCTTTAGCAGAGGAAAAAGTAAGAGTATTTTAGGAAATGTATTTCATACTACCTTGAGTTCAGTAACTCTTCCAGGAACTTTTCAACTTTATGCACCTCCTTTTTCTTCTCAGGAATAAGCTGTTTGTTCTCTCCTAACGCTTCTGCGCTTATTCTTTCTTCCATGTCACGTATCCACAAGCCAAGTTTCTTGTGCTGATCTTCAAAACTACAGAACAGATAAATACTCCCTTAAATTTTTTTCTCAGGTGGAGTGAAGTTAGTAGAAGTTGATTCAGTTCTTTCAGTATCCACAAGACCGGGAAAATAAAGCTAGGTATCAATTACACGCTTCGAGAATAAGAGTTGTACACAAAACATAATTCCACAGTGACTGCTAATCTAAAAATATTCAGTGACTCTCTAAAAATGTTCAGCAAAATCATGGGAACTACAGTGAGAACAGAAGCCTTCAAAATTTAAAGTGACAGTGCTTTTATTTATTATTAGGTTCAATTAAGCAGACCAAAAGAAAGCTTTTTCCAAATCCTTATAACCAATATAGTCTAAGTTTAAAAAATGGGTAAAAGTGGGCTTCTACTCAGTACTGACGCTAACAACACCTTAAACGTTGCGCTTTTGATTTCTCCAACAGAACATAACTGGAATCTCAAGCACTCAGAACTCGGCAAAACAAGTTCTGGCCCTAAATTTTAAAACCTTTATCTTCACCATCTCATCTTGCTGTTTTATCCATTACTGCTACTATTGCTAACTTTGCTTTAAATTAGCAACAGTTTTGAATCTAATTAACCTAAAAATACTCAAACTCCAAAAATTACAATCCCGAGTAATAATTTAGCATAGTTTTCTTATTAGGTTCTTAGGAAATACATCTGTGTGGAATGGGACAGGATAGACACCAGCAGTGTAAAAAGCATACTATCTTCAAAACCCAGGGCAGAACTTGAAAATTCATCACACCTTTTCCTTCCAGGCAATTGCATTTAAATTATGGAGAATCCAACTGCTGATTTGGGATTGCATGAGTTACGCAGATCTGCATATACGATCCTGACCTGGAATTACCTAACCAAAATAATACCCTTGGAGCAAGATCTCCAACAGTTGCCATGTTTTATGAACTTTATTCTGTCTTAAACATTTGCAAAGAAAAAAGCAAACAGGACCAAGGTAACTGGAAATAATTTCAAATTGTTCCCTGTATTTCTGCAGCCAGACAATTTCATGCAGTCCACCTGTGACTGATATTACTCACCTTTCCAGGTGCGAAGCACAAGCTTCCAGGGACTTCTTATCATTCAGACACTGGTTGAGGAATTCCTGGAAGTTCTGGTTAGACTTCACAATTTGTTCCTGAATATGGCTCACAACTGGTTTAGGTAAGCAAGCAGACAAACTTTCTCCTTCCTTACAGGCAGCATCTAACTTGTTCTGTCCCTCACTAACAGAATCCAGCACACTCTGTGTAATAAAAGAATACAGTTTATAAATGCATAACTAGATTTAATAACTAAAGATAACATAATATTTGTATTAGAAGTGGTCACTTTTCCCCAAGAAGATGAGACATGTCTAGCTATGGACAAAGTTCTAAGCAGATAGTTCAACTAAAAATTTATTCAGCAATGCTACAATTCACAAAACTAAATTTTCCTACTTGGTCCCAAAGTAGTTCTGTTTTTGTCTGGACAGTTTACTCATGTCCTGAATATGTTATACATTCCAAGAACTAGGTTGTTTGAAGTAGGTGTGCTGCTATTTGTGTATCAAAAATCTGCATAGATAAGCTTTGACATGACAGTGATAATCTGAAAGACTGAATATGCAACCATATAAGAAAACATAGGAATAGAAGAGAAAGAAGGCAAAAAAAAAAAAAACAAAGGAAAACAGGATTGCAAAACAGAAACAGGAATAGTTTAGTTACATATATATCTTCCAGAAATTAAATTCTGATCTCTCAGAACAACGAACACAGTTTCCACTGTACTCCCTCTATAGTAGATACTGCTGTCTCCAGCCATTCTTACATTACCTTTTTGGAAACAAACCCAATAAATATTATAACACCTACTAATTATTTTAGAGATATAATTGGATAAATATAGTTAAATTGCTAATTAATGTTTTTTAATTGTTCACTATACCTGCAAGTCATGTAGCTTTGCCTCTATGGCTTTGCTGTCTCCAGACCTATCAGATGACTCTTTTACTGCAGCCTTCATACCAGAAAACCATTCCTGGAATTCTTGCATTGAATCTTATTTAATAAAAAAGTATAGAGAAGAGAATATTTTTTAAGAAGCAGCATTATCCACAATACTATACAGCTGTCTTCCACAGTCCTTTTATTCTTCAGGAACAGTATGGGAAAGCTAATAGGATGAGTATCATTACCTTCAATGACCTTGGGGAGTGGGATTCATTTCACAAAAAGTTAGATGTTTCCACTGTAAACATCCAAATTTGTACAGTCACACTAGCTTCCCTTTATAGTCAATGGGAAAAGATAGGCATTTTCAGTCTATTATATTGTCCCAATTTAATGTACAGATAGTATCTGGATTAATATCTTAATATATAAGATTTAAAATTGCCTACTTCTCTCCACTCACTATCCAGGGATGCCAAGAAATACTCCAGCTGGGGACATTTAAACTATAAGCATCTCCATTTGGTTTTATAAATCTCTTTATGTCAAACACACAGTGTATCTTTAGAAGTACATACTAAGAGTGAAGAGAGGTGGAACTGGGTTTGCCTTTCTTGCATATTACATGGTTAAAGTTCAATTCTGTTATAGTAAACCACTCTGTTTCATAGCAGTTATCAAATAAACATTTGGTAACGGGACTTTTGAAAGGCTCCATACAAAAATAAAGTTGCAGTTGCAGTGACATCACTGGAAACTCTGGCAGATTCCAGAATGATTCATGGCTGTGGGCTAACGGTTCATATTAGTAAGACAAGACTCACCGAGGAAATGTTTTTCCAAGGACTCTTGCATGCTAGCCTGTGTTCTGCAACAGAGCAGATTTACAGCTTCATATTTCTTTATTAACGAAGTGACAGTGCCACCAAGAGTTTCCAGCTCTACAGAATGGTACTTGCGACACAGACTGTTGAGGTTCTCACGGGTTGAGTCAATACGGCTCTGCTGAAGCTGAAGGTCTTTTTGTGTTTCCTGAAAATGAAGTTACAACACAAATATGATGTTTGCAAAGAAACAGAAGAGCCCTCTCTTTTCCTCTTCCCATATGCTCTTTCCTCTTGTGGTCTATCGCAAGTCCTAGACACAATGAAGGGAAGAACTACTGGTGCACATTTCCTAAATTTTTCAAGTGAGATGAATCCTTGAAACTAAAGAGCCATCACAGAAGTGAGAGAAATGCTGTTTCTCATGATTTAGTACTCTATTTCTAAGCAAATTTCAAGGCATACCGAAGAACAATAGTTATTTTAAGCGAAGTCTGAATATACACGAGATGCAACAGGACACTGGCATTTGGTGGGATTTCTGAGTGAAAGGGAGTTTTCATCTGACTGGAGAGGAACATTTGTTTGAAAATTAAATTGTCCAGAAGACGGTCATTAAAATGTGCTCCAACCAAAAAAAAATATCCATGTGTTTTGTCATGTTATGAGCATAATTGTATTCAATCAAGAGAACTCTAGGATGGAGACAAAAAAAGTGCTATATATGAGGACTAAAGAGGACTTCTGAGGTAGAAGTTTGTGTTACAATTAAGCTCAGTCCGGGGTCTTTTACTATGATAAGTTACACATTCATAACCTATATTACAAAGGAGTAAGTGGACTTGTAAAAATGCTGGAGTAATGACTGAATAGTTCAATGTAATAAAACCAGTTTTTGTCACAACAAAGATTCATTATAATGTTTAAAAAGTTTTGTATCAAATCAGAAAAAATCAGGCTAACAAATAGATCAGAACTTCAGTTCATTGGTAGAACTTAAAGAGTATCACTGCACTATTTGCTAAGATTTTAGCAGCTGTGCAGGACATATTATTAAATTAAAATTAAGTATAATGCTTAGCAAAACTCTGCTAAAAACTAAAGATCACTGCATAAGAAAAAGCATATTCATTTTCTTCAGCACTGACCTTCACTTTATTTAGAGCATCAGGATCCAGGTTACGTGCGCAGCATAACAGTGTTTCTTCCACTTCTGTTAACCAGTCTGTCATCTGATCAATAAACTTCTGTAACTGCATCTTCTGAGTACTAAAATCTTCCAGTGTCTCTTTTGCTGTCTCTGACATTTCTTTGGCATGTTCCAACTTCTGCCTCAAGTCTGATTCTACAAACTAAAACCAAAATGTTAGCTATTAAAGCATTTAAATAAAGCATTTATTATGGTGAATGTTTATTGATATAAATAAAAGATAGGAAAGTGACACAACAATCATTTTACTCTCTTTACATCTATGAGTAAAGATACTTACATAAATAAAACATGTCAACCATTCAGGATTAAGTTTTAGATATCCCGTAATTCAAAGAAAGGATACTAATTTATAAAAATCTAGACTGCAAACTGTTGAAGTTATTCACTTCTGAAAACTTAAGCAGTTGCCATAAATTTGCCACATATACGGAACATGACCTAAACGCAAATACCTCCATAAAAAGCATACTTCTTTTCTTTCTCAGAAAAAAAATAATCAAAGAAATATGAAGAAAGAATAGTTAGGATACATATAAATAATGTAATATCATCTGTCACCTTAAAAGAAAAAGGCAGTACCAGGGAGACAGAAATTTCAGGAGGAATTTCTTAGTTATCTGAGCACAGTCTGTGATTACCGGTATCTTTATTTTACCTGGAGATCTGCAGGAGGCTCTTGACTATGGATCCGTTCTTTGAGATCTGAAATTCTGGAACTAAGCTGCTCCAACTTCAGCTCTTTAGCCTTGATTTCAGACTGTAAAAGAGATGTGGTCAAAGTTGCATGCCAAACTACAGGGAGGTTTTAAACATTCAGAAAGATGCTCCATCAATTACAAAAATGAAAGAAAATGTAAAAAAATGTTTAGCAACACCATTATTGTACTCGGTTTCTTCCCCAAAAGTCTCCCATCTCTTCTCTTTTATTAGACACAGTTCAGAGATTTTTTTTATCCATCCATTAAAATAACCACACACATTTTTAAAACTCAAAGTGCACTAACAACTTTTGTTTCTTAAAACCAACTGAATAAAGATGGGAATGTAATTGTTTATTTGACTGGAAAAATCTACTGTGGTTATTAGCTTCCACTTAACAGCATACAGCATATAATACATGTGTCTTCTGGATTTTATTACAAGGAAATGAGCTCTCGGAAAAAAATTAAACACAAAAATAATTTTAAACCTCAAAAGGGAACTAAAACGTTCTGCTATATACGCACTGACATATCTGGACCTTGTAGTTTTTATGGTCATATAGATCACAGTTATAAAGAAATATTCTACCTATTAAAAAAAAAAACAACTAATAGCAAAGTGAAAGATAAAATAATCATTTATATAATTATAGTTTTTAAGTCTTAGGCAAATAATTGGTTTGTTTATCCTATTACCCAAACTTGCTTTCCCAAAAAAAATCAGACAGATCACTCCAATTAAAAGATTGGACAGTAGATTTCAGAAACTACTGATTTTGCACTTAACTTCAGCTGAAGTTGTCTAAAATTTCCATCAGTTTCTCCCGGAACAGTTCAGTCCAATGCTATGCTTTTTGAAATTTTTGTGCCTGTAAGAACACATTACCATGTACTGCTAGAGCCAAAATAACTGTGGAGCTTAGGTTTAGTAAGAAATGTGCTGTTTGTGTTTCTGTCAGAAGCAAATGGCTTCAGAAGAGGACTGGAATGCTGTCAGCTAGACACTCGGTTAGTGGTACCACCGCTTGAACAGGGGATACGGTGATCTACAACACAGCCTTGTCAATATGCCTGATAACACTTGAGATTTTGGTCTAGAACATTTTTATCACTGATTTATGGGTAACCACCTGGAAGTCTTTCAGGAGAACCTCCATTCTCTGACTGTTACTTAAGTTGCTGATGCCTTCATTCAGTTGAGAAATGGACTTATTGCACCATACATCGATTTCGTCTCCAGTTTTGAGGATGTCATCCCACAGAGACAAACTTACGCTCAGACGGTCGATGTTGTCTTCAATTCTTTCAGATACCTTTCAGGGGGGAAGATGTATCAATACCATTCATAAATTAATTTTGGATTTATTTTGCAGCCAATTGTAAGACAAGTGCATAAAAAATGATTAGTACATCTAGGCAAAATAATTTTCTTAGAATTAGGTCTAAGTTCTGAATTCTAATTTTGGTTTAGTTACCAATATAATAAAACTAACAAAAATCATATGTGGAATGTTTCTAAATATTTGGGTATTTTTTACTGGGAAAATTTTATGTTGAAATAAACTCCATCTTTAAAAACAGCTAGATTTATCTTTCTTATGTAATGTAGGAATTTCCTAATAAAATTGTATAAATATGAGAATATAAAATACTAGCTTTTATATTGTTTCTCTGCTATAATGTCTTTCTCAACATACAACTTTTACAGTGTAGCTTAATACAATTTACTGCCTAATTTATTTAGTCCACTTTACTTTAGTAAAGTAATACTTTGTAAATACTTTAATAAAGTAACATATTTGGTGAGAATCCAAACCAAATTTACACACAGAAGTGTGCACTGAGCAAATTTAGACTAGTAACATTCATACATTATTATAAGACTTTGCTTTAAATCTATCAAATTGATGTCAGAACTTTGTCGTACAATGGAAGTCATATCCCTATGATTAACCCTTTGAGATATATACTTCAAAGTAAACTTTGGTAAGCATTTGTACTCTAAGATCCTAAGAAAATACTAATACTGTAACCTTAGCCCAACTTAAAAACTGTATCCATTGTATAAATACCAGATTCTTACATCTAGCCATTTGTCCACAATACAGTTCATGTCTGTTTTTACCGCAGTGGAATTGCAGCTATGTACTCTTTTCAATTCTGCTAACAAATGTTTTCCTTTATTGGTGAAAGTATCCAGCTCTTTTTGTTTATTGTTCAGTTCATTCTTGGCAGCTTCGTGCTGTGAACATAAATATTTACTTGTTTAATTAAGCCTTGAAGAAAGAAAGAAAAATTCAGTTCTCCAGGCACCCATCCCTAGCCCTGTGGTATATTTTATGCATTTGATAATTCTCATTCAGCATACCATCTCATCTTTCACTATGCCACAAAAAGCAAAGCAATGGTTTTCTCATGAGCATAATCAAACAGTATGATTTTTGTAAAATAAATAAATAAAGCAGATGAGCAGGAATAATAAATTCTGATTTTTTGCCACTTGGTAACCAGTTATCTTTAGGACTTAGGACATTTTTTTATTATTATTATTTTTATTTTTCCGATTCTTCAGACTCTACATGTATAAATTGAATAATAAGAACCCACCATTGACTAACTAATATCTAAAATCAGTTCTGGAATTACAGCAGGGCAAGTAGAGGCTGTTGCAAACAAAACTTAGGATTGTTAAAACCTGTCACTCTTAGACAGTCTGGAAAACAAAAGTACAGATGTATTCAGAAAGAAATTAGACAGTATCTTCAGAACTACAAAGCCTGCAATTCTAGATGTAGGGAAATCTTTTTAAAATACTGTCACTGAAGATGTAACAAAATACTAAGAAAGGATCATAGTAAACATCTCAGTTTTTTCTTTAAGAACTATTAGTGATCGGCATTAGAGGTAAGCTACTAATCTGGATGCAGTAAGGGCCATGTGGCCATGCCTGTTTGTTATGGTAGAAGGTGTGCAAATTATTTATTATGCTTCAACTCCTTCAGGCCTAGATGTGGCCAGTATTGGAACAGGGAATTCTCTGTTCTCCAAGACCCACATTAAGGAGGGGAATATGGAAGCTAAATGCATTTCTTTGTTAGACTATTGAGCTCTGATCTGGTTTTCAGTTTTAGTTAAAATATCTGTTATCAAAATGCCATAAATGAACACAGTTTAGAATGAGGTTTATACAGATCTCACTGAAGAATTTTTAATCAAGAGCTCACTAGGCTTCCAAATGAAATTACTCTCTGAATGAAAGGAAAGAATATAACTCAGAACTGGCTATCCTGACAGGCTGATAGATAGCAGAATTTTGAATTTTAGAAACACCAGTGAAATGAATGGAATGCAAGGATCCAAATTCCTTATCTCAATGGCTCCATGGCCAGTATCAACATTGTACCCCATGAAATAAGCCATCTTAGAGAAAGAGACAGACATCACCCTCCTTTTGTTGACTTTATTCTATTAAAAAAATTGCCCAATATGAAAAAACATTAAAGTAGGTTGACTGGAAATATCCTTTTATACTATCATAGTAATATATTCACAATATATTTGATATATTTTGCATTTCTAGGTGTTAAAACTGTAAATAGCAACCATCAAAACCACATTAATGGATCTTGCCAAATGCTTAAAAAAGTACCGTATTATTTCCTCATCAGAATCTGTACTATTTAAACCCTGAATGTCAGTGTGACCAGATTTGACAGTAGATTTAAGGAGCTTAAAACACAGACCAAGGGCACCTTTAAGCTTTAAAAAAAAAAAACATCTAAATCCTTTAAATACCTCAAATGAAAATATATATAATTACCTTTGATAAAGTTCGCTTGATGTCTTCACGGTCCTTCCAAATGGATTTGATCACTGAAGCACTATCAGCACTGTCTATGACTTTCATTATTGTTGTCTTCAAGCTCTGATATTCCTTCATCAGATCAATAAGAATGCAAGACTGCTCCTTTCTGTAAGGTGAAAAGGCTGTGTTAAAATCATTTGCTGTCATGTTTCTGAGGGAAAGAGAATATGATGTAGAGATTCAGTATGGGAAAATGAGGATGCAGTGACAAACGTGTTTTGGGCAGCTAATAAAATATTAATATTTAAGTTTTGCAAATCACTGTGTGTCCATACATCACAAAACACTTCACTGAAGAGCCAGTATATAGATCACCATTGCATATATATCAGATATCAGAGCAACAGACTTAAGCAAAAGACTGACTGATACTGGAATTCAAGCTTCTCACTTCCTAAGTTTAATAACTTACCAACTGGAAAACACACTGTAATGATGCTGGCACTCACAGCTCATTTTTTTAACTTGCTCCTTTAACATGCAGTTTTTGTTTTGCTTTGTTTTTTCGTAAATAGAAGCCCAAGTAAAGACAGACAAAATTTATGTACATTGAGGACGATGTAGTACTGAATGAACCCAGCACTCAACTTTACCGTGCAAATTTAAAAAAGGACATTTGAAGTTTTCTTTAAAGATGATGAAGAGGGAGATAAGACAAAAAAAAAAAAAAAGGATAAGATAAAACTCTCTTTAGTTTCTTTAGTTTTTTTATTGACTTTGATTGTTATACAAAACCTCTATATCACTGATTATACATCGATGATTGTTACCAGCACGGTCCCTTGGGCAGGCAGACAGACTTCTAAGAATGATTTAGGACCACTGAATATTGGGGTTGTCAGAAATACATATTCAACAGAGAAGGAAAATACATGCTAGAAGGACAGTTTGCATCTCAATGTAAACATTAGGAGAGTAAACAATAACGTGCAACTAAAAACACAGTATATCTATAAGCACTGCCCTGAGGACTTGCCTGTGGCTTTATTAATAGTATAATCACAAGTATCCTGGTTTATACTGTTTTATCTTCTACTCAGTATTTAACATAGAAGCCCTGTTTTTTATTGGCATTAATATGACAAGAAGATATTAAATGCAAATAACCAGGTCTCTTTCGCCCACTAAAAGATCTCTCTCTTTTGTCAACTAAGTCTAAGATCTACTTACTTTTCATGTATAACTTTCTTGGTATCCTCCCACAGAGATTCTAAGCGATTTATCTCTTTGTCAATCTCAGAAGCGAGTGCAGTGTCTTTTTGGGCTATTTGTTTTGCTTTGTCCATGAGCCACTGGAGTTTGTGTTGGTGAGAATTCAATTCTTCATCTAACTGGTTAAAGATCCTTAATCTGCAAGTTAAAAGGCAGGTTTAACATTTACTTAGCTTCGCTTTTTTGGAAGAGAAAGGAGGACAAAATAAGACTGAAACAGTTGCTGTTACTATGCACCAAGTTCCCTTTTTCTAACATTTCCTACACTATCTTCAGAAAACCAAGTGTTACCTGGATTTTTTTCTGCTACAACTGGGCTCAGAGTGTAATTTTACTACAATTTTGTAGAAATTGTAATTTTTCTACAAAATCTCTACAATTATATATACATATACCTTCACCTCACACAGTGCCTTGGAAATATACTCAAATATTTATATAAATACTTTATTATAGTGTTTTCCTTCAGCACATGCACTGTCTATAATTCTGTGAAAGTACAAAAAGTTATATTATATGGGATCTCTAATAGCTATTTGGAGCTATTAGAAATACCCAAATGTTTCATTTGGACAAAATACATTTATGAGACAAAGATTTTCTCAACTGTTCCTGCAAGATAAAAGATTAGCATCACTTGCTAAGTGTTCTGCTCATGTTCTCCCTCCATCCAAACGGCTCACTTATTTACAAAATTTTATTAAGTAGATGTATGGACTCATGAATGCCTAACAATTTTCCAAGGCAGAAAACTCACACAGGCCTCCAATGCATCATAAAAAATCAGGAGACTGCAAGCAAATGAAGAAGCACCAATCTCAAGCATTAATACTGCTTTTACCTTTGCTGGAGGGCTTGTAGTGTTGCCTCCTTCAGGCCCTCCTTGTCAGCCTTTTCCTCAATATCGTCAATACTCTTCAGGAGCTGTTCTTTATGTTCCATGAAAGATCTTTGCAAAGCTCCAAGCGCTTCTGCCTCACTCTGTTTAGTTCCCAGCAGGTTTTGAACTGCCTCTAGTTCCAAGCACAGATTATCCACCACAGCCCTGCAGGAAGTTCTCTGCTCAGAAACACTATGTTTTAGATGATACTGGGCCTTAGTAAGGGAGCCATCCAAACTGATGGCAATAGATTCCAGCTTGTTAAGATTTTGAATTACATTATTGAGTTCCTTCTCCAGTAATTCAGATTTAGCTTTATCCATGTTTCCTGTTTTCTCCACTGTGTGCCTCAGCTGGTGGAGCACTCTTGATGCAGCACTATGGAGCTCCAGGAATACCCGCAGCTGATCCAGAGCCTCTTGCCTTTGGCTAGTTATTTGACTTGCCTCCTGAAAGATCTGAAAGCAATCTTCAGTCTTTCCCTGCAATGTCTGCTGGTCTTCTGGGCAACTGAAAGAACACAGTCTGTCTACATGCTCCTTCAGACTCTGTAACTGCTGTTTCTTACTTTCGACTTCCATTGAGTGGTTCTATGGGAAAATAAAAAAATAGAGATGGGTTTCTTCTTCTAGTCAAAAGCTCAGAAAATATTTTCATACTAAACTCACAAGCAAAACAAGTACTGCTGAGGGTTTTTCAGTAAGAACAGTTCAGTTTTACAGTTTTGCTTTAAACTGGTCAAATAACAGAAATCTGTATGTGACTGCAACACCATGTCTGTTCTCAAACAAATAAATGACCTCATGCTAGTTTTAGATTAATATTTAGCTGAACGCACTGTACAATTTCTCTGTCTTTAATATTTACATCCAAAAGTTTACCTTATTGTGAGATGCAGCTAGTTGTTGATCAGCTGTGCTTATCTCTGAAGTGGCTTGTAGTTCAGCAAGAAACTGCTTAATCCAATCTGAAAACCTGAGCAGGAGCTCATCAAACTGCCTATGCTCAGCAACAAGAGACTGAAGGAAGTTGATCCTATAGGATATCAGACGCAAATATGAAAGCACTTGATGTAAATTAATCCCTTTCCATATTCAGAACCACAGGTGACTGGACAGCATTAAAATCAATGCCAGGTGGAAGGAATGAAGGAAATGTTCGTTTATATTACAAATGTGATGACTGCCTTGTTGGTTTATTAAATGGGCAACAACATAACACCTGAAAGCACCATTTCGGCTCTTTCCTGTTTCCATTGTTTTATTCCTATCAACTTTTAGAAGTGCCCCAAACAATCAAGGTATGTTCTTCAACCTTTCTTCATGGGGAGTAGTCCCAGCAAAGAGAATGATATTGACAGAAGCTAAACTTCAGTCTTCAGACGTAGCAATTCTGTTTGCCCTATCATCTGCAACACTGCATGTAACATGAGATTCTCATTAATTTAGGCAGGGCTTGAGTAACTACATGTTCAACTTTTACTGAATTAAGTGAGGGTCAAGTCTGCTCAGAGGAACACAGTTCAGAGGAATAGTGTGTCCATAGGAGTACTCAGTACCTAGCAGAACTAAGCTTCTAAACCTTGACCTTAGAAAAAGCCTTGTCATTTAACTTTCCATTTCCCTTAGAAATTTCTCTACATGATTTTCAACATGAAATGCTATGTACAAGATCATTATATTGCAAAACTATCATATTGATAAATCACCTCAGAGATTATGCCATTGACCAGGGTCTATTACTTAAGCTCCTTTGCAAACAGTAAAATATGTCTGTTCATCACCAAAGCAATTGAATGTAAATATATGATATACCATTTCAGAAAAGGCAGCAGTGTTCCTGAGCCTAACATGAGCCAGCTAACAACAGTATTTATGGCATATGAAAACTTCGAACTCCAAAGTGGGTTTAAAAAGATGATATTGTGGCTTTGCACAGGATAAAGCATATAACTGAAAAGCCACATTATCTTCATTCCCTGCCCCACACTCCTTCAAACAGAAATCTTCTATCACAAAAAATAGTGAGAGATTATGCCAAAAAGACAGCATGATAAATCTGTGGGATTTTCCACACCCCATTCCTGGGAGCTCAGGGTTCAGTATGAATCTTAAACCTTTGTTTTCTTAATGGTAATACTGTAAAAACTATAATTCAGTATTGAAAATCCTTATCTGAATATTGGTTACTCTCATTTAACATGTAAAAATCATACTGAAGCACAAACCTTTTATCAACAGTTTGTGGTAAAGCTTTCCACCTCTTATCCAGCTCTTCAAATTTTTCCTTCATTGTTTTCACACAATGTCTGGAAGCCGTTGGGAGCAGTGACTCATTTAACTGCAATAGGTTTGCATAGACTGAAGCATGGGACTCAGCATCTGCCCGCAAATCCTGGCAAAACAATGGAATATACAGCCTTTAGATTAAATACGGCATCAGATGTAAAATGATAAAAATTGCAAAAAAATCATCTATGGATTTACAGTACACCACTTTGGGACAAATGAATGAGTACAGTCAAATGCTTGGAGGAACTGAGGTTTATTAAGACAAACACATATTAGGACTCGAGACCCCTCAGACAGCTAAATGTGCAACTGTAATTCAGTAAGTACAAAAACCCATACGTGAGGTTTTTTCTCCTTTAGAATCAAGCGCAATCTTTCCACACAGTTCTACTGTATGATGAAAGTGGCTAAAAGAAAGACTAAATTTTGCAATGTATTTTGTGTGCAGCAATAACTGTAAGGAAGTCCAATTGTAAGGAAATGCCACAGATTGGCCCAACCAACCATGGAAACCAAAACCCAAAGTAATTTTCCTTCTCTTCAGTAATATTTAAAACTGAAATTATGGACTCACTGGCTTCATGGAGGGAGCAAAATATTTAAAATTTGGCTAACTGCTTTATATTAATCTAAAAACAAATGGCAAAAATTCCAAGGGAAGGCGCACTTCAGAATAGGATGAAAGTCTTGTATGTCTTAAAAGAATCAGAAATCGAGAGTTTCCTTGCGAATTCAAAACCATTGAGCATTTTGTCATCTGAGCAACTTTCCTCACATGCAAATAAAAAGAAAGTAGCACTGTCTAATGAAGGAGTTTCTCCAGAGAAAGGATCCTCTGGCAAACAGACTGATTATCTTTCCTTGACAGATAATAGGTTATACCAGGGCATTATTTTTCTTGAGCCGGCATGTTATATTTGAAAATAACATTTTTCCTGTCATTTTCTTGTCTTTGATAGATAACAACAGTGATAATGTAACACTTCCCTGGGATATTTCTGAAGCCCAGAATCAAGTGACTTGTCAGACTACAATTGAGCAAGTCTATCCTTTAAAAGACCCAGAAACAAAACAGGAAAATGTAGGGCGTCAATCCTTCAGTTGAAACATACCTGCAGTGACTGCAGTTCACTTTCCAGTTTAACTCTGTCAGCAGAAACATACTGTTCAGAAGGCCTGGCTGTAGCTTCACACCCCTCCAACCAGGTCAGGAACACAGACAGCTCCTTCTCCTGCCTAACAAAATCGCAATTCAGAGTTACTAACTCAAATCACCCCTCAGTCTTACACACTGACCACAAGGTCTCTGTGTCCATCATAACAGATGTGAGAATCTACTCACTTCTGCCACTGAGCCAGAAGAGTTTCTAATAAGGTCTGTTTCTCTTTAGCATTTTCAAGCACCTTTTCATATTTCTGCTGTAATACTGTAACCTCCTGAGCAGCTTTTTCTCTGTTGGCCACCTTTCGGGCACAGGCTGAGAGAGAGGCCAGAGCATTGCTCAGTTTTTCCACAGTATGACAAAGGTCCTAATGAACATGTAAAAGAAACAGAAGTCAGGTGCATAAACAACAGAGCTATGGTAATGATGATGAAAAAATTCTGTACTTCCACTCAAAGTCTGAAGTGATGCTACATCCACCAGATCATGAAATTGCTGCATAGCTTACATTTCACTCAGATCTATCCTAGATACATGCCCCAAGCATGTCAATGAAGTAGCTTGTAGTAGGGAGAATCTTTCCTAAGAACAGTGTTAAAGATAAAAGTCAGCGACAAAAGGGTCAGATCTTCTGAATGGACATGAAACATGACCATTTAGAACAAAGCTCTGAATTCCCTAATATTTATCTAAGATTTGCTCTGATTTGTACATGTACAGTAAGTACAAAAGCTCAGTTCAACATGTGAGGACTGCCAGACATGCAGCCCATGTCATGACATGAGAGAAAGGCAGGGAACAATTACTGCAAAATGTCAGCATTTCTTTTACAGAAATGGCATCTGAAGTTGACTAGACTTTATAGTATTGCCATTCCAGGCAGATGGGAAACTTGTTCATATGGAAATGATTGAAAGGTAGCACTATGAGTTAGAAAAAAACAAAAAACGAAATTTTTATTTTAGAATTAAGACCACTAAAGTTCCAACTCAAAAATGTGCAATAATAACAGTAGTAACGAGTATAATTACAGTCATGAAAGAAAGCATAGGTAAGAGGAAAGGCGAATTGTACAGCAACAACCAGCTAATGTTTAAACTAAATAATAAACAGTAGTTTCATCATGATCCCTTAGGAATGACAACAGTTTACATTGCATACTCAGCATATTCAAAGTGCTTAAAAGCCAGTAACAATGATTACATTTGCTGTCTGAATAAATGCTCCATATGTAAAATATTTTTCCTCAATGAGTATCAAGCTTTTTTGAAGCAGACAGGCCAGTTCTTCCTTGAATATAGCCTTTACAAATAGTTACCACCAAATTCAGAAGAAATTACATGTATTTTACTGCAAGAACAGTATGAATAAAAGTTTTTTACTATATTTTCTTAGAAAGAAAATTAATGATTCTTGCGGGAGAATACATTACAAACTTATAGGCAGATAAAAATGCTACACCAAATTCCAAGATTTGGGATGGATTTTTAGTAGTCCAAACACTCATGGATTTCTGGCATCACAGATAAAAGTTTCAGTTGAAAGTCTGTCCAGTCTATGCACTGCCCAAGAGAAATTACTTCCAAGAAGGTGTGTTTTTTTTTAAATCACAGATTTCTATAAACTAAGATCCAAGCTTCATTAAAATCTTCGAGGAAAAATTGCCTAACAGATGTTTCTTGATGAAAAATCTATTTTTCATAATGCTTTAGATGCATAAAAATAAAAACCAAGAAACTGAGGGATTAATTCAGGCTTTTAGGCTTTCCTTTCTCTAGAGTGGGGAAAAAAATCCCTCCAAGCCTTTCTGAAATGGTGCAAAGAAATAGCTGAGGAAGCCTGCATAAGCCTTCCCTGTGGCTGTCCAGTGTGACAGGCAGCCCTTGCGTCCTCCTGCCACCTCCCTGGCTGGTGTAATATCAGACAGCCCCTAGTCTGGAGATTATTGGCATTTCTGTGAGGAGATTAATGTGGCACTGTTTCCCTGGACTTGTGTCAGGAATCTCTGGCCACACGCTCACCGTGTAATCCTGAAGGGCTGCGTATGTTGCTGATGATGAAGAGCATGATGTAAGAGGCTCAGCTAGCTTAGCTTCAAATTCAGACACTGTTTGCTGCACCTATGAAGAAAAGGCAAACCAGAATCTAAAACCAGCAGGAAATGCATAACTGATGCCTTAAATATAATCCTTTAAATATTTAGTGCTAAGAGAATATTATATCCTAAGCTTTTGCAGTGCTGAGTGCCTTTGAAGTCAAAAGATGCTAACTGTGCTCAGCTATTTAGGACTGGGTCAATAATAATATTTAAATTATTTTCCTTATGACCTACTAACAACCCAAGATTGAAGTTAAATTGTTTATAAGAAGTATGGATGTGGTTTATTTGTGCAACATAAAGATAAAGGATAATCACTTAGGTTTTCGAAAAGAAAGCATAATGTTTTGAGCATGTATATTTTAGTGTCTTCCTGAACCTGCCTTTTAACTTATTCAAAGCACAGATTTACACAGAGGTCTTGCAATTACTTTATGAAGTTACTCATGTATTCTAGCCCATCCTAAAATATTTTATATTCCATTTTAGAAAAATAAAGAGTAAATGTATAAATTGCTGCAAACAATCCATTAGATTTTGCATTGTCTACCTGTTTAAGACTTTCTTCGTATTTCTGCTGCACTGATGCATTCCCTGTGATTGTTCCTTCCAGTCTCTGTGCATGATCTCTTAGCTCTTCCCAATACCTTTTGACTTGAGTCAGTTTGGCTTTAATATGTGCACATTCTCCAGAGGTAACAAACTGGGAAAAAGACTTGGCTTCCTCTTCTAGCTTTGAGATTCCAGTTATTTTACCATCTATTTCTTTATTAATAACCTAAAATGTAAAGTAATAGTAAATAAAGAAGCATAATAGGATTTTAATTATCAGAATATTATTTTCTGCTTCATTCTTTTATCTGAGCTACTAATATTCTTCATTAAAAAGGTAAGAGGAGAGTTCATTGACCACTTGAAATAAGTAGCTGCAACAGTAACTAATTAATATGACCTGTAAATTCTTTTTTTCTTCTTGAAATTTGCACTGGAAAAGGTTTAGAAAACAGCTTGCCCTAAAACCAGTATCTATAAAGAGCAACTAGAATTGGCTGAGGTGAATATTTTCATAAGCAGACAAGATGGTTCATATTTTCACAGCAAATTAATACACAATTCTCTTAAAGATTCAAAATAAATACAAGATGAGAAAGTGTATAACTGAAAACAATATTGTTAAGGAGCTGAACCCTAACAGGTGATTACTTGTGTTTAATAAGTTTTTAAGCCCTCACAAAACAAAACATGCTACGATTTAAAAACCAGTAGAGATTGTTTTAATTTTCTAATTTAAAAATCTATGGCTTAATAAAGAATAAAATAAATTACATTATGAGGTGGGTTGAATGTGCCCCAGGCAAAGGATTAAATAAAGAACCACACTACTGTATAAATAGGAAATCATGAAACAAGGGTGATGCTACTTTTGGTACTTTTTCAGCTGCCTCCTACATCAGTTAGTAAATGCATAAAGGCAAACTAGCTCTGGCTTTACATTTTGTCAGCTGCATGCCAGCAACCGTTTCCTATTATTTTGCACTTGTTTTTATTGCAAAATGGAGGCAAACCTGAAAGCTACAACACCCAAGACAGAAACTTGTACTGTTTCATATTCAGTGGCTATTTATTAAGTAAGCATCAGTGAACTTGGAAATAAGATTTTTTTCCACAACAGAATTCTTTTAATTTCCCCTGATTTAGCATGTCCATGGAGTTCTTCTCAGAAGCCGTCAATAACACTCACTGGGAGGGAACTGAAAGAGCAAAGAGTACCCTTTGAAACTGAAATAAGCAATAGCATTCCGACTTAAAAATGTTAAGATATGTATGTAGAGGAAATCAACTAAAAAATTCCTGAAAATGCACTCTCAAAAGTATAGAAAGCACCTGCCTTCTGCTATAATTGTGCTAAAAATATGGTATTTTTCTTGCTGCTATAAAGCTCAGGAGTGGCTTACAGCAAAATTCAGTCTAGAATTAGCAGGATGACAGTACAGAAAAAATGTGGAGCTGGAAGCATTTATAGTGTCTCTTTATGCAATATATTCTGAATTAATTCAGATTAAAAAATATCATTTTTTTTTGCATGAGAATATGGTGCTGAGGAAAAATACTGTATTTGCAGCCCTGAAGCTGAAATTATCTAACAATGCAGCAGATACAAATGAGGCAGCGCTTTTTTACTCCCACGCTATTCTGTTAAATTCACTCAGTTACATAAAAGAAGGTGGATAATTGAGGCCTTCAAACTCTCACCAAGTCTGCCACCAATGGTAACTGCTTGAGAATACTGTCATTTTGTTCCATCAGGAACTTTGCAGAAATGTGTAGGTGAAAATCTGGCTTTGCTGAAGTCATTGGGGTTTTGCAATCAATGTCACCAAGAGTAGACTATTATCACCACTATGTATGATAACAATGTTTGGCTGACCCCAGGTTTTTTATCTGGTCAGCCAAGATATCAGGGATTTTTCATGCATATGTCTCAGGTTGCAATATTCCTTACTAAGGTGTTGCACTAGAAATCATGAACTAAATATGCTGGTTAGCGTGGTGACACAGAGTAACTGATCAGGAAACTTACAACAAAACATAACTAATTCTTCAAAATCAGGAACAAAGCAGTGCTGCTGAAGAAGACCTCAAGATATGCCTATACACAGAGGTTATATGACTCATTTCATGTATCACAGTTCATAAAGCCCATTGGTTCACGTAAGTTACCCTAGGCCTTATCTGGAGGATTTTCTCTACTTCGTGTCTGTTCACGCAGACATGTATAAACATTACCTGCTGACCATTTTCCGTCATGATGTTTAAATGAGGAAAAGTTATGGTGGAATTTTCAGAAACTTGCAATGTAGTGTAAAAATTTCTGCTTATCTGCGTATACAGCAAAGAACAGCTTTTGTGAGAAACTGGCCTGAATGGGCTAGTTAGGCTTAAGTAGACTCCATTTAGACAGACAAGAACTGTTACACTGTACACATATTAATATAATTTGATGTACTTATTTTCTATCTTAAACACTGGAATCCTATCCCCTAAGTAATGAAAAGCAAAACAAAATGACAATGTATGCCAGCGGGATAAGTGTGTATACGTTACTTCACAAGGAAATTGGTTTTGAGTTGCTATGGCAACAAAGTAAGAACTCAAATATTATTTTATTCTTCACTGATGAAAGCAAGAGGTTTTATTTATTTGGTGTATGTAAAGATGTGATGAGATTAAGAACAGGAAAACCTGCTGCCAAACTGTTTTCTGTCACATGAAACAAGTGCCTAATGGGATACTTTGGAAATACTTAGTGTCAATCTGGTCCATGACTGCAAGCAGCTGCACACCTGTGCACTTTCTGAAGAGCAAGTAGGTCAGAGATTAAAGAAAATGATGGTGGTCACTGCATAATGAAAAACTCTGTCCCCTTAAAAACATGCTGGTTCAGAGAAGGTAGATTTTTATTTGCAGTAGGATCCCAAGTCAGCCCTTGAAATGCAATAATTGAAGACAATATGAACCTTTAGTTAGCAATAAAAAAACTTAAGTATGTATCTACAGGAATGTACACACAATTTAAGACGAAGTAAATATAATAGAAATAAATGGTATGTAGTTTTGCAAGCTACCAATAGCAATAGTTTCTTTATTGTTTCAGCATAAAAGGTACATAAATCAAGTTATATCTTTAGCTTGCAAGATTAAAACCAAGTTGTATATCCACTAGCTGATGCATTATTTAAAATAAAGAAGCATTATACACCTTGTATTTATGTAGCTATTTTGTACACCAGTTGAGATTACTCAAAAAATAAGAAGAGTATAAATTAAATATTTTAACCATACACAAAAAGGCTCCATATATGTAAATGAAACACTAAAAGACAAGGCAGCCTGTAAGAATTTTTCCTTCAGTTTTTGTAGAACTTTACTGCTAGGTATAATTATGGACAAAGCATGCCATCATTATCATGGTAGTTCTGAGACATGTAAAATGTCTGTTCTCCCCTTTGGCTTCTAGCAAAATGACAGACAAATGGGCTTTTAATGCTAAACATAACAAGAACTAATCACCTTGATTTGGCTGATCTGTATGTCCAAAGGAGATGATGATGTTTCCAAAGTTTCCAGTTCTTTTTCTTGTTCAGCTATCCAGATGGACAGAGCTTCAAAATTACTGCCAAAATGATCCCACTTGTTTTTCACCATTTCCATGCTTTTAATACTAAAATTAACCAAATTAATTAGAGAGAATAAACAGTTTAATATAATGAAGCTGCCCATATTCTTGCTATAATAAAAATCTAACTTACGAAATCTACAGGAGGGTCATTTTCAAAACTCCAGTTTTTAGAGGACTGAGTGGTGTGCCTAAATTCAAACTTGGTTCTTCTCTCTTGGACTGAGCACTCAAACAATTGCATTAGCCACAGAGAGGACAGGAAGAGGTGAAACAGTACAGCTTCACTCATCAGCTGTACATCAAGAATCTCATTATAGCAGGAAGAAAATGAAAAGTTACGTAAATATGGTTTCTATGAAATAATACGGAATTATGATTATATGAGATGTCAAAAAATTGAGATAATTGAATGCATAGATGTTAGTAATTTAGTCACTAGAACAGAATGAATAAAACCAGTATATTGTGGGTGTGGATAGAGTCTTGACTGCTTTATTATAACAGTAATCTTCCCATCTTATAGGAAGCTGGTGTTTTCTAAGGCAATATTAAATATCAAGCCAAAGAATCAACAACAGATACCCAACTACATCAAAGTTAATAGTTCTATTCTTTGAAACATACATTATAAGTATGTCAAACAGAGACAGATTATGATGTAGTCTCACCTATCTTGCACAGCAAACAAAGCACCCTTCTTCTTGGTCACAAATAAGTCTAACATTTTTGTAAGGCCTAGCAGCACTGAATTCCAGTATACAAATTTCTGCCTCTTTCAAATCATTGTAAAGAAACCAGTGCTAATGCTAGGCCCTATACGCAGCTTGCAAAACATGCATTTTCTATTTCAATGAAAATATTAAAATTTCATCAGAGAAGTCTGAATATTATGAAATTCCAAAATACAATTTCCTTTAAATACAGCCTTAAAAACCATTCCATGTCAAAAAGTTTTTGGTTTAATTTCTTTTTTCCACTTCATTAAAGCTGGAGGAAGCTTTAACAAAATACATAGTCTAAAAATGTAAAATTTCACCTTTTTTTCTTTTTTTTTAATTAATTAAAAAAAAAAGCAATGTCAACAGCCATTTACTGACAAGAGTGTATTCAAGTTATTTGTAGGAAAATAATGTGCAAAAATATTTCTCTCAAGTCCAGTCCAAGAAAATACAGCTGGAAATCAGAATTGAGGGACCAAATCAGTGGCACAATGACTGAAAATCCTTTGTCTTTGTATCTGGCTTCCTTATCGTTGTAAGGAAGCTATAGACTGTAAAGAATATAGTCCCAAACACACTGCACAGCTATGCATGATATACTTGGGAAACAGATGGACTAAGTTTGCTCTATAGCTAACTATGGAGAGCTGCTCATATTTTAATTTCCCTTTTCCTCTTCACTGGCATTGCATGTACCACATGTATTTGGAATACCTGCACTTTAAATTACTCAGCCATGATTTTTATTGATTATGTGAGTTACAACGTAAACTTACATGCTTATCATATGTTCTGTAGATTCACTGTAGAGAGTTGTGGATAGCTGCATGTTTTGCAGAAGGGGTTTATTTTTTATTATCTGTCACAGTACCAATGACATTCTCTATAATTGATACATTCAACTAAAAACTATTTCATATCTATATTAAAAGGTGGTATCAATTATGGCTTTCATTTAAAAATAGATTACATTATTTAAAAAGTAAATATTCATTGTTGGACAGGTGATTTTCTTGAATTGAAAAGTCACATTAGTTTTCTTTCTAATGTTGGAGAAAATTATGTATAAAGTATTCATTAAGATATGGTAGAAATCATGGAGACATTAATGGACAAAAAATGGAAACATGTTGGAGAAAGTGCTATGTAAAATTTAGACCACCAATAATCAGAAAGTTACATCTGCTGCATAGGCTAGTTGTTCTGGTTTACAACAGTTCTTTTACATTGGGAAAAAAATGGCACCAAATTAGTCAGATTATAAAACAATGGTCAGCAGGGGGAAACTAATCACGGGGGCATTGCTGTTTTATCATATTCAGATAGAGGTGGTAATACCTGCTAAAACTTATAAGTCAGATTATTCCACATAGTAATTCCAGTAAGACAGCTACAGAATTGGCACATGTATCCATGATTTGTGTCCTGGATTTAATATATGCAAAAATACTAATTTCATCCACACATATGAATGTGTGTGTATATAGATAAAACAAGAATAGCAACAACTGAAGTTGAGTAACTTGAGTTCAGTAACAGTTACTCACTTGAGAAAAGGGATGAAATTCTTACAGATACAAAAAGCTCCAAAACAGTTACAGGATTTAACAAGTTTTTCTTGGAGTCTGAACTTCCAATTTTTAAACAAAATTTGGCATATGATGCCTTTATTCTTTGCAGCAGCAGAAGCAGCTTTTGATATTGCCCATGAAATAAAGTCGGGGCATTCAGCTAAGATGAAGGCACTTCTTGACATTCCTATAAACAAAGTGGAATACTGAAACTGAGGCAAATATTGTAAATGTGCTGTTCTCATACTTGCACTCTTCCTAAAAATGTCTAGTACCTCAAGAATGAGTTTAATTAACCCTTCTTCTCAAGACTGGGCCTTAAAGATAAGTGACAGGCTAAATGTAACTAGCTGTTTTTATAACCTATGTATTATAAAAGATTATTTTCTTTATTTGCACGTACTCTTATGACATATTTGGTACTATAACCTGGTTGCTATGCCACTGCAAGCTGTAAATGACAGAGCTGAGACAACACAAAATTCTGATAAGGTATTCTAGAAATCTGATACAATCCTATAGTGGATAATAAATATTAGGACTTGTTAAGAACATACTCTTCTTCAAGAGTAGCTTCCACTTTTTTCACTTGTTCTTGGATTGATTTTGCCTGCTGCTGAAGGAACTGCTTGCTCTTTGAACCAAGCTGTATCTCAGAAGAATTCTTCACCAGATTCTCAGCTTGCATTGCCATTGCTTCAGTCTGTTTAGAAAGTTCCTGTAAGGGTGCAAGATACATTAATACAACTATGAGCAGTTTCATATATTTACACAAAATATTTTTCCCAAATGTTTGTGCTTGGAAAATGTATGGTTCCTACATACATGTTTTAAATGTGTAGACACATAAAAACAGTATCTGAAGAAAGTTACTTTCATGTTGCAGTTAAGAAATGTTTATTCAAGCAAACTAGCTTGAAGAAAATTTAGCAAGGGAAACTGCATGTCCAAAAGTTTTAAGCTCAACCAATCCATTTATTCTGTAGCTTTTCAATAAATTTATTGGTGAATTGTGGATTATATGCATCTTTATTTAATCTTTAGATCTTACCCTTTACAGAGAGGATTTTGCAGTATCTCGTAGCTTGAACTCTCACTTTGTTTAGCAACTATTTTCTGCCACAAACATTAAACCTATACACCAGAACAATGGATAAGCATAACCAAGATATGTAGCATTTAGTATCAGATTAATCAAATGGTAAATCAGTGTGAAAAGCATGGCACTTAGGAAAGCAAATCACTACAATTACTTCTGCATTAGTAAATAAAATGGGCTGGATAATTCTGTGTTACTAAGGACAAGCGACAAGTTATGGCTCGTCTCCATGTTGTAGAAACCTCTCCTTTCTCTCCCAGGGCAAAAAAAGTGATAGTCCATGTAACTTTGCCAAAGAACACTCTATTGATGTTGATATGCCAGTGCTTGACACTGTCTAATTCACTAATATAGATGATTACTGAGCATAAAATGTGAAGTCCTCAAAGTCATTTTAACTTCCATACATGTGCTTCAGATGTAGATCTTGAATAATTCTTCATATTTTCATAAAATAACTTTTCACCTATAAACAGTTTATGCAGTCTCTCCTCTGTATTCACAATTTGCACCAGCATTAATGGGAATCCATGCAAAAACTGAAGGCAATATGTTCACTACATTTTAACAAGCAAGGCAGAAAGATATCTCACTTCCTGTTTTTCACACAGTGAATACCTTTGTCTGATCCAGTTCTGAGGAGAGGCTCTCTAAACTGCTAAAGTTTAAGATACGTTCAAGTGCAGAGCTTGCTTGATTGAGATATTTTACTACTGTTTCTTTGTCTCTTTCAAACTGCTCCCATTTATTTATGGTGACCTACAAAAACAAATAAATAAACAAAACCAAAACAGGAATAAAAAGACAAAAATATCAAAGAAGGAAAAAGAAAATAACTGTAAGTTGCTGAAGAAGGAAAAAATATAAAAAACTGGCATAAAATAAAACAATTTCACCTGAAATGCCACCTACTCAACAAATGAGACTGTTCTGAACCCAATAAAAGGAAACTTTTCCCTTGAATTTTGACTGATTCATGCTGCATTGTGCAAAAAGGGTGTGTCCTGGGTTTAGCAGCAGCAGAAATATTCAAGTCTTATATTTGAATGTCCTAAAAGAAGTTCTGAACTAATAAATGGCAGTACTTATGGTGACAGGTAGTCAACAATATCCAAAAGCATCTTCAAGTTCTCTAATGCAGTAAATTACAGTGAAATGGTAGAAGAAAATCTCAACTCATAGGAAACAGATATAGGAATCTATTTGTTCTTTTCTCATAATGTAGAATTTTGATTAACATGCAACATTTAATTATCAGTCACAAGAATAAACAAGTATTTTCTTGATTCTGATGTAAAACAAAGCCTAAGTTAAGACTTCAGTTGGAATTCCTTTGGGAAAAAAAAATTGTTTCTATGATAAATCCTTACATTAAGAAGTTACTTGAGCTGTATTGACTGTTTTTCATTTTGTATTTATCATGGGAAATAGTTTTGATGACTTTAAACATTTGCTTGGAATAGTGGGCAGCTGGATTGCCATTCTGCTTTGGGAAATGTAAAGAACAACTCAGATATGGGTGCAAGGAGCTATAAATTCTCATCCCAGTTCAGTCACTGATTAGTTACACAACCTGGAGCAATCCGTTTGATTTCTCTGTGACTTTTTCTTTTTTTCTTCTTTAAACTTAGGATGACAGCATGTACCTCACACAGTACTTGTGAGGATTATACTTACAGAACGTCAGGTATTATTAATCCAATAGCCTAAGGGCTCTCAATTAAAAGACAATCTCACCTTTAGTAATCGGGGAGACAGCCCATCTAAAAATTAATTCACACATATATTATTTAAAATATCTATTATGACTGAACGTTTGGGACTGTTAAACACTTTAAAACAAAATACTGTTTCTTTGTTAATTGAGCAGCTTCAAGAATTTTTCATGGGGGTACTGATCATGAAAACCCAAGGACCAAGATTCAGAGGTGAGAAAGTGAGCTCAGACTTTTTACATTAAAAGATGTGTTGGTTTTTGTTTTGTTTAGTTTCGTCTTTTTCTACTATGTTGAAAAAAAAAAAAGAAAAGAATAAAGCATGCTTTATTGTTTCTATTTGTAAAGGACCCACCTGCAGTTGCTCTTCACGTTTCTCCATAGTCTGTTGCATGTTCTCCAATGTTCCTTCTAACTTTTGTAAATCCTCTTGCATTGTGCTGGGCAGCCCACCATCAATCTGCAACTGTTTAGCTTGGGAAATCTGTTGTTGCACATCTTGCCTCTTTGCACGGAGTCTCCTTGTCCTTTGCTAAAAGGGTTGATCCAACAGGAACTATTAGACTTTTTAGTTTCTTTGGGAAACTGGCATAATGAAACCATTTTTTGCTTCTGCAGGTTTATGTAACAAGAGCAACAGACAAAGCAATGAACTGTGGCAAGTATTCTTGACAGTCTTATATATTCATCAAGCACACACCTTGGGTTCCAGAATGTATATACACCTTTTGTGGCCATTTATGTGACAGTATGGCCATTTATCCAAAGCAGTCTTTCAGAAAGCAGAAGCCACAACACTCAAGTAACTGCATCAGTAACCACAGGAGGATGTATTCCTTATGATTGCCTGGAAGCCTCCAGGTCTACTCTACACTCTTTGAGGCACAGGCTGTAGCCTCATATTGACAAAGCAATATATCAGCCTTTATTAGAGACCATTAGGGGGACGGCCAAATTGCATAACTCTCCCTTAGTGTATTTTGCTTTGTAGCACTATCAGCAACTCCTAAGACATCACATCTCTTTTCCTAACATGCCTGAGTCATTGCCAGCCTTGCTAGATAAGCTCACAGCTCCCTGCTCAATCCTACTCGGGTATCTTCAGGTGCTTGTCTAAGTCTGTTTTTACCTTAACAGACTCCATATGAAAAAAAGAAGTCTGAGAACTCAGTGAGAAGTTAACCACTCTAACTATCTCTCGTATGGTCGGATAAGGAATGTAGAGTATTGAAAGGACAAATACAAGCCTTAACACATACAGTAGCCTTTACAAACACCAAAGAGTTTAGATAATACATGGGCAAGACAGTATTGCTTGGTCAGAGAGTTAAACATGTCTGACCTTACAGAAAAAGCTGTTAATATAAAACACATAATGCCCAAACATTGACAGTAAATTATTCTTCCTAGCTTTGAGCTGGTCACAAAGTTAATTTATTTCCCATGTTTAAACCCATGATTCTTGCTGTACACAACCCATATGATTTATTATTACTGTAGCCTGTAGATGATTTCACCTATTATCAGTGCATAAAAAGACTCCTGTTCTGCTCCTACAGACTGGAGGCCCATCGTTTACTGCAGAAGCTACCTATAGGAGGAGGTAAGACTAGAGGTACGTCTTCCCTCCTGCATTTAGAGTTGGGGCGACGTCAAAGCTGCTGAAGTAAAGAAGTTTCCAAAACCAGGATTGGGACCAATTTACCATGAGCAAATCTGACACACAAATTTCATGTAAATGAAGCTTGGTTTTCAGGTGTTCTGTGTCCAAAAAAACAGTGTCAAATAAAAGAATATTCAATAAAAACTGAAAAACAAGCTCATCTTTGAGCATTAACATTTTTAAAATACTAAGTATTTTTTTGTTATAAGAAATCAGTACTAGGCCATATGAGACTGTTTCCTTTATGACTACTTCAAGTTTAAATAAAAAGTGTTACCTTAACGGACATAATAAAATTTTGTAATTACATAAATTCTATCTTAAAAAAAATAAATGGATATGGACATGAATAATTGCCTTACCTGATGATGAAGTAGTAGTTGCTGAGCTTGCAATAAACTTTCTGTATCCAGGATCTTTTCAGCCTCTGCTTGGGCTTCTTTTGAATTGCTGATTAATTCCTCAATTGCACTTTTAACTTCTTCTTTGTACTGGACACAGTCTCCAACAGTGCCTACAGTCTTTTCAACCTACAATTACAAATAAGTTTAAGAATTTAATGTTGAAAGGCTCTGTATTTTAAGAGCACATTTATATTTAGAACATTTTTCAATAAAATATAGTAAATTATCTAAATTCAACCCAATTTTGTCTCCAGCATTCTTGACACCTTTAGCTTTCCAGTGGGTGAATTTCCAGTAGATTTAAAATGTGACCAAGGAGATCTTTGCTTTGTTTAGATGTACTCCCTATTACACTGCCATATGGTAAATGGCTGTCTGTGACAGCTACATATTAGTGATCACTTAGAAAAATACATGCTGTCCTCATCCTTACAAGCTGACCCAGATTCCGAAACACCTGCGCTACCCAGCTCACAAAAAATCTTGTTACCTTTTGGAGCCTCTAGAGCAAAGCACTGGTGAATCACAAATATATTAAAATGTCCCATTACCCTGACTTTATGAACCACAGTATGCATGTGGTAAAATATCCAGTTTGCAGAAATTTCTGATGAAAAAGATTTATTCAACATATCATAAATTCCTTCCCCCCTTGTAAGATTCTGCTAACTACTTGCAGCTGATTCTCAGTACAGGTTCTGCTCCTCAGACAGATCCTGTGTTTAAGGTTTTAATCAGAAAATATTCTAGAATTGAGAAACTCCTTTCTTTCTTCCTTCCTTCCTTCCTTTCTTTCTTGTCTATATTCACTTTGGAAGGTCATTCAGATCTAAGACATTCTCTTTCCTGTTTTATAAATGTTTAGTCTTTAGTCTCCAAAACACATTGCTGAACTCTGGAAATACCCAGCATCAATCCTTGTCTAAACAGGTTCATCCATCTGATTAAGCTGTAAATTTAGCTGCAAAGAGTATTCAGACTTCGAAGATTCAGCAGTCTCTTAACTCTAAAGTGCCATTTAGATTCAAAACAAGTTTAGATTCTAGCTCTTATCTTTTTTTACCTTCATGAACTTGTGTTCCCCTTAGTTCTGACTTTTAGATGTAATAAAAACCAAAACTATTTTAACATAGCAAAACAAAACAAAACAAAAAAAGGATAGTATCTTAAATTTTTTGCAGTCACCTGGAAATCAGAACATTGATTGCCCTGACTTTCCAAACACAATTTTCAAACCATGTATGTTTAAAGAAGTTTCAAAAAATACATGGAAAATAAATCATTTGGAGCACCTACAAGCCTCCACAAGAACTGACATTAACAATGAAATTTGAAGTCTTTCTCTATCCTGATCTCCTTTATCCTCATTATCATTCAGACCTCAGAGAACTGCAGCCTCTTCCTGCAAATTCAGTGCATGACAGACATCCTTAATGATTTCAAACTACCTCACAGTAGTCCCTTTATTAATTCAACATCAAAGATACATAAATGAAGATTAAAGTCAAATTATATATCCAGTAGACAATGTACATGATAGTTTTGCCAATGTTCAGCATGAGCTTATTTTAGAAAACTACCTTTTGCTTCTAAAAATATTGACGTTTTGATTCCAGAAATATTTACTATGATGCTTTCAAATCCTGCAAAGACAAAAGCTCCATTATAATAATGTTATACTCAAGGCTTTGCCACCCAGGGAGTACAAGCAAGTTTTTTTGTTGCTGAATCCTTGCATTTTAATTAAAAAACCACAGCAGGGAACTTATGCCTGTGAAGCCACAATTGATGTAATTTCATGTGACACTGTAAATGAAGAGGTTTTGTGTCCCTCATACTGTACCTCAGCCAGCAAATCTAGGAGTCCCTTGAAGTCACTGGAAAGTTTACAAAGCTCATCCTCTGTCTCTTTGGCCTCCAAATCAGGACATGCTGTGGTCAAAACAGCAAGTCTAGATTTCAGCCAGCTGTGATTTTCTCCTTGCTTCTTAATATGATTCCTAATTTCCTATGAGAGAATCAAAAGGCATTTTCTTCAATTAAACAAAATATAATACAGTGGCATTCATAGTATCAGTTCAAAGATTAGTAGTGCAAACATACTATCTTTGTTTTTATCTTTAAACACTAGAAATGTAGTATTTTCCTCTTTGGATACCCTATCTCATTCTGTTCCAGTCAATGGCTACATGCATTTGGTCTACAGGCTTTACTCTGCTACTACTTATTAGATTAGTCTTTAATAAGTAGTAGTAGTAGAGCATTTTTTCCATACAAACTAACATTTTTGTCTATAGATAGATAGACAGTAGATACCATGTATAGATGTTTGACCAAATTTCTCTGTTACCATTTAAATCCTAAATGCTGACATTCCCAAATACAGAATTTCATATGGTAGGTTTTGTTTGTATGTTTCCCTATTTAAATAGCTCTCCCCCGCCCCTTTTCACTCAGTATTTCATTTATATCTTTGTGCCAGTGCTGATGAGAAGTTGCCAGCCCTGAAACTGCATGAATAAATCAGAATTTTTGAAGCAGAATTGTTTCTTTGCACAGTTAATCTGCTCATAGCTTTCACACAATCTCCTGCAGTATCTGTAGTATTTCTGCTCTTAGTATGTGAAATAAAAGAAAGAAGGGTTAAGATAGGTCCCAAATGACACAATATATTATTGCCTAAAACTAATTTAATCGAATGACTCAATCTTCAACTGTTCTACCGTTTCTGTTACCAGTCACCAGTGCAACAGTGACTGGTAAAATACATGGAGTATCTTTGCCTCTCCTCTCTACTACCGTAGAAGAGAATTTTTATTATGGATGATTTCCATAAGTGTAAGAAAGCAACTTGATCCTCCAAAAACCCCCAGTCCAGAAATTTTGGCTTTTCTCTGCACAGCACTTTTAACTGTGCATGCAGCAGGATGAGAAGCAAGTAATGTATCTGCTTCTATATTTTGGATGTTCTGAATACACAGGTAAGGGGACCTTCCGTTATCAAAAAGTAGGAACTTCTGTCACACTTCGCTGCAATGTAGAACATTCTCCTGGAAATTTTTTTTTAAGAATACCATGAATCAGCAGAGATACTATGGTCTCCATAGTAAAACAGTTGCACTATTTCAGAATACAGTTTTATCTAGAGTCCCAGTAGCAATGACCATAGCTTTGTTAAAATATAAGCCAAGGGCTCACCCCCACGGATGCTTTACATTGCTTGTATTTGGCAGTATCATTGACACTTTCCTTTATCTTCTTTAGCTCTCTTTCTGTTGATGAAATCCAGTTTGCTAATTCAGAAAATCTGAAATAAAACATCACATCATGCAAAACAAGAAAATACAAAAAATGCCACCACCAAAAAGTAACCTTTTAAGTTTAAGCAAAAAAGAAAAAAAATTTAAAAAAAGCTCAAAACCCACTATAATTTGTGGAATTAGTACAGGAATTATAGCTTTCTACTTGAAGCTGACAATAAAGTATCATCATTCTTTATGTGGTATTGATCTATGATGACATTTAGAGAAGTGACCATGCATAAGGCTCTACAAGACCCAGCTAGCAACTCAGTTGAAACCTTTTCCTGTAGCTCTTCCAGGTGTCCGAGTACTCTGTTAGTCTTATGTATGTGTTGTTTATCTGGGATTTCAGCTCCTTCAGGATTCTTTGGCCGCTTTCCAATGTAGCCCTCACTGGATCAGTAACTGGCAGTTTTTGGCACAGTTCTTCAATCCGTTGTAGCCTTTTCTCACAAAGGTGGTAAGGTCCCTTGTCACCAAAGAACAACTGACCAGAGACAAAGCAGAAAACACAATAAGAATACTAACTGGCAGAAACCACAAACATATCTAGATATTTGTTATAAATTGTACTAAGCCCAAAAAAAATTTTTTTAAAGGCCCCAAGTATTTATATGATTTAATAATACACAGTTTTTGATGGATTAGGAGGTGGTTAGACCCTCTGTTTATTACTGACATTGAAATGTATTTCTGTAAATGCCCACGTGGTGGCATATAATTCGTACCATGTGCTCCTCAATCATCCTTTCATTGCCTTCTCTTGATAACACCTTGTTCTGTCGAGCTAGTTCAGCTCTGCACTCCTCCACTGTGACAAGGAACTTGCTTTTCTGTGCTTCAATCTTCAAGTGGATCAAATGATATGGGGCTTCCGTCTGAAGATCCTATGCACCCAGATAGGCAATAAACAAACACAGAGATAAAACACTACTCCCATTACTTCAGTGTGAAGCTGCTACAAATAAATTATCTAAAACCTCTTAATAAAGAAAATAAACTTATATATGCGTAGACGGATGTAGGGGTTCTCTGTATTCATTTAAGTAAATAAACAACTCTGACACCAATATCTCTTAGATATAAGGTTTTGGCACCAGAATACATAGGCACATTATAGAGACATTTCGATTCTTGCCAAGATATACCAAATATTTCCTGTATAAAATAATAAAGCAAACAATAATAGTGAAACTATAGTCACAACTGCTTCCAGAGGTTCCTGTTTGCATGCTAGTGAGAAAACGCTTATCCACCACACTAGCTTTGACCTTCAACATGCTATAGCAGGCAAAAAATTCCATAGCATATGGGCGTGTTTGTTCAGTTGTTAGAGCCTTTGGCTGAAGACACAATTAAAAGTGATACTCTGATTTCTTACAAATTTATTTAATTTTATTTCTTTTTTTATTTTATTTCTTTTATTAAGGTTGGTAAAGTAACTGAAATCATCCAACATCAGCATAAATAAAGCTAGGACCTATTCTCAACAAATGTTCTTAACACAGGTGTCATTATGGCTGCATGTAGGGGAAGAAATTAAAGTTTCATAATTAATTCACATTTCTCACTTTTGACCACTTGACAGGGCTTTTTCAAGAGGATATTTTTTAGGAGCAACTGTAGCCAATGTTGTAAAATACTTTTATACTTTTTTTTTTCCCTCCCAGTTGCACAGGAAGCTAAATAATACAACATGCTTTTTATTTACCTTGTTTTTTTCAAGACATAGGTCAAGCAGAAACATTCTAAAGTTAATAATTAGAATTTACAGAGATACCATTCAATGTCACTAACCTTCCATTGCCTATGGAGTTTTCTCACAGCTTCCTGCAGGTTATGCTGCTCTTGTTCTGGAAGGATGTCGGTAAGTTCATCGCATGCCTTCAGAAAGGCATTTAGGACCCTCTGATCCAACTGGTTGAAGAATTCCTGAAGTTGAGGTGAGAAGTGAGAAGGTGAGAGGATGAAGCTGGTTACCGATATGGTAACATGCCAAAATGAAGTTCCCTAGTACACTCTGTTACTTGTGCTGCACTGAAGAACTGAAGTTTAAGCTAGGAAAGGACTATTTCTAATAGTGGTCCAGCAAATTAATTTATTCTCAGCCAGTACACTGAGCTGGTATTTTAACAGGAATACATTTTAAAGCTACATGCATAAGTAATGGTTATAATACAGACACAGACACTGATCTGGGAAATAAAAAAAAAGCAAAGCAGTGGATGCATGGGACTGGCAAGATTTAGTGTCCTCACTCCCAATGGCTCTACTTGCAAAGCTGATCCTTATTTCTAGGGATTCTTCTCTCTTCACCTTCTGGTTTCTTACATTCACCAATAAGAGGGGTGACCTTTTTTCCCTTTTGTTTTTCAATCTCAACATTAGTTTGACCTGATCTGTGTAACTTCTATATGTGAAAGAAACCCACATCAATTTTAAAATCAAGTTGTCTTTTCATTTGTATGTCATGCACTCAGAGATTTCCATGAGGAAGGTCAGAGAATTTACTCACGCTATGTTTCCTGAGAAGTTCTTCAGGATTTCCTTTTTCTTTTAAGCAACAATTGGCAATCTGTATTACTTTTTCCAGTTCTGCTCTAGATTCCTCAAATTTCTTCATCAAACGGCTATTTGCTTCTATGTTTTTTCTCCAGTCACCAGCTTTCCTGACCATATTCTGAGTTATAAGAAAGAAAATGAGCTGGCACTTTCATAATGATTTTTACTTGCTCTTTTACCATGATCTGACAAAAAATGCATGCCATTGATGTCACTCTTTCAAATATATGCCATCCACAAGTGCTTCTCATTTTCATTATCCCATTTTCTCCATTTTTAATATTTATACTGAGGCTTGTGCTAATGTCACCCTTCATTCAACTGAAAATGGGTAGCTATCTAATACAGATGACCCTGATACCTTCAGAATGGCTCTGCCATTTGACTGGAGTTTCTTTCCTAAAGCCTGCTTTCAAACCTAAAGCATCTGGTATGGCTAAAAGCTCGCCATTCAATTTTTCCTAGTAGCAGACTACTTCCTCCTACATGAATGGACATGAAGGTGGTTTGACCTATGGATTCAACCAGTTCCATGCTGCAGGTCTTCTGATCTGGAGGAGGTTTGTACAGTTATCACTGATAGGCCAGGTAAGAAACCGGGCAGAAAGCCACTTAAAAGACAGCAAATTTTGTGGCTAAGTTTTTCCTACGGAATCCTCTTGTTTTGCGACCTTACTCACAGCTCTTCATTATTCTGCCCCAGTGAACTGAATTATCCAGAAGTTATAATTCCACAAGCAAATAACAAAATTAACTAGGAGAAACAAACAGTTCACCAGTTCAAGTGCAGAAAGGTAATTCCAGCACTGCTTATTAAAAACACACTTTACCATCCTCACTGATTACAAACCCCAGTGTAAGGAATTGCAATGATTTTAGCCAGTGAGCTAATCAAATCTGTAGTTCTCAACTTACATATCTTCCTAAATGTTTTTAAAGTTTCCTGATAAAAAATTTGTGTATAATAGTAGAATGATATAGGAGTGTATTCCTTACATGAGAAAATGCTTGTTTCCAGATCCATAAATATTTTAACTCTGGTTATGCCACATTTTGTATGGCTATGTTATGTTTTATAGGCCTATTTTCTAACACAAAAAGAGGTAAATCACCATCCAACTTTATAAAAACAGAATGCTTATTGTTTAACATGGTAAAATTACCAAGCTACAACTGTATCTGCTTCTGTTATCGTAAGCTAAACTTAAACATTTTCTAAATTGTAAATAATTGCGAAATTCCACTAATCTTTAAGTAAAACCCACAAAATACAATAGAAGTTTTAAAAGACACATTTTAGAGACAGCTCTTTACTGACAGATGATTTTCTGTAGCTTAAAATTCAGTTTAGATAGCTTTATACTGAACAATTATTGCCTGAAACAAATCTAATAGAACCCAACCTCTGGAGATCTGACTCCAAGATAATAGTTAATTTCATTTTAGAGGGAGGCTAGAATGGGGTTGAAGAGCCCTGAAAATATCATCACGGCTAGTGACAACACAGAGCTCTAAAGGTAAGTAGGATTATAGCCCAAATTACATATCCTTTCATTCACAAATGCAAGTAAGTATTTGCAGCTTTCTATATTCACAATCCACTGCATTTTCTGAGGAAATACAAAGCCCAGCAATGGTAGCATTTGCAAAAGTTCCCCTCTTTCATGCTTTGCGTGAAAGGAGAATTATGAGAATATAAGAGCAAGTAATTAGCCAAAGTAACAAAGTCAGGAGAAACAAACACCATGGCAGCCCTAACAGGTGGATTTCATATTGCTTTTCCCAAAGGAGCATGAGATGTGTGAAAATTCTCATTAAATTCTGGGTTCCTCTAGGTCAGTCACACCTCTAAATAACTGCATGGAGACATGACCATCAGTCCCCTGACCATTATCACCTAATGCAGACAAATCCTTAATTAATAAATTGACACTGGAGAGAAGAGCTCTCTATGACAGTAGCTGCAGTGTGATGAAATAGAGATATGGTACGATGGATCAAATGCATAAAGAAGCTTTCAAAAACATGCACCAAGGTATGACACAATTACCTGAAAAGTAATCTGAACTTGCGTAACTTTCTTCTGAAATGTTGTCTGATGGAAATGCTGTAACAATTCACTCGAAGCCACACACTGCAGGATACTCTGACTATTTCTCTCAATCAGGGACAAATCCTTCTTGCAGTTTTCTTGATAGGCTACCAAATCCTGAAACAAAAAAAACATATATCCACCCTGGCCAGGAGCAAAGGAGAGAAGAATCTGGCAAAATAACAGGAAGGTATTTTTTGACAATAAGAACAAAAGAGAGAAGCTCAAAGCACCACAGCAACTAGACTACACAAAATATTATATGGAATAACACAGATCACACAATTTTCTCCTTATGCAGAGTCCTATACCCAAATAGAGCTTTAGCTATCTATAAAAAAAAAAAAAACAAACAAAACAACACAAACATGTACCCAAGCCGCTCAGGTAGTTTTGTTTTCAACAAATTAACCCTTCATGTCAGCTATTGAAATCCCAATTACATTACAGATAGGCTATGCTTGTTGTCTGTATATGAAGTAACATTTACTCAGGCTACTGAGTTGCAAAGCAAATCAGTAGAAAGCAAACTGTAAACACCCAGAGGCAGCAGATCTTTGCAAGATGCTTTTGAATCTTACTTGCGCTTTTTGTTTAAGAACAGTTGTAGGCTGTGCTTCAGGATCCAGGATAGAAATTATTTCATTCACTTTTTCAAGAGATTCATAAAAGTGCGTGATTTGTTTCTCCAGTTCTTCCAGTGGAGACAGCAGATGCTGGCATTCATATATCAGGGCACAGGAATACTCCTTAACCTTTTGGCCATTTTAAAGAAAAATAAGTATTTAAAAAGTTGCAAAATTCAGTAAGTAGCAGCTTCCTCTTCATGTGGGCTTATAAAGTCACTACCTAACTTTTAAGATATATCAATCCCGATCAGGTATTACTTCCTAAATAAAAGAGTATTAAGATGGTAGTCTTAAAAAAGTAACATGTTCTCCACCCTGAAGCTATTGTTCCTATAATCTATAACTATGTATTTGCTCAAATGCATGTATGTGAGCACTTATGTAGGGGAATTTATTCATTTAACAGATAACAACATATGTAGTAGAAAAAGTATTCTGCAACCTTGCTCAGCTGCTCTTTAATCCTTGTCAAAGTTCCAAGCATGTCATTTGCTTCCTCTTGGGAAACTTCTTTTGTAACAAGTTGCATTGTTCTTGTAACCACTTTGTACTGAGCTTCCATTGCAGGCAGTTTCTGCTTAATATTCTGAAACAAATGTTTCAAAAAGTATTTCAACAATAGCATTTGTTCACTCATGGGAGATATCAGTCTGTTCTCAAGAGATAAAAAGATGGATATTCTAATTATCAGTAGTTTTCATAGCTAATTTTAGTGAACACAGGATCACAGTTCAAATGGACAAAAACTGTGTCAAAGGGTATCACTGGCTCACCTGAATGAATTTGAAGCTACACGGAAAAAAAAACACCCAGTGAGACAGTGTTTTGGAAATGTGCTTAGAAATGCCACTCATAGAATAAAATTATTTATATTAGCTATACCAGAGATGTTACAACAAAAGCACCACTATTAAAAAAAAAAAAGTAATAATGGAAATGTACAATAAATAATTTTATGCTATCAGAATTAGGTAGTTACGAGGTTTTCTCTTATTAAGGAGAAAGGAATGGAAAGAAAACACTTACTTCTAAATCTTGTACAAACATTTTGACATCAAGGAAGGCCACTTCTACAGGGACTGAAAATTTCCTATTGCTTCCATCAATAAAAGCTGTCAAATGGGTAACACCATCCAAGTATTCCTTCTTCATTTTGTCCAGTTCATCTGCTCGAGCATACTAAGAAAATGTAAAGTAAAAAGAGAATGCCAGACTCTCATTTGTTCCTAACCCAGAAACAACCACTCAATTAATTTCTTATTGTCTACAGTATCAATTTTGAAAATTCAGTAAAGAGAATAAAACAGAAAAAGCCTAGAAAAGCTGAAGGGTAAGGGAAATTTCAGTAAAGGACTGCCAGCTTGAGGAAAGGGCCACATGGGTCTTAGAAAGTGGAAAGAGCTGTATGACAGAAATGGTAAAAAGCCAGTGAGAAAACCATATAGCTAGTACATGAAAGAAGTTGTATAAATAGAGGAAGAGACATTTACATCCTGGGCATTGCTGCTTCCACAGTGAATCACCCAAACTATCATCAGCAAATAAAACTTGAGAATACTCTAGTCAACGGTTTGGAAAAGTTACAATAAAAAAGGGGCAATCATTATTTGCTTTTCCATTTAACAGAAATGGAGATAATCATGCCAGTAAAGAAAATAGATTCAGCATCTTCAAATGCTTCAAGATCTGCTATTTAAAATCACTGGAAGAGGAAAATATCGTTAGATGTATATTGACTACAGCAAAGATATTGCTTGTTTATGAGCCGTGAAATACTTCTGTGTATTTTAGGTGTAATTTAGCTCACATCCTTGGTTTTTTAAAAGCAAATATAGAAACAACAACTCTTTTCCAATCTACTGAATCTCTTCCATGAAATAAAAGGTTTTATTTTATCTTTTATCAGTGTCTCAGTATATAGAAGAAAAAAGTAATGTCTGATGAATTTGGGGAAAACATTTAGTTAATTAACTTGCATTGCACCTTCTTGTGGTCTCAGTACAGTAACTGAATGCAACATTCATTAAAGAGTGGTAAAAATATTCACTTTCACCATTTTCACTGTTTAGATTTACAGAGCTTTTACAATAACGATAGCTATGTAAACCCAATCAAAGATCAAGACAGGAGAAAATAAGAAAAAACTACTGCTTATACTAGCTGTAAATATCCAAAAACAAAAATAAAAAGCTGTATTAAAAAAATACAAACAAAGTAAATCCCCAATAAAATAAACTGCTGTCAGGGATTCCTTTCTAATTTAAATAATGATGAACGGTTAGGCACTTCAGTAAGTTGACCTGTAGTCTTGCTTGTGGGGGAAATGGAAATGACAAAGTAAAAATCTAGAAGTAACAACAGCAAAACCACATACCTGCTTAACTTGCATAAACAGTTCTCTCCATCTTCCATTTAGCAATAGAAGCTGCTGTTTAAGGTCTCTGGAAATGGTCTCATCACATGTTTCAATCAGAAAATTACCAGCATCATTCATGGCTGTGTGCTGTTGGATCCAATGAGGTAAATGCCGGAAGAAATCCTGAGGAAGAAAATAAAAACATCTTTTTGAAACCTTTTCAATTATTCTTTATCTTAAATCATAATATTAAAATTTACTCACGAGCTAATGGCTTGATAAAATGCTTTGAACAATTATCCTCTGAAGCTCTTAAATATTGGATATGCTGTAACAGAATTTTAATGTGTGTGAACATAACATGTGGAATTAAAAACTACCACCAGTTTACTTACAGCTTATTTTCATCCAGTGAGTAGTTTCAGTTAAATGAATGGAACTCCTCCTTAAGAGAAAGCTCCATAACTGAAAATACTCTTAGGGCTCTTCTAATTTCTGTCAAGACTATGTCTGATAGTAACCTCAGCCATATACAGACTGCAGAGAGATTCTTCCCCATATGCAGCTTTCCAGGGTCTGCTATCACAAAAGACCTGAGAAGACTGATTCTTTGTCACTGGTTTCTTGCCTCTCAGAGCAGATGACGGTCAGGCTTACTAAATGTCAAGAAGGAAAAAGCACATGAAGAGAAGTACTCGCATCCTTCCTCTTACAGACCTATTCCCATAAACCTTACCATCCTCAGACCCTGCTGGGGTGTCTCTCCATTTCAGAAGACAGCATAAAACGTGTAAAATTTTAACAAGTTTGTAAGGTACCATGAAGCACACCACATTTTTAATTAAAATTAATGCAGTTCTTTTTAACCCCCCATGAGGTCAGGAAGTCCTCTGATAAGCTGTTGGAGAAAGGTGTGGGAGAGCACAGATACAATGGGGTCATGATGGGAAGTGCTTAAGAGGTACTGCAAGTAAATGTTCATTAATACCTTTACTGTAAAATTTCTAGTACTTTGCAGTAGAAAAATCCAAGCACATACCAATCTTTTTGCATGATCTTCTGTGCTACAGGTTCAAAATAAGGTTTCTGAAAACAGAAACCAATGAGAAAGCCAGCAAACCACTTCCTTTTGCAAAAGGGACAGTGGTACTTGCTGGTCTTGAAATCATACAGAAATAATGGAAAGAAGAAGAAAGCATAACAGCATGGTAAGGGGCTACTAGTCTTTATATAGGATAGAATACAGTGGAATTTAATAACACAGGTAAGGTTTGCCAATGACCATCAAAGAAATCTTTGTATTGTATTACTGATATATATTTTACAGAGCAAATATTTGCAGATGTTTAAAAGAGTTTTATGCTATATTCCAAAAAAAGAGAGATTTCATCTGGGATTCCAGCTGATGGAATGTATGACTATTAATTGTAGAAAACAATATAAGTATTGCTTTTCCAGTTTAATAACCAAATACTAAAAATGGTAACTCAAAACTATCCTTGGAACTAAGCAGACATTGTTCCTGTGGAGTGCTAGACTCAACATTACTAATACAAGTAACTCTTAAAATATTTATCCCTTTCTATGAATTATGTTACCTCTCAGTAATCTTCAACAGCTTTAAGCCAATGTGATTTTTAGGAAGAAATAAGCATTTTGGGCATAATAAAGCTTTCATGTCAAAGGTTTTCAACAAATCAGAGAAGTAAATATTTTAATTTTATTCATATACATGGATATAAAAATGTCTAATTTTAAACTTTTCCAAGTTACTTACATAAAACACACGGAGCTAAGATTAACCTGATCAGCTGAGGTCATCCTTTCTGATCAGTAATAATAGCTGTTGGTATTTATATTATGCCAGGCTATTGAATTCTTTTGACAAGCTTCTTTTATTTTAAAAGAATATTCCATGTTTTATATGAATTTAAATTAATAAACTTTTACCAACAATTACATGTTCTTTCATGTAAAGTGAAATGGTCATTTCCGACCTGATGTCACTTTGGTATCTTTCAACCATACTTTGGAGTTAGAAGCTAGACAGCTGCTACATTGGGATTGGGTGACAGTGTAGGACCTATAAAATGCAGCATTATCTAAGGCAATCTGGGTAATTACTGAAGTTCCACAAACATAAATCTCAGTGCTCCAGCACTCTAATATTAGGAAAAAAAAAAAAGAAAAAAAAAAAGACAGCAAAACTATCTTTATGATTGCTGGTCCCAAAAGGAGCTACCTAGAAGATTTCTAAAATGCCAGGGAAATGGATTAATTACCCATCAAACATAACAAAACATATTAATCATCTTGTCTGTTAAAGGCAACTAATACTGAAACCTGTCATCCATGTGATAGAAAAATTCATGGAGAAAATAATTCTCTTTAAGCATCTTTATACACAGCACATCACTATGCATTTTGCTGTTAAAAGCTGAATTTGCCTTTGAGTGAACCATGTAACATCCCTACCTCTGAGCAATATTGCTGCCCTATTCATGTCCAAGATGCCTCTAACTATGTTGTCACAGATGATGTCTTCCCTCATTACATGTGTATCTATGTCTGTACGCTATGTGCAAACATTGAAACACCTATGATGAAGACAATATGCCAGAAATTAAATAAATTATCTCTCTCTTGTATGACATTTTATAAAACAACATAAGCAAATGCAAAAGCATATCCCACATTTCAGAACTCATAAAATAGGCAGAAACATATGCTATTAGTACATACCTTTTTAGACGGTTCAGGCTGATTCAGCATTTTTTCTGCATCTTCCAGCCAAGCTTGCAAACCTGCCACAGTGCTGCTGTATCTGTCCCAGTTAGCAATTACTTCTTCCAACATGCTTCTTACACTTCTGACCTCTACTGAGAGGTTCCTCCACTGTGCTGTTGTTTCATTCATGAATTTCATGACATTTTCAACTTCTTCCACTGACATGCAGGACAGACATTGATTATTTTTGCTCATTATTATTTCTGTTAAGCTTTATTTCATGTTAAGCTTATCCATTCTCATCATAAAATATAATTACGGCAACTTCTATTTCAATAGGCTTTTTTATACAAGTGCACAGTCACAGCACAATTTTAGTGCGAAACTGCAACTGACAAATTAAACCTGTGAATTAAAGACTAAGGAAAGTACATAAAGAGAGTGGTTTACTAAAACAGCATATTTCACACTGCATATTCAGCATGGTGCTCATTTCAAATCTGCAATAAAAGAAATCAAGGGAGAGAGTTTCCTTAAAAAAGCAGAAAACAATAGAGTTGTATAATGTACAAACACATAGTATGTCTGCATTTAAGAGTATTGAATGAAAGTCTGATCTTCTGTCACCAACTTTAAAACCAAACTGCTGCTAATTTTTGCCATTTTATTTTTAGTATTTTCCTGACAGCAATAAAGGAGTAAACGTTTCTTCATTCCAGAAGAAAAACCCAGACAGTAGAAGAAGGACCCAAGCAAATCCTAAAACTTCATAGAACATGCAGAATATAGAAAGTTCAAAAAACATTTTTTTTCTAAGGTGTCTTCTAATTTGCACCGCTGTCTCTGAATTCATAGACGTGAGTAGCTGCTCTTTAGAAAAGAAATTGTTACTGGATTTTTACTTTTTTTTAATAGCATTGAATAAATCTATTCATTTTAGTATTCGTAAAACCACCTTGTGAAAAATGTTTACCTTTGTAAAATTTGAGTGTCACCATCATCAATTTAAATTTCACAATTTAAAAATAAAAAATATATTCATTTTCTCTCCACATCTGCTAATCACTTCAGCAGCTGTAGAAGTCCTCCACAGACACTGCTGTGTTATCTACCCAGCAGAGATTAAAGTGGTTTCATATCTGTAACTATCTGGGTCAAATATTGCCCTCATGTATTCTCACTGAACTCAGCAGTACTCAGGAATTACAAGAGACAGCTGCTGAATCAGCTACATATTTTTCCCATGTATATTATATTTAAAGTATCATTTGGGTTCCTCTTACAAGCTTTCATAGATAAAGAAGAATCATCAACAAATCAGGGGATACTTTTGCTACTACAGCGTTACTGGGACCTGCTCTCTGTTTGCCTTTTTCTAGTTAAGCCAAGCCAGGGAATGTTTCCAGGCATCAGTACAAGAACTTCCCTACACCTAATTTGGTTTCTGACACACTTCTGGACCAAATCAACAAAATGGGCCTACAAGGATGCTTGAGAGGGGATCTTCATTAGCAACTGTAGTGATAGGACAAGGAGGAATGGGTTCAAACTTAAAACAGGGGAAGTTCAGGTTAGATATAAGGAAGATGTTCTTTACTGTGAGGGTGATGAGGCACTGGAACAGGTTGTCCAAAGAAGTGATAAATACTTGATCCCTGGCAGTGTTCAAGGCCAAGCTGGATGGAGTCTTGGGTGACATGGTCTAGGGTGAGGCATCCCTGCTCACGGCAGGGGGGGTTAGAACTAGATTATCTTAATGTCCTTTCCAACCCTAACAATTCTATGATTCTGTGGACTTCTCCCATTTGGAAGTCTGAACATGACCACCCTCTTCTGGAGATGAAAAAATTTAAACGGCTTGAGGGCAGGATGCTCTGCATCAGATGGCTTCATGCTAGAGAATATGTGAAACTGCCACCAGAGGCAGTAGCCTCTGGTGAAGTGCAGCTGTTAGAAAGCTCTGCTGCATGGAAGAAACAAATACTGGGAGATCTTTTTAGAGGATACTTATGTGTGAAGAGATCAAAATGGTGTCCCCATGATAACAGAAACATGGGCATTTACCTGAGCCATTTGCTTTGGCATACACTTCAGCTGCTCTTTTCAAGATCTGGTAAGTAACTTCGTACTGCTCAAAGAACTTACTGTTCTCAATTACAGACTGAAAAGAGAAAAAATTAAAACAGACAAAATAGATATTGACGATAATTTCCACGAAATTACATCAGGACAGTGATGACAACATGTAACTTCATTATTCCTCCATTCATTCTTGTCATTATTATAAAATAATATACAGATTTCACCTTTTCAAACTAATGGTACAGGAGAGTAAGACTTCAAAAATACAGTTTATTTACTTTGCATATGGAAAGATTTTTTTAATACATTCTTAGTCTGTTACTTGCTGACTTGCTGAAACTCAGTAGCGTATGATACTTTGAATGTGCAGAATTCAATTAACTGAGAAGTTATTTAATGGAAACAATTTTACATTGAAATTTAAGTGGAATCATTTTAATAAAAGAGAAAATTTAATCCATATAGGTCACCACAAAAATCAAATCCAGTTGAACTTTAAGAATTTTTCCTGTATCGAGCATTTACAAAAAGGCAGCTCTCACTTTAAGAGATGAAAAACATTTGAATTACTCTTCAGTTTTTCTTCACCTCCTTTGTAACTGGTAAAAATACGACTGCGGAAACTGTACAAAGAGATGATGCTTTTCCAAAGTGTGACACAGAACCTTTCCTTTGTGAGTGATGGTTTAGCTGTGTAAGTTGCTATAGCGCAAGGAGTAATTTACCTGGGAATATGTTGGTCACAAATTAATGGCTCTTTATCATCTATGCCTCATTATCCCTTATAGAAAATGACACTGACATATTTTTTAGATGTCTTTCAGAAATGTTACCTCCTTTAAGTGCAACATATAATTATATCCCTATATTACATGAGTGCATTATATCTTACATTACCTCTGTTAAAAAAAGAAGAAAAATCTGCCTTTTTGCAGGGCTTGTATATTATCTTACCTAATGTGCTTATCTAGAGTTTTGGAATGGTTTTGGAGTTTATACTATCTCCCATGCCTCCTCAGATACAGGTCTACAAATGTAAGGCAAGTATATCTCATATGTCTACATAAGCTTTGGGATGTCAGAATAGACAAAATTCTATGTGTACTAGTGTGATTTTGGTAAAACCAGGTTTTGAATGAGGTCAAAGTTCATTTTACGTTGAAGAGAACAGTCATATTTTGTGTATTCATCAACTCACATCATATGACATGAAAAAAAGTAAAAAAAAAAATTGTCATCCGTCATATATCTAAAAATCTTCTCTTTTAAAACCTTTTACAGTTGCTATGTCAAATCACCACAGCTATCTAGTACATAATTTAGAAATGTGTTTATAACCAAGGAAACCAGAAATCTTGGACAATCAGATTTTTTCTCTGCCTTACTGTTAAAAAAAAATAATAAAACCTGGCATGCATAAAGAACTACATATTTCATCACGAATTATGTGAAAAAACCTTGACTTTCATTTTTGCCAAGCCCATACACACAGACATTTTATGCTGAACTAAAACCTGCAAGACTTCATACGAGAAAATAAGACTATCAAACAACTTATATAATATTGATCTCAAGAGCAGTAAGAAATATTTTCAAAAATTAAATATAGACACCTTACTGATTAATATTGTTTCCCATCTGACAAAATCCTTTATATAAAATATGTAGCGTTTCTCACATCTATATAGCATACACTGCTAAAAAAGTGCCAACACAGCAATGCTAAAACACAGCTGTGTGGGTTTAAATCCATGGATATCTGTTCCCACTATCTCCATGACATCTGAGACTTTGGTACAGTATATTCTTCAGGTTGATGGTGCACAATTTGTGCTGACTTTCCATTATACGTTATATGACAGGTGAAGAAATGGGATAAAGTAACAACCACCACTTTTCTTTTTAAGCTACAGTATGTAAATATTTTCCAGACATATGCTCTATTCAGATCCTAATTACGCATGTTCCTAGAACACTGACATTGCTCAGTCTGCTTTGGCAGACAAACACGTGTATATTTTTATCTCCTACTAATACAGTCACTGACTATAAGGTACTGACTACAGCTTTCCTACGTCAGACTCCTAATTTACTGAAGAGTAAAACTTGGCTCTCAGTCCTAGAAAACTGTTACCAGATAAACCAAAGCAAATAAAGCCTCTTTTCATCACTGGACACCTGGAAGGGCAAGAAGCCAAGGCCATCAGGAATAAAGCTGAGATGTGTTTAGACTCTTGTCCCTGTTCCTTCATTTTGACTTGATGCAGTTTCAGAAATGATGCAAAGGAAGCGTTTTCTTTCCCAGAATGACCATCTCAGCATTAGTGGTCTGAAGTACAAGAGTATTTCAGGCAATCATAAAATAACATGCAAATTTGCCACTTACTGTCCATTTTAAAGCAAAATATTAAAAAGTGATATAAAATAATAATCCAGAAGCCAAACTATCCAGAAGCCAAACTATCCATTTCCTCAGTATTTCCCTTGTCACTTTTAAGTATCTTAGACTGCAACATTATTACAGAGCATAAAAACGGATTATAAATCTTAGCAATTGCACATCATTCTAGCAAGCTGATATTCTAAATATCCATCTGAATTTTTCAAAGCTTGTCTAAACCAAAGCTTAAAAGCTGAATTTTATATGTCCCTAACTGCTAAAGTTTAAACATAGAAAGGGAAAAAGTGGGAACAGGTCTTTAATTCTCATTTCTATTGAGTTTGCAGTTTTCTTCAAAAACAATAAAAACTATCAGACTCTCAGGGCGTCAATAACTTTTTCTACACAGTGTCCTGGCTCTGAATAATTCTATAACTGTATGAATTCTTTCAAAAAAGAATTTTCCTGTGCAATTTTGCTCATATGGATTAGATAGAAGGGTGAAAAAGTATTTAGCCCAGCTCTGCTTTTGAAAGAATCCCTCATGCCCTAATGCAGAAGTGCAGCAGTGGTACTGTTCTACCAGCCACTTGGCACTGAAAGTTTGGATTTAACAAGATACAGCAGTGTAAGACTGAAAGGGAACATACGCTTTCAAAGAATAAAATAAATCCCTTATCAGTATAATACATTCAACAAGTACACACAGGCAGCATAAAACTTTTTTCTTTTTTTTTCTCTCCATTTGGAAGACTTAAAAAAAAAGTACTGTGAGGGACTGCATTCCAAAAACTTCCTCTAACTCTACACTTCATCTGTGAACAGTCATTGTAAGTGCATCTATGCAGTTCTAAAAGATGAAATTAAGTTTTTTATAATTGTTATCTAAGATAATTAAAAATCTAGGAGTTGGATACACTTGATAAGTTGATGGTTGGACAGTTAACAGCTGGGACATTATTTCTGCTTTTGAAGGGGTGGTGCAAAGACAATAATATTAATTTTTAGCCTTTTAACTAAAGTTCTCCATGGGAAAGACAGAGTCACCTCTGAAAAGATACTCCATAAAAATGCAGTCATAAAGTTAATAACTGTCAAGTCTTATTTTGTTTCTGTTTTTTTGTTCATTCCTAGCAATCTTACATATAGTTCAAAAAGAATTCTAAAAAGAAGAATACAACCCCAACTTACAATATAATTTTGAAGAAGTAATTCCACTGACTCTCGCCTTCCATATTTGATAATCCACGATTTTAATTTTGATTCTGCAAGAACTAGGAGTGACAGTAGACGGTACTTCAGTTCCAGAAACTCCATCTTCAACAGATGGAGCTCAGATGAAGAGACAACAAAATTAAACCTATAAAATGAATCACACTGTAGTAAAATACCACAATATTCAGTTTTGCAGGACAGACTGCAAGCTTTAGTTAGCTCAGATATTTTTCTAATATTTCACCTAATTCAGAGTCTACAAACATTTAATTACCCATGATGATAATTCTGATGACTGCTTTTGAATAGAAAAATAATTAAATTTCTGTTTATACATAAAAATCATCAGTTTACATCTGTTACTAAGTTTTGCAAAGTCATTTTTCTTTTCTTTCTTCACATGCATCCTGGCTGTTATTACATAACATTTCTTCCAGGGACAAGTAATAAAAAGTATTCCCTTCCAAAACCCGTTGTTTATTTTGATTCTCATCAATCTGTACAGCATCAGGCTACTCGGTATATTTTTATGCCTATCTTAGGAGGTTTTTTCTTCCAGTTTTTTTATACTTGCCACTTAGAAACATAATAAGACAGTGATTTCCACATGAACAGATTAAAAAGCAAATCGGTTCCCTTTCACAGAGAGTTTTGATTTCAGATTGAAAGCCTTACCTCTCTGCCATATCCTCTAATTGGTCAGGTGGAACAGGCACTCCATTAACAGACCTGGCTCCGTGGATCTCATGGAATGCCTTTTTGTGACCATCTATGTTTTTCAGCAGATCCTAATTTGATTTTAAGAAAGACAGTGATCAAAGGGGGGAGGGGGAAGGGAAGTAGGGAGAGAAAGGGAGAGAGGGTGGGAGAGAGGGAGAAAGGGAGAAAAGGAAGCAGAGAAGGCTCACAGTAGGCTATCTAACTAATAAGCACAATTTTAAGCCTGCACTGATGACTCAATGTAGTTAACTGTTTGATCATGCTTTCACATTTGCATGCGAGGTTATGTGTACCACAACAGCATTTACATCAACTTGAACATTCACATAGGGAACCCCCTTATAAGATGCTCTGCTACAGCTGTGCCTAACAGTTATGGAAGATTTTAAAACAGAGCATACACTGCAAAGCTTTAACAAAACAGCAACTCTTAACTGTATTAAACATGTCTGCAAATACAGTCTGCACATACCCACAGTAAATACTCAGCCTGCAAAACATCACAACAGCATAATCTTGCTAAATTTACTATTTACATCTTTAGAACAGATAACCTTTATTGAGTATAAATTCAAATTTTCAGGACCTAATCTATTTTGCTATATATAAGCAGAAAATCCACAGCTCCTTATATAAGTACATATTAAATATTTAGTGAACTTTTCACTCTCTCACCATTAAAAGACTTCAGGTTCGCTCTCTCTGTATTACCAGGAATGGATGCAGAATGTGGTACCTGACCTGTATTCCTGTGATAAGAATTGTACCAGCAAAAGCCTTACAGCAGAGCACATTTCAACTGTAGCTAAGCAACATCGCTTCAAACGGCTTCCTGGAAACTACATATTAAAATGAATGACTGTCTTTGAAGAGATACTGTAACAATAACGTGTCAAGTCCCCAGTGGCTGAGAGGACACAGAACAGTGTTGTTTTACTGCATAGACAGCTCTTGGCACAAAGTGCTCAGAAGTCTATTAGCAGAGGAAAATATATGAAGGTCCCTTTCTTCACCTAGGGAAAAAAAAATGCAGGCTTGGGTATTTTGATCACAGATGTCTGCTTATTCCTAGGTGCTGAGGAAGGGTGTCTCTCCAGCCCACGCCCAGTGTTTGCACAACAGAAAGTAAAGGTAATTCACTGGTTCAGCTCACCAAATGGTCACACTATCCCCACCAATCCACCTATATTTTCACTGTTTTCCACTTCAACCAACACCTTGTGGTGAAGAAAAATACACTAAGCTTTCTCAGATGCTAGTAATGCACTGATTTTACCATGGTGAAAGCTCCAGTAAGGGTAGGTAACCTGTGACTAACATGCTGCCACACGAAGGAAAGACTTGGAACAAGTATCTTGGCTAGCCGCATTTAAGACCTTGCCAGACAAAAAGGGATGCCCCTAACACACACTGTGAATCAAAACAGAACCCAATAGTTTCATTCAACATCAACTGGAAGGCCATGAAAACTTTTATATAGTATATTCATGAAGTGAAATCCTGCTGGGCAAAATGACCCTCAAAAAGCACAGACATTGTTCTTAATTTTTTGATCTTGGTGGCAATATTAACTCAAACTCAACTGCTTGCCTGATTCCATGAGGTTTGTTCAATTAAGTTGCTACATTTTGTTTTAGCTCAAAATGGCCATAAGCTATAAAGTTCGCAAAAATAAACCATTGCTTTGTTTAAATCATAGATGAGACAAAGATATAGAGAAAGTGATGATGTTATCTGAACAAAACCATAACAAACAACCCAAAACAACTTCCTAGAAAAAAAGACTGAAAAAAATACACTAATGCACTTTTCATACTATCCAATAATAGCACATTAGGATTCATCTATGTAAATCTCAGTGATGAAACTATAAACAAGTTTTAAAATGGCAGCAATAGGAAAAAAAAAAAAGCAATATAAAACAGTACAGTCTTACTACTGCAAGTGCACCCTTTCTCTACACCATCTTTTTCACATTTACTGGTTCAGTTTCTTTTATAATCTCACCAACAATTTTGGTCTATATTTTTCTCATATGTATTATGCAAATACACAGACAAACCTCAGTTTTTATTTTAAATGAGAACTTAGTCTCTGCAAAGAATAACGGTAGAGTTACTTAAATTCATACAGAAAAGTTTCCTGATTGCCACAGCAGAGGGGACTTCTCATGCTAACTCTCATCACAACACCATGAAAAATCACTTCATTCTAAGTTTTCCCCCAGTGCATATCACTTGCGCTTGACTATCAGCACACTAAGTATGTTTGCCTCCTCTTTCCTGTTTCACCTAATCAGTTCCTAGTAGTTGAACAATGTACCCAACTTAGGAGCTCCCTATGGAATTTTACCCAACAGAAATCCTAGAATAGGGGAAAAGCTGAAATATTAATACCTGCTATCTTTCAGCTGGAAGAAGCAGGAACATTCAGAAGCAAGTCTAAATATTGCTTGTAAGATACACAGATAGTTCAAGTCATCAGTAAAGACACAGATTCTGTAAGCATCAAGATGACGCCACCCACAGAAACCAGAAATAATTTTCTTTGTATAGTATGGAACGTTTGCAATTGGAAATTGTAAATTCAGTATAACGCACAGAATGAATGCATGTAGATCTACCTTATGCTGCTCAAGCTTCCGGTGTATTGTATTTGCTGTTTCCTCATGAGCTTGCTGAATAGTTACTTCTTCCCTCAGAGCAGCCTCTGCTCTATACAGCCAAGCACCTATTGTTCCCAAAGGCGCAGGAAGAGATTTATCAAGGTGTATATGCCAATCAAGTAGCTAGGAAATAAAAGTAAGAGGATTGAACATCCCTCCTTGCCTAATTATACAAACAAATATCTTGAGAAAATTTAAACTTTATACTGTAAGACCAAACACCCATAGAGACACAACCTTAGGTATATTGCTTCAAACTAATTCTGAAATTACAGCAATCTCACAGGCAACAAAATTTCTTTAAGAATTCATTGATTTGGGTATTTTCCTTTCAGAATGATAATTGAGTTACAGAACCAGACACATACAAACTGCAACAACTGACATGCTAAAGATCTGTAATTTCATCAGTTCATAGGCACAGCAAGGAATGTTGAGACCTTCTTCCACCAAATGTCATTTATTTCATGCTTTTGCATAAAATCTTTTTTTCTCTGTTTTAAACATATTTTCTATGTGTAAAGGACCGTGGAGTTGAGAATATAGCAGCAAAATATCACCTCTTTTTGGCAATCCCAGTTACGGGAGTGAAAATTAACAAAAATTGCGTCAGAATATTTGTGAGCAGATCCTCTGTTAAATATATGACATTAAAAAAAAATCCATGAATATACACTGAGTAATCATGATTTAATAGGTTCTTATTTGGTACAAACAATATAACTAGCTTGGGGTTTTTCATTCAATTATTACAAAATTAGTATAAAATAAACTCAATATTAATTTATCATTATTACAACCAGATAAAAAATAACATTAAAGCCTCATTTATTGATAATTTATTCAGTAATATACAGAATATTTTTTAGTCATATTAAGAAAATGTTAGATTAGAATCAAAGTATAGTCTTTACCTTAAAGCTCACAGCCTTATCTTTGAGCAATGTTAAAGCTGATAGTGAAGTAAATATTCTCAAAACAAATGCAAAATAATTCAACAGTGCTAGAAAATTGGTCCATTTTTAGGTTCCTAATGCCAATAAAACCAATAGCAAACAGATGTCTAAATGATTTTAAATTCTCATCCTTCATTTAATAAAAAATATATAGCATAATAATTTTCAACTTACCCTGGAAGAAACTCTTTCCCATGCTTGCTTCACCATAGCTTGATCAAGTGATAATTTACCATCTTTCCTTAAGGACTGGGTTACACGTTCAATCTGTTTCCTTTTTGCCTCATATTGTACTCTGAAGTGCTTAAATGACTGCACAAAGAGAAAATAAAATCAATGTTGCAAAGAGTGAAACAATTAAATTCTTCAATATTTATGTAGTACTACAACCTATGACATTTTGTGCTGATAGAAGTCATAATCATTCCCAAAGAGTAGTAGCAGTAACCTTTTATAATTACACTGAAATGCATTTTATTTAAGGTATATAGAGACTTCAGAATCCTCCAAAGGAATATAGGTAGGACTTTTGTATTTCCCTTCTGTTATCAGATGCCTGAATACTATATGAAAGGAAATAATAACTGATCAGATAAACTAGCAAACAGATTAAATGCTACTTGAGACATGCACTGGCTACTTCTACAGAGCAGCCCTGATTCAGGAGAAAATATAGGCCCAGATTTATATTACTGATCTAGGCATTAACCTTTGAGAGAGGAGTTAAACATTAAGCTCTAAACCCTGTCCTCTCCCTCTGTCACCTCATCCAGCCTTCAGTCACAATTCCCATCTCAGCTATATCATGCAGGATCTGGAACGACTGTACAGACACATGCTCACTTCTAAGTAGGACAGTCCTTCTTCACACTGCTAGAAAAAGCTCCGTGTTAGGAAAACCATCTGTGCACTGTTCTACGTAGGAAAGCTGGGGCTGACATTATAATTCCTCCACCAATAAAAGGCAAGACAATTTGTGTCCTTATTTCTTTAAACTACAGTATACTGACTTGCATATATACAGTTTATACAAAATACTGCAATACATGTTACACATAATGATGACAGTGAAGACTTATACCATGCAAAATTTTCACTACTGCTTACCTGGTATTTCTCCTGTAAGCTTGTTTCTGCCATTTGTGCTCGGGCTAAGTCTCTTTCAAATTGTTCTGCCCACACTTTTAGGTCTCGCAGCATCAGTCTGTCTTCCTTCTATGATTTAGTATAACCACACACAAGAAAAATATTGCGGCCTATTAGTAAAGGTGTCAGATACAGTCCATCTTTCTAGCAAGTTTAGGTCATTAGTTGAAAAGAAAGACAATGGAGCATCTGGGTCCAATTCTCTTCATATAGCTGACAGAAAAGCACTTTCTGAGTATAAGAGAACTCAGAATTTAAATGCGAGTCTAAGAGTGGTGAAATAATGACAATTTGGTACATTGCAGTGTTAGAGATATTACTTCTAACCTGACATTAAATTAACACACAAAGTCCTTTACATATACCTTAAAAGGTAGTTTTAATCTTCCACATATTTGAAGAGACAATTTTCAGTAATAGTTACTTGAGCTGAGACAGGAGAGGATTTTATCATCTACCACCATTTTATTTCTGATTTACTTCAGGGCAATCCTTGACATCAAGCTTCAAGCTCAGAAGTTGGCAAAATATTTTGATAGAAAATGTTTTAGCAAAGAAAATTAAAAGAAAGAAAACCCAGTTGTATTCAGTTTCTTTTCCTTACATGTAATTTTATGGCTTTGAAGAACAGCCTATTTGTTTTACGGTTTTGCTTTAATGCTTCAGTCTGCCATCGTATTGATGCTTTCCAATGCTGCAAAATTCACGGCAGTATTAAGTGACATGGTAGTAAACAGAAAAATAGTGACAGGAAATCTCAGGTATGTGAGGATGTTCTATGAGAAAGTTTCTTTGTGCACTGTGTAAGCAGGCTAATCAAGTAGGACACAAGTGTCTGCCTGAGATTTCCAACTAAGGGACCATATGTGCTGGCTATTAACAGAAGCTACTCTTTGAAACAAAAGAAGCCATATTACTGCTAAAATTTGGCTGAAAAAGATTCACTAGAGTGAAAAAATGCAACAGCACATCACATGAGTTAATGACCTAAAATGAGTAATTAAGTTTCAAGCATCACATGAAAGAAGAAAAAATGGGCCATGTGATAAAAAAGAATAGCCACTGACTGTATGTAAGAGAAAAAGTACTTTTTTGTAACTTTCTCTGGAGAAAAGAGTCAATTATGGTTACTTTCTTTGAAAGATGCCTCAAATATTTAATGTATAACTTCCCTTAATAATTTTAAAAGCATTCAACTATTGCTTTATTTCAGCTGAGGAAAGGGCAGGATACTCAGATAGGAAAGAAACCATTCTTTGATGTACTTCTGCTAATTCTCTTGCTGATCCTCTACTCAGTACAGTGCTTGCTGTTTGGACAGATTTTGCACAACAGATTGTGCTAGGTAAGTTCTATCCGGGTAGTTTCAGCAAGGTTAACATGGTATTAGAGCACCTGTGCTGGAACAAAGTTTGCTACAGCTCATGCTCCTGCCTTCTGACACTCACCAAAAGTTGGTACCTGAGCAACATGATAGAACACATACAACGCTTCCCTGCTCCAGCTAATTGTAATGCTAGGGTTTCCTTGACTGCACATACAGTCTCAAGAAGCCAAAACTCCTACTGCTTTCAACTTCTCAAATCATTAAAATATAGAGAAGAAAATTAAAGTTCCTACTCTTCTGGTCTGATAGTTGGCTCTATGTGTGGGAAAATAACATCAGTATTCTTTGAGACAAACAGTAAAGCCAGGAATACTCCTTCATGAGGAGATAAATACATGAGGGAATTCTTAACTCACCCAGCCATCAGGAACTTTGGTATTAAATACCCTCCATTCATTAGAAGTTATAACTTTAGTGATATCTCTATTAGTATTCAACAGTCAGCTCCAAAAAAGGCAATACCAGACTATGCATCTTATAGCATCACAGAACCTATTATAGTTTGAATCATAGAATCGTTTTGGTTAGAAGAGACCTCCAAAGGTCATCAACCCCCCTGCAATCTTAATGGATTGAAAGTCCTATAACAATCCTACTAACTGAAACTTTAAGTATGCCAGTCTGGAGTCAGGAAGAGAATAAGCGTGTCACAATGTTCTGTACCTTACTTTTAGTTCACACTATAAATTTAGTTTTGTAAAACACTGGCTTTTACTCCTGTATAGCTCACGTTCATGTTGCTGCGAAGCACCTCCTCAAGGTCAGTCTGCCAGACCATCTGTGTGGCTGCAACTGTTCATACAGTTGCATACATAAATAGGTATTTTGTAAGATTCCTGTCAACACAACTTTAAAATTTAATAATGGCTAAAATTGACCAATTTTTTTTGAAATAGAGTATCGTTGCAATCAAGAACACCTCTGGTACCTGGAGGTAAAGAACACAGGAACAGCTGCAGCTTTCTTAAATCACATACCGTTTTTCCAACATTAAGTGAAAAGATCAAGTTAACAGGTGGCATTGAGTCTTCTGTGATTTGCCCCACACTATTTAGTTAGCTTTTTGGTTACTTTGTTTAATTGCAGAAAATGTAGGTGTTTCAGTAACCACCTGTTTGAATGCTGTTAAAGACAATGTATGATAAACGTTTTATTTATTTATTCATATATTTTCACAGGTTTCCAGTTCAGTGCATCACTTATCACCTGCAAACACGGTTCTATGGTCCCTGGTTGACACAAAGGCATTTTAGAGTCTCAGTTTGGGTAACTGACATAAAATATTCACTTCCTTAGACAGCAAGGCACCTGTCACCAATGACCCCCAGGTTTAATGAGCTATCATTCTTAAAATATGACTTTTATGAGTGCGTAGTGCTTCTTCCTCTTAGTAAAAAAAAAAAATAAAAAATTGAAAGGATATTATTACAGATATGCAAACAATTTTCCAAAGCCTGAGCATCTGAAGTAGCATAAAGATCAGAACATAAACCATCTGAAAAAAGTTATCTAGGATAATTATAACCATTTGTGTTTTTCCCATCTTGAGGATCATTGCTCTCCAACCACATTTATTTCAGTTTATCTAAGCCACTATGACTTTTTCTGCATAACACTTCCAAACAGCATTTTAAAGAATTTATCCTGATACTATTCTACGAATATTCACTGATTTGCAGAGGTGAACAGAACTCAAATGCCAAAGAACATCAAAGAAGGTAATTAGAGAAAAGCGTTTATGAGTTCCAATATGATAAGGGGGTACAATTTAAATTTACAAAGGAAGTTTTTGGCCCAGAATCAAAGTCAAAACATTATTTTTTTAACTTATATACTGGAGTTAATTTGAAAATTACATAATAGAGAATACTTCAGTGTTTGAAGGGCTAAAAATAGGCATCTGTGTTTCATGCGAAATTTAATTATGGACTGGAAAATTAGTTCTTTGTTAGGTTCTTTAATATGTAATTATAAACCAGGAGAACTGTTCAAATTCCCAGGCACAGGCAGGATAGAATTTTCAAATATGAACTTTTATATCTAAAAAACTAATTCACCTGTTTTTAGGGATGTTGAACGATTGTATTTCCTATGTGTTACAAAATCAAGTCCCTTTAAAAATGTTTATAAATCAATTCAATTAATTATTCTATTCCTTTGGAAAACTTGGGCTTATATTTATGTGATACTGGATGTGCATGTGTAACTGAAAAACGTTCACTGACAAGAGTATCATGGATGCATGGTGAATGCTGAGCCAAGCATCATCTTCAGGGATGAGCCAACAATACCTGTCTGTAAAAGCAGACAGTAAATCACTGAAAGAGCTCAGAAAGTTTTTTTTGTATCTTCTGTTCAGGAAATTCCTCTTATATTGGGGAACTCTACTGGAATAAGGATGTTGGAGGTGACAGGATTATCTTCTGAATTACTTGCTCATCAGAGCACAAGAAGGGAAATAATTTGAAGGAGTATACTTCCTTATTCTTAAATTTATACCAAAATGCAGAAATTGACAGAACTTTCACGACCTCAAATCTTCACTAGCTTCAGCAGCAATGCACTGGGCCTGTATAAGACCCAGAATGTACAGCAAGGTCCCATTTAAGCTGCCCAAACTTACTTGAATGGGTTGGGAAGATGGGAATAATTCTGCTATCAGTATTAATCTACACTTCAACACATAACACTATTTAGATATACAAAGTATGAGGAACCCTTGATCATACTTACTTGAAAATAACCTATCGTTTATATATTAAACCCCCCCCCAAACAACAAAACAAAATAAAAACCAAATCCAAAACAACAACAAAACCCCCACACAAAAATGAGTGTGGAACCAAGGTAATTAATTGGATCAGGTCAAACTATAATCCTACTGACTGACTGGTGACACATGTTATTTGTTTCATAATATATTCACTTCTGCAGTCTTCCAGTTTCACCTCTGAATGTTCATTGCAAATGAACATTCAGTTAATACTAGAAAATTATAACTATCTAAATGTCTAAATTGATTAAAAAAGCGTTTTTTTTTTTTTTTTAAATAGCATTTATATGAAAAAGGAGCAGCACATATCATGCAATTACACATGAATGCTCTCTCCTTTCAAACTACAGTCCACATACGTCACTTAAACAGTCATCTATACAATCTAGTATCTACTCTATAAACCTAGATGTACAAAAATAGCCATCTAGAAGGAGATTAAATGACTAGAAACAGCAATCTATAATCTATTTTTCATGTTTATAACTTTACTTCAGAAAACTCAAAGCGTGGTTTAAAAATTATTAAAGGAAAGTTTACTTGCTTTTCTATGATATTTTTCTGAAATTATTTGTAAAATTGAGGCTGTTAGTATAGGCTCATATAAGAAAGCAGACTTAGACTTATTATGTTAATCTACTTCCTTTTCTGGAAGATTAACATAAGGCTAGCAAACAAATGTACATAAACCCACATAAAATCTGAAGTCAAATAAGTGCAGGGTAAAACCAGGTAACAACCATGAAAGTGCAGTTCAAGCAATTATCATGGAGTATATCACCCTTACCTTAAATTTCATAAAAGAAATCACAAAAGTTGGGATTGCTTGAAGTTCCTAGCAATATGAATCAAATGGGAAAGCAAGAAGGAGAGGGGAAAAAAAAAAAAAAGGGCAAACAAAATAAAGCAAAGCAGGCAGAAAGTCCACAGAGAAAAATACGAAAGCCACACTTGTAAGAATACAAGATGTACCTAGAATATCACCAAGTTCCTGTGCCTGTATCATACCTACTAAAGTAGTTTTCATATTAGATCTGAAGCCTTGAAAATGCTTTCAGGGTTGGGACATCCACAACCTCTCTGGGAAACCTGTTCCAATGTCTTACCACCCTCATAGTGAAGAAATTTTTCCTAATATGTAGGTGGTTTTTCCTAATTCATTAGTTTACCTTTCACAGCTCATGTGCTAGAGTGTCTGTGGGTATAGTCAGAGAGAAACAGAGCATGGAGTGGCTGAGTCCTGCACTTTCCTACATTGTCTCTGCATAAACCCAGGAAAAGGCAGTAAGGATGTTCCTCAAAATCCAACCCCAGCAGAAGCAGCAGACCTAGCCAAGGCTGTTGGCAGCAGAAACTGCATTGTGTGCCATGGTATAGAGACAATGGAGCTGCCTTAGCCTGCCACAGACCACAGCATGAGGCTTCAGTGTTCACACCCTCTGTTTCAGCAGCCTCACTGTTCAGGGGGATGCTATGGCATCAGCACATGTATGTCCTCAAGACTGATGGTGCAGTGAAGAAAACTTAAAACTGCAGTGATCAGGCACTAGAATTGGACAGCAAAGCTGTAAGCAGCCTTAGCCACACAACACTGTAAGGAAGGAGATTCACGCCTTTCAAAGCTCTTCTATAGCTCTGTAGGGAATGCAAAGAAACACAGATAAAAAATGCTTCCTCTTTCTTTCTTGCTGGGGCTGAGCAGATTGTCTCAGCAGTGTTTCCTGTGTTTGCCACGAAGCAAGCGAACGATCAGGGTTAGGAAGTGAGTCATGATCACTTGGCATCACTGAGTATAGCCATTCTAATACAAAACCAATGCGCTAGAGCATACAGGAAACAAAACCCAAGAAAAAGACATGACTGAAAACAATTCCTTAGAGCAAACAGTTAAATATCACTGTGCAATAGAAAGAAACCTGTGTCAAAATTTTAACTGCCTCTCAAGCCTAAAAGCCCAGAGGCTAAACCTAAGCAATCTGTTGGCCTATTCTTGTTCTTATCAAGAAACCAAGTATGATAGAAACAAAAGTGATGCACTGCTTCAGGTAACAAATTATTGCAATCTTGTTGGTGTTATGCTTGAAAGCATTTTTGGAATAGATTCCATAGGTTTGCCACTATTTACAATAGCTGTTTCTGTTCTTTTTGGCTCCTACTGCTGAAAATAGAAAAATCTCTACGGGATCACCATTCTGTTTTCTCCATCTACTAGTAAACATCTGCAACACTGGTCCTTTATTCTCACCTAATGTTTCCCATTTTTTTTTACTGTGCTTGCATTTCACTTGAACTGCTCATCAAAAGGAAACATAATAAACTTTTTAAAAAGCTATAAAATGGATTTACAAAGCCCCCATAATTATAAACTTAATTGTATGCATGATAAACTTACATCATTCTCCTGCACATCAGGCACTGTATGATGAGGATCAGGACAGTACTTCAAAAACTGGGCTACATAGGTCATGACGGACTTTTCATCTGGCTTGTCAACATCCACATCTAAACAAGTATAAAACACAGTAAATTAATCTTTAGCTGAATGGCACAAATGTCTAAACAGTATGAATTATCACATCTGGTTTAACCCATGCAAGTAGTTAAAACTTTTTTCAACTATGCACTAGGTACCTTCTGGATCAAGGAGCCTTGGAATTCCTAGTTCTGCTTCTGCAATTGTGAAAGCTTCTTCCAGGTTTTCTCTGTTTGACCTTCCCTTCACTTTCTCCATATCCACTAAATCTGGACGGATAGAATGGATAATGGAATAAAATGCAACACCACTCCTCCAGCTTTGTCCAAAATCTTTGATTTCAATTCCAACTTGCCTGAAAATATGAGAGAAAAAAAAAATTACTTGCAACAACATCAGGACTAAATGAAATAAGGGAGGAGACAGGATGGTCCACCCACTGGCTATCAATTATTAAACCTAAACCACTTGTGGCCTCTGTAATGTTAATCAGGTTGACTGTAGCTCCATTGCATAAATCCATTTCTGCCTATGAAGAGCCAAGATTTTTTTGCCATATATACTGTATTTGTCTCTAGTAGACTTAATAGTGGCAATAAGCCAACGGTATTCTAAACAAAGTGCATCAAGGTTCTCAAGGTTAATGTACAACACAGAGTCTGCGTACGTAAATAGCTCCATTCATTAGTTTCTCCCCTCACTACTTCATACTAAGTATTTCGTATCTCCCTCCGTTATGACTACTGCAGTTCAGCAAGGTACACCAGTATCATAAAAAAAAAAACAAACAAACCCAAAACTTCATTAATCTGATGTCTTTCAAAATGAAAGCATGAACAGTGACATCAGTGCTGTTCAGGTGAAAATGTAGCAGAAATTTATTTATATTCTTACCAAACTTACATGTCAACTAAAATATAAACACAAATTATCAAAAAATACCAATATACAATGAGAAAGTAATCAGAACTGAATCACACTCTGACTGCATCTTCTAAAAGTAATTCTGAAAGATACAGTGGTCTAGTGACTGAAAGATCATGTTTTTTTACTTTGTCTGAGCATCCAAACTTCCTTTGAGGACACATTTAGACACTAAGGTAGCCTTGTCATTGGGAGGCTTACAGCAAGAGTAGCTCTGAATGAAGGCCTCATTCAAAGCTCACTGTAATCAGTGAAAGCCTTTTACTAACTTTAGTGAGTTCGCAAATTACAATGTGACGCAGGGCTAGGCAAAGTGTACCATCCTTCCTCTAGGCTTCTTTCAACTCATTTCACCTACTCTTTCCGATAACGCTGATGAATGTCTTTCTGGTTTGTTTGCTTACATGTCTGGAAACTGCAACTGATCACTTTCAGTTGCCTGTCCCTTGCCGACAACAGTGCAGTAGGAAGAATGCCAAATGCCAGATTGGACTGTACTGCACTACAAATTACTGTATTCTACCTATTTATTGGAGAACTGGAGAAAGTCTGTATCTTCACAATTATATTTCTTTTCTTTGATGCACCATTCCATAACTAGCCATTTTCTCCCTATATTTTGCATGACTGATCTCTTCAAATAGCAGTGATTCCTTGATTTGAACAATTAAATCCATTTTATTCTTTTAAATATTTGATTTTTATTTTCTCATTGCGGACGCTATCAAACTACACTCATATCTTTGATCTAATTTATGTGCTTTTTTATGACATTTTGGAAGCATAACAGCATGGGATAATTATGCTAAATAAAGGAGAAGATTCTTAATAAGAGATAGAAAGCTACAACTCAAAAGTAACTTAGATTAAAAAGAATGAAAGCTCAGGGCAACTTCTGTAGTAATAAGTCCCTTATATCACAAACCTGCAGAAAGATATTCACAATTTTTTGTCCCCAGCCTCTCACCAGAATTTTGTGCTCCTACAAACTCTGTCAGTGAATAATGCTAAGCCAGTGTGGGACTTTCATTGTTACATCAAGTGTTTTGGCAGGACTAACACACTGTCATTCAGAAATCTAATTCCCCTTTCAGTTCGTCATTCTGCCAAAGATAATCCCACTCACTATTCAGAATCTATAAAATATGATTGTTTGTAAAATAACACAAATCATTATTTATTACTTATTTTATGGTCGCAATATTTAGCAGCCTCAGTTGCCAAAAAAAAAAAATATGATCACAGGGAGGTACTATATAAATACTGAGCAAAAGGAAAATCCCTGACTGAGGGAGTTTAGAATCTGAAGACTGTACTGGAGATACAAATTCAGTTTATGTGTACTTCACTTACTTTGCTGCTGTGTATTGTATCCATTTTAACAAAGCCTTCCTGGCACTTCCTTGGACCTTGGTTACCACCTTCCGTTTGCTTGGGGGACTTGCAGTTTCTGAACTGACAACGCTCTCCACAGAGGAAGCACTGCCTGACAATGCCTGCAGCTGTGGGAGGTTGCTTGTAAGCTCTTCAATCTGTGGGGAGAAAAATATTAATGGACTGTTTGTAGGTAACCTTAATTCTGACCAGTTTCTTAAATAATTTCCTAATGCAACTGACAAAATAAAGTTGGGCAGAAGCTATGATTAACATGCTGTGTTTTATTTAACTGTACATTAAAATAGCTTCAAAAAATGCTAATGTATGTGCCCATATGATAGTCTTAATTTCAGAATACAAGACATTTAGCAGCTATTGACTTTCTTAGCACCCTAAAGCTAGAACAATATGCAAGTTTGTCATGTTATCTCTTATGACAAATTACCATTGAAACAGGAGACAATGGCTTACATTCAGCTTGAATTCAAAATATAAAACACTTGACTAATTTCAGAGGAGGCTCGTTCGATTAAAGAATGGAAATGACCTCAATGTTTCATCTAGATAGCTCTTCATTTACCACTGTACTGTTTTGGCACAAATTCAGTTGTGGTCTTGCTTAGAGGTACCTTGTTAAGTAATAATGAGCATACTGCAGGCAAAGAGCATTAGTAGTGTTTGTGGAGGGTGTATGACAGTTATTTGCATCATGCCACTCATTAAATGAAAACCATTAACTTGATTCTTCTAAGAATATGAATTTGACTAACACTTTGGTTCTTTAACATAAAAAAGTTATATCTAAAGGATATTGCAACTTTGTCCGTGCTATGCTGTCTACATAAAAACAAAGTTTTGCCACACCACAGAATGTGTCTGCCATAATGAGAACCACACCTCTCACACATTTCTGCTTTAATTCCTGTTAAAATGATGTATCTGTTTGTGACAACTAAAGAAAAGCTCATAAAAAAAAATTTTGAGTTTCAGTAACTCTGAGAACCATAATTTTCCTCATTTTTATCTCATTGAGCTATAAATTAAAAATACAACATTAGTATCATTCTGGTTAACTTTTCTTCTGAGAAGGAGATCTGAACCACTGATGTGTCACATTGGTTGATGCTCAGAACAGCATCCCTGAGACATGACAGCTACATCATAAGAGAAGTAAAGCCAAAGAACTCCACAAAGAAAACCAACAACATAAGCTGGGTTTTCAATTGTTGAGCAGTGACTCATTGTGTTAACTCTTAGGGACAGGATTTAGAAAAGCATTTTTTCTCTTCTATCTAACTTCAACAGAATGAAATGATCTCTCCTCTACAAATTCAAACCCCTCTTAATCTACACCATTCACAGCTAAATTTGATCCTGCATCCCCCAGTGAAATCAGTGTGTTTACATGTATTGAAAATAGTCTGACATTGAGTGCACTGGAATGAGACATACAGCGCAATCACCACTGAGGTTACTAAAGGTACTTGTAACAGGAATCCACGATTCTACTATCTTACTTTGTTGCTCTGCTGTGCTCTTCAGAGAAAGTGGAAGAATATGTTCCACTGATGAAGGAACCCCATCCCTCGCCCAGAGCAATCTATTCCAAAGATAACTATGTAATTCTACCCAATGTGAAGCACCCCTACCATCAACTGTTTTTTGGTTTCTTTTTTTTACTCAGGATGAGATTCTCAGCCACCTGTAAAAGTGACTTAGCTATGGTGAAGGACTGGAACTATACCGTTTCATATGAAACAATAACCTGAACCATTATTTGAGCAACTTATACTGAAGTTTAAAAAAAAGGTAGTACCTGAAAATATAAAATTATGGTCCACATCAAGCCAAGCACAATAGAAGGCCTTCCATCAGCAATATCAGTTGAGTTTATGTTGACAAGTTTAATCTATATAGGAAAGAAAATGTGTTACTACTACACACAAAGAATGATAGTTATGCATTTCCAAGAGGTTTTATATTTTTAACGCATTTTCGTAATCAAATAATGTTTCTTAATTAAAAAAAATTAAAATCACTGAATGGTGCAACTTCACTTTTTAGACAAGTATAGCTATAGGTAATGAAAGATTTTTTAAGACCATTACATGCTATTTGTGGAAAAAAAAAATCATTTCAAGTAGAAAGAACAATAAAAATTACATAGAACCATTGTACAAACCGGAGATCCTCTGTATATGGACTAGCATGAAAAGCAAAAGGAAAAATATGATACAAAAATAAGTTTTAAATTATTACTTATTAAGTAAATGCATTAATTTAATTTTATAATAAAAAGAAAGCACATTCTTGTCACATCTTACAATACAATTAATAAGGGAAGCAGGGATTTCTTGCTATAGCTCTATTAGAATTGGAATAAAAAAGAGAAATGAGTTTGACAATAAACAAGAAAAGAAAAAAGGAGCTAGAAAGCGTAAAAAAAACATAAGAGAAAAAAGAATGCCTAAGTTCCTCAATAGAGAGCCTCCTATTGTAAAGATATTACCACCACTGATTAAGGCTCCCTTGCAAGACAAACTTGACCATAGTTCTTTTAAAACAAGAAAAGAGTAGGAAAAAAATGCTAATCTATAGTCTGAATAAAATATTACCCTAAAAGAAGCTCATAAGACAAATGGTAGTAAAGGAGTGGATAAAGAGTGTATCATAAAGAAACTAACAGGTAGATAATGTTCAAGGAACTGGAATAAAAACAGGTAGTATTGGAAAACTGGCAAATATGCTAATACTTCAGCAAAACTAAGAGTCTGCCATCAATCATGATACAAATATGAAGTACTGATAAAATGTTCATGCACTGCAAGCTTGTTCATCGACAAAGGTTGTGGAAAAACCTTGGAGAAGAGGTTAAAGAAAAGCAGGAGAATGACTAGGTGACATCATTTGTCTCACCAAAACAGAAAAAACTGCAGTTCTCTGAATCAGAAGCCGGAAACCCATTAAAAACCATCAAAAGTAAACAAAATATTGGTCTTCTGGGGTGTTTAGTTCTTTTCAGAATCAAAACTCCACAGCCTACTAGGGAAGAGGCAGAGGAGAAATCCCCACAGGTTTTATTTTCAGTCATCACCAAGAAACCTGACAAAACTCTGACAAAACTGACATTACTTGCTTCTCTACCACTCAGTAAGGAAAATTTTCTATTAACTATCTGAAGAAAAATATATGAAGAATCCCATTTTCTTAGCTGGACCAATTCCAACAGAAGCTTTTTTTTTTTTCTAGAAAGCAACATTTTTCTTATCTGTATTAAAGATCAAAAGATTTGCATGGACTCAGATAAAGCTTCTGATTAGTCTACTGTTCACAAAAGCATTGCCTATCTAGTCTAGTTATTGTGTTACCTCTGTCCTATACTCTATTAAAATGGACTTAATCCTGTAAAATAAACTTTCCAGAACCATAAAAGAAAACCAGTTTGGTTCAGAATTCTATCTGTTAATTGACAGCTGCATTTTTGCAGTATGACAGTCTGTTTGGACAGTGAAGATAAGAAGTTGATTAAATGTTTTACTTTACTTAAATGCTTAAATAAACTTTACTTATGGAAGTAGACATGGAGGAAGGAGACCCTGTTGGCACTCCCCAAAGCACTGTGCCTAGCCACCTGTCCCTGTTCATTCAACTCTGAGGATAGAGCAGGGACTACACGCAGCTGCTGAAAGAGGCATTTGCTGTCTGAACACCATTCCCACCTTCTCTGGGAGGAAAAGCATGACAGACTGGATAGATGCATCATTTGGGCTAGATTCAACCTAGAGACGACCTGCTAATGCACACACAGTCTACAGGACACACTGCATGTTTCCAACTCTTTCTAGAAGAAATTCTGGCATATTGATGGAAAGTACATTAACCCCCCACCTCCCCCCCCTAAAAACAAAACACCAAAAACCAAAGACAAACAAAAAGACAAGTCCAGGTAAAAAACAACAACAGCAACAACAACAACAACAACAAACTGCACTCCATTTCTAACAATCTATCTTGCTATATTATATCTGGGATCTGAGCAGGGTTATCGAAAATTCAAGTCACCCACTATGTTGTGACATGTAAAGTAGGGAAGCATGGGTTTTTTGCTCTTCACCCCAGCTTTGTCTTAGGATAAACAGGTCTCACCAGAAAGCAGCTCTCTTTGTATCTAAGCCTCCATGGTAAACGTGTATATGATATGGTTTGTATTAACTGTACTACACACAACAGTGAAATTGTGCGGGAAAGCTGAATTTTGCTTCAGGAATATATTTGTCTTTACTTTGGTCATATACCTTTTAACTAAAAAATGTTCTCTTATAGATTTCTTTCTACAGACATCTAAGATTGTTCTCCATGTAACAGAAACATAATTAGCTCAAGACACCATAGTTTTAAAGAGAGGAAAAGAATATCTAAACCAAGCAACTTGTGGTGTACAGCGTTGTGGAGATAAAATTCATCAAGTGTTATATTTGCACTGAGAAAAATTCAACTAAAATGGAAAAATTAGAACAACAAAATACCTGCAATCTAATTAAAAAACAAACAAACAAACAAAAAAACCCACAAAAAACAACACCAAACATACAAAAACCGATACAAGTAATTACAATATTTTTTTCATAGAGAGAAATACAGAGAGAAAAGCTAGGAAAAAAGGCAGAAGTAATTACTTTTCTTTGATATTCATACCTAGGTCACACTGAGCTTCTAGGTTCTCTGTCTTTTGTTAAATTTATAAAATATTCTGTTTCATTTCTAAAATGGCCACACAACACTGACTTTTCCAGTATCAATCCAGGAATTAGTCTGAAGTCCTACCAAGCTAATAAGGGGTTACGCTGTTCTAAATTTCATGTCTATACTTTCAGGGAGTAAAGTTTCATATGTACAACCTAGATCATAAACCTATTCTTTTCATTATAAATGAATGCCTCTACTGAACTGAAGAGCATTGTTCTTTGCTTAGAACAGCAACAGGAAAGTAGGCAACATGAGCAACTGAAGAGCACATTAAAAAAATAAAATAAAAAATAAAAGTAAAGGAGATAATCCAAGGTAAGGTTAAATAAAAAAAAAAAAAAAAAAAATTGCCCTATGCATTGCTACATAGTAGTGTGGGATCTTGTCACTTTTACTTTCTAGCAGCTTTTAGGCACTGTGTAGAAACTGAAAGCTGCAAACATAGGTCAAATCGTGTAGAATAAGAACATTCAGGTGGATACAAATCATACATTTAAAGAAAGAAAAAAAGGAAAGACCAGGACTATGTGCTACCAAACCTACCCGTCTTCCTTCTAGAAATTTAAGAGCTGTGCCAATGTTGGCAACCCAATGAATTCTCTTCAGCTGACGTCCCTGCTCGCAAGGCTTAAAGAGAAAGAACAGTGTAAACTGCAATTAGATTTATAACAGTTTGCCACAGAAAGATGAATTTCCAAATAATTCTAAGCATCCATGTACATAACTGATTTACATGTAAAAATGTTCCTTGGAACAGTAAAATTGTATCTTGGCATATACTAACAGGAAGGACTAACAGATATATAGGGAGGTAAATTAGATACTTCTATTATGAAAAAGTTATATATGTCTTAACAACCTCAGGATGCAAGCTGTCAGCTTCAACCCATAAACATCACTAAATCAGAGAACTGTTTTTCTTATGTGAAATGAATTACTACTATTTTTATACATAGGTACATATATATATGTATTTGAGAGAAGACGACATTATCTCAGTAAAATATTTTTGCTTGCAAAAAATAAGTCCAGGTGGTTGGTATCTTAAAAATCAGTCTGCAGTGAATATATTTTACCTAGGGGATTTTTATCCATTCTCTCTGATATTTTATTGGCAGTGAAAAACTCCAACTATCACAAACCCTCACTGAACACTGAATTTTGCCAAACTCCAGACATGTAGGCTAAAAAAAGACAGGAGTTCTTTGAGTTAAATGAAGAACATATCCCAGGCTTCCAATACTCTCCAGTGGAATTTAATCCCCCAATTAATCTTATATGGTAATATAAATATAAAACTACTATAATTTAAATTCATGTTCATAGAGTTACAGATGCATTTAACAATGGCCTGCTATAGATAATGAAATTCCTCTTGCAGCTACTATAGAATACTTTATTCTGGTGCAAATAAGTTTTAAATTAACCAGACATTACTATTGTCTTGTCTTTCATTAATTAATATAGGTAGGATACAAACAAATGAATTTCACTGTAACAGATGGCATCATTAAAATTCTTTTCCTGTTTTACTACTTCTGTTTTGCCACAAGAGGGAGACTTTCTGTCTTAGAGGAACAGAAAGACAAACGGGTATATTTCAACGGAGCAGAAACACACTTTGAAACATAGCTTTTTTCCCATGTTACAGTAAGATCATTACAGCAAAAAATTACTCACACCTCCATGGGAGCTCAGAATCAAGGTATATTTACGATTGTATTTGCTGTTGATGTATGCTGTACCTTGTGATATTGAAATCTGTATTGTTTCTCCTTTATATATGGATCCTAATTATTTAACCTTTGTCTAGTATTGAAAAACTTCTTGATGATTTCTTTCTTGAAATAGAACAACCTATTGATCATGCTGAAGCTGTCTTGACTCCATTTCTTAATAATAACTCAAGAAACATTCATGTGCTTTGGGGGGGATCATTTGGATTTAATAAAGGTGTTTCTGAGAACCACTATTGTCTTGAATCAAATGTCTACCGTTGCAAGGCAATTAGATGCTTCTAAAACAACTCCTCCTGCCAACCTGAGTGACTATTTGATCCCCAGGAAGACTGGAAATCCTTATTTGCAAAAATTCAGGAATCTATATCTAACATTGATGCAAATTTTTCTATTCCGGGAAGAATAGCAATTCTATCCTCTGAATTGTATAAAATTCAGGACAGCAATATCCAGAAAGCAGAAAGGCTTCTTTTGATGGTATGTTAATGCTTTAATGTGGGGTGAATCTGCGGTGGCAGGATATATTGCTAAATTACAGACTTGGCTGTTGACTCTGTCAGCTTATAGAGGAAAAGATGCCCCAACCTCTTACATCCTGAATTCCTACCTGATTTTGGGTGTCACCTCCAATCAAAGCAGAGGTGAAATATGAAAAAGAAGTAAAAGTGTGGCATTTGCAAATTGCCTTAGTGTGAGGGAACAGGTAACATCTGAACTCTAGAGCAAGCTGAATGACAAACTATTGCTCTTCTCCTCCAGATGCCAACACCCGATCTGCAGGCTGGTTTGGAAAACGTGAGAGCGCTTGGCCTAAAAGCCTTTCGGTTTTGTCCAGCATCACATGCACAAAACTAGCCTGGCTCATAAGAGACAGCTAATTTACCATGTACACACTGTGGCTTCTGTATACAACTTGGCTGTGAAAAAGCTATTTGGCATCATTCAAGGTTCTTTTACAGTAGCAGAGCAGCTGTCAAGGTAAATAGATACAGGACCCCACGAAATGTGAGTGGCTGACATTTACCCCCACCAAGAGAAAGCTATACATTTAACAAGAAAAGACTGTCATTATTTCCTCAAGATGTATAGAAATAGCTTGCAGTTTAGACCTTGTTTGTGTCACAGAATAATGCCCAGATGAACTGCAAAGACTAATACAAATAAGCAATTTTTCAGAACTACTAAGACAAATTAAACAGAAAATGCTAAGTATCAAGAATCTCAGTCTGTAACAGTCTTGTGTGTTTATTTTGTAACCAGATAGCTCATTCTGTGAATAAACTTACTTTGCTATGTAGTAGTAAGTGTTTTTTCATGGTATTCAAATACAGAAACAGATTAGAAAGTCATATTCTAGAGAAGTTATGCAACTATCTTTTATATAGAGAAGGAAGGAAGTTCTTACCAGCTTCTGCCCTGAAAGAACCTCCAAAAGGGCAATTAACATTACCCCATCTTTGATATCTTCAAACAGATCATTCACCAGCATAGGAGGATTACGCTGAAAGGGAGAAGACTTCAGATATTATAAAGGCTCACCAGCATTACATTCTGCTTCCCTTCCTATCCTTTGAAAAGAAGCACAAAGAGTAGCTGTTCCCCTTCTTTATGTTCTATAATGTTTAATATCAACATATCATTCAACTGTTGCTTTGCCACCGTATTGTTTAACTATTTTACATTTCTGGCACAAAACTGTAACACTAGATGCTTTCTGACACTAATGGTACAATGGGATAAAACCCTGCTCCCTAAACTAGCAAAGAAACACCCCAGCAACAGCCTATGAGTCAATAAAATACGCACAGCTTACAGGTGTACATTTCACATTTCAATCTACTAGACATATAGACATATTTTGTCTAGTGTCACAGAAATTTCACTCTCTCAGTCTGAGCAGTACATGATGCTGTGTGAAGAAGGAAGATCCCTAAAGCAGTGTAGCTGGTTGAGCAACACTGCTACTTTCTCACAGCTGACAGTTGCTACACAAAGTTGATGTATTTTCTCTCTCCTCCAGGCCTTGCAGGCTTCCAGTACTGTTAGCACTGTGTCAGCTTCTACTAAGACAAATTGCTTGGCATATGTCTTTACATTCACAAACACAGCAATGATAATACTGAAAAAATATGTTAACAGATGATGTTTTAGGGATTTTGAGTAACAGGGTCACATCATTAAATTATATCTTCTACAATATATCCCAGTTTGTGGCTCTTTGCTGGTCAGTACTTCAATGATCGCAAAGTATCTGTTAGAAACAAAAAGTTTAAACTTGTTTCACCTAAAAAAAATGAAATAAACACCCTTGACCTCCCTTGAGATTGTTAGGGTTCATATACCTGCTAATTAACAAAATACTAATAGTCATACCTGCTAATTCCCTAAAATGACAATCAGACTACAAAATTATTGAAATTACTTTAGATTCAATAATTTACTTTCAGAGTACTTCTGAAATAAAAGGTGGTTGTACAACAACTTGATCTATTACTTCAGTTCTGTAGAAACATAGATTTCAAAAAGATGAACCTAACAAAAGAAACACAGCGCTTGAAAAGGTAAAATTGCTTTAACAAATCAGGAGAATGCAAAGGTTTTCAGTTACCAAAATGAAACCATTCTGGCTTCATTGTTCAGTTTGGATGAACTCACATTTCAATGAGACATTATTTTGGCATAAAGTGAAAAAATAACTCCTCTGCTGAAAGTAGTTTTCAGCTTAGATTTGATGTGCTCTAATAGCCACAATAATAAAAGAGTCTATTTTCTCTTGCATATAAAATAAAGCAGCATTGCAACTCATTATGAGGGTGTATTTAATCATAGTTCTTTTTGATTTCCTAGCTATGCAATAGATAACGGATTGTATTCGTACTTAATATAACACCAGAGAAATCAATGGAGCAAACAGGTCACTGGAGATTAATTTGTCCCAGTCTTGCATCACAGGCAGCTGACATAAATGCAATTAATTTTCCTCAACTTCTATGTTACCATTTCCTGTTTGAAGTTCAGAGCAGCTTTGGTTTTTATCAATATTACCACATGACATAATACTGAAGAATTTTGTGCTAAAATAATTCAGCAATAAAAACAAGAGGATTACATCAGCTGCCATCCTAATCCAACAGGAGGTGCAAGTCTAAACAATCTCACCACCTATTAAATGCCTCAGTAGTGAGGTTTGTCTCTTGAAATTTACGCTACAGTAATGAAAAGAGACAGGTTCTTATAGAGGGAAATTTAGGATACACTTAGATTGAAAGGTGAGATTCACAGTGCTTCATAACCCTGGTGCCCATAACGTGCCTGCCAGATGATGAGTCTTGAGCATAACACAGCTCCCTTTCAACTTAAGCAGTTTGGCATCCTTACACTCAAATCAGGGTACAGGCCAGAATTTGCCTCATGACAACTCATGTTGGCCAAAAGTAATTTAGAAGTCATACGCCAATCAAGTCTGGGAAGCACCTCTGGTTTCCACAGTGTATAGCTTCACCCTATAGATAAAACCTCTAATTACCCATGTCTATTTCTTCATCTGAACCACCCTTCCACTGATCTCGTCTCACTGACAAGTTACAAAAGTAGATTTTTACCCTAAATGAGGCATGGCACTATTGTAAGGCTGTGAAAGTATCCCTGAAGACATCATCCAACTAAATTAACACCTACAGTACTTTACTTTCAACATAAATCAATTACTGGTTTGGGGAAACCTAGAGGAAGTATGAGAAAGCATTAAGTAAGCTGCAAAGCATCAAAGAAACTGTGAAAAGACTTATACCAAGCTTAATAAGACCTGCTGCTTTGAAGTGTGAGAATCACACAAATCAGCAGGCTGAAATGTACGTTTTGTTTTTTAGAAGGCTGCATATTTATACACATGGACAGTGTTTAGCAGCACACACATTTACACGGATAAAACAGGAACAGAAGGCAGGTATAACAGCTCTGTCACAACATCTCCTGTATGAGAGTCCTCTAACATAAAAAATCAGTTAATTATGCAAACTTCCAAAATGTTCTCCATAATATGCTTTATAATATAATATTTTTCACTACCCTGAAGATGTTAACACCTAATTACAAGGAGGTAAGACAGCCTTTGTGCTTCATAAATCATTTTTTCTTTTTTTTTTTTCACTACTCTGGGCACACAGCATAGAATTTACCCTACTATTATTATGACTCCAGCCTCCCTCAGAAGTATGGCATGAGTCACAGTGTTAGTGGCATGTACTGAAGAATAGATTCTTCTTTTACGTAAGGATTCCATAGATATAAATCTTATTCCCCATGATGATACAATTCAGGAAGATACATACACTAGTTGACACCGAGTTCATACACTCTTATCTATCATATATGGGCCATCGCACAGGATGGCTTAAGCTATTTGACTGTTTTTCCAGGCAGATCCTCTACTCAGATTAACATAACAATCTCTGTTTGGAATGGATAAATACCTACTCCTTGGCTACATATATAATGTCAATTTAAATGAAAGGAGAAAGTGAATCTGTCTGGTGCTTACTTAGTCTCCAGAGAAGAACAGAGGGGTTTAAAGATGCATTCAGTTAAAATCTATTGAATACTTTTTATTCTAGAGACTCAACAGGACTTAACACCTATTCACTTGGCTGCCTTAATGCACTGCCAAAATACTATCTGTAAACCAGTAAAAGCAGGGAAAGAAAACCAATTTAAAAATTTGTAATCTTGAAAATGTTGAATGTACTCCCGATTTTGGCTTTTTGCATGTCAATGTATAACTCTAGCAATGCAATCAACTGCAATTATCCTAATACATTCTATTTTTGTTGGAAAGCCTGTGTGTAGAATTTAATGAAGTAAATTTTAAACCAGAATAAGATAACAAAGAGTAGATGAAGTAACCTGTTAAAACCCTTTAATACTAAAGAAAAGCTGTTATCTATAAACTTCTTGAACAAAATTCTTTGGGGGAACTCAGAATATCAGTTAAATATTGGACATTAAATCTACAACTTGGCAGGATTACATGAAGATTTCAGATGCCTTAGTATTTGATTCTGTTTTTTTTTTCATAAGCTTCTTCAAGAATTCAAAATAGCAAAGCAGGCAGGTTGGATGAGGCTTTCAGAAACCTGATCTACTGCAAGGTATCCCTGTTTGGGGCAGGGGGGCTCAAACCAGATCTTTAAGATCCCTTCTGACCTAGGCCATTCTATGATTCTATGAAAATAATCCTAATGATATGTTACATACTGCATTGCACAGATTCTATTAAACACTCATTTACTGCAGTATATCCAATCACAGTTGTGTAGTTTATCGTGACAATGACATTTAGGAACATTCATGGCACAAAGAGGGAGGCACACAGAGTACAAGTAAATTCATGTGCTCTGTGGGAGGAATAGGAAGTAATTGGGAACGACTCTTAAAGGTTAATGAGCCAGATGTTTCCCATATTAAGTATTTATTAAAACTGTATTTAGAATTGATCACAAATGGGAACTAATGAGGAAATGCTTTGCTTAAACATCTTGTTCTTCAAACTTACCTGATTTGCTGCAGCATTCAGAAAATACTCTGAAGAACTGAATATTGGTATGTATGAAAAGTGCTTGACTCACAAGCTTCAAAAAAATGAGATTTATAATAAACTTGTTATCTCAAGGCATTCCTCCTCTGGCACAGTAAAATAAGTTCTGTAAAATCTAAACCTCAGATATGGAGCCAGTGTATATCTGCTAAGCATCTCTCTTCTATGACACACTTTTTCTTGCATTCATTTCTCATTTGCATATTTGCCACAGAAATCTTTTTCTCACACCTTGTACTTCTCTCATGAATAAATTAGAGAAGTATACTATATACTATATACTACACAAACAACAGTATCTGCATCATAATAAATGCCAATGCAAACCTCAGAAACTACCTTCGCTACATTGATTTTCAAGTATTCAAAAAACTAGGGAAAAAATGTGTGAAGATCTATCCAAATTCACAAACAGGAACAAATCACTATACCTGCTGACTTTGTTTCTGCAGGTAAATACATGTGGTAACAGGAAGAATGTAAAATTTCAGTTACTCTGTAATAGCTGGCTTACTTCTCAACCCCAGTATAAATCCTAAATCCTTAACCATGTAGGTTTTCATGTTCCTTGCTGTTAATAACCATTTTAATGACTGAAGTCTGGAAGACTCAGCCCTAAGTTTTACATGATTACTTTTGTCACAGAAATAAGTTTTGCATTCACTGTTTAACATCAGAGGTTACATGCAATACTGGTGAAAACAGAGGTTGTTGGAGCAGAAAACTGCCAGTCAGATTTTTCTCATCATGCAGTCTAAATGGACATCAGTTTCAACTTTTTCTGTGTCTGTGACTAAGATACTGGGAGTCTCAGCTTTCCCATTTGAAAAAGACAGAAAGATACAGAATTACTTAGTTCATTGGTGAAAATTGGTGGGGGTCTTGTATGAAGACCAGGTTACATTCTAAGTAAAAACTACCATTGCTGACAGCGTTGTGTATGAGCTGTAAATCTTGATAAATCTTGATATAACTATTTGTCCTCCTTTCTTTGTGATAAAACACACAGTTTTGTGATTTCAAAAGCCTTAAGGTAAGGTTAACTGTCCAGATTTAATTCAGCATTATGAAAATACTGCATAACTATAGTTAAAAATGTTCCCCAATTCTTAGTTTTATTTTTATTTAATTGATATCCATCTTCTGCTTTTGTCTGTTGATGTGTGCATCCTTTTAATAGAAATACAACAAGAATTGTAATTTCTTTCAGTATGTATCTGTTATTCACTCTTTTTTGAGTTTACAACAATATTTTAGTGAGTACAAATACTGAATTTACCCCTATACCTGGCAACAAAGATGTTATTTGATTGGGATGAACAAAAGCTTTTGAAACTTTAAGATTCTCAAGTCCAACCATTAACCTAACACTGCCAAGTACCCCACTACACCATGTCCCCAAATACTACATCTACATATCTTTTAGATACCTCTAGGGATGGGCCTCAACCACTTCCCTCGCAGCCTGTTACAATGACTGGCAACCCTTCTGGTGAAGAAATTTCAGATACTCTCATTTCATTTACCTGTCTTGCTCATTTGTATTTATTTGTATCCATATTTTCAAACCCATTCTTTACTATACAGTTAAAAAGCCAAAAATTATTTTTTCAATCTAATTGATGGACTTACTTATTGAATTAGTTTCTGTTTCAATTAGAGCATGGCTTTTTAGAAGAAAAGCATAAACTGAGATTTTAAAGGTTACCAATGAAGAATCTTTTAGCAAACCCTGACAAACTATCACATCCTGTTTTATACCCCCAAACTCTTTGTTTCTCAGGTGTTCTCAGGTGTTCTTGGTTCTACCTAAGACAATCAAATCAGTTCTTCATTTCCATTTCTTTCAAATCACTACCCTCCACAGCATCAGAAACCACTCCATTTTTAATCCTCCTTCACTCTACTCAAAAAACATAGCATTAAGAATGAAAACTCTTAGTAGAGTTTCCTTTCCTTTGCCATCAGCGAATTTGCTTTTCAAATTTCCATAGTTAAACCATATCACTCTTTGCTTAGAAATTATTTGTTTCTCCTGGTTTTCAGGTTTCATGCAGGTACTCACCAGGGCATTTTCAAAAACATTCAAACTCACCGATGTTGGAATATTTCTCCATGGTGTTGACAACAGTGACAGAGTTACAGACACTTTAATTATATGTTTTAGGTTTGATCTTATATCCTCCTATTACTTTTTCCATTAACAATTATTCTGGGTTAGTAAAAATAGCAACTATTAAACTTTGCTCAAAAAATTAAAGGGGAAAAAAAAAAACAATTTTTCTAAAGTAGCCAAGAAACTGAGAGCCAGTTTGAAGTGAAGTCACTGTTAATTTTGAAGCCTATATATATTGAGTCAAATTCAGCACAGGCATTCTGGACTGATGGTGAGAAATAAACACAAAATTCAAACCACCTTCCCCACAGCTACCTTTTTTTTTTTTTCCCAGGCTCAACTTCATTCCTTGACTCCCAGCTCTTCTACCCCATAGTGATGCAGAGGGATTGGGAATGGGGCTTGCAGTCAGATCATTAACAATAACCTAATAATTGAATTTATGGGTTACAATTCAGAACATGAGTGCAAGGGGAGACCTGTTTCAAAGACCCATCAGTATTTCCTACAGCTGGAATGAACTCAGAAAACATTTCAACACTTACAAAATCATGACTGGCAAAGATTTCAAAGTTGAGGCTTTAAAAACAGAAAAGTTTGAATGGCATGACTCCTTTGTTGAGTCTAATCTCAGCATAAATGGGAAGCAAAGCCAGCTAATCCATATATTTGATTTAGGTAATGAGGAAAACTTGCAGACAGACATCAGTAAAAATACGTTAGAAAAAACTTTCCTGTTTAAGGGTGAATTAACACCAACCAATTACTACAGGGTACCTCAGGTAACTGAAAGTGAGGCCAGTGGCTGGTTAACTGCTTGGTTTGAATGTATTTGATTAATCTTTACAATATCAGACCTATTAAAGAAATATATGCCTAGGTTACACAATTCAAAACATCTACCTGAGCTCTCATGGCCCAAGAGGAACTAGTACAGTAGGTAGCTATTCACAACTCGCAATCCAGAGCAAAATCTCTTGTTGGAGGTGCCACTATGACTTTGTCTCTCCCCAAGGATTACTCAATTACTAGCAAATTACCATTACATGCACACACACACACGCATATACCTAACAATATGTACTTTTATCTACTTGTCATTTATTATCAGATACTACTGACCAATTATTAATGACATAATAAAATTAGGGAATATAAGAACATGAAATAAGAGTTCTTTTTCTCCCCAGACACACATTCACAGCCTACTCCGCTAACACTTTAGCAAATACTGACTGTCTTTCCATCTCAGTTGAAGTAAATGGAACACACATAAAGTGCTTAAGTTCTCTGCTGCATGGGGGACTTTTCCAAATTCTTTCACAGAGAACAGGGGGACAGATCTCATTCCCAGTGAGGATCCATTGTCAAGGAGTCCTGAAGACAACCTTGTTCTTGCAGTTCAATTTTACAATGCAGTTCATTTCACAGCAAATTCCTCAATTACATTCCTCAGTAATGTAAATAAATGTTATTGCTCTACCATACAGTCTCATTAGACAAAACCACATGATATAGCGCTATATGGGCTTTCTGCTTTGTTCTGTTCGTTTGTGAGGGCATTTTTAGGCAGTTCCTTACACAGAAGCTAAAACACTGTTGCTGCAGCTATTCCTTGCTCGATTTTCAGTATCATTAATCTTCATGATTTAAAATATGCATTTCAAAACACATCTTTGGTGTTTAAATGTTTTAATTTACTGGACTAATTGATAACTACAGTTAGAGCTGTGCTGTATAAAAACTCTGGGACACCAAATTAAACCTCACTGCTTATGTTGTCAGATAAAGTTAGTACCAGCTCTATACTTTCAAGATTGTGTGTAAATCACTGCCTTTATTCCACTAAAACCAAAAAATGGGAGTTTCAAGTTGTGGTAAGAAGAAGCAACAATAGTTTCATGATAAACTCCAGGATGCATCACTGGATTCATGGAGCACCATGTATATTTGTAACCAGATCAGGATGACTCAAACTACACAACAACTGACTCAAGTTTTATTCAAATACACTGTATGTCATAAGGCTGATATTTCAGGTTCATAGAAAGCAGTGTCAAGTATTTTCTGTGGCTGAAATAGCACCTACTGTGTTACTTTTCAGTTTTGGTCAAAGAGCTGGGTGGTTGTCCATAGACACCATACATGCTGCTGCAGCTGACCGCTATCATGCTGAAAAGGATTCATCTTTTACAGTGTACAGATAATGGGGATCCCTTTTTAAGTTTATGCCATTCTGGTCAGACAAGTCAGATGTATTCTGTACTCCAGCACTTGTGTAGGCATAGATGAAAAAGATCTGATTTAAAAAAAATATATTTTCAAAGCCATGTATTACCTTAGCCAGATGGGTGTTGATCCACTTTGTGAAAGTCCTTTTCTGCACTGACTCTTGCTCATCTGAGAAAAGAGAAAAAAATGAAATCAGTTTTATTAGACACTGCTGAACATTTTTGGATGTGCATGATAGAAGAATAGTAATTCCTATCGACAACAAATGCATTCAGCATTTGCCAGAAATGCCACTACATTTTCTTGAGACAGCTAATTTTGCCCATATCTATACATAACAGTTATTTCATATTCTTAAAATAAAGCTCTGACACTTGACTATTTGAGGAATTTCACAGCAAGTCACAGCAAGTCTTAATGAGGCAATGACCTGTAAGACACCATTTCAAATATGAATGCCTAAATAAATATGAATTCTAAGTCCACGCTATATTTACCAAAGTTCTGAGCACCTAGAATTTCTCTGTACTTTTTAACTAGAATTCATGTCTCTAAATAGTAAAGTTGCTTTTATGTAGATAGTCAGCTAGGGACTTCTTAGAAAAAACACTCTTAGCATGTGCATTTGAAAATATGTAGAATGTTGAATTAAAGATTTGAAATTGCATTATCAAGCTTATTTGTCCTCAGGGAGATCCTGCTGGGAAGAAGCCATTAGCCAGTTCAGGCAGCTTCTATGCTGCTACTTACTACCCCCTTAGTCCTGTCCTAAAACACTTGTCTGATTTATAGCGAATTTCACCAAATCCCAGATAGTCCCTCAGGAACTGTTGCCAGCTGCACAGACAAAAATAGCTCCTGAATTAGCTTCTCCAACTTCAGCAGCCAGGGTCACGGCTGCAGAGGGAAGAGAATCACAGCATTATAACCAATCCACAAAGTCCTGTCCCTTTTTTGTGGGGAATCAGTTTTGACACATGGGATAATTTCACAACATGGGCATTCAAGTCTTTATGTTGGAGATTTTTCTTTCAAAAATGAAAGGAAATACCTATGACACAAACCAAGTCATGTTATTACCATCATCAGTTCTAAATGAGCACTTTCATTTCCCTACTGAGAATCTAAATAAGTAAAATTACTGTTAAAGATTTACTTTTTAGCATATCCCAAAACCTACAGATGGAAAATCTGATTTTAGCTACAGCCTTTGCTACTGACTTATGCAGCACTGAACTGTGATTTAACCTCTTTCACATTTGTAAAATTAAAAGGGAATATTCTTTAATCCCCTTTAGAGTTCTGTTATAGATATCTACTAAGTTTGATGCACTACTAATAATAAGGTCCATGATTTACTCAGGCAGTGCTGCTCCACAATGAGGGTACCTAAAGATACAAACTGCCACACACAGTTCATCAGCGAAAATGGTATCTTAAATGGGACAATGATGGCTCTCAGACCACATATGAGATTCCAAAAGGGTATGTGCATTAAGACTTGAGGATATTTTCTTTCTATATAAACAATATCACAGATATAAGAAATACCAGAGGAAAAAAAATATATATACTCACCAGCATCTACTGCTAGATTAGCACACGTCATGTCTAAGAAAGTAATTTTGAATTCTTTATTTTTGTTTTCCTTGATTTCATGAGGTGGGCTGTCTTACATCATTTTTAAAACATTCATTATATTCTTAGAACCAACTTGTTGCACTGACAGGCAGATTATGAAAAATACCACTCAAAATACTTCACTGTGCTTCATTCAACACTGAATATTTTTGGCAGGGAGCATCTTGACTTTATACATGTCAATTGTTTCTACATTCTGAAAAACAGACTTCTCAATGCATAGGTTCAAACCATAGAATCATGGAATCATAGAATAGTTAGGGTTGGAAACAGCCTTAAGATCATCTAGCTCCAATGCCCCTGCCATGGGCAGGGACACCCCACACTAAATCATGTCACCCAAGGCTTTGTCCAGCCTGGCCTTGAACACCGTCAGGGATGGAGCATTCACAACTTCCCTGGGCAACCCATTCCAGTGCCTCACCACCCTTACAGAAAAGAACTTCCTCCTTATATACAATTTAAACTTCCCCTGTAAGTTTTAACCCATTACCTCTTGTCCTGTCACTGCAGTCCCTAACGAAGAGTCCCTCCCCAGCATCCTTATAGGCCCCCTTCTGATACTGGAAGGCTGCCATGAGGTCTCCACGCAGCCTTCTCTTCTCCAGGCTGAACAGCCCCAAATTTCTCAGCCTATCTTCATATGGGAGGTGCTCCAGTCCCCTGATCATCCTCGTGGCCCTCCTCTGGACTTGTTCCAACAGTTCCATGTCCTTTTTATGCTGAGAACACCAGAACTGCACACAATACTCCAGGTGAGGTCTCACGAGAGCAGAGTAGAGGGGCAGGATCACCTCCTTCGACCTGCTGGTCACACTCCTTTTGATGCTGTCCAGGATACGGTTGGCTTTCTGGGCTGCAAGCGCACACTGAAGCCGGCTCATGTTCACTTTCTCATCAAGTCCTTCTCCACAGGGCCATGAACAAGATGTTTCCCTTGTGACATAAGTAAATGTCTACTGTGCTCTGACAAGCAATTACATATACATGTTGCCTAATTAGTTTCAATGGAAGTACTTGCACACTTGAACTGGGTTGTGTGTGAGTAGGTCTGGGGATGGGAATCAAGCACACAGAATGAGTCCAGCTCTAACTTCATTCACAGTTCTGTAACTTAAAATTCCCCAGAAACCCCAACAGAACAGCATGCCAAAAGAAAAGAACCATGCCTTCAGAAGTCAAACTTCTGATCAAAGAAACAAGAGAAAATGATTCCCTAATTTGTAGTTCCAATACATCTTGGTGATTTAAGACACAGCCTTCTGACAACAATTGGAAATCAGACAAACAGCTTCCAGCTTCTAAACAATCACCAGGAGAAGACATGCTCAGTTTCAGTCATATCAATAATCAACAGAAACAGCCTTTCAAAATTATGTTTCAATGGAAAAAATATGAGCAATATATTCTTTATGAACCCAACAGCAACCATTAATAATTTTACCATTGTAACATAACACACAAGTAATACATTGATTTTACAAATTTAGAAATGCTATTATGCTTTTTACAAATTTCCCTGGAAGCAAATGTGTTATTTTCATTGAAGTAATGTAAATTCTCTGCAGAGGCACTCTTCCATACCCACAAAACACTTGTCATACAGTTTGTTAGACTCTCCCCACCTGCAAGGACTGTCAGCTCCTTATTTGCACCACTTACCCTGCCCGTACTGAAAGAACCCAGGAAGCAGATTTAATGCTGTAACGTTTCTGCCACCAGCACCTTTGTAGCGAGCCATAAGTGCTGCTGCTGTGGCTGCTGCGTCTGCTGCTGCTGTGGCTGCCTCTCCTGTCTCGTGTAGTGTGCAGCGTTTCTTTACAATACAGTCAGAAGTAATTTTTAAAGCCCAGTCGGATTTTTCTCCTTCACTGGAAATGCAGGCCTCTTACACAAACCTCGCCACTTGCTCTAATCGGAGAATTCACATGAAGCCAAACCTTAAAAGCATTGTTATATATTTTTGCAGAGATGCAACAGCCAGACAAAGCCAGCTGTATTGGAAGTAGCAGTTCTGCTGGTCTCACTGCCATCATCCTTCTCCACTGTTTTCCTGTGGAAAGATTTTATTATGCAAGCACCAGCCAATCCGCTAGCAGAAACTTCTGATGTCAAGAGCTTGAATAATTCATCCAGGGACTGGGATAACCCAACCATGCTGGCAATATCCTAAAGAAGCAAGATGTGTGGCTGCAAAAAGCAATGCAGCCTTCTCACCAGTGCTTTTGTAACAGTATACTGCTCAGTAAGCATAAAAATGGCTGAATGGCATAGCCCTTCCCTAGGTTGTCATACATCAAAAGGAAAGCAGCTTTTAAAAACAACCACTTAGGTTCCTCACGGCATACTCTATTTAGACATGGATGTCCTTCAGCTTTGCAATTGAAACAGTGAAGTGGAAGAAATAGCAAGCAATGAATCTGAACAGACATGTAGGCCACCTTTAATCACATATTTGAACTGTTGTATAAGAAGGATGAAACATGTAAAGATGCACAGAATTTTTGGAGCACCTAGACTGGCCCAAAACATACTCAGATTTCTGATAATATGCACTACTCTCATTAAATCAGAGAACCAGAGCATTCGAACAGACTTTGTTTTGCTCTGGCTAAAAGAAAGCAGTTATGAAACACTATGTGTGGAGAGTCATATGTTGCTCACCCACAGGGGCCAACAGAGTAGTACACACTGTTGAAATGAGAAAAAAAAGGCCCATCTTCATTAAGGACATCTTCACTTAAAGCAGCTGTGAAAAAGCTTGCAGAGTAAAAGCAATAATATAGAAAGTCTACTTACAAAAAGGAGCAATATTTTAAGCTACGCTGTTAATAAACACCTCCATAACTGATGGGTTACCCCGCTCAGGAGTACTGCACAGGAGCAATGCAGGCTCATTTCTTTTCCTTTAAGACTCCAGTTAATGTTTTTTATGAGACAATGCCAGGAGAGTTTTGCTTTTAAAAAAACAACAAACAAACAAAAACACTGGTGGTAGCTCTAAAGCTAATATATTGTTTGTAGGCTGCTAAGTTTAATAGTAATACCATACAATTTTAGAAGAGACAAAGAATGAGGGAGCTATGGACAGGGGGAGCAAATCAAGGAAAAAAGAGGGAGAAACTGATTTCAGCAACCACTGCAATGCAGCCAACGAGACTCAGCAATACTGATCCAAATAATGGGAATATATTTTTAAATGCCTCATACATTTAGGAATATTCAATTTTTTATATTTTGAGAAAAAACAGAGGATTTGTCAAAGTGTAGCTTTTGGCTATCTGCTTCTATTGAATGCCTTCAGCAGAAACAGTGAGACAGTCCTATTAACAGATCTGTTATCTAAATTTCCAAGCTTTGAGACTCAGGTGCACACACTAGCCGTAGCCTGCTCCACCACTGAGCACCAGTCTGCTCCCCATCAGTTTCTGTAGAAAGGAAATCCATGCCCAAGGGCTTCAAGGTAACCAGTCATCCTTGGCTAAATCCCTACTCGGGGAAAATGATGTGTATTGGCACTCATGGGT